TAGTTAAACTTTCTCTATTATATACTTTACTTTATGTATTACAACCTTAGAAACTCTGTAAGTAGAGTAATAACAATTACAACAAATAAGTATAAAGAGATAGATAAAGCTACGCTCCGCTAAGGGAGCGAGAAAGCCCCTCTACTACTTACATAGGATTCGTATGCAACGCTTCAGGTCTGTAGCAATTCTGGTCCTTCTGAACCCCGGGCTTCGGGCTTCGGTGCTCGCTGGACCGCTGGTAAACCGGGCCGAAGAAGCATTGACGCTGCTGACAGTCTTTGCAAATTGATGGCTTAACGGGCCGACTTGTAGCGCCGTGTCATCTCGTACGGCGTTACTCTACACCGTGAATCTTCTAATCGTGTATAGGGGCTTTGTATAAGTATACAGCATGATGATCCAGTAGTTTGTTTCACGCCGATCTGTTATTCGCATCACACCATCGCAGTCATGCACACTCTCACGCTTGTTCTGTATGCTCTTTGTCCCATTGCGCTCGCAGCCAGCTCTGGCTGTGGAAGCGTCCTACCATCGGGACTCACGCCAGGTAAATCTACCACCAATGTGACTCTGTCCTCGAAATCCGTCATTGGCAAAACAACCGAGCGTCAATACATTATCCACCTGCCATCATCGTTCGATGCCACAAACAAGAAAGCTGCGCCGCTGGTAATTGCTTTCCATGGTCAGCAGCAGCCAGCCAGGAGCATGGAAGTGATCAGCGAGCTGTCAAATCCGGCTTTCAATCCGAATACCATTGTGGTCTATCCAGAGGGCATGAATGTTCAGGCCCCCGGTGTAAGTTATTCGAATCGATATTTCTCGTCAAGATCAGCAATCAATGGATCTAATCATATGGTTTAGGTGCAATGGCTTGGAGACCCGCTGGCTCCTACATCTTCAGTGATTGACGACAGAATCTTTGTTGATGAACTCCTTTCACATCTCACATCCACGCTCTGCATCGATGAAAGCCGTATATACGCTGCTGGTCTTTCTAACGGTGGTGGACTGACTGGACTTCTGATGTGCGATCCAAAGCTCAACAAACGATTTGCGGCCTTTGCAACAGTGGCGGGCGCATTTTACCCGGACGCAAGTCTTACGGAGCCGCTATTTCAGGGAGGATGTCTTCCAAACCTGCAGGGACGAGCACTTCCCTACATGAATCTGCATGGGCTGAACGATAGCGTGGTTGCGTACGATGGCAACAACAATCCGCCACCAGCTTCTATTCCGGTTTTGAACTGGGTTGAGGGTTGGGCGAAGCATGATAACTGCTTGAGCAACCCTCGAGCTGTGAACATAGCCAGCGACAAGGTTACAGAGCGACGATGGCAGTGCAATGGTGTCAAAGATGTTGTTGTTCACAGAGCTATCCAGGGATTTGGTCACGGATGGCCTAGTCGCAAGGCCCAAGGTGAACCATTCGACACACTGAGGAACGGACCTACAACATGGGACGCTACCCCGTTCATTCTGGAGTGGTTCGCCAAGTGGAAGTTATAGGTGCACAAGTCATATCCTAGTGTACACGAATGTATTTGAGCTTCACCGTGATATAGAATCCATTGTTCTACTAAGCCGCTGATTCCTCCCCTCATTCATCTTCGTCATCTGAAGATGCTTTTTTCTTCAGCTGTGGTAAGTCGATTGCGATTACTAGCAAATTGACAATTATAAACATGACGATTGCCGAAATAAAGACCAAGCGCAGGCTACGGCTATATGCCTCGATCACTAGAAATGAAGTTAGTGTCAATCCCAGCTAGAAGTAGACTGTGGACGTGACTACGAGTGTAAAACGTTACAGAATGCGAGTGAGACGAACCTTGACTCTGATGCTTGGGATCTAGGTCGACAATGCTGCGGACCGATTTACGAACACGTTGTATGATCTATTTCGACAGGTTAGCATCGAACAGTTTTGATCAGGATAACAGCACAGCGTTACTGCTCAAGCTTTCGAAATAGGGCAATGCGTACTCTAGTCTTGTTATGACCGGACACCAGGCTCTCAAGGTGTGATGTCAAAGCATTCTGTAAGATGAGACTACTCAGTGAGACACCCATCACGATACCCAAGCTACGCCATAAGATGAGTGTGCTGGTCATTACCGCCTGATCCTCCTGTGTGCTTGTCGCAAGGACTGCAAGGCTCGTTGCTGGGAAGCTCAAGCCTTGACCAATACTCGAAGGAACCAGAAAAATCGTGGCAAGCCATTTTGGTATCCCATCCCACATCAAAGAAAGGCATAAAGCTCCCAACAGCATGGAGAGGGAGCCAACTACAATCAGCCATTTCATGCGCCCGGTGGCGGTCATGATGAAGCCTGCGGAGACGCCGCATATAGTGAGGGCAACAGAAGGGCCTGCAAGGCGAAACCCGGACACCGAAGCTGTCTCAAGCTCAACAGCTTGGAAGTACAGCGGGGCGTTGAACAAGATGGTGTTCATTCCCACCTGAGCGAAGAAATTGTTGAAAACGAGGTTGCCTCGGGGTCTGCTGAACAACATAGGCAGAGGCATGACTGCTCGCGAAGCCTTCGATTCAACTTTGACAAGAATGGCACCCGTCACTGTTGCTACCACGAGCGAAGTAATAACGACCCAATGTTTCCATGGATATATGTTGCCACCAAGGTTCAAACCTAGAATGAGGAACGCGACGGAGACAGTCAGTAGCATGGATCCAGCGACGTCGAATCCCTTGAGACCATCCTTTAGACCTAAGCCGTAGCGCTTGGCCAGGTTTGGACCTAGAGATGATGGCGTCGTGAATATGGCATTGACCAAGAGCAACACTAGGACAGGGATTTGTACAGCAAAAGTCATCCGCCATCCTAATTTGTCGCAAAGCACGCCGCCAAAAGCTGCCCCACAAGCGGAGCCGCCTCCATAGAAGAGGTTGATGTAGGCCTGGTAAGTGCCTCGGACTTCGATACTGACTAGATCGTTGGTCATGATGTTACCCATTGACAGTACTCCGGCCGCGCCGATGCCACAGAGAGCTCGCGCCGCGATGAAGCTACCGATAGTCTGCGCAAGAGCGCACCATGCGGTCGTCGCCGCAAGGACAACGAGACCAGCCAGGTACAACGGTCGACGGCCAACAGTATCTGAGAGTCGACCCATTAGTGGTTGAAGCGATGTTGATGTAAGCAAGAAGGCCGTCGATAACCAAGACGCTGAGTTTGACGCATGAAAGTACGATGTGATGACTGGATGACTTGATGCCATCAAAGTAGAATCAAACATGGCAATCTGACAGTATACAGTCAGTATTGGTATTTCGATACCTTTCCAGAACTCACAAAGTACCCGAGCAGAATGCCACCAAACACCAGTCTAAATTTCCACACCCCAACGCCTTCAAGTTTTCCATCTTTCTGAAACTTGACTAGGCTCTCTGCTTCGTGCGCGATATCGGGCCCATCATCATTAGGCTTGAGCGATGGAGCACGCAAACTGTTTTTCCTGGTGTCTGATGCTGGAAACTGAGGTGCAGCGCCCTCCCCCTGTTCCGCTACCTCTGCAGTCGTGATTGCATTGTCGGTAATTAGATGAGAGTCGTCCCGGTGGTTTGCCGAATCGGAGCGAAGAAGCGGTGTTCGCTCGGATGCGGACGATGACATAACAGCAGATGTCAGTTGTCTTTGAATCACGCGTGATTCGTCTTTGAGTCTCAGATTCACGCCACCGCTGGGATTGGGATAGCGAAGATGAAACCAGGGAGAGCCAGGAAGAGCCAGAGCTGACAAGCTTTCGTAGTGCAGGTGCCAACGAGCCGAATCACGCTAGTGCTCCCGAATTCGCCGTCACTTTCCCGTTATCAAAGACGGCGTTATCTCGCTCTTTGCAACTCGAATCGTAGACATCCAGAAACATGAAGACACCTCTTAGAATAGCTATCCTCGAATGCGACACGCCGCCAGCCGCGGTTGTCGAGAAGTACGGCAGATATGACCGTATCTTCACAACGCTATTGGAAACCGCAGCCACGGAACTGGGCTTATCGCCGAAGCAAGATCTCGAATTGAGCGCATTTGATGTAGTCACAGCGCAGGAATATCCAGACTTGGAAAATGTAGATGCCGTACTGATCTCGGGCTCGAGTATGTATTACCCGAAAAAGCAATGTTGAAGAGCGTGGCTGATGTGGCGCAGAACACAACTCCTTCGACAACGACCCGTGGATTCTAAAGCTGGTCGAGTTCACGGAGAGACTGTTGAAGCAAGATCGGATTCGTATCATCGGTGTTTGCTTTGGTCACCAAATTCTTGGAAGAGCTGCAGGGGTCAAAGTTGGACGCAGCGACAATGGATGGGAAATCTCGGTGCTGCCAGTACAACTCACCGCAAAAGGCAAAGAGATCTTCCAACAGGATACCTTGGTATGTCTTCCAGACCCAGACGATTACAACCTGTCATGCTAAAAGTCACAGGCAATCCACCAAATGCATAAAGACATTGTCTTCGAGTATCCGGAAGGCGTGGAGAAACTGGGTGGATCACCACGGTGTTTGGTGCAGGGCATGTACAAAAAGGGCAAGCTCATCTCTGTGCAAGGACATCCTGAGTTCACCGAGCCTATCGTAAGCTACTTGGTCAAGATGAGGGCGGAGCAGGGTATTTTTGAAGACGAGCAGGCAAAGGATGCACTGGCGAGGGTCGGGAATCACCATGACGGAGTAGTCATTGCCAAAGCGTTCTTGAGATTCTTGCTTGAGGATTAGGAATAATCGGATGTTAAGCTTAAAAGATGCTTAATAGTCGAATATAGCTATGTGCCTGCATGCCGATAACTAGCCGCGATACATGAAGATGGTATTCCAGACAAAGGGTTTTCGAAGGTGGGCTGCCCCACACGCACTGGCTGACAAGTGATGAGCAACCCTGGCAGCTATAGCTAGACAGTAATTAGTCAATGGCTATTATATTGCAAATATTTTGCTCATATTTCAAATCAGCAAGACCGGCTTCGTGGCGCAATGGTAGCGCGTCAGATTCCAGTTCCTCTGGAGCATCCTGAAGGTTAGGCGTTCAAATCGCCTCGAGGTCACATGCGATCATTTCTTTTTGTCATTCTGTTGGCCATACCATATTTTTGCCAATGCGAATCGGGACTTAGCGTCGTTCTTGCATGATTGAGCAGAGCCACGGCCCTGAGTTTACCTATGCGATGCTAGCTTGCATTCTCCATTCACTCTGGTTGACACCTAATCAAGATCTAACACTTAACTGTCACATGGACATAGCACATAGGATGCTGATACGTCATAGTCACTTTGAAGCGCTGGGCATGTTCATGCACGACACTGTTGATCCTTCTTATAGCCGCCCCTGCACTTATGTGGCGCGATACGGAGTATTTAGCTATCAAAACCTTGGGTGACAACCGTACCGGAGCCGGTCGAGTATGCACCTACGAGTACCACTCAGCGCTCCTACAACTTGTCAGGACCACCGTTGTGAATAACAACAAGTGAAACGTGGTTCTTGCGCGAGAGTGAAAACGACGATCGCGTCGAAAGGCAGAGGCTCACGTCATAAACGACCGGTAACTGGCCGCTCGCACATTTGTTCCGCCCCATAAAACGTCGCAGCGGGCGCGGGACGCTGATCCATGCGCCTTCTGGAAGCGGCGCCGCCAGCTGCCAGGGTCCAAGTCTCAACCTTTACTTATCCGCCATCACTAACTACTCCCCTCCTTCACGTCGCTCGTTTTACGCAAAGCACCTGTTCGATTCCGGCCGCGCCGCTACCGCCCTCTTCCGACATATCTCTTGTAATACCCACTGTTGCTTTCCGCATGCGCATTGCTAGATAGCCGTCCTCGGATCCTGACTCTCTCGATGGGAAAGTGTACGCAACCACCCATATGCAGCCCTATGCCCTCCACACAGCTCGCACGCTGACACTATATGGTGAACAGGGAGATATGGTGTTGTCCTGGATGCTGGGTCCTCTGTAAGTTTTCCAAACAGTCGGTGTGCAGTTATCGCAGGGTCCCAGCTAACCATATCATAGGGGACGCGCGTCCATGTTTACCGATGGCTCAATAGCGACGCAGCTCGCAAGAAGGCCAGCGATGCACAACTACACAGCCTGCCTGTCATAGAAACCGACAAGAAGTGGACGAAGAAGATACATCCAGGTATGTGGGCGAGAGAGGACTCTGACCAACAGTCGTCTGACGGGAGGTGGGACAGGTATCTCAACTTTCGGCGAACACCCTCACGATGTCGGATCCGAACACCTCGACAAACTCCTCAGCCACGCGCTCAAGCATGTGCCCCTTGAAGAAGTCCCGAACACGCCTCTATTCCTGCTTGCGACAGCGGGCATGCGCATACTCCCTGAGCGACAACGGAAAGAAGTGTTGAAGGAAGTCTGTGAGTTTGCGCGCGCTACCACTCAGTTTCAACTGCCCGATTGCGATGTGCACGTGCAGGTCATTCCAGGAGAGACAGAGGGTCTGTATGGCTGGATAGCGGCGAATTACCTGCTCGGCGGATTTGACCAGCCAAAGGAACACGATCATGGCAAGGGACACAATACGTATGGATTTCTGGACATGGGAGGCGCATCGGCTCAGATCGCCTTCGCCCCAAATGCAACCGAAGCGGAAAAGCACGCGAACGATTTGACGCTCATGCGACTACGAACGATTGATGGTACACCGCTAGAGTACAAGGTCTTTGTGACAACTTGGTTGGGATTTGGCGTCAATCAAGCGAGAGAGCGATATATCAAGGCTTTGTTGGAGTCGAGCGCGGAGACTGAGCTACCTGATCCTTGCCTACCAGCAGATCTCGAGGTAGAGGTTACAAAAGATGGCAAGATCATTGACTTGGACGACGACGACGATGACGACGATAAGCCGAAACAGAAGACCGCGGCGAAATTGATTGGTACGGGCCAGTTCGCGGAATGCTTGCACCGGACGTTCCCGTTGTTGGAGAAAGAGAAAGAGTGTAAAGACTCGCCGTGTTTGTTCAACGGTCAGCATGTTCCTGCCATCGACTTCAACGTGAACCACTTCGTAGGCGTATCCGAATACTGGCATACTACGCATGAGATTTTCGAACACGGACACAAGGACAAGGCCTACGATCTCAAAACATACCAGGAGCGAGTGGACGAGTTCTGTAGTCAAGACTGGAAGAGCATAGAAAAGGGTATCAAGAAGGAAAAGTGGGGTCATAAAGTCGACGAGGAGAAGGCACGGGATGTCTGCTTCAAAGCTTCCTGGGTCATCAATATGCTTCACGATGGAATCGGCGTCCCTCGAGTTGGTATCGAAGACATGAAAGGTGGCCAAAACACCACCAAAGCTGTCATCGACAACGCAAAGACAAAGGGGTTTCTGGACCCGTTCCAAGCAGTCAACAAGATCAACGACGTGGAAGTCAGCTGGACCCTCGGAAAGATGGTCCTTTATGCTTCGAGCGAGGTTCCACTACCCTCCGAAAAAGCGCTGGCAGTAGGCTTTGGCTCCAATGTCCCGGGAATACCATCAGACTTCCAATATCCCGGTGGCGTGCCTAGAGAGTACGAATCAGACAGCGACTGGCACCGTCTTTTCGTCGAGCACCCACAGCGTATACCCGGCTTTTTCATCATGATATTCATCTTCATTTTCATCTTCTGCCTCATACTTGGCAAAGAGAAGAGGAACACAGCCAAGCAGTACATCGGCAGACTCTTCAAGAGCAAGCAGGGCAAAGACCCTCTTCATCGCCGTCGCGGTCGCGGCTTTCCAGCTAAACTTTTTGGCTTAGGCGGCGCCTCGTCTCACACTCAGCAACCTTACGAACGTGTTGACTTGGAAGATGGGGATGCGGCAAACGAATTCGAACTTGAGGAGACCTATCTGGACTCATCAGATAACGAACTCTCGGATTCTTCTGAGGGGTCCAAAGTAGGCAGGACGAGTGGTTGGGCGACGCCGCAGATCAAGACTGAACCTGTTCCCGGCGGACCAAGTTATTTCGGCACGACGACCGCGGGAGATGTTGTCAGGGAGGGCACCGGTTTGGGACTGGGTCCTCCGAGCGCATTCGAGCTGAGCCGGACGTATAGCAGGGAGAGAATAAAAAGCCGCGCCAGCAGTCCGAAGAGAGGAAAGGGGATGAGCAAACTTGATGAGTGAACGGCTTTATTGACGACGGCGTTGATCTTTCGGCTTGGAGTTTTATGGGCCACGAAGCACCTTTCTTTGTAGTATATTAGAGAGGGGATCTTGGTGCAATCTGGTGTCAAGGCGTTGTCTCGTCGAGCAGAGACATTCTGCCTATGCACAGGACACGGTTGTATATACCATGTGCTATATGAAGCTGTTCGTTTTTTCGCTACAGTCTAGAAGGGTATGCACAATCAGATCTAAAGACATTCAAATCAGAAGCCTTTCGATTGACGCTATAACATGGATAATATGCCCAATGTGCTTGACGATTGTCGCGAAGCCGGTGGGACATGGGCTAGCGGAGTGGTCTCCAGGTCTCTTTTTGAGTCTGGGAACCTTGACAGATGCCAGTAAAGCAACTGTTACCAAACCTTAGCGTGAACGTGATGACGAGCGATGGATGAGAAAGTGAAACGTGCGTAGCGTCATATTGTCGTCTTCATTACTTCTGAATCCATTTATGCTTTGACTTGACGATAATGCTACACTCACGCGCCCGATCTTCAGGTCCCTGCATACTGAAGTAGCTGCTAGCCTTCCTTCTCTGTGACCTTCTCCTGGTCTTCCTCGGCCTCGTCACTACCATCCACCGTGTCTTCATTACTACTGCTGCCGCCCTTTTTCCTCTCGGCAACATCCATCTCCCTACCATCGATGACAGGCTCACTCTTTGGCGCTCTTTCATCCTTGCTAGGTCGCTGTCTTGCACGCTTCCCAGCTTCATCGGGGAACAACTCAGCGAAAAGGCTGGGTTGGAAGCGATTGATGCGCTTCCAGGTCTCATGCCAGAGGTCCTCTCGTTCAGGGTTTTCGTCGGGTGGCGCAAGGTACCCGCCATTGCTGAGTACCAGAAGCATGTTCTTAAGATTCTCGGCGACAGCTTCTTCCATGTCGCCCTGTCCGCTGTTGCCCAGGCGGTCCATTATTCCCACAATCGTAATCCATAACTCTTCGAAAGACAGGCTCTTCTCTCCGTCCTCCTTCTCTTCACCAGACAAACCATCAAGCAGCACCAGGTAATGGAGGAATACCTTGCTCAGCAGCGTAGCGGCTCGGACCCGAGTTTCGCTCATACCTAGTGGATCAGACTGATAGACTTCTGGTTTAAGAAGCTGGGTGATGAGTGGGATCAAGACCTCGCTGAAGATCGCGGTCCATTCTCGATGTTCGGGGGAAGCGAGATCGTTGGAAAGAAGTGTGCGTTGGAGTGAAGAGAAGGCTTGTTGGCGCAACGATCGGCAAGGGTTGAGACATTGATGCGCGAGGGTCTTGAGGATGGGTGACCAGTAGGCCGTCCATGCTGGAAGTATGTTAGCATTTCGAAGCTGAGCGAGATGTGCATTCCTTCTACCTTCAGTCGTTTCGAGGTGAGACTGCTCGATGAAATTCGGCACTCTGCTGGAAAGCTGGAAGACGATGCTCATAGCGGTGCTGCCGCGTACAACTATCTCACTATTCTCAAGCTTCTTGGGCTTCTGTCCCTTGTTGCGTCGTGCAGCCTGGTCATGTAGCTGCTCTTCTCGAGCACCTACTTGGGCTGCAGTTGCGAACTCGTTGAGAAGCGCAATCGCAGCTTCGTAATTGTCAGCAGTGATGCCGGGTTGAGGCGAAGTGGTAAGATCTTCGACAAGCTGGAAAACGTCCCCAGCAGCATCAGGCACGCTTGCAAGCCTGTTGAGAATGGTCCAGAAGTCTGGTGAGCCTGCAAGTTCACTACGAAGGGCATTGGGGCCTTTGCAGCAGTCTGTCAGTCCCTTCAAGATTGGCTGAGCGCACTCATGCAGGAGAGCATCGTTGAAGCTTGAGAATGTGTGCATGAGGACTGGGGCACGGATGAAATCGTAGTCCTAATTCCATCAGTATATAAATCACATGGGGAGGCATCGAGACTTACATTGCTAGCTTTCAAAAGGCTTAGCAGATAGTACACCGATCGCGCAATGACCACATAATGGTGTTTAGGAGCGTCTCGAATGACAGACGTCAAAGCATCTGTCACATCCTTGGCGAGCTCCCTGACCGTCTCTTCGTCTCTGAGAGCTAGAACGGTGGCTAGTTCGAGCACAAAGACAAGGCTTGGGTCGTAGAGCGGGCCTTTACCCTTCTGCTTCGGGCCAGTCGTCCGCGGACTTGCGCCAGGTATCTCAGGCTTCACAACGATAACCCTGGGCGAGCCATCTTCGGGGAGATGCTCAAGTAGTGAGGCCAGAAGCGATCGCAGAGACTCCACAGGTAGTTGGCTGATGTTTGCAAGAATATCTTCAAAATGACACTCCTTGACAGTATCCACGGTGCACAGCGTGTATTCGATCTCTTGGTCTGATGGCTCCGGAGGCTCGTCGTTGGCGAAGCTCGAGACGTAGGATGTCAGTGCCGAGAAGATGCCAGTATCCGCCGGACGCTCTGCGCGGTCAATTACTTGCGCAGGATTCTGGAGTGGTATCGGTGCTAGAGCAAGCGTCTTCTGAAAGGAGAGGAAGTATGGGGGTATCAGCGAGTTGACGAATAGATTCACCATGATGCGAATGAGCTAAGAGTGTTAGCGATATGCTGAAAAAGGGTTGACAGTCTTACATGTTGCCATCCATCTCTTATCGATGCCTCATTACCCTTAATGACCTGGAACAAAACCACCGTTGCCAGTTGCGCCCTGCCGTCACGGCCGAATCGCACAGCAGTCTCGCTGACCATGACGCTCTTTTTATCGGCTTGGACTTCCGTATTGAGTGAAGTGCTTGGTGGGACATCGGGAGCGAGTGTGCTGATGTATGACAAACACGAAATGATACGGTCGAGAGCATCAGTCAGTTCGTACTTGGCAGCAATCTGCGCGCACTGGTCGAAGCCCTGAACAACGCGTGAGAAGACAGCATCGTCAGTGGCGGACATGAAGACGTAAGACAATGTCGCGATGATTGGCTTCCATGTTGCAGCAAACATGTCCGCGTCGAAAATGTTGGTATCGCAGATGACGATATCCGAGGTCGACTGACACTTGACCAATAACTCCTTCCACGCGTGGTCATATGCATTTCGGTCACTATGCTCTTCCGGTAATATGATCTCCCGGTTCTTGATGGATTCATAGATTCCCTGCAAGAACTCAGGGTCAAAGTCCTTGCCGTCGTTGACGCCGCGGACGTTCTTTCGGAAGTCTTCAAACTGCATTCGCTTTTGCTTCATGTTGGGATTATGCTGATCAGTGTTCAACATGATGACAGCGTAGGTGAGGATGTAAATAGCATCGTGGTTGGCAATGCCTTCTGGCTTCGCCATTTTGAAATATTTCTCGGAGAACTCGGACAGAATTCGCTCGATCAAGGCTGATTCACCAGGGAGACGGAACGCGTGTAGGAGCTGTCGAAGAGCTTCATCAATTCGCTGTCCTGTGAAATCAAACAAATCGATGAAAGCACTCAATACCGCCTCGTTTCCTTTCTTGGATATAAACTCTCCCAGTACCTTCTTGTCAACTCTTGTAGTACCCTTGACGAACTCAGCGATACATTGAGGATCGTCAGGGTCTCGAATGATGCCTTGAGATGCAAGATAGGCGATGCCAGCCTTGGGCTTCTCATTAAACTTGGTTGCACCACGGATGATGACAGCCTTAAGTGCTCGCTGCTTGCGCAGCGACTCGGCACTAGGATAGCCTTCTGTTACCGGTTCATCGTCCAGGCGATCTGCCATCGACTGCACAAAACCGAGAAGAGCGTCCAGACATAGCGGAGGTACATTAACGGTGCTCCATGTCGCAGAGTCTGGAAAAGCGTTTCTTGAGAGGAGTCCAACTATGTCCATACAGACGTCCCCACGGTCAATTTCACAGTCATAGTTGACGAAGAGTTCAGCCATGTAGGAAGGAATCCGGACCAAGCCACCTAGGTTTTCTATCATGGCTTCTCGGGCATCTGGCTTTCGTGCACCTCCTTCTAGTCCTAGCTTCTGGCGATCTTTGACAGGTACTGGAGTTGAACGGCCACTAGAGCTGCTATTCTGCTGTGGTGGCTGCTTGATGAGGCTGGGCGCATGCGGGACACCTTCATATAATGAAGGCTCAATGCCGGGCTCGACTGGTATCTCCACCCGTGGAAAAAGACAAGCGACCAGGTATGAGAGGTAGAGCTCTTGCTGCAGCTTGAGGACGTTTCTGCATGTCGCCAGCAACGTACCTGCGACTCTCAAAGATTCGTTCAATATGGCCATGTTGTCTGACCTGACGAGCTGGAAAATGTGCCTGCACAAAGTGTCCTTGGCCAGATTCGCCAGACTGGGATGACTCGCTATCGACGGTCCAGCGACTTCGAGAGCGACGTCCACGATGCGCAACGCCATGACGCGCATCGTGTCAGTGTGTTGACGATCATGCGGATCCAATAGATCGACCAGAACTCTGAAAAGCTCTCTTATGGAAGGCAACGAATAAGGCTTGATCTCGAGGGGGGCTTGCGGCTGGCCATCCTCGGCCGTTGCTGGGAGATCTAGGGTACTGCTCGCTGGGTTTCCGGCACTGTCATTGTGCTCATGGCCTTTTTCTGGGTCAATTGGCTGCTGGAGGGCTTCAACCTTGTGCTGTGCAGAGTCTCCCTCGCCATTTGCTGTTGGATCCATTCTCAGGCCCTCTTGGTCGTCCTGTCCTTCCAGCTCCTCGTCCATGGCGTCAAGTTCATCTGGCGATTCGATCTCCAGCGTTTTCAGTCTCCGAAATATGACTTGACACATGGAGACCATGGCAATCTCCGCCGAGCGTCGCAGCAGCTCCGATAGTCTCGCTTGGCAGCACATGCTCAAGCCTGTCTCCATCATCTCGCACACACTTTCGTCGCCCAGTACTTCTCCGCCTCGACCTGATATCATGACCTCCATAAGCCTGAGTATGCGAAGGAGCACAATCTCGTCGGCGGCCGAATCGCTGGCCTCGAATCGGCAGTGGGTGATGGCAGAGGAGAGCTGTTGCATAGCTTCTGGTAGACGTGGAGAGTCATGGCCAATTATGCCGTACGACAGGAACTTGGTGATCGCAATGAGGGCAAGCGAGGTTATGGGCGCGGAGGTGGATGAAGATCGGATGACCTGCAGAAAGGGATGGAGCATAGAGGGGGTATCGAAGGTCCGGATATCTGGTGTCGCATTAGCTTGGCTTGTGTTCTGTCCGGATTGCCATCTTCACCTTTGCAGCCCTTCAGATCATTCCTCAGGCGCGCAAATGCAGACATGAGGGGGTTGTCCTGCATGCTCTTGCCCTTCTTCCCGCGTAGGCCCCATCTGCTCGGTACGGCTTCCTCTTGCTCTCCTGCGCTTATGATGCCTTGTCCTGTGCGGTCGCGTCGTTGGACGGCTGGCGTCTTGTTCGAGGAGCTGCCCAGTATAGCTGCGACTGAAGAGTGCGCCCAGCGGGCATGCTTTCGCATCGCCGACGTGACGGTAATGCATTCTGTGACCACCAGAGCTACTGGGTTGACTGCGACGGTAATGGGCCGTGGATCCAGGTCCACAATTGTCTCTTGAAGTGTGGACGCGACGTGGTCGTCGCCATCTGTGCTCGACATGGTGCTGAAGGATTCGGGGTATGGAAGTGTATGCGACAGGAATGTGGTGCGCGACAGGGTGTCTTCAAGGTGGAGGGCACATGGACAGCTATATGTCTAGTTCAGTCGACTTGAAAGATGACACGCATGCTTCCAATTGCTGCCGCCTAGTGATGAAGACAGAACCCAAATTTGCGAGATGCAGAAGAAGCGATTACCTCGAATATCTGTCCTCAAGTACTGCACGGCGGATAGAGACGTCGTTTGTACCATTCGAACATTTGGCGGCTTAGCTCTAGCGGAGTTTCGGAGGTGCTGAGGCCAGGGGTCCAGCCAGCGTCACACGTCCATGACGAAACACACGGCAGGCCATAGTCACGATCTTGGTAGGAATTCTGTAATGTTTCTCGATGTTGTTACACACAAACGCAATGCTCATCTACTGTCGAGCCTACAACGCCCCTGATGCAAAGCTGCTATCTAATGTATACATTCCTCCAAATAGTCTTCAAACGCCCTCCAAGCAGGAAAAGAAACGCTTCCAATGCCACCTTCGGAGACCGGCTCGGCGAAACGTTGCTGCCTCAAGTCTTTAGGCTCCAACACAAAGCACACAGTGGATCGAAAGAAGTAAAGGTCCAGATCTGCGCCCAGTCTGCCCAAGTCGTTACTGTCGTTGCTGTAGTGCTTCGTTCCACTATAGGGTTGCAAACAGGCGCGGACCTAGGTCTCACACCCTTGAAATTACTGGAATACTGCGACAACTATGATTGATCGCCCTCCTTCTTATCAGCTGGCTTCTCCTCCTTGGTGTCTGCCTTGGGCGGCTCCTCTTTTGCTGCCGCTTCTTGTTGCTTCTTCTTCTCAGCGGCCGCCTTTTCCTCGTTCTTTGCTTGCTGAACCATGTCTTGGACGGCTGCCTTCTCTTTCTCCCAGTCGCTCTTCTTTTCATCAAAATTGTCCTTGATCTTAGCCTCCTTGGCCTTCTTCGCTTCTTCCTCAGCCTCCTTGGCCTTGCGCTCCTTCTCCATTTCCTCCATGTGTCGGATGTCGTCGACACTGGGTTCGTAAAGATGCCAGATAGTGTAGTGGGGAAGACCGACCACGGAAAACTTCATGCGCTTGGCCATCTGCAATATGTTAGCGCTGCAGCAAGGTACGAACGTCGTAGCTTACCTTGCCGAATCCTTCTGTCTCAGCGTGCTTCTCAAAACTGAATGCAGGGAAGTGGACACCAGAGCGGAAAACCTTGGCTTTCGCAAGAATGCTAACACCACCAACACCATCAATTTCCATCTCCATGTCTGGGTCACCGTAGGGGTCGCGGAGGTAGGCCAAATGCGGGCGCCAAGTGGCGTACTCTGCGTAACCTTCTACAATGACTGCATCCTCGTCGAGAGTGTCGGCGAGGGCGAGGGCAGTCTCAGATTCTTGCCAGGAGTTCAGGTCGTATGGCTGTTCGCCGCCAAGCCAGTCCGGAAGTGGTCGCCAGACATCTGAGTGACAGGTCAGCAATTTATATTTTCGTCATGTATCATTGTACATACTTGGGACGATGACATCCTTGTTGTGTCGCATGAGATCTTCCAGAATAGTGAACGGAGCAGTCTCCACGTCCACATCTCTCCAGTATACCCAGCTGTGTGTTGGCCGCAGAGCAGCGCTTAGCAGCCAGTTTCGCGCTTGTGCCATTGACTTTCGGCGGCCAGCCTGTGCGGCGAAACCGTGTCGACTCTCAACATCTTGGTTAACCTTTTGTCCAAAATCCTTCTCCATGATCGAGATCTCGCCAAACTGCTGCTTGGGGTCGGGATTGGCCTGTAGCTCCTCCAACTTCTCCGTCAAGAGTGAGATGGTGTTATCCTTGGAATCTCCAACGAGGAAAGCCAAATCGATGAGGTTGTGGGGGTATGTGAGGTTCTGCAAATGGCCAAAGAACATGGGCAGATGCGGAGCCGCGTCTCGCAAAGGAGCGCACAACAGAATGCGCTCCTCCCTTTCCCATCCCCTCGCCGTTCCTTGCACGTTGTTCAAATCGTAGTATCGCACGGTCTCAAGCTGCGCATCGTCGTTCGAGGAGATCAAGCTGAGGGGTCCGGAACCCAGGTTTGGTCGCAGGTCAGGGAAGAAGAAGAATAGGGCGGTAAAGAACAGCGAACCGACAAGCAGCAAGCGCTGTATCAGTGTTCTCCGCCGCCTGAGCGCAGGCTGTGATCGCGGCTGGAATCTAGAGGTGCACTAGAGGTTAGCAACACGATTGTTTGAGTCGTAGTCGTAACGGAGACGCGGGTTGAGATGCTGCGCGATAGTTGCGCCATGGGTCGTAGGTGGTGAACGTACTTGTGAGGTTGGATGGAGAAGGTACCCCCTCCTTGCGAGGGATACGCCCCGTTGGAAAAGGCATGGCGGTGCATCTTCCCTTTCGACGATGAATGTAAAGGCAACATTCAGAGAGTTGGGCGCCAGATGTCAATTGCTCCCTTGGAGACCCCCGGTCACCGAAGACCCGCCAGATCACCAAGTCGTTGAACAAAGTACTGCCTCCCAGTCCTTGCTGCGTCCGAGTAAGATGAATTGCCGCTCCCGAGAGTAATTGCGACGTAGGATGATCCGATACAGGCGTTTAGATGGCGGATCGCGTGCGTTCGGGGGTGCTGCGCGTCTCTGGTAACCTCCGTTGTAGGGCTTGGCCAAGGATTTGTTCGCTAAGGCCACGGTGACGTCCAGACGGGGATGCTGATGGCTAAGTGGCGTCTGCAACGGATATGGCCGAATCAATCGACTCGACGCGCGAGGCTGACGAGATGCACGATGGTTGTCGTTCGAGTGCTGACACTTTGCAAGGTTCACGAGGTGTGAGGCTAAGCCAAGCCACGTAGTATGGCCGTTTCAGACTGGTATAGCAATGATGTGCAGGAGTAGCTATCTCCGCCCAAGCAGCGAATCGAATCAGTACCTCAACGGAAGTAAGTTTAGACATTCGTATTCTCCATATTGCATACGCGTTGTTCCACTACCAAAGGGACACCCAGTATAGACAGTACTTCAGCGGGTTGCAAACGACTGCACGTGCACAAGGTGTCATGACTGAAAAATTGGGTGAATATATTTAGAGATTCCTATCTACCATGATCTAAACAGAATGCGGACTACACGAATACATGTCCTTCGTAACAATCTGGGTGCTGTTAGCAATGTTCAAACAGCCATATCGTCATGTTTTAAACAGATGTTGCGCTCAGACAGCCGTGTTAAATCATCCCCCATCGCCTGGCCTCAGGTCGCAGCAGCCCAAGACGGATTGCTACGACTTTTGGCTCAAAGACCACAATCACGCGGCGTTGGACAAGCCAACAGTGCAACTCCACAACCCGTCATTCCAGCCGAGACTGGTAGGGTGCGGGAGGGTGACCCGGCGACAGATGTCGTTGAATGGATAGACTAGTTTTCCTCCTTGCGAACGGGTTGGGAGTCGGGGTGCTTACCACATGCAGGCATGCAGAGCGAGCGGCTGGGATGGGTATCTGGTTGCAATGTCAGCAGTGTTCTTCAACGATTGAAGTGAAGAGCTGAGAGTGCAGAGTTATATCAGACAAAGGTAAGCGGTATAAATTTTCTTCAAAGAGATTCAGTAGCAGAACTGAAATAATACGATCATCATATAAGGCATGTACAGAGAAAAAGATGAGGACTTACCATTGATCAGTATGTGCTTCGAGACGCTGCAGGTTAGCGACAGATGTGGTGTTGGGAGGCATGCTGGCGGCTACATCGTACGCCCATGTGCTCACACCTTGCGGCCGCCTCAACAATGAGATGCTTAGGCCGCTGAGGAGAGCAGTCCTCTCGCGCGATACGCTTCGATCCTGAGCTGTATCTAGACTGAGGTTAGCTACAGTCGCAAAGTCTTGTGCAAAAGCAGAAGCTTCAAGTGTGAGATCAGAGGGTGGTGCATGTGTTCATAGCTCATCTGAGATCGCAAGAACTTTTTCAAGGGTATCATCAATGAAAGGGAGAGGATTGGGTGGGAGTGTGTTAACGTACCTTGAGCGCGGGTGTGAGGTAAGGAAAGAAAGTTGAACCAGACGCGCAGGAAAATTGAACTTGAGGGTCCCGAAATCTTGGCGGGTCCGTGCTTAGTCATCCACTTTTCTGAACACCATGAAATCATCCGCAAGTACAGCGCGTTCAACACGACGCAGATACAAGCACGATGAACGCTGACAGAAGACGAAACAATGCGCCTAGTGGTGGAACTAGTGCGCCTGTGTTTGCGCGAACGATTAGAGAACCGCAGTATCTGGAGAAGTTGAGACCGACAAGGTCAAGAGGCGCGAATGAGCTTCGCAGGATCTGTAAGTGCCCAAACAGCTTCATAGTCTCTGTTTACGCGTACTCAGGGTATTTTGAGCTTCTCCGAGAGATTTGCGCACTTCCTGTCGTTTGGTATACCATCCTTGTACGTTCCATTTCTAAGCATTACAACAGTTCTCCAAACATCCATTATACCTTCCGCATCGGGCTCTGCCTACCTTGAGATACCTTCGTCCTCCCCTACGACCAAATCGACACTCATCCCACCGACTTCGTCACTCAAGATCACTGCTTCTATCCAAGGCCCAAAGCCTCTCCCCCGCAGCGCGCCATTCAGTCCATCGCTCCTTCTCACGACCACGGTCAAGTTCGCCCCGTTCGCAACACGTCAAAGACGAGGCTATATTCGGGATTCGGCAGAGCGCGATTTGGGTGTTCACCTGGAGACTGCACTACGGGGTGTCATCATCGGAGAGAGATGGCCTAAGAGCGGAGTCGAAGTAGTGGTCACCATCCTGGAAGGTGACGAGGACGGCTGGTGGGGTGACTCCGCCAGTGAAGGAAACGCAACTGGAAGCGGATGGGGTCTCTTGAATGTGTTGGCAGGGTGCATAACAGTCGCGAGCGCGGCCATAACAGACGCCGGCATAGATTGCGTGGATGTAGTGTGTGGAGGTGTCGCCGCAATAACACGGAACCCCAGCTCCACACAACAGCAAGAGCTGGCTAGGATACTCGACCCCTGTCCAGCAGAGCACAGGGAAGTTGTCGCTGCATGTGTAGTCGGCTACCTGGCTTCAAGAGACGAGATCACAGAGATATGGATGAAGGGAGATGTGGGCTCCGATCCTGATGCTTTGATTGAGGGAGCCACTCACGCGGCTGTGGGCAGTCTCGCGGTGGTCAAAGAGGTCTTGCTAGAAGCGCTCCAAACCAAATTTCAAGGCCAGATCGAGGAAAGTGAGAGCGGGCTGAAGAGAAAGACACGGGATGTGGACATGACAGGATGAGCGGCAGCGCGAGAGAGCCGGCTATAACGCTTTCAGCGTCGTAGGCTCAATCCTAAAAGTCAGATAACCGTCAAGCCACTTGCACCCAACGGCCGACAGGATATCGTCTTCGGCTGATCCTAGCTATTGCTGGTCGAGTAGGCTCCTGGACGTATCCGGAACATGATCTTGCTCACATGGCGTTCTCAAAATGCATACCTTCGGCTTCCACAACCGCCGGGGCACGACAAGCTCAGGCATGTGGATCTTGGAACCAAATATGCGGCTAAGAGGACCCGCATGTGTCCACCTGTAGGACTAAATAGACGTTGAGCCCGAGTGCAGAGATTATCTCTGCCAACGACATTCACAGAACCAATGTTCGCATCCTTCCATGAATGAGTCTGCGTTGATTATGAGGCCTGACGCTGAACGGCGAGAGATGATGTGTGATTGATCTGCCAGCATTCTTGTAGCGAGCTGTCCTCGAGTATTATGCGCGCCACGTTTATCTGTCCCGCATGTGCAGTAAACATTGCCAAGATGCATATCGGAGTTTAGATGCGATGATTGGCGCGCAAATGCAGAAAGTGGCTGGGGTGCAGCAATCCCTGCCATCTGTTTGGAGAATGGCGTCATGATCCTACTCCAAAAGTCGAACACGGCTCGCAAATGGGACATGTTCCTGTTACTTTGGGCAAGAACCTTGGAACAAGAAGAGACAAGCTCATCGGTAAAGCCAGGACATGTTCATGGCCCACTCGGAGCACGCTAGATTAGACGCCTTCAGAGCTTTCTGCGCGGGTCGCGTTGGCAATGGCAGCGGCGCACGTCTTGAGGTCATCCCGTTCCTGCTATCGTGGAAGTAATCACTACCGAGATAGGCTGAAGCAGTAAGCACACCTTCCCAAAGCATCACGTCCAACAGTCACTGCCTGCTTGCAATTGACAGGAAGCAGACATGTCTCTGCTTCCTGGCTCCCTGTCCCTCTCTTCCTCTGCGCCCACTTTTGTCACTTTTGGCCCTATCTTTCCCCAGCGGTCTAGCTGTATGCATGTCGTTCGTTTTTCACGCTCGAATCACAGTACAGCAGCCGGCAAGCGATCCGTCTTAGCTGCTCCTCCGCGGCCAAGGTCCACTGCAACTAGTCTTGGTGCATAACATTGCGATACCAACACGAGCAGATAACCGAAGGATTATAAGGCTTGCCAGCAGTCGCTGCAATCGCCCGAAGATTCCCAGGTCTCTCGTTTTACGGTCGTTGTCGTAACAGTCGTTTGTTGAAATGCCTTCTGTACGTCTCATGTCTCTCGAGCATAAAACCCATGTTCCCTGCACCTGGAACAACGCTAAAGTCATCTTTCTAGTTCACTCGCGCGGTCGCGCTGCTCCCCGCGCTCTTTTCAACGATTGCGTATGCCGTCCATCCAGTGGAAGTCCGCGGACAGGACTTTGTCGACACCGTCACGAACAAGCGATTGATGATTGTTGGTGTTGACTACCAACCTGGAGGTCAAGGAGCGTACCAGCCCTCGAACAGCGAGGACGCTCTCACAAATGCCGATGTCTGTCTGCGAGATGCTACCCTTATGCAGAAGCTGGGTGTGAACACGATCCGTGTCTACAATCTCGACCCTTCGCTTGACCACTCAAAATGCGCCTCAATCTTCAATGCCGCCGGCATCTACATGATTCTTGATGTCAACTCGCCCTTGCCAGGAGAGAGCATCAACCGCGAGGCACCATGGACTTCCTACAACAGCGATTACCTTACCCGTGCGTTTGGTATCGTCGAGAACTTCAAGGGCTTCCCTAACACCTTGGGTTTCTTCTCTGCAAACGAGGTCATGAACGACCTCTCCACTGCGGAGTTTAACCCACAGTACATCCGGGTACGTTTGGACGACTAGCTACCTTCACCAGTCTTCCAGGCTAACGAGAATACAGGCTGTTCAGCGTGACATGAAGAACTACATCAAGAACCACGCCGACCGCACCATCCCAGTCGGCTACTCTGCTGCAGACGTCCGCGAGATCCTGCAAGACACCTGGGCGTACATGCAGTGTGTACACGACGAGGATGCATCGTCCTCTGACTTCTTTGGTCTCAACTCCTACAGCTGGTGCAATGGCGACAACTACCAGACTTCCGGCTACGATAGCTTGGTCGCCATGTTCAACAGTTCTGCCATTCCTGTCTTCTACAGTGAATATGGCTGCAATCGTGTTACTCCCCGTGACTTCGACGAGGTTCAAGCACTTTACGGAGACCAGATGCGAGCACTCTCTGGCGGCCTCGTATACGAGTACTCCCAAGAGGAAGCGAACTACGGTCTAGTCGATATTGACCAAGACGGCTCCGTCAAGCTTCTCAAGGACTATGACAACCTCCAAAACCAATTCAACCAGCTTAACGTCAGCTCTCTTGAGCAAGCCAATCCTCAGTCCACCGAGATCCAAGCCCCCGAGTGCGACGCGAGCCTCATATCCGCGCAAGATTTTAGCAAAAACTTCACGATCCCGGCCGTCTGCCCTGGGTGCCAGGACCTCATTGACAATGGTATCGAGAACCCACAGAAGGGCGCACTGGTGGACATTGGCGACCGAAACGTCAAGCAGGCTGTCTACGGCAGCAACGGTCAGCAAATCAATGATTTGTCGCTCAATGTTGTATCGGACGATGGGTCTAACACACCTGGCGGCGAGAACACGAGCCCTAGTGGCACTCCAAGCTCCAGCGGCGGCAACCCGAGCCAAACCGGGGACGCTGCACAGCCCTCGGAGACGAAAGGAGCCGCCTCGCAAATTGGTTCCAGCTGTACCGCAGCTCTGATCGCTGTTTTCGTATGTGCACTATTTTTGTAGTGTCCACACATGTGTATGGTCGGGCTAGATGCGCTCGAATTTGGAGTTTGCGACGGATGTGGAGTGGAAGAAGTCTTAAAGATCCACTTCCATTCTGGGAGTTATTATTTGCGATTTTATGAAGTACGAGTTTGAATGACTGGAGGAACTAATGACGCTGTTATTCTTGTACAAAGTTAGGATGAATATACCCTTTATACACTGCCAACTGCGAAGGTCTCCTCCAGCTGTGCTTCGCAATACGTGCCCTGGTGGTGTTGGCTGGTTCGCGTTCATCAATTCAAACGCGGAATGTGGTGTTATCTTTGATCTAAGTTTTGATCAGAATCGTTTTGGATGTCCACACGCTGCTTGCAAGAAGTATGACTGCTGGCTCAAAGTTTTCAAACATTCTTGATGCCTTTTTTCAATGAGTAGGTACCGTGCAGCTGCCACAGAGAAGAGGGCATGCAGAGCCACTGGTCATGCAACCTATATGAGGCTGTAATGCTCAGCAGTCGTCTCAACCAATCACATGTTCGCCCCAATGGTTTAAATACTCAGACCTATAGCTTCCTTCATCCGCTCTGCCTTCGCCTTCAATACTGATTCATCCTGCTCGCCCTCACCCTCTCCCTCGTACACGCAATCACAACCATACCTCTTCCGGAACTCATACGGTGGAAGCCCATCCAACTTCTCCAATGCTGTATGGCTCGCCCTGACACGTGCATATCGCCCGCTCTGGCCCAAGGTATGGAAGACGACCTTCCCGTGGATCATGATCATAGCAGCGATGGCCTTGCCTTTACCAGGGATGAGCGTGTCCGTCTCCATGGCGGCCATGCGCCACTCGCTGCAGCCAAAGGCGATGGAAAGGAGGCGACTGAGACGCGTGGTTGGATGGTTGGAAGCGAAGTTCTCATAGGTCCCGAGCGTCATGTCCTCGAAGAAGGGCTTGAGATGCATGTCGAAGAAATCCTGTACGACGCTGAAGTCAAACTCCGCATCTACGAAGATGGCTGCAGTATATGCCTCGATTACATCAGCCAGACACTTGGGTGGTTCGCTGATGGTTACCCAATAGTCGACAGCACCACCTGCTTCCCTCTCTGCTTCCTCGGCCTCCAAGACGTACTGGCGGATCTGGGAGCTCAGGATAGCAGTATTCTGTTTGATATGAACATGCCAGCCCAGCTTGACACACACGGCGCCTAAGAACTTGTTGGACACCATGGGCGTCTTGTGCTCAGTGAGCCACTGGGGGTCCTTGTCCGGATATTTGTAGTAGAGATGCATGATGAAAGCCATGTCGAGGAGAGAGTCACCTAGAGGGTGAGAAAGGAGTCAGTGTGTGTGAACATGCGGTTCGTGAAGGGGACATTACCTAGGAATTCCAGACGCTGATAGTTTGGTATGTTCTCATACATGTATGGGTACGATGGATGAGCGAAGGCCGATCGGAGTAAGCGAGGATACTTGAAGTGGTACGGGTGCTTCAGTTCAATCTTGCGAGCAGTTTCGAGCATTGCCGCGGTGGCGTCCGCGATCTGATACTTTGGCTTCTGGTACGCGTCATAGTAGTCCGACCACTTTGACATCAGATGATCCCGACTGTTGGCAAACAGCTTGACAGCTTTGACGGCTTCATCCCAGTCCCTGGGGTTCCACCGTCCGGCCTTGTGATGCTGTTGGAAAGCAGCACCAATAAAGGCCTCACAAACATCCGCTATACTCTTATCCCCGAGATTGTGCGTGAGTTTGAGCCAGTCGTCTTCGGTCTTGTTCAGTCCTTTACCCTTGAGAAGTTTGAGCCCTTCAGGATACCATGTGCGCCTACACGAGTTAGTCCTTTGAGGGGGGCTTGATGAGAGCTTTGTACATACCGTGAGAAAGAGTCGGTGCGAATGTACCCGTAAAGCTGGATGTCCAGCTCAGTTCCGTCTGCAGAAATTACTTTCTTCTTACCCACTGCAGTCTCCATCAGATTCTTGTTGCAAAGCATTTCCATACGGCGGACGTGAAATTCAAACTCGTTCTCGTCTGGCTGCTGTACAAATACCGAGAGGGACGTAGCCATCTTGAGGAAACAATCTCCTAGAAATTCGAGACTGTGTTATGTCAGTGGGTAGCTCCATGTGCGAGTCCAACACTAACCGCTCATAGTTCGGGCCCATCCCGCTCTTGAAGTTGATCTTTTCCTCGCCATGCTCTTCGGAATTGTCAGAGTCTTTGGTCAGGGCTTCCAAGGCAAGCGCTGGGCTGATATCGAGATCCAGAGTTTTGCAGGCGTCTAAAGCAATGAGGTAGCTCTCGAATCGATGAATGATAGCTGGTAGGACGTAGCACACGACTACGAATGGTGTTGCGAGCTACTTCGTCAGTAACTTGCTGTATACATGCTGAATCGCTGGATGCTTACATTAGAGACATGTAGGGGCTCGGGACAAATGTATGTCTTGAGGTCGTCGAGCTCGCCTTTCTCTTTCTCTTCGACACGTGCGAGGTGATTGCGACGGAAAGGGATCTTTTCGACCTCAAGAACAGGCTGTGATTGGTTCCACCTTGAGATATCCCTACTCTTTGCCCATTTGCTGTCACTATAGTCCAAGATGCTGTCCATGAATTTGTGCCCGCTACGAGGTAGACGTTTGGGAACCGGATCTTGTGGCTTGAGCTGTGTGGCGAGGTGGTTTGAGTAGTAGCGTCGGCCTCCATTCATAGGGTCCACGAAGTACCGGTCTAATAGGTCCTTAGAAATAGTCTTTGGTGTCCATCTCCACATAGGCTCGTTGTAGACTCTGTGAACTTGTTCCATATCCAGAATCTGATCGAGGGCGGTAACGGATAGCGGAGAAGACATCTTGCCAGGTAGTATCGGCACAACCCAATAGGACATCTTCTTAGCATCATTCTCATATTTCTTGTTGTAGACGTCCTCATATATGCGCAAAGTAAAACCAGTGAGGATGTCTATCGTCTCTGCTGACACATATAGCGGAGTTTGAGAGGACTGGGAGATGACATTAGAGGGCCTGCAATCAGTAAGATAGATGGGGAAATTTGGCATTTGCGGGAGGGGATTGCGAGTGAGGAGCCCCATGGGTTGATGAGGTCGATCCAAACCCGCATCAAGGTCGATGAGGGTGAGATAAAGACACGTAGGGGCAACGCCACGTCCGATCTTCCAGAACTCTGGCTTGATCAACATGGAGTACATGCCTTTCTTCTTCTCACTGAGTGCCAGCAATGCATTTGTTCCGGCTGGTAAGCTCTTATGGGTCGTAGGGAGTAGATTTTCACTGAGATAGCCTTTGTTGTACAACTTGAGACATGCCTTGAATGCGGCGGAGCACTTTGCAGTTGCTTTCTTGCTCTGGATGTCACCAGTGACTGAAATCACAGGTGAGTGCTCCGGTAGCATTACCTCGCAAACAAAACCTCTCCGCTGCGGATCCAGGGCATCGTAATTAACTTCAGGACTGACAACGTAGGTGGGTTGAAGCATTGTTTGTCTGTCAGGTCCAGGCAGCGTAGCTACGAAGTGATTGAGAACAGATAAGCTTGAGCGGTAAGTGAGCTTTGCACTAGCCTTTGTGACAAAACTTGGGTACATCTTGTCTTCGAACGATAGCAAGTCAACGTCATTTCCGCCGATTTGACGATCCTGGGGAAGAGCTTTGCAATACCTTCGCATTGTGTCTTCGTCGCTCTTGACATCAAGGACCCGGCTTTGATGATCTTCGTTGCCAGCCTCGACCATATGGAGGTACCTGGAATTACGATGCCTTGCCCGACCGCGAGACTGCACGTATGCTATCATGGTGCGGTAGAGATCGAACCGTACCACAAGGTTGCATTGTGGAATATCGAGTCCCTCCTCTGCTACGGATGTGGCAAACAGGCAGTTCAGTTCACCGCGACGAAATTTGGCGACTGTCAGAATCTGGTTCCGTAAGGAGATATTGTGCTCGCCTACACGATTATTGACCCCGACAAGAACGCTGCAACGGAGGTTTGGTCCGCCGATCTGGGAGAAGATGAGCTCAAGCAGGCGAGCGGTCTGTCGCTGCGTGACGAAGACGATGCAACGAGCTCCATCATCGCGCTCATAGTAAAGATTGAGCCAATGACGAAGCTTAAGAACCTTTGAACTCAGATCTTCGTCGCTAAGGGCGCACGAACCGAAGTCGAACTGTTGTACAAATGTGGCCGCCTCCTGTAAGCGTTTGGACTGAGCGTCCCACTCCTGCGCGGCTCCATCTTGCTTAATCTTGTTGTGCTTAAGGTGCTCACGATCCTCGAGCTTGCGACTCTGCTCATCAGTGAAAGCGAAAGACCAATACATGTCGGAAGCCCAACGACCTAGTTCGGAGCCGTGGTGCTTGGATGCGATGAACAATTTCTTGAACGCCGATATATCTCCAAACTTGGCTTTTATCTTTTGATGGAGGGGCGTCTCACACTCGTCCTGCAGCCGTTCATATACCGCTATCTCCTCGATGGGTCTGCTGATACTGTTCGAAGCGAGAACACTCTCAGACGTAGTGACTATCTTGGAATGGAGTAGTTTCTCAAGGTCATTCGCGACGTTTCTGATGTGATCGATCGATAACCCTCGTGTATCGATCGGAGAAGCTGTCATCCCAAAGATACGAGGCCGATTAGAAAGCTTCGGTTCATGAACGTAGTAGTCCTTCATCAGACGGGCGTAGGGGTGGTTGCCTTTTGCATGATGGGCCTCGTCAAAGATGAGGAGATTGATCTGGGCCATGGTGATGAAGGAGTGCATCATACACTGCACGAGAACCTCGGCGGTACATACTATCACCATGTTACTCTGAAAGTGACTCTCCCAGGTCGATTTCGACCATAGCGATGCACCCATAGCGCCACATATACCCTCTACACTCTGGTCTAGACCGCACCGCAAGACATTTGCTTGTTGGAAGACGAGGTTGACTGAGTCTACCAGAAAGAACGCAATCTTGGGGATGCCGCCTGCAGCCCGATATTCAAGCTCGCCATCTAGGACATGTCGCAGGAGTAGAGTTGCGATGTGGGTCTTGCCGGAGCCCGTGTCCAGCACTGCTATCACGTTCTCGCTCTTGGCTCTCTGGAACAGTTCGGTTTGGTAGTCGCGTGGGTTCGTGATGCGAGCGGTGCCATCTTGTTTTGCCAGGATATCGCGGATCGAAAGCTGCTCTTCGTTGGCAGTCTTTGCGGCAGCATCGTCGACTTCCTTCTGCGTTAAGCGCGAACTGATGTTAGCAGCAAAGGCTCTCAAGATCTCGTTCTGCGCTCTGCGCCTCTCTGATGTTGTGTTTGGGCCATGCGCATGCGCAATGTCAGCGTCTACATCAGAGTCTTCATCCTTATCTTGACGCCTTGCCTCGTTGGATTTATTGTCTTCGTCTTCAGAATCGGAAGACGCCAATGTCTCCTCGAACGAGAAGTAGTCTTCTTGTTGCTCTTCGATTGTCACCCACGATTGGCTTGTGGCATCCACCATACTGTCGGTTGCCAAAGGGTTAATTGAAGCTTATCACGAGATTCAGAGGGTGAGAGAGAGGAGATACTCTCATGGACACAGTTAACGGTCGAGGACAAGGGCGCTGCCAGTATTTGCGCAGTCTGTTGCGCGTCCGTGAGCAAGCAAACGATGCACGTAACCGACAACGGGTGCTCAGACAAATTCGCTCGTCCTGCCCCTATCAGGCAGTCGTGACCGTTTGAACATGCCGGGAGAACTTGGCATTAGAAATGTCTGTCACCATGAAGCCGCCGCTTTCAGGAGTGCGCGGTGTACCCGCGGCGATAGCGGGGTACGCGGTTTGGGAAGGGTCGATGCTGACTCATCAACACCAACTCACGCTCTCACGTGTCTCCCCACTACCATTTCCTCAACATCGTCACGATCCTCAGTCAGAACCTCTGCACAATGTCGAACGAACCGCAAAGTCTCCGGGGACTATTCTTAAAGGCGGAGAGGGCGCGCGAAGAGCTTTCTTCTTCTTACGAAGCCAACAGTCCCACCTACCAGGAAAACCTCGGCGCGACCATCGCCACCTACGAAGAATGCCTAAAGATATCGGAGCAGGTGTCGCTGTTCAGCCCGAACGAGACTCTAGAAGACATATCGTCGTCTGATCTACAGTGCGTGTTCCGACCCACCCCACGATCCCGTGCGCATGGCCCTCGCTTACCCATTTAGATACATGGCGATAAACTATCACATGGCAGAACTCATACAAAAGATCTTCAACACTGATATATCATTTCGAAAACAAAACCTGCTACGAGCGCGGGGGCACTATGAGCGATTCCTCAAGCTCCTAGATTCCTATGATGTGCTTGGCAAGGCGGACGCGAAGCTCTTCGAAGCCTACACGGAAGACAAGGGCAACTTCTCCACCGCTAACACGCGGGATGCCGCAGCGAGACGGGACGCAAAGATTTCCCGATTCAGAGAGGAGAAGAAGCTGAAGCGGAAACTCGAGGTACGTTGTCACGCTAACGTTGCTTTTACGGGTCAAATCTGGAGCTAAGACATGCGACAACAGTACCTGCGACAAAATCCCAAACTTGCCGAACAGGATGAGCAAGTGGTACGAGAGTTGCATCTGACCAACCTGGCGTTCATGGTGCATCAGACGTTTGCTTCGCTGGAGTCGATGGCCCAAGAATTGCACATCATCTCGCTGGCTCCACCCACGCCCCCACAGGGACAGGCACAGCAAGCGCCTGACAGCCGACAGGACGGTAGAGATAAAGACGGTTATTCTGAGCGCCTGGATGGTCAGTATGCTGGGCTGCGGTACTCCGGGCCTATCTTGAGCGGTGACGGCAAACCCATGCGGCCTTTTACGCTGTTGGACAGCCGCCAAACCCTGAAGAAGAACGTCTTCCGTCCGGACCACAGTCTACCGACAATGACAATAGACGAATACTTAGAAGAAGAGAAGCGCCGAGGTGGCATGATAGAGGGTGGAGGCCCCCAGTCCGAGATGCAGCCTGAGCCAAATGAGGACGATCTTGTTGCAGCAGACGAAGAGACGATGAAGCAGCGAGCATGGGATGAGTATGTAGAGGCGAATCCCAAAGGTTCAGGAAACACTTTGAACAGGGGTTGAGCGTGGTTTAAGCGGATCAGATACCCAGTAGAACGAATGCATGATTGCATACAGGTTTACAGCGCCTCGGGTGCTAGCTCTGGCCACTTTGCAGTCACTAACTCCAACAATGCGTTATTCAGTACTCTGTATCCCTTGATATCAAGATGCAGCCCATCTGTAAACCACCCTGTTGGGAACGACTGGGCGCCTAACAGACCGCATCCTGGTGGTACCTGCTCATCGTACTGCCATCCCTCTTCTGTGACGACTGCATGCACAAGGTCTTGCCAGAAATTGAGCCCAACGACCCTCCCCGTCTTTTCGTACTCTTTCGCAATTTGCATGATACCATCTGCATACCTCCTTTTGCTCATGTACGTCTTGTACCTTGGGCCTTCCTTTCTCCATTGGTTGATGTCCTCAATTTCCCTTGCAGACTTGTTCTCTCCAGTCTCGACCACAGATCCGTTAATGGGAGGAGGGGTGATCAGCAAAATCTTCGTATTTTCCATAGCATCCTCACTAAGGATGGTGTCGAGGAAGCCTCGAATGTTTGCTGAAAAGATGGGCCAAGGCACATACTCCGTCTCCCCAACCATGGCGGCGTCGTTTGCGCCGATGAAGATTGTGAACAGGAGGGTTGGTGCCGCGCCTGGGGACGTTGCGCGGTGGATTATACGAGTGAAGTCATCCTTGAGATGGGTCGATGTATAACTACAGAATTTGTCAATATATAGGCCATGAACGCAAACTAAGCTGCGTACCCTGCTTTGCCTGTTGTCAGTCAGCATACGATCTAAAGCTCATCTATACTTCGCTACAAACACCAACGGAACTGTGCATAATACCTTCATTCACCACCATCGTCTTGCCCCCATACTTTTTTTTCTAAAAACCACCCAAGACCCTGTGTCTGTTCTCTGAAACTCCACTCTGTCATAGAAGCGCCGTACAAGACGATCTCGGGCAACATATCAGACATGGCCATTTAGGTGATGCTTGTCGGTCGGCACGAAGATGACGAATAGTAGACGCAATGTCTAAGTAGGATTTGAAAAGTATCGTAGAGAATTTGCTGAGACCTACCTTCGTTGACGATCCGTACTTTGTCTTGATACTGTTGCCTAAGAAAAAGCCCGAAGCCTTGCGTTTCTTCGCTGAAGCTCCATTCGGTGAGCGAATCACCAAAAAGCACAAATTCTCGCATCTCAACAGACGAGATGGTGTGACGTCGAACTGCGTGTCTGGTTTCCCAATCTCCCTTGTCGGCGTTACAATTTGTCGTCCCAAGGCTCTCTGAATAGCTCGAGTACGGAAGGAGCCCAATGCGTCGCCCAATGAGGCGTAGTCGGCACGCTAATGCATGAAGCACGTGTTGCTACAACACCTGGCTGGCATGGCGAGGCACCTGCTCGCATGGCACCTTTCGTCTTCTGTTTGCACACGAAGCATGCGTAGAACTAGCTCAGGGATGCCGAGTTGTGCTCTCGCAACTCCAGGGGCAATTGCGGATCTTCGCCACTGCCGTAGCGGTCACAATGACATCACATATCCGTCTTGCAACAACCGAGCTTCTGACACTTGTCAAACTTTGTAGGCGTTGATTGTTCAATTCTCAAGCCTATTTACCTGTGGATTCCTCTCAAGATATTCTCAGCAATAACATCAGGTCGTAAAGCGTCAACATACCCACCATGTCGTCAATCAGCCTTCGTCTGCGCGCCTTCCAACGCCCAATCACATCCCAATTGCGCGCTTTCACTACCACACCCAGCCACGCAAAGTTGATGGACACGCCGAATCCTGCTTCCAACCTTCCGGACCCATCTGAAAACTCCTCTGCCGCACCAAACGCGAAGATGCGTTCGGACACGCAAAACACGGATCACCAGTCTAGTGCCTCTAAAGATGAGAACAAGAGCGGAGACGATCATCCGGCCAAGCAACCAGACCATCAGGCGCAGCCCACTCGGACGACAGGAATTGGAGGCGCGACGAAGGTGCAAGGAGGGAAAGAGGGGCTAGGTGAGAGAGGAGACAAACAGTAGGCCGATAGGGTGAAAGAAGGATGTTGTGTTGATGGAATAGCACAGGTTGGATGATCGTACTCAACCTAGTAGGCATATTCAATTGACACGATTGTTACCGTGTGCTGATCAAATCACATCAATCTAAAAATGAAGCGACTTGGGATGATGTCTTGATGATCGATGGAGTTCGTATTCACCACCGTTCAGAGTTGTTCTGGATAATACCCCTCGCTCAATTGTTGAGTTATGTGCGCCCTTACGACCCGCCTTGCATTTGGCGCGTAGAAACACCCCATCATGGTCTGATGGCCTTCTTGCGGACTTGCTGGACCCTATTATTACAGCGGACCGTAGTGGATGAGGACGGCGAGGCGGGAGAGTACCGAGGTACCAAGAGGCGTCAACGTTAGTACCAAATCTGATTGGGTTGATCTGCCTTCTTCATCCACGTCGCGGCCCGTCGCGTAACACATCATGCAACGACGCGTTTTTTTAGAACAAAAGGCTAGCAAGACGGCTCATTGATCGCGGTCTAACCATGCCGATGATGCCTTACCAACGTACACGGTCCTCTAAGCGTCTCCACAGCTGGTGGCCCGAATTGCACGTGGCGTTGCGGAGATGCACGGAATGGTCCTTGCAATCTTTTCGCATTCGTTGCAATCAGCGAATTCGTCCTTGAACAATTAGGGAACAGGTGAATTGTTGGTAGGCCAATGATCGCTGAACCAGCGCGAAGAGCGGGACAGGCCTCGCGCAATATTCATGGAGGGCTGTTCGGATAAAGTGGAAAGCCAGCGGGACCACGATGCTACCGTCTGAACGAACATCCCTGCTGGCAGGCCTAGTTTTCATTTCGTGCCGCCACTGTTCTGAACGGCGAGGCTGCCACGGGCTGTGTAGTCGGTGGCCTTACGCAAACGCATGTTTCGAGGCACACTACGAAATACGACATCGAGGCTATAAAGTAGACTGGCACAACCACCTAGCCCACCGTCAACCACATCACTGATTTGGTACTTGTAGGAGAATCTGAAGCTCCAAGATGCGGTTTGATTCTACATTCGCCGCCGGCCTTATGGCTAGCGCTGTTGCTGGTCGGGCTACACCACGTTCTGTCGTCGACAGGCCGATGTAAGTCACCTGGTATTGGACGTTTACGTATGCTGATCTTTGCGCAGAGTGGCACACTACATGGTGGGTGGCCTTCAAAATAACGATGTCCGCCAGGATATTCTCGACGCAAAGAATATTGGTTTGGATGGCTTTGCGCTCAACTTTGGTACAGACTTTTATGAATGCAAGCTCAACGCCTTCCTAACAAAATCCAGACCAATTCGAGTGGTGGTCCAATGACACCGTAACTTACATGTTCAATAATGCCGACGACATTGGCGGCTTCAGTCTATTCTTTTCTTTTGACCATGGTCATGGCGTTTTGAAAAGTCCCATGGATTACGCCGATTACTTCAAGGGTTACAGCACTCGTTCTTCTTATCTCAAGATGCGAGACCCGTCTGATAATACCGACAAGCCTCTCCTGTCTACCTTCGGCGGTGAGGACTTTACAGATGACGACTGGAACAAGTTCAAGGGCAAAGTTGGCAACGTGCTAGTCGTGCCCGGCTTCTCTGAGATCTACAATCCCAGCACCAGTTTCTTCAACAGCCGCACTGCTCTCGATGGCGTATTCAACTGGAATTCATGGCCTGCAACACAAGATGGAAAAGTCACCGTATCTGCTGCGACAGACCGTACTTTCCAGACCGCCGCCGATAAAGCGAACAAGCTGTTCATGATGGGTATTTCGCCAGTACAATACAAGCACCTCAGCAACAAGGACAACTGGTACCGTCGTGGCGAAGATAACCTTGAGAACAGGTTTGGTCAGATACTCGATTTGCAACCAGACATGGTACAGCTCCAGACCTGGAACGATGCCGGTGAGGGTCACTACATGGGAAAGCTTCACTCAGATCCGTTGGACAACCGGACGAAGCTTCTCACGGATGACTACGACCATACAGGCTACTGGCAGATTCTCCAACCCTTCATCGCCGCATGGAAGAGGGGCGACCGCACAACAGCGAACATGCGTCCCAGTAATGGAAAGGCCGTTCAGGGCACTTTCTGGCACCATACGCTTACAGTCGGCGGTACCTGCTATGACGACGACGTAGCCAAGTCGGGAGACATTGCGAAGGCCGCCGAGGATGCTGTGTCCGGCGTCGTGCTCGTCCCCGGAGGCAAGACGAACCTCGTCGCGGTTGTCAATGTCGGCACCAAGGAGCTGAACAAGACGAATCTCCGCCCTGGCTTCAACAAGTTCAAGTTCACCGGGCTCGAGAAGCTGATTCCAGGAAAAGTGCAGTTGGAGGTTTGGGACGAGAGTACCATGGTAGGCGGTGGATATGGAAGTATTGAGGTTACGGACTCGAAGCCGCTGTGCAACTACCAGTTTGAGGTTGTTGGTGTACCTTCGTAGACTCTTTTTGTCTAGGGGGAATGGGTTGTATAACGAACGTATCACTTGTCTTCACACCGCCAAATTCCGGATAGCATTCATACAAAGCACCTAGCACGGTATGGTGCTGGCACGATGACCAGGTTGTATATCAAACGTAGCGTAAATAGACATGTAAATAGAGATATTGGATCTTCCACGAATCAAATCCACTGGACTTGCTAGCCATACCCGCAGACTTCTCCGGTCAATATGACAATTGTACTCTTGGAGCCCCAATTTCAGCGCATCTCCACAACAGCATTGAAGCAAAGCACTAGGACTTCCAAGGGACACACATGGGCTTGTGGATGACCTCACCAAGGAGCAACAAGCTGTTCTGGTGGCTCCACCGCACGTGATATCCCACGATGGACATGACTTCTTTGGACCTACTCACCACAATGTTGACGCACTGGTCGTCGCTCATAAAATCCAAGGGCTCTTGCTTTCTTAGTGGGTAGCGGGGAAATGCTCGAAGACAACATCGCGCTCGTGGCCTAATGTTGTGGGTAAAAGTCGGTGAGCGTGTCTCATGTGCAGTTTGTACAGGGACACTTCTTACCCTGGACAGAACCAATTGTGCATACCCTGATGCTGAGTCCCGCTGTCTCCACACGCTTGCGCATCTCCCGCTTGTCGAAAGAATACAAGATGATGATGACGATCTTGTCATGGCTTAGCTGATACTTCTGTTCTAATAACTGCTTTGCCATCTGAACAATGATTTGAAGGCCTTGGTCGTTCTTCCAGGTCGATGGCTGGATTGTGCCGAAACATAGCGCTATCATACACAGAGCTTGCAACCCTGGAGCTGGTGGTGATTCGCTCACCAGGCCAGGGATTATCGCCGGCTGTCATCCTGCCTTTGTGGGTCATGTCAGAGCAGATGGATCTTCTACTCTCTAACAGCGCAATTTCTGTGTGTATCAGATGCTCGGTTGTAATGTATATGTCTAGGTCATGTAGTTTTGCAAATCACAACTAGATTGGTGCTATCGTAGGGCGAGACACCCAGGGACGATCACGTTTGCATCCAGCATACGGGGCTACTTTTGAGCCGATCGGAAGAGGAACCGACGGGGCAGATTCGCTGATCTTGATAGAGAAGGTGTGATGGAAATTGTAATAAAAAGTCGGAATGGGGCGGATGAGGGAGATGGTTGCGATAAGAGGGAGGTACGGGGCAGAGCTGCACATGGCGGCATGGGTCCGAGGTTACCGTGTTCTCGGTATCGGTAATTGGCGATAGTATGGGCAGAGGAGGTCCGCTTCGGCGCATCCCGCGCAACTCGACGGCCTTGGAAAGGTTTATTCTAGCGTGCTTTTAGATAGAGAAAGATCGGCTGTTGCTAATCTAGTGAGCAAAGAAAACACAGTTGCTTTGTGCATGAGGGGACCCTGTGTATTGAGTTTGCAGCAGTCAGACATGTGAGATATTGGGGTAGGAGAGGCTGCAGGGCTGCCGCATATAGCGTACTGTCTGATCCAAGCGTGCCCAAGCAAAGCGAAACGCCACGCCGGGACATTTTTCAATATAGAGGTATGACCCGAGGGGAAAGATAACGGCATGGCTGACACACGTAATTATTGGGCGAGTTGCGAGACGATTAGAGGCTCGCATAGGAAATGTCTCTCAGAAGCATGTCTGATTGGCAGTCCGGCGAGCGACTGCCGTGGTGGAGGCTGTTCAAGTCGAATCGGATGCGCAGCAAGGGTTCAGGGCGAGCGAATCCAACATGCTGGATTCGGACGAGCCGCCGCGATATGTTGGTTCGAGATGAGTTGTTTTTGACTGTGTTCAAATGTTGTGATGGAAGACGTCTAGTAGCACAAGTCCCATGCACAGACACATGGATTGACAGCCAGACAGACACATAGCGATGATGAGATGGGCCGAAGGCAGCGGGCAAATGGCGAGTCGTCAGGGGTGGCAGAAGCAACCATGGTGGCCTCGAGGCCGTTTGTGGTGGCTTGCAGGGTTGCGGCGCACGGCCCCCTAGCCGCGACTGGGCGCTGCACCTCGGGTTAGCATCATCAACGCCAACAGGCCTTGGATGCTTGAAGGCACTTGGGACGCCGGCAGTGAGACGAGCATTTGTTTTGGCGCATGTCCGGGGCTCACTCAATAGCGCTGCACATCCATGGGGCCATGCTCGCGCGCAAAAGGAGCATCAGGTCGTGTTTGAAGGCGCGGCACTGAACTACTGTCTGTCTGCTGCCGTTGGCTGCTGCTCCCTCACTGTCGTCACCCCACGCATTCCCGCTGTCAAAAAGCTTTGGCTCCCCAGACCGGACCTGCATGGGCAGTGACATGCTTACTCCTGCATCCGTAATCCTTATAGACTGCGCATCGCCCACATCGCCCAGCTGCATCCACGGCAGGTGGAGAGAGACAGCGAGAGAGAATCATGTCTGGGTACGCTGCTGCCCCAACGTCTGGCTGGGTCGCAGCACCGCTAACACGCGCAGGTCTATGCGCGAGTCCCTGAAAGCTCTGAATGCCGCCTTCTCTGCCTCGACCGTGCCCGACCCTCTGCCCGACGAGCTCTATGCCACCATAGACGCCTTCCTCCAGCGCTATGACGACATTGACGACCACGACTCCCAGCGCTTCCACGATGATCTCCACGCGCTGTACCTGCGCCATGTCGCCAATAGCCCCGACAAGCGCGGCGCCTTCTTATCAGCTCTGCGACTGCTTCGGCCCGCGATAACAGGCGAGGCGCGTCTGACCGCCTGGTGGAACTCGGCCCTGCGACCGGTCATCGACGGCATAGGCTACAAGAAGAGCGAGATTGAAGATGCGAGGGCCTTTGTGCAGAGCATCTTGGTCTACGACCTCGGAGAGGACCACGATGGAGAGCACGCCCGCTTGTCCGCTCTCTTCACCAACAAGATACTGGACGCATACCTGGCGAGGACCAAGGTGCCTTCGGATGCCGTGTCTCCAGAGAACGAGTTCATCGCCCATGAGCTCGAGGCCGTCCTAGTCGCCTTTGGGCGCAAGATGCCAAAGGTTGTTCTTCTACCATGCACATGCACATGGCCTTGGCTGACTGTTCTAGATCCTCCTCCTCACACTCGACGACCTCCTTGTGCAGAAGCAACATCGCATACAGGCCCTCAACCTGCTCAGTGCCTTTGTCCGCCTCCAGCCGCCGCATCTCCATCTCGTTCTCGAAACGCCCCTCGTCCAGAACCTGGAGAAATGCCTGCTCATCGACAACTCGTCGACCGTCATCGAGCTGGCCCTCGTCGTGCTCATCATGTTCTTGCCTCACATATGCGGAGCGCTGACCTCGGACCACCACCTCGAGAAGATGTTCCTTGTCTACTGTCGGATATTGTGTTGGGACAAGCTGGGGAACAACGATGGCAAAGCTGGCGAGATGGACATGCACGACGACGACGACGACGACGACAGCGAAGAAGAAGACGAGGAAAACCATGACAGCTCAGAGCAGGCTTGGGAGCAGGTGCAACCATCCATGGACTACCCAGCCTCGCCCCCGCCAACCCTCATGCACTACTTCACCTTCCTCTACGGCCTGTTCCCGCTCAACTTTATGAGTTTCGTGCGCAAGCCGAGGAGGTACCTCAAGTCGCTCAACTTCCCTGGAGCGCGCGACTTCGACCTAGATCAGGACCTCATCCACAGCCGGACAGAACCCTACCGCCGGGTCCATCTGCTGCACCCCAATATGTTCACTACCACAGTCGAAGATGAGCTTAGCGAAAACAGGTGGCTGAAGAGTGATCCCGCAGACGTCGTCGTCGAGTGCATGGATCTCTGCGTTGCCGTGTCGTCGACATTGGAGGATCCCGGTCCCCCACCCAACGCAGCTTTACCGCCTGTCCCTGAAATACCCTCCCAGTTCACACTGGATGATCAGGATGGTACGACCGTGCATGACTCAGACGAAAGCTGGAGAAACACTCAGTCGACTATGAACGTTTCGGGTGATGCCCCACAAATCCCAGATTTTGAAGTACCACGGAGCAAGTCAATCAAGTCTGCCGTGTCTATCAAGTCGATGGCTTCTCCCTTGCTCAAAGGTCGCGACATGATGGACTCTCCTACACTACCACCTACTACTGATACAAAGAAGCCGGACATGGCTAGCCCGTTGGCACAGCGGTTCGTAGCGCAGCAACCCAGTCTAGACAGTTTCGCCCAGTCGATATCTGGACAGACTTCTGGCCAGAGTGACTTCCAGAACCACACCATGGCGTCGCTGCAACGAGAAATTATGCTGCTTCGGAACGACCTCAACTTTGAGCGTTATCTCAAATTACAACACCTTGCCCACATTGGACAGCTCCAACGGAAGCATATCAAAGAAGCGACCGCCGAAGCCGAGACCCAAAATCTGATCAACACCAACAAGACGCTAAAGGCCAAACTCGCCAAGGCCAACGAGCTGTATGCCCAACTCAAAAAGGAGACACTCACGAGCCGAAGCCAGTCCAAGAAATGGGAGAGCGAGCTGAACAACAAGGTCCGGTCATACAAGGAGAGCGAGAAGACATGGCACAGTGACGAAGGCGGTCTGCGATATGAATTACAAAGGACGCAGTCAGACTACGAACAGCTTAAGAAGATTGTAGAGAGGGCCGAGGCAGAGCAACTAAAAGCTCAGCAACGAACGAAAGCATTGGAATATGAGCTCGAGGATTACAGCGACATTCGACGAGAGCTCGAGTCTGCCCAGGACAAGATCATAGCGTTCGAAGATCAAAGGAAGGAATTGCACACCCTCATCCAGGAGCGCAACGACCTGCGCAACGATCTCGAGATTGCAAACATGCGCTTGAACAGCCGGGAGCAAGATCGCGAACGATCGATCAAGGCTTACGAACGCCGGATCATGGAGCTAGAGTCGCGCTTGCAAACATCTGACAGAAGCACCGGTATACCGGGACAGCTCCCGTCTTCCGTTCAGCAGATGCTTGACTCGACGCTCGCAGCGAGCAACGCCAAGATGCAGCAGCTGAAAAAGACCCACTACCGTCTCCTTGAGCAGTACACCGAGCTGCAGATGAAGTACCACGATCTTGAAGGTGAGCGAGAAGCGGAGATGGGACAGCTCTACCCCCGAGACAAGGCTGGCCATGTCGATTTCGGCACGTCGCGCATGAGTCGCAACTCCAGCGTCCGAACAGCAAACAACTACAGCTCAAGGTACTTGACGCCTCTCTCGACTACAGAGGTTCCCCCAAACGAAGAGCAAGAATACTACGAATACCGTTCCCCGGAGTCAGTACACAGCCCTGGTGCGGGTCCTTCACCACTTCGTCCGGCTAGGCTCGAATCACTACAACACGGAAAGCCGCAACGGTCGCAAACGGCGCCATCTCCCTACCCTGGGTTTGGCGGAAACTATGGGCCGGATTTCTCCGCAGCGTATGACGCCTCTCTGCACAACCAGTTTCAGGCTCCAAAGCCGCCCCAGTCTAGTGGACAGAGTAGCTTCTCCGCCGATACCGATGGTAGCTCCAACAAGGACAGAAAAGAAAAAGTAGAACCGAAATCGGAGGTTCGGATCTATGGTCGAGGTAAGCCATCTGTATCACAGCCTGCAAGATCAGAGACTGACTATGAGACAGGTGGCGCGCAGAACATTGGGAAGAAGGTCAAAGAGAAGGAACAGAAGAAGCCGTCGTCTTCCAAAACTGGTGGCTTTCGCGGACTCAAGGGTATAATGTGATGCTATTGGTTGAGTTTATCGAGTGGGGGTGCGCCACCGTCGACCATGCATCGCTGTCACACTCGGTTATCTGCATCCTGTATCGACTCGCTCCGGCATCCACCTCGTCATCATTGCTGTTCCCAATACGTTTTCATACACATCTCTTTCTTTTCTTCCATTTATAACGACATTGCATGACGCGAGGGCGGTCTCGATTTATGACTGATTGCATTCTCAGATACCTGCCTCACTGGCACCCAGTCTCGACTCTCCATTCGTCGACTGCATCCTAGTACCAAGTTTAATAGCGCGTAATCAACACCAATCAAAATCATCGCGTCCTTTATGCGTGTGTTCACCCAGATATGTAACAAAGATGACCGCAGCAGTGTGCTGACATGTCATTGGCGGAGATTGGCCGAGACATCACAACTACAACCTTGACATTCACAATCGACTGTCCGGAGATCGATTCGATAAGATCTACAATACAGCCTCGAACCCAGGGTGCGTCAGGCCCGCAACTCCTGCAATCGCCATCACATTCAGTAAAGCTCAAACGCAGCCAAGAATTGCTTTTCCATCCGTCATCCACCTTCCGCACCCCCTTAAGTTAGCGCCATTTTAAGTTCGGACAATAGCTCATCTGCACAACGTGTCCCACACTAAGACATACGACTAACAAACGGCCGCCTTGCGTTCTTTCTCCCCACGGTGTCGGCGGATGAAACGGTGAGGATGTTTGGTACTGTACTGATGGCCGTGACGTGGGGATCCTTGTTCAACGTACGATTCTAATAGATCTCTGCCAGATAACGACTGTACTGCGCATACACTCATCCGACCAACACTTTTGAGGCCCAGTCGCTTCAGAAGCAATGCTTGACCGCATGCGATCTTATCGTGTTACCTACCTGGCTCGTGGTGTGGTGGGTGATTGAGCGCCGTTCAACAATCGCGGAGACGGGTGCTGCCACACTGCAGTAGGAACAGTGGAGAGGGGACGGTCATGAGGGTACGCTAAGCCGTGCCGCGGAAAAGCAACGCAGTTGGGTGTAGAGCGGGTACCCACCCGAGGCTTGGGCTTGGGCTTTGGTTGAGGTTCTGAGGAGACGTTGGAGGTCGACGGCGTTGGACAGTTACTATTTACAGGGCGAAAGCTAGACATCGTTTGTCTAACATCTGCTGTTATTAGCGTGCTACATGTGTATCGAAGAACTCTCGCCACCCGACCTTAACACCGCATGTTCTTCATTCCTCGTACCACATCGCTCTTGCTCATCCTCTCGTCCATTTGCCTAACTGCCTCAATGTACATTCGACTCCTTACTTCTGGGCTTGTCACATCGTCACCCATATCATATGCCTCTATGAGTAACTCTCGGAACTCCGTGTTCAGTCTCTTCTTCGGTGGTCGTCGGCAACTGCCATCGTCCCTTGCTAGACAACGTAATTATTTAGCTCCTTCGACAAAGATATTGCCTCTCAATACGAAATCCAGCATGTTTCGCTCCCTTTTGGTCTTTTGCTCAACATGTTTGCGTTCATCTTCGATGTGTTTGTCTGAGTTTCTGATAGGTTCGGGATGTCGTTCACTGTAATGGCTCTCACCGCTCTCCTGTGTAAGATCCGTTCCTCTGCTGGTACTTTGGGCCTCATGTTCTTTAATCTTCTTCTCTTGCTCCGCTGCTCGCACCTTCCATTGCTCCTTCTCGTCTTCCAAGGCAGTGTACTTCAGCTTGTAGTGTTCTGTCTTTTTCTCTTGTTCGAAAAACATTGCTTTCCAGTCTCCATCCTCTTCCTCTTGTTTAGCACTGTCGGCAACAGTTTCAGCAAGCGCCTGTTGATTGATGTACTTCTCTTTCCATTCCTCACGCTGCGTTCGTAGTACTCGCTTCTTGGCCTTTTGTCGGGCGAGCTCCGCTTCGATGACATCGTTCTTGGCTTCCTGTTCTTGAAGTTTGACTTCCTGTTCTTGGAGCTTGGCTTTGAGAGCCTGCACCTCAAGTTCTAATTCGGCGTACTTTTCGGTTCCGTAGCTGCTGGAGTGCTCCTAAAGTGACCAGTAAGCGATCTGTCTAGCCTGAATGACTGTGCTGTGGCCACAACGGTGTAAAAAATCGAGTACTACTTACGAATGGGACTGTACGCTTGTTGGAGTCTACAGTGTAATGTCAGCTTTGGTCAGGTACAGAATGGGCTACTCAAGTACGACTCACTCTGTGATGAATCATCAGATGTACTGTCGGCCAGGTCTGCAAAGGAGCGTTTGGCAGGAACCGTAGAAGTTGGCTCTTTATCCTGAAGCACTAACTCATCGCTCCCTCCATTGTGGCCAGCATATTGGGCCTGCTCTTGTATCGTTGCGTTCTCTGCTTCAATATCCAAAAGTTGTTTATCTAGAGATTCCCCTGCAATTTTAGGCTTCTTCCGGTGTTGCGCAAAATTTCTGCACGCCAGCCTGAAGCTTCCTAACATATCTGGGCTCTCTAGGTCAAGAGCATGGACCAGTTGTCCTTTCGCTAGAAAGATAAAGTTGATGACGGATTCCACCAAAGCTCGCTCAAGCTTGCGCTCCGGGATCATGCGGGACTTCGAATTACTGGAGTTGTGAACACCGCTCATGGCGTTGAATGGGTTATCGTAGTATACTCGGAAGCCATAGTTATCCAAGATCAATGGATTAACTTGAACTCCTTCGCCTGAGTAATATCGTATTTGAGTACCCGTCGCATGTGCCCATACGGGCGGACCACTGCTTCTTCTCCAATAATGGCCAACCAGGAGCATGAGTCGCCGACAAGGCTTGTTACGCTCGTCCAGATAGAATTTCTCGGAAAATTTGTATGTATCTAGGTCCGCGATTGCTGCATATTCGGTCGCAAGCTTGCCCGTGGCATACTGAATGAAGTCTCCTATATTGTACTTCCTTCTCGACGTCATTTCCGCTGGTAGGTTGGGTCGTATGTTGGAAGTGCGAGTCGTTGTAGTGAACTAGTCTAGTGGTTAGTTGAAGCCAGAACGTATACGTGCTCTCCTCTTAAACTCACATGTATTATAGCGACAGATAGTCGGGTAAGTAATATTGTTGTAGAAAGAGTCACCAGTGCGGAGAAGCTGTACTTCACGCGAGACGCGCTAAAGTGGGAGCAAACGCCCTATATCCTATCAACAAGGTGAAGGTGAGCAGGGATGATGGGGTAGCGGAGCGAAGGAGATGACAGCCTAGTATTGAGGGTTTTTATGTATGTAAATGAGGTAAAAGTATTGCCATCAACAGAAAAGCATATCTTAATGTCTATCCAAGTGGCCGGTCCGCCGCGACTAGCTGATGTTGGAGACGAAGTGCGATCAATATGAGAAGGCGTCGCTGGATATGGTTATTTAAGCATGATGGTCATCATCCTTGCAACCGCACGGATTCACTCCATTACTACTCACCGGTCATAATGTTCTACTCTGAAGATACTATTTTGCTGACACGTGTGGAAGAAAGTCTGATTTCACGTTTTTCCTCGACTTGGTATCCTTCCGACTGTCAATCTGTTCCAGTATTTTTATCTCTCTTCGCCTGTGAAAATATCCCAGTGGTCCAGTGTAACGTTCATCTTTCTATCCTGTTCCCCCATTGCTCGACGAAATCATGCACAGTCAAACCGCACTGAATTCGTCCAGATGGGAACCTTCCAGCAACATCGCTTTCAAATTAGCCACCAACCACTCTAGTATCCACCCATGGCAATAAGAATGCCCTCAAGCTCTCTGATCCTCTCTTCCGCCTGCTGTAGCTGTAGACGATCTTGTTCGCGAGCACGGTTTGCTTGTTGTAGTTGTGTGCGGAGGTCAGCCTCGTAGGCCTGTGTCTGAGCCTGTCACGAGTTAGCGATGAAACTGATGTCTTTGCTACGGATGACAAAGCTGATATACTCACATATGTGGGTGGCTGACGGCCTGATACAAATAAATTAGCTTGGAAATGTGAGAATCAGATCAATGCACTTACGACGTGGAGTGATTGGAGCCGGAGGGCGGCGTATAGGAGAATGTGAAAGACCGGGTGTTGGTGTACCACCCTTTCGAGTGGGGAAATCGGCTTGGGTTTGCGGATCACGATTCGGAATGGCTGGGGGTTGGAAAAGACTGCTGTCCTCATCCGTAGGCTCAGTCTTAACGCGTGGAGATGGTAGTCCTCCTGAAGAGCATCTGTCCTGGCCGTTGGCATGAGAGAAAGATGATCCCCTATCCCGATGATTGTTCTGACGACCCCAGGCGCGAGCTTGATACTCCTCATTCAAGTCCTCCTTCTCTTTCTTAACCTTGGCCATGTTCGCAGCCTCCGTCTTCCTCGGCTCATAGTTGATACAAGCATACTTGAAAGCTTCCAGCGCATCTGTATCAGAGTCGACCTCGAAGTGAACGAGCCAGCCTTGCTTCAGGAAGACGACGTTGACAACTGTCTCAACTACCTTCATACCGTAAAGACGTTCCTTCTTCATACGCGTGTTCTGAGAGGTGGACATGTAGCTGAACGGCGGGACGTAGTAGATGCGATTTTCGAACAGATCATCTACTCGTGCAAGTTCGAGCGCTTCCGGCAAGCCGTGGTAATACTCGACCTCCAAGCCCGTGGGCCGCGCCCATACTTTTTGGCGTCCGAAGTGAGTGTGGTATGTGCCGACTAAGACCATGTAATCTTGAAGACGACATCGGTTCTTGTCCATGTAGGCCTTGACCTGGATGTTGTAGGTATTGGGGTCAACAAGCGTCTCGAATCCGAAATAGTTTTCATCCTCGTAATGCTTATCAAACATGGCCGCAGTGTACCGTTTTGCCGAACCCATCAGAGGCTGCGGCAGCGCAGGCATCCTACTGGTGAGCTTGCAATGGGCGTCTGATTCATCAGATTAGCAATGATTCTCAAACGTAACGCAGTGATGCTGACCTCTTGGTTGGCTCCTAGAATATGGCAACGATACTACGGTGCAGAGAGCGTAGTATAACCGGGAGTAAGAGTAAGTCGTGGATGTAACGAATCTAGAGCGTTAAGGCAAACGCACAGCACCACCCGCTGCAAATGATACAGGTAAGAATGTTTAGTCAAGGTGAATGAGATTTTACTCTATATCAGTCACGAACCACAGATGTCTGCGATCCTGCGATGTGGCTTAAGGAGACGAGGTGAAGGTAGTTCAGCACGCACTAGCAAAGAGGGTCAAGACATGAGAGCGGAGAACCGATACAGGCATTTGATACAGTCAGTAAGTACGAGGATCGCGATATTCCCACAGTAACCCTAGGAGAAATCAGTACTCCCATCAAACAAAGATACGATAGCAGACTTACCTCCTACATTTTGCCCTGGCTGACGTTGTACACAACCTTACTGACCTTGTACTCCACCACAACGCCCGGCTTGCCTTCACCCGTTACGAAATGGCCCGCGGCAACATAGGTTCCATTCTGAAGTTCCTTGTATTTCTCATTTCCCGTCTCGAAAGAGAAGTTGACAAATGAATCGCCATAGTCAGTTGTCTTAGCATCGGGAGCACCAGACAGCACTTTGCCGACTCCCTGCGTGAGCTTCACAGTACCTTTGTAATACATCGCCAGAACTGTGCCGTCGTGGTTCCTGTGCAACCATTAGCCCATGCTCTGCCTAATGCGATTTTGTCAGCCTTCCACTTACTTGACTTGACTCCTCACGTCCAAGCGCATGTTTCCGCCGTCGGCATCATTGTGAATGTAGTCGTAGCCAACACCATGTAGTTCTCCATCCAACTTCGGCTCAAAGCCCTCTTCACTCTTCACCGTACCGGAAACCATTGGAACGATGACCAGCTGCGCGCCATGCTGGCCTCCAACTTGCATCGGCGCATCGATGTCGACGCGGACTGTGAAAGCGGGCTGGAGAGATGGGAAACCTGACATGTTGATTTAGTTGTTCAGAGGGAATTGTGGAATAGTTTGTGGACGCAGATGATGGATGAAGTACTTGATACCTAGGAACGGATCCGCGGTAAGGATAAGCTATGTAGTTGGTGGTATGGGGAGGCTACCCCTCCAACCCCACTTTGAGGGGAAGATCTTCCTTCTTTCCGCGCTGATGACGGCACCGAATCAGACATCATTTCGGAAGTGCATGTTCTGTATATGCCCAAAGGCCATCAAGACTAGAACCCACTAATCCTACCCTTCTTCTTCTTCTTTTTGTCCAACTTCCCTCCAAATTTGCCGCGCTCGACTTGACTTTGCGGCATCATGAAGCTGCCGCCATGAGGTGGTACCTGGATCTGACTTTGACTTTGACTTGATACCTGACTGCTGTTCCCCATGCCGCCCAACATGGGTCCTGGAGAGCTTCTAGGGAACGCGGTAGGCTGACTGACGGCATTACTCCTCGTGAGCTCAAGCTTGGCCTTCATAAGCTCGTTTTCGCGCTGTTGGCGTTTCTCCCGACGTTCTCTCTTCTTGCGTTCTTTTTCGCGTTGCAGTTGGCTCTCTTCGTCAAGATCTTCAGATTGGAGAGCACGCTCTAGGCTGGTCCAATCGTACGCGTGAGGATCACTTCCTAATTGCCAGTGCGCGAGACCTTGAGCCACATTCGGGTGGATTATCGCCGGGTCTTTGGAAGTCGAGAGATACTTGTTGAGGCGACTGAGGGGGTCGGGTAGGGCGGGAGGAGTGGGAGTCGCTTCTGGCGGAGATGACCCCAGCACAGAGGGCGGAGGCATAGATGAGTATGGTGGTGTCGGTAGTGGCTGAGAGATCGGATAGTTTGAAACGGGATAAAAAGCACTTTCTTTGGGCCTTGATGGCAAGATGGGCAACGCGACACCACCGCCCTTGTTTTGTCCATGCTGCGTGCTGGAGGCAGACACCTGCCTTCGATCATCACGTATACAAGTACTTGAGAACATCAGTTCCGTGGCAACCCGCCGAGCCAGACGTTCCAAGCGTTGACGAACGCGGATCGGCACTTCTGTGGGAAGAGGCGCAATCCATGTCTGGAGTATAGTGTCGTACACGTCCGAAATCGTAGGGTCGCTGTCGTGAGCCAAACCAAGCACGTACATAGGTGCAATACGCTGAACGTCCATTGTGTCTTGTTCATATCCGGAAGAAAACAACTCTTCGAAGTTGGACGAAGCTTCGTCAATATCTGCAACGTCGAAATGCGTGCGCGTAAACTCCATCCTGTGAATGTTAGTTTATACCTGATGTGAGCAGGGGTCACTTACAAAGTACCCAATGGTAGAGATGGCAAGTCTGCACCAGTTGCCAGCATCTCGTTCACCTGGTCCATGACCGCCACCGCATCTATCGCGCTAGACTCCTCTGCTGAGCTCTTGGACTGCGACATCACCTCACCCAAGAGGCTGTTGTTTCGTGTTTCGTACGCAGTACTATCATTCAGATTGTCATGCCAATGCGACTGTGGCGCTGCAATTTTCGAGCATGGCAATGCTGTTGTAGGTAGTCCGTCAGGGCTTACAAAATCCTCGTCTTTGTTGATCTTACGAGACCTGATTGGGGGATCCTTGGGACGTGTTATCGTGCTTTGCTCAAAGTCCGCAATGGCATAATCATCCTCGATCCTGTCGTCCGCCGTAGAGGTCCGGGTATATACAATGAGCTCGTGGACGCTCAAGTCAGACTGGGTCACAAATAGTTGGAAAAAGCCAATCTCGGACCTCAACTCTCCTTGTTCCATTGTCTCGATGAAAATGTTCGTAATCTGCCCTGGGTCCGGAAGGCATAGAGTTAGCAGAGTCGGGTCAGGGGCGGTAATGAGCCCGGAATCACGCTCGACAAAGCTGTATACTTGGACGAGGTTGTTGACACGAGAATGGATCATCACGCACGTCTCTGCTCATCTGTCAGTCGGCCTCTCACATAGGTTGAGCTTGGCACATACCATCGTCTGCCAGCATTTGCGCACTCAATCCAAGCGTAAAATCTTCAGCGCCCCTATAGTGCCGCCATGATAGAAGTATCTTAGCGCCTGTGTCGTCGGCACTTGACGGGAGCTCACTCGGTGGAGTGACTGCAATCAGTGAAATTCGAGTAGAGGTCAAGACGAATACTCTACTGCGGTCTTTTGGATGCAACTTGACGTCCAGAATCCAGTCCGCGGACCGTTCGCTGAATATTTCTTGGCAAGGCAAATACGAAGTAGATCCGCCCCTGATGCTAACGATGCTCAAGCGGCGCCTATTGCAAACCATCAAGGTCGTAACATCGGCGACCCAGAGAACCCTCGCCCAGCCATCTTGGCCAGTTGTGTCTCCGTCATCCGACTCATTGACCTTTCCGCGGAGCATGCATGAAGCCGAATATCTGCCAAGCCTAAGCCGATGCTCGATATCCCATACACTCCACGTTTGGCTTTGGTCGACCAACGCAAACTGTAATTGAAAGTCCGGGTTAAAGGCAACATCGACATGGGCAAAGCCACCTGTGTCGTTCTGATGTATGCTGAGTATGCGGTTCGGTTGGATGGTGGAAGCTGGCAGACGGTAGAACGGGGAAATTGCGGCAGCGCGTGGTTGACGGACGTAGTCCGGGTGAAATAGAACAGTGCGTGTGGGAAGTCGCACGGCAAGCAAAGGCCTTTTTTCCTCTGAACGTGCAAAGCAAACCTGCTGTATCGGTGCCGCTTCCTCGTTCCAGAATGCGCTCTCTGCGGCTTTCAACGTTTGCCCTCGTACCCATGGCCTCGGTTCGGTTGTCCAACCATGCGTTTCGTCATCCAAAATACACAACTGCAGTATACTTCCGGTCTCCCCGGTGGGCAAGGCAGCCATCTGCCACGCCTCATCTCTACCCCTGGGCGTGATTGAACCGAAAGATAAAAGGCCACTGACGAGAGGGTCATAGGTCGAAGCCGCGGAAGAGATAGCAGCAGATACCAAGGCCAGGTCCGGAATTATCTCCGTAGCCGGAGCGAGCAGGGGGTCGTCTTGAACTGTATTGCTGAATTCATCCTGTATGCTCGTCCTGTTCACTGGTGTTTTTAGAGAGAACGGTGGTGCTGTTTTAGGTGTCGCATGATTTCGCGTAGAAGACGAGGTCGTTGGAATCAGAATCTGCTTGAAGATTCGCTTCTTATAATTCCTAGCAAAGGCCCATCCTCTGTTTTCTAAATCATAACTCGCGACGCCAGGATGGCCGTAGTTCAGGTCTTTGAGCGATTTGTCAGCCATTGGGCTGTCGTAGAGGTTCTCGATCGGTAACAGCGCTGCGGTATAAACTCATACTTCGGGCACAGGAAGCAAATGGTCGTAGGCGGGAGCGGAGAAGATGTCTGTCAAACCTGGTGATGCCGAACGCGATGATGAAAGTGAACAAACCAAAAAGTTCCACTAGCGCCAAAAGTCGCGTCGGCACGTGCAGGCGCCCCGCTCTTGTTCCTACCGCATTAGCGCGGATGTTTGTTTACGGAGCAACCATCGAAACCGTCACCACCGTCATCTAACCGCATCCACGACATAATCGCATATCGCTGCACACCACAGAATACTGAGAGTACCCTGCGATAACACACCCACCATGACGACCTTCGAGCCCTCACTCAGCACCACCATGCGCGCTTCCTCGCACGATGCGCCGTCCATGGCCGACCAACTACCCAGCATCAATTTCGGATTCGACGACTTGCGCAGTCGCATGAACCAGTTCACTACACGATTTGACGCCTTTATCGAGAATGGGCGAAGACGAGTGCTCGAAGAACGCAACCAGTTTCGCATGAACGTTGCAGAACTCCATGGTATGTTGAGATGGCTTGTCTCGGCGCTGACGATTGTATGCTAACTTCCACTGCAGAGGATCAACGCATGAAGAAGCGCGACATCGAGATTCTCGAACTCAAGACAGCCCAGCACAGCCAGACTCTTTCCAAGGAATCCCAAGAAACATCTGAGATGCAAGAGGCCATCTCCGCCCTTACCCTCCAGCGCGACGAGCGCCTAGCGCATCGCGACAGCCTCCGCACACAGATTGCTGAAGTGCAAAAGACCATCTCCGCACGTCGCGAAGCCCAACTCAAGCACCGCAGATACCTTGATGGCCAGAGCCGGTACAACGAGCCGGAACTCGACTTCTGGGAAAACTATCTAGGATTGAGAATCGAGGGACTTGGCAAGGACGATCGACTCAAGTTTGTGTATACCAACGTCGACGAGCGAGAGTGGGATCGCGAGGCATGGTTTGAGCTAGACACTAGCGAACGCGACTACAGAGTGTTAGAGATGCGGCCCAAGGTTGAGCGCGAAGAAGTCGAGACGGTTGTGGAGAGACTAAACGAGACACGCGATCTAGCAGGCTTCCTAAAGGGCATGCGCGAGTTATTCGTGGAAGCTTGCAAGTGATGGCGCGATACTCAGTCATTTCACGATGTTATGTAATTATGCCTTTAGTTTTGATAGATACCCGCAAGATTCTTCCTTTTCTCCATCTCATCGACCGCCATTCTTGATCTTGTAGTACTCTGGCGCATACTGTGTCAGCCAGTCGATATCCACTGTACTCAAATCCCTGATGTAGATTTTGTCTTTTGTAGACTGGATCTCCGTGTATATAACCCAATCAGCCTTCCTCGTGAAGAACACAGAACTTGGATGAGCCCATAGTGTCGTCTTCCCGTCCACGGTGGTGAAAGTCCCATCTGCCTTCATCCTCGCAGCATGCGCGAAGAACCCGGTAGTCAAACAGCGGCGGACACGCTCCGCAAGTGGGGTACCACCAACTCTCAGTACACCCGATGATGCGAGAACATTTTCCTTGACGCCAAAACGGTCCAGATAGGCAGCCAATTGTTTCCGGACACTGACTGCCTTGACGAGGGACTTGTGATTAAGACTGTTCGAGTGGCACCATGCCGTGTTACCCATACCAGCTTTCACAAAGGCTTCGTACACGTTGTATAGTGTAAGATGATCACCCTCTGCTACGGCAAATTTCCGCCTCGCTGCATCGAGCTGTTTCTTTCCCCCATCATGGGATACAAAGGCGTTGCCTTGGAGCGTCATCATAGCGGCTATCGTGAGCATCTCGCTCAAGCAACCAAACTCTGGCTCAGCCGCTTTCAACACAGCGCGCCCAAGCATTGGTTCGAGAGGAAGCTCTGCCAGGCGCATACCAAAGGGCTTTGTAAGCCGAGCGTGAGCGTCCAAGGCCCCCAGAGAGTACAGCATATCTAGAGCGCGTGTCACGAGTGCTGATGGCGGTGGGGAGAGGTAGTCGAATCGCACTACGTTTGTGATTCCCAAGTTAAGAAGCTGCAGAATTACAGGGGCGAGGTTTGAGCGGGCGAGCTCTGGGAACGTGGCTTCTTCCAGGCCTTCATACACGCTCTCTGGGTACAGTCTAAAGCATTTGCCCGGTCTCGTTCGACCTGCGCGACCTGCTCTTTGTGTGGCACTGGCTTTCGATACCGGGACAACAGCGAGATTTTCGATGCCGATATTGGCGTTGTAGGCGCGGAGCTTGACGTATCCTGAGTCTATCACGAAGACGATGCCATCAATGGTCACAGACGCCTCGGAAATGTTGGTGCTGAAGATGACGCGTCGCGTATTTTGCGTTGGCTTTGTGAAGATGAGATTCTGGTCTTCTGTGGGCAGGCCGGCATAGAGAGGTAAAGGCATGAGTCTTTGCTGAGACGAAGACATATCGGCAATACGGTCGCCCAGTTTATCAATCGCGTCATCTATTTCCTCGCGCCCTGTCAGAAAGACGAGAATGTCACCTTCGCTCTCATGCTCGTGGATCTTGATGACTGTGTCGATTGATGCTTCGACGTAGTTGTTTGTTGGTTCCTGTAAGTATTGAATCTCAACTGGATATGTGCGTCCTTCGATACCAACAATGCATCCGAATTCTTCTTTGTTCATGCCATGAACCTTCTCGCCTTGATCGGGACTGAAGAAGTCAAGAAAGCGTTCGGCTTCGAGTGTAGCGCTGCTCACAACGACGCGCAAGTCTTCTCTTTTCACCAGCACTTTCTTCAACAGACTCAGCAGTATATCGGAGGACAAGCTGCGCTCATGTGCTTCGTCAACCATGATGACAGAGTAGCGGGAGAGTAGCGGATCGACAAGCATCTCGCGTAGTAACAACCCATCTGTGACGAACTTTACATTTGTGGCTGCGGACGTAACATCTTCGAACCGAATGCTGTATCCGACCTTCTGACCGAGCGGTGTCGCTAGTTCCTCTGCCACTCTTGCAGCTACACTGGTACATGCTATCCGCCGGGGTTGAGTGATGGCTATCTGCTGGCCGCCATTGCACCAGCCCGCCTCAAGCAGAAATTTTGGTATCTGCGTTGTTTTACCTAGACAAAATCAGCTCCGGAATTTGGTTCTGTGTGAACTCGATAACTTACCACTGCCTGTTTCGCCGACAACAATAGTCACAGGGTACGTCTCTATCGTGTAGAGCAGTTGATCTTTGAGTTGTGCGATTGGTAGTAAAGCGGATGGCTTATACAGACTTGGAATCAAAGCAGACTCAGTATCCCCATCTTCTGCCATGACTCAATGTCAATAGACCTTCAGGAGGAAGTGAAGATAGATTGGCGTTGGGGTGCCGAGAGCATTGAGTAAGGGCCTCGATGGAGAAGGACACTAAGGAGATGCTCTAGCCGGATACGACTTAGCGTAATGCATTCCTGGGTAGTCCAATGCCTGAATGCGATGGTCCTACTGGATGGTGCTGGGAGTAGTTTGACGACCAACCAGATCAGCCCAGGAAGTTGAGATTCGTTCAAGTGTCTGATTGTTCTAGCTAGCTAAGCTTGATCCAAGCCGGCAGAGTTCAGTGCGGCAGGCTCGATTGTCTTCCTGATGCTACAAGGACCAGACTGAGGCGGTGCGTCGTGTTAGATAACAAGACACAATACAAACCTCAAAGTTTGGCGGCAGTTCCATTACATAGTACATGGATTCATGTCGCGAAAGGCTGGCGGGTCAAGGGCTGGATGACGTCTGGCACTAACTTGCCTTATCGATAGCCCCTCTAACATTTTCGAGTCGCGACTCACAGCTCAAAACACCTCAAAATGGCGTTTCGCAAGCGCAACATAGCACTGTCTCGCGCACCAACAGGAGAAGACGCGTTGAATTCGCCCTCTTCTCCTGCAGTAGCTCAACCTGTGCCAACGCCCCCCGGCGTACGACCCTCACCCATCGATGGCCGCCCCACCACATCCACCGGTACACCCTCGCTCGATGGCATTCTCGCAGGACATGCTGGGCTAGCGCTGGGAAACTCGATACTCATAGGCGAGAGCGGGACGACCGACTATGCCGGCGCATTACTCAGGTTTTACGCAGCGGAAGGTGTGGTGCAGGGACACAAGGTGCATGTCGTAGGCATGGGTGAAGTGTGGGGTAGGGAATTGCCTGGCATATCAGAAGACAAGTCGGACAAGAGGAAGGAGGGAAAGGAGCGAGCAGAGAAGATGAAGATCGCGTGGAGGTATGAAGGCCTTGGACAATTTGAGAGTGCTAGAGGTGCGTCTTGTATATATTCTGGGAATGCAAAATTATGTTCCGAACAATTTTGACGAGGTTTGCGACAGGCTCGCCCAATGCGCAGAGAACAACGAACCAAGGCGACGCAGCAGAAGAGCAGACAATCTTCTGCCATACCTTTGATCTGGCCAAACGTCTCACGCTTCCGGTAGGAACAGCAATCAACTATGTGCCGATACCTCCACCGACAGGCGCTTCTGCCTCGCCCTTCCCTTCGATTCTGCAGAACATACGGCAGCAGCTCGAGTCAACACCACCACACACGGTACATCGCGTTGTGATACCTTCTCTTCTCTCGCCAGCGCTATACCCTTCCTCGTCGGCCCATCCAACCTACATACTTCAGTTTCTCCATGCTCTGCGCGCGCTCCTCCGGCAATACCAAACGCGTCTGACCGCCGTTGTCACGCTTCCACTAACCCTGTATCCAAGATCCTCCGGGCTGGTCCGCTGGATGGAGATCCTCTCAGACGGTGTACTCGAATTGTCTCCGTTTCCATACTCGCGCATGCAAGCACTTGCACAATCGGCGGGCACCACAAAGGACGAGGAACGACCGCAGGGTATGCTTGCCGTCCACAAATTACCCGTGTTTCACGAAAAGGGCGGCGGTGGTGGAGCAGAAGACTTGGGCGAGGATATGGCGTTCACATTGAGCAGACGGAAGTTTGTGATTGCAAAGTTCAGCCTGCCACCGATGGAAGGCGACACTGAGGCGCAGGAGGAGGCTGTAAGGGAGGCGGCGGGTGCTAGTGCGATGCCGAAGAAGCAGGATCTAGAGTTCTAGAAGGCGCGCGTCGGCGGTAGTGTGTAGATGAAGATACCCTGTAAGGCGGTCAAGCCATACTTCTTGTGCTGTTTATTCCGAGTCGCTGTCCTCTCCAAGCATGTCTTCCATCTCAATTTGTTCCCAGCCTGCGCTTCCTGCTCCAGATCCGAAGCCTCGCGTGTAGTTGCGACCAAAGGATGCGTTTCGGGGATTGAATGTGACACCAGCAAATCTTGCGCGGAAGCCGTCGCCCATGCAAGAAGATGCAGCAAGGAATGCGAGGAAGAAGAGAAATGGTATGAAGAGCAGCAGGCTCAGGAGGAGTAGAACGTTCATTGTGAGCTTGTGGTGTTGTCGGTGCGGTGGGAAGGCTACGCAGGCACGTGGAACTGTCTAGACCCCTATGACATAGTGTCGGCGGCTGGCCAGTCGTTGAACCGAACCCCTGGCCGTCAACATTGGGGCTACGACTCAACTCAACCTTTACATGGTACATTCTCCTGCGACGTGCCCCCAGGAAACCATGAATTGCATGTTGAAATTGCCGCTTAGCGCGCTCTTGCTTTTGTCATGCGCCCTCAACGCCTCGGCGCATGGCGGGAATGAGCATACGCAAGTAGAAGTCCCACCGGACGCCGACTGGGCGACGCGACACATGGCTGGTATAGACTTCCCGGGATCCCCGCATGAACGCATAGGAAAGAGCAGCGTCTAACACACTCGCAGAGGAGCACCACATCTCCGGCTATGACGCAACTACCTTCTTCAACCTACACGACTACGACAGCACCGGCCTCTGGACCGCAGTTGACATCCGCCGAACCTACGGCCTCGAAGACCCCTCCAGCGCCTCCATCTCCGAGACAAAGAAGCAAATGGTCGTCCAGACTATCCTAGACATGTTCGATATCAACAAAGACGGCTCCATCACCTTGGCCGAATTCGTACAAAAGGATTCAGAGAACGTCAAGCTTCCAGACTTTGGCATGGGCCCAGGACACCACGGTGACGACGAGTACGAGTACGAGATTCATCATTGGGAAAAGTACCACAGTGGTGACGACGTCAAAGAGGAGGACTTGAACCACCCCGAGGATATCGCGCATTTCAAGATGCATGAAGAGAAGGAGGCAGCACAAGAGGAGTGGGAGAGGCTGGAGCTCAGGGGCGTCGTGGAGAAGAACATTCCACTAAAGTACAGGCGGAACTAATGAGCTCTGCAAAGGGCTGAGGATGGGCGTATGGCGCTGGGCCGCATCTAGGGAATGCTTGGATATGCGGAGACGATATACCAATTTAGGACTACGAAGCACATTATTCCGATTGTACCAGAATGACCCTGTAGCCTGGAGGTACCCAGTACATGCTACATTGACGCGGACTAACGCAGAACACAGCGGTACTTCAGGCTGCGGTTCACCTAGGTACAACTATACACAATTTGTGGAGCAGCTTCAAAGCCACCTCTCGAACCACGCGAGCACCTGCTTCTCTGAATCCTCCAAGGCCTTCCTCTCCTGTGGGTCGTCTGGGTTGCCTCTGACCGCGAACCCATGTCTCCCGGGCTTGTACGATTTGTGTTCGATCTCCGGAAACCCCTTGCGCTCCTTTTGTGCTTTGGCATGACATGCCTCCACCTTGCTCTTCGTTTCATAACTTACGGCAAAATCCTCTACGCCCCACCCGAAGCTCGTGGGAACCATTAAGTCCTCGACGTCGTCAGGAACAACCAAGTGACTTGGGTGCAGCGCCACGATCGCGTCGACAAGCGGCCTCTTCACTCCCTCCATCTCGATCATGCTGCTCTCCAATCCCGTGCGAACAGCATACTTCCCTCCCCAGCAAAATCCGACCATGCCGATCTTCCTTTCGCTCGGCGTCGCCCGTCTCAGCTCCCGCATAAAGTCGAGGCAGATCTTATCTGACTCCGCCTTCCCATGCCTCCTCTGCCACATGAGAAAAGATGGTATGTTCGTCAGGATACCTGTGTACTTGGCAAAGGTACTCTGGGCTGCGGCGTCAACAGGGAGCAATGCATCAGCAACCTTCAATCCAACCGGATCGCCCTTGAAGAAATCAGGGAGTAGCACTAGGTACTCTCCTGACTCGGCATAGGCATCGGCGATGATCTTGTTGTTGGGAAGACCTAGTCCGAAGATGTCCGAGTACATGCAGATGACTGCCCGTGGAGTGGTTCGATTTCCAACCATGTAAACGGAGAGGCCATGGAGTTGTTCGATAGTACCTTTGGGATTGCCTGCGTGAATTGAGCCCTGAAGCGGGGTGGTTAGCGAAGACAAAACGTCAAGCAGTGTGAAGTAGCACCTTGATGCACTCGGTCGAGCAGGATGTCCCTGTGGCCATGGTGGATGTTTTAGTGGATAGCCTGATGTCGAAGGATAATGGTATAGAATTATTATTGAGGAGTTCTGATGCGAGGACTTGACGAAGAGAGTGTAAGAGCGCCGATCTCAACGGAACGCACCGCTTTTATACATTCTACATCAACCGCAAACCGCATATTTACGTTTCGACTGTTACAACAAGCATCTCACGAAGCGCAGCTAGCGCATGTAAAGTACACCAATGGGTCCAACTCGCTCTCCTCGTCAGCATGATCCCGTACCCACCAACTAAATGATAGTGGTACTCGCCAATCGCGTCTCTCGCAGACAATGCTAGTCAGTGATAAGTATGTACGCCTGGCCAATAAAGGTCATCGCGAGCTAAACCTCTTGCGGCTCATTGAACGAGCACGAATGATCACCCCTGTCCTGTCAGCATGGACACCATAAACGGGCGAACGAGGCGTAAAGAGAGTGCATGATGTCCGTTCTATCGTGAGGACGTTACTATGCCTCAAAGCATGTGAACGTGGTGGCGCTCGTTGGAGGAGGTGTTTTCGCACCACTCATGCAGGGCACAAAGAAGCTTGTTCTTTTCTCAAGGTACAGCTGACACCTTGAGTCCATCTTCATGATCTATACTACAATAGACTCGAGGGTATGTAAACGTAGGATACAACACCTTTGCAATTCTTTCTAGGCTAAGTCACAACCTCGGAAAGACAAGCCTCTTTGTTCTACTAGGAGCTATCTTCATCCTCAGCGGTTGTTCGTTTCCCACGAGTACAGCAACGCTGTCATACATCGAGTCTGGCACGCTCGCAATGATTCTCGACCATATGTTTGCATGGTGTATTACCGGTTTTCGACGTATCAAAGTTCGGTGCTCATTGCCTGCAGTGGTGATCAAAGATCCTTACGTATGTTAACTGAGCTGAAGCACATGTATCACGCGTAGAAAGAGACCAACCTTGGTTGACTTTGGATCTTCGAGATGGTGGTGGGGTCGATTGACCAACTGGTATATTTATCTCGTAACTTGGCACAGCCGCGGACAAACGTGGAGCTTTGGTAGCACCTTGATGACGCCTACTTCTTCTTGCCCGACGCTTCGGTTGCGCTCAACTCCCTGATGAAGACCTTGGTTACACCGTCTGGCACATCGTCGACGCCGTCCTCGAAGCCGGGACTGACTCCAATAGCTACGTATTTACCGTCGTTGGAGAAATCGATGGTTTGCACGCTAGCAGGGAACTTCTGGTACTGTCGTATCCTCCTCTTTGCTACTGCGTCCCAAAGGGCGACTATGCCATCGCCGCCTCCTGTCGCAAAGGTGCCGTGGACTGGGTGGTATGCGAGCGCGTGGACTGGGTAGACGACGTCCTGGCCGTCGACCTGTTGTCTGTGGCACTTGAAGGCGTACTTGCGCGACTGTGACTCCTCAGACGGGTCGAACCACTCGACTGCTACACGTCCCTCGATGCTCGAGCTGGAGTAGCCCGCGTCGTTTGGCATGCAAGACACGGCGCGTGTCATGTACTTCATGGAGCTCTCCCGTTGCTGCCACGGCTCCACTGCGACCTCCTCACCGCCACCTCTCGTCGCAGCCTCGGCCAGCTTGTCGAGTTCGTAGATGTTGACTGCGCGGCTTGCCATGGCGACGACCAGCTTCGTGGGCGACGCGGAGAGCGAAAAGGGCTTGGAAGGCAGGCGGACAGCAGAGAAGTCGCCGGGTTGTGACAGATTGTGGAGGTGCAGTGTGGAGTCCCATGATGACGAGATCAGGAGGTTGTGCGCGGCAGAGTAGAGGACGTTGCGGACACCCTGCGAGTGTGTAGACATGATGGTCTGCGCGCCCGTCTCGAGGTCGATTCTGCGCACCTCCCAGTCGAGCCCGCAGGAAAAGGCCTCGTTGTCGTCGCGTCCGAAGCAGACATCTAGTACAGGCGCGCGGTGTTCGAATTTCTGGAGCAGCTTGCCGCCGGGCTCAGCATGTGTGTCGTAGAGGTAGACATGGCGATCCCACGACGAGACAAGCAGGCGTGTTGGGTTGTTGGTCGCGAACTTGACCGACGATATGGGCTCGGTCGGGTTTTGCGCAAGCTCGAATTGGCCTGGCAAGTTAGCACGGGGCCCGGACAGGCTTGGACTGACCTACTTGACATGTTGGCGATAGCACGGTGTACGGGTTCTAGAAGCTGCGAGTCGGAGTGAAGCTCTCAAGGGCGGGAGTCCGCAGACTAAACAAATACCTGAGATGCACGCTAACGCCCCCTCCAAAAGTTCCCCAGCTTCTTCCCTCGTCACTGCACCCCGACAAACATGCCCTTCGCACAACTCGTCATCGGGCCGCCGGGCTCTGGAAAGTCGACGTACTGCGATGGAATGCAACAGTTCATGGGCGCAATCGAGCGCAAGTGTTCCGTCGTCAACCTCGACCCCGCGAACGACCACACCTCATACCAGCCCGCTCTAGACGTCCGAGACCTGGTCACAATAGACGAGATCATGGAGCAGGAGACTCTGGGCCCAAACGGAGGGGTCTTGTTTGCGCTCGAGGAACTGGAGCACAACTTCGACTGGCTAGAAGAAGGCTTGAAGGAACTTGGAGGTTCGTGACAGCACTGAACTCTCTTCAAGTATACTAATGGCTCCAGACGACTATGTCCTCTTCGACTGCCCCGGCCAGGTCGAACTCTTCACGCACCACGGCTCGCTGCGCAACATCTTCTTCCGCCTACAAAAACTTGGGTATCGAGTATTCGCCCACCACCCGTGGCCTGCAACTGGGGGCTAACATGACCAGCTCGTCGTCGTACACCTGACCGACTCCATCATTCTCTCGCGACCGTCGCTATACGTTTCCTCTCTCCTACTCGCCCTACGCAGCATGCTGCAGATGGACCTGCCCCACTTGAACGTCCTCACAAAGATCGACAACCTCCGAAACTACCCAAACCTGCCTTTCAACCTCGACTTTTACACTGAAGTCCAGGATCTACAATACCTCCTGCCGCACCTCAACCGCGAACAGACATCTGGCATTCCAGGCCCTACAACAGCTGGCACGAACGACGTAGACCCAGACGACGACGAGCCAACATCAAAGTTCTCCGCGCTCAACAAGGCGATCGTGGAGCTCGTTGAGGACTTTGCGCTGGTAGGGTTCGAGACACTGGCAGTAGAAGACAAGAAAAGCATGATGACGCTGCTACGGGCCATCGATCGTGCAGGCGGCTTTGCGATGGGCGGCATAGAAGGCGCAAACGACACAGTGTGGCAGATGGCTATGCGCGAGAACGGGGCGACTATGGACGCCCGCGACGTGCAGGAAAGGTGGTTGGACAGGCGGGATGAGCTGGATGAAGAAGAGAGGAAGGCATGGGAGGACGAGACCAAAGACATGCGCGATCCACCACCGCAGAACGCTCCTCAAGTAATCCCCACATCGAAGCCTCCAGCAAAGCCTCCAACAAAGCCCAAAAGCCAGGACAGCGACGACGACATGGACGACCTGGAGGAGATGCGACAGTTCATGGAGAAGAAGAATGACACCGGCATCAATGTTGTCAGAAAGTGAAGTAGGATATACTAGCATAGTTGTCGCGACGACGGCATGACCAAGCCTCTTTCGCTTGTAATAGCAACGGGCGCTTTAACATGAAGCGCATAACAATAAAACGCTTGACGCAGGGCCCTTTCTCTACAGAGTATGGGTGCAGAAAGCAAGGAAACAGGAGCACCGCTAGTGGGGCATAGGCAGTGACTGAGTCGATTGTCACATGGATGAAGGGAAAGGCACTTAGTGGGGTTGGATCTTGAAACAGCGCGTCGCGTCGGCAAACAGCTGCACGCGCCCGCATTGTACGATAGTCTACATAATACTACCGGGATATCTGACCCTGCACTAGACCCTAATAGATGCCGTCTAATTACCTCGTATTACTACTCTGGCTGTTTTGACCACGCACATGCTCAAACGCAAGCCATCTCGCGACCTGGCCAGCGGCCCCCACGTCTCCATCTTTAGCGACGACCCCACGCTTAGTCGTCATAAGCGGAAGCGTTCGCTCTTCCGTTCCAAACACAGCCGGGCGCAGTGGGTACCCGAACCAGAGCGCGACATGAGTGAACTGCTGGAATTCGTCTTGCAGCACGAAGAGGCCTTTAAGAAGTAAGGCCAGCCGTAGCTTGGCAACCCCTGCACTGCTGACCAGCACAGCCAGTACCGCCTCGCATCGCTCTATGCAGACTTTCGGCAACAGCTCGAGATCAACCCCGAGGGCTACCATGCGAACATTGCCGCATGGACAAAGGCGCTTGTCAACGCCTCGCGAGCGGGTGTCGTTCCCAGACAGGGCACCACACACGATCTCCTAAGCATACGAGCCGCCGACGAGCTCGCGCGAGCCCTGCAACACCCGCAGCATGGCAAGCCCACCTGTCTTCCGGCCGTGTTCCATGAGGCAGTCCAGAAGAAGGAGATGGTACCCCTGAAAGACTTCCTGACAGCCAAAGAGAGCATATACAAGACATCATGGATACCATCACCATGGAAGGTGCTCCAGTGGAGTCTGCGGCAGGTTGGCGTTTTGGGGCAGGTACAAGCGCCAGCCAAGATGGAGGTTGGAAACTTTGTGGTCGTCAAGAATGTGGAGGTTGCTGCAGACGAGATACTGAAGAAGATGAAGGAGCACACGTCTACGGCTGATCGGGTGCTATCAAAAACAGACTTCCTGAAACGTTTCGCGACTGTACTCAATCCAACTGCACCGCTTACGACAAACGATCTGGACATTGTCCTTACATTCCTCGCTAGAGACAAGCAAGCGATATCTTACAACGAGCAGACGATCAAGTTCAAGCCGGAGCACGAGGATGTGCCTCTGCCAGTTACGGAAGAGGATGCCGCCATCGCCAATCTTCGCGACACACTAGCAAACATCAACGCCCAGATATCGCCGATCATGGAGAAGATTGCTCTGGCAGATGCAGCGGCACGGGAGGCCGTAGTTGCGAAGCAGATGGTCCGCGCCAAAGCTGCACTGCGCTCGAAGAAGCTTGCCGAGAACGCTCTCAAGCAGCGTTCCGATGTTGCCCTCCAGCTCGAGCAAGTCTACACCGACCTACAACACGCAGCTGACCAAGTCGAGATCGTGGAGGCCATGCGCGCTGGTGCTGCTGCGCTCAAGGGTCTCAACGAGAAGGTTGGCGGTGCAGAGGGCGTTCAAGGTGTTGTTGATGCCGTCAACGAACAGATGGCGACTACGGAAGAGATTACGAACATCATCAACGAAACCGACCAGCCTCTCGACGAGGGCGAGATTGACGATGAATTCGAAGCACTGGAGAGGGCGGATCGCGAGAAGCGGGAAAAGGAAGAAGCCGAGAAAACTGCTGCGAGGCTGGCGGAACTGGAGGCAGTGGAGAAGAAGCGCAAGGAGAGGGAGTCAGTCAAGACGGACGAGACAGAAGAACAAGTCGACGAGGCATCTCAGAGCATGGCAAGGATGTCGTTTCACCAGCCAGATGATGAGATGGAGGATACTGAAGAGAAGCGCACAGCTGCTTATGCATAGGCATTCCTTGGTCATCTGGCGTTTGATTGGTTCATCTGCATAGCATTGGCGTTATGGGTTCTTATACCACAGACTAGTTACACTACATGTTCTTTCTTGAGACTGTATTATATTCTTATCATGCGTCACCAATTTGAAGTGGACGCCATGAATAGCGTTCCGACGCCACTAGTTTCCCACGCCACGCCAAGCCCTCACAGCGAATGCGGAACCTCCCGAGGTCACCTCAAACGTCGGTCATCATCCACCTATCCGCATCAACCACAACTCCCTCCCCCTGCGCCGGGAACGATCATATAACTCTACCCACCCTTCAATTGAGTCCTCGCGAGACTGCAGACCACGATGAACTCCGTCCGCGCCGCAACCAGCGCCTCGCGCACCGCTCTCACCGCTACCGCCCGCACAGCAGCTCCCCGCCGGGCCTTCTCACAGTCACAAACAACGCGATCGGGCCACGGACCCAGCTACGACCCCCCATCCGGATGGCTCTTCGGTGTCAAGCCCGGCGAGCAGTATGAGAAGGAGGGGTGGGAGAACGCCATGTACTGGGGATTCGGCGGAGCTTGTGCTTTTGGCGTTGTGGCTTATGCTTTCAAGCCGGATACTAGGTACGTGCGAATTTCACCTGTCAGAGATGGATGGAGGACGGGCCAAGAGATGGATCAGATGGAGGAGTCATAGGCAGGCGACGGGTAGCGGAAAACATGAACCAGGAACAGCGAAGTGGAGATGCTATAATTGGTCAAAGCTAACAGCCTGGCAGCATCCAGACCTGGGCCCTAGAGGAGGCGCGACGAAGACTCGAAGCCGAGGGCATCCTCTCAGACCCGGATACCGTCAAGAAGGAGTAGACGATACCTCCGGCACGTCAACAAGACCCGAGATGGGCAGAAATCTTACAGCAATACCACAGAAACTGTATATATGCTAGCGAGGACGAGGATGCGATCTTTCTTTTGTGAGCACGGATCTGGATGGGCTAGACGCTCTATAGACTTTGCGAAGACGGCTGAGTAGCCAAGGGTAGGCAATTGCAATTTTTTATCGATGTCAATGAATTTCATGCGCGAGAGGTGATGCTACCAGACTCGCGAAACGATCAGTTGTGCATGGTAGGTTCGGGTACCTGGACGGGTATATTAACAAATTTCCCAGGAGGCGCCCAGACCCATAATCATCAGTCCTCCAACTCATATTCACGTGCAAAAATGAGGTTTCCCTTGATCACTGATGTTGGATCAGTGTAAGCCTGTCGAAGTCTACACGCAAGTCTGCGTTCACTTTCGTATGCTCGTCTTGGTGCCGGGCAAGCCTTTGGTCGCTTTGCCAAGTCGAGATGAAAAGGGGAAGCTAGAAAGGATAAGCCAAGTATACCTGTACGCCCCTCCACATCGCATGTGGGGGTTTGCGTCTTGGTCAGCTCGATTACCTTTCATAATAAACGCGTTTAGCCGATGTGCGATTGACTCAGACATCAAGACTAGGAACAAGCAGCTCAAACGAAGAATCAAGGACTGAAGACGCAATACGAAACTATTCAGATGTCAAAGATGCACGAAGGCTTTAGAACCACAAAAGGCGAGTGAGAGCATTGGACAACGAGTTCTAAGTCAGCACCCTTCACGAAGCAGATACTGCCACAGGTCTCAACAGTGAGTAATGCAGTCTGTTTGTCTATATGCACACTTTCTAAATCCACCACAAGTATATACAAATTTGAAGCAAAGCGAGAGGACGGTCGAAGGAGATCCACCCGCTCTTACAGCCCAAAGCCGTCGGTCCTTCGCCGAAATTTACCAGAAACCTCATCGAGCGCTTATGCGGGCTGGGCAAAGGTGGAGCCAATGGGACCAAACTTGATGTTGGAGAAGACGACAGTCGCGCCGGGCGAGTTGGCCTCAACGTCCTCGGGCTTGCCAGAGTCGGTAGCGCAGGTACCACGGGCGATACCAGGCTTCTCTGGGTCGGCATCGGTGGGGTAGGTAGAGTCGAGCCAGAGCATGTTGACCGCATGGTCGTCCCAGAGGGACATGACGAGGACGTGGCCGCGAGCAAGCGAGGCACCCATCTCGTTAAGACCACCGAGAGTCTTGAAAGAAGATGTGTCACCGAAGGCGGTCTTCTGCTGGTCACAGTACTTCTCAGTAATAGAGTTGCCGCTGACGCCCTCGATGGCGGAGTCGGAGTTCTTGAAGACGGTTCCTCCCTGGATGTAGAAACGCTTGATCTCGGAGAGGCTGGAACCGGAGCCGATGAACTGAGTGACGACAGTCATCTTCTTGGTGGTGTCGAGGGTCATGCCTGGGCCGTAGAAGTCACGGACGCCCATGCGGTAGCTGTTGAAGTCGCAGCCGTCCTTGTCGCAAATTCCGCCGTAGCGGTTGTCGCCGTCACCGCAGCTGACGTCGTCGGTGCACTCCTGGAGACCAGTGCCCTTGCAGGGGTGGGGAGTGTAGGCAGTGGAGATGGAGTTGGCCTCCCAGATGTCCATCTCGGGGCAGCAGGCACCCATCTTGCCCTGGCCGGCGTTGGAGTCGTTGTCGGACGGGTTCCAGCCCTCGACGTTGGCTACACCGTTGATGAACTTGATGTCGTGGGGGCACTGGGAGTCGCAGTATCCAGTTCCGTACTTGGCACCAGCCTTGTTGTTGCCCTTGTTGATACCACCGTCGGCAGCCATCTCAACAAAGTAGAGAGCACCGTTCAGACCGCAAGGCAGCTTGGAGACGTCGACGTCGAAGGTGAACTCCTTACCGATGAGGTTGAACATCTGGTACTTGGTGTCGCTCTCCATGAGGTAGGTACGCGAACCAATGTTGGCAGAGTAAGAGCCCTTGGTGACGAACTTGAGGGACAGAGAGTTGCTGCTGGTAGTGATACCGTAGGTACCTAGGTGTGTCAGATGGCAGACTGTAGCGGGTTGAAATTACATACCAGAGTAGTCGGCACCGTCGATGGCGCAGTTCTTGGTGCAAGTGCTGCCGTCAGGGCAAGCGGTCGTGTTCCAAGAGTTGCCGTCGTAGCAGTTGGTGTAGCCGCTGGTGACGTGGGCCCATCGCCAGTTGGAGTCGAGCACAATGGAACCAGACTTGTTGGTGCAGCTCTTTCCGCCGGTACCAGTGCAAGTCTGCCATGTCATCTTAGGGTGTGTCTCCGTTGTCTCTTTGCCAACCTGCTGAGCGCGGGCGGCTCCGAAGAGCGAGAGAGAAGCGAGGGCGAGTGTCCTGTACATGGTGACTTGTTGGATCGAAAGTCTGCTGTGGGATATCGAAACAGTGACGGTTGAGATGGCCTTCTTATACAAAAACTTTCATCTGACGGGTACTATCCAAGGTACTTTGCACAAGTACCCATATGACCGTTGATAATTGCAAGGCGCAGAAGATCTGCATCCTTGACAGTCCCCTAGGTCGTTCTCACCAATACCGTAAGAATGACGGGACGTCGGGAGTGTGAAAAGACGCTAAAAGTGCCAGAGTAATGAAGGGTAGATGAACCGTCCCTAGTCGTGACCCCATCGTGGGGTAGTCTGGGGTATTGCGGAGATCTGTGCGCCACGACATCCGGGATCTTTGCCTCAAGGGGATAGTGTATGAAGTGATGAACGGATAGGCATATGGAGACGTACTATGGCTAGTTGACCTTATTGGCAGCAGAGTCTTAGCCCTCAATTCTATTCGACGGAGAGTGACAAGCCTCGTATGCGCAAAGGCAAAGCTGTGGATCAACACTCGCAGCCATATCTCGAGACTCACATACGGCGTCGTGGTTGTATCACGAGTCACCTCACGGACACATGTCGCGCATCCGTAGATCGTACCTTTCATGTACGAGGAGTGGCATACGGTACTGAGGTCGGACGATCCTCCTGAGAGATCCATCTCCGCCATACAGCTGCACCCAGTGGTTTCGAAACCCGGTTGTATTAGATTGCTTCGTCCATGACCCATGGGCATATACGAGCGAATCTTCCAGAAAGATGTTCCGGTCTCGTGGATTTTAATTTGTAGCAAAGGTCATGAGGCTCGTTGTCTTTCCCTGGATAACGGTTTAGCCCTAAGAGTAATTGCCAAGATCCTCGAGGTTCTTACGTCGCTAGGCATGGTACAGGGACGAGTCTGCAGTGACACAGGTCTTGCCCCTCTGGAGCTATTTCCGACCTACGTGGCTGGCTAGCTGGTTTTGCCTGGAGTCCATCACGCAGCCTCGGTCATATTGCCAGGTCTACCCGAAAGACAACAACCCGTTCTCAGATGCGTGAGAAGCATTGAGAGAGTTTTGTCAAATGATCTTCTCGTTGGAATGCAGGAACACAACAGAAGCGCCGGACCCTGTAAGCAAGGTGAAGCTTCCGGACCAGACGGGACGAGACTCCTCTAAACAATTGGCTGCAAAGCTTGGAGCTTAATCAACTTGACTTGAACCTTAGCAAAATGGCAATGACCGGATTTCTCGGTCGAACTGCTGGCGCAGATTAGATTGAGGTCCAGGGGTCGCTCGCTAAGGCCGGAACATGCGCCTCGAGTTTGTCCGCCTGTCGGCTTCTGACGTAGAGGTCATACACGAGGACAGCGATATTGTTGTGGCAAGTGGGCAGAATCATTTTCGCATCTCTACTGCTCAGCAAATGTGTTGGTGTTGATTAGAAGGTCGGTTGTTGCAGACTGAAATCCAGGTTCAACGTAATCAATTAGCGACAGGCAATATAGCCTCCGACCACTCGATATGAACTCCGCATCAGTACACTGACGATCACAGATCCACGGCGAATGCATCCCAGGTAAGCGGCAATACTCCAGGGACTGGCGAATGGGACGCTCTGTACTATACTGCGACCGGGCATAACACATTGAGCCGCAATCATCGTGACACTGTGATCTTTAGCCTTTGGCGACAGTTTCTGAGGTAACGACGGTTAGTATATTCGCGCGTGATAGGATGAGGATGTCAGTGTTGTTTGCAAAGTGCAGAGCAGGAAGGGGTAAATCGGCTAGGGCACAAGAAGACTAGCGTGGCGTCGTTCCTCCGCTTCCCAAGCGGTCATGTCCGCATTCACTCCTCAAATACCATATGTGACGACGACCAACGGTTCCCAAAACTTGTACTTTAGCCAGTGTCGCAAGTCTACGCCATCTCCTTCGGCCGGCGGATCTGGTACGAAAGGTACCGCCAATGGGTTCAATCTGTGATATGGCGCTGCTTCTTCCAAGTTGCTGCATTATACTACTATCGTTACTTGTAGTTGACGAATGATCTATGCAGTCCGGTGGGTACGGTAAAGCCGTGTACGAGTATGTTGGCGACCAGAAATCTTCGGTAGGGTGGCTTTTGCCATGCTACGCAAATTGACCACAGCATACAAAGATGTAACTTAAGACACTGTGGGATTCCCTTACGCATGATGATATGGACTGCTGCATAGCAGGCTTTTCCGCAAGATCTGTTAACAAAAAGCTTATTGACGCGTACCCGAGTCCCCTTGAATTCATTGTTGTTTTGGACTGACCACCACGAGCAGTGTAAGCCCCTATCCATCACTTTATTGTTTTCTCCGGCCGTTTGTTCCGGCAACCATATTGGTCTGATATCTACCAGAGAACCACGCTCGTCATCTTCCGTCATAGTTACCTTCCGCTCTAGGTTCTCGTTGTATCGTGCCATCTCATCGATCACTTATACCTCTGGTTTTTGGTTTCTTAAATCAAACCAGACTGCTTGAGATTTCCACAAAAGCCCTCAAAGCATGGTCGACAATCGGTTCCCGGTCTTTCCAGATCAGGATGTTGACATTACTGATGCTGCATCTCATCCAAAGCGGTGCCCCGAAGAGGATAGCGCCTATCATCTTTACAGTTGTGAACTGCAAACGCCGTAGGATCATGGGCAAGCTTCGTTACCTAATCCTGGCTCTAAATCCTGTCACTGTCCCAGGCAAGGAGGCTAAAGAAGGTGTATGAAGTCAGTACATAGAGATTTCAAATCCACGGTGTCAATTCCTCAGTTCGGAGTTTTGGCCGATTTTCGAGTGCACATTACCAAGTTGTACAAAAGGCAGTAGGCCCGCTTGTTCTAAGTCCATATTCTCCGACATGAAACCTTTGAAATACCATGGCACATACTATACGGAGGCTGTGCAGTGGCGAATAATCCAATTGCAGCACATCCAGTCATGTCAGTGACTGAAGCGCAGCATCTAAATAGGTAAAAGAATATGTTTGGATATCTAAACCAATCATCTCCCACGCTGAGCGTCGAGGCGGACCAGCTCTTCAGCAACATTCCTCGCCACATCTCGTCTATCCTCCTCGTACTTCCGCGCCACCTCTTCGTTCTCTTCTCGCGTACGCCAATAGCGCGGTCTTGCACTGGACCGTCTAATTGCACTATCGTCTTCTTCCGACATGGTTCTCTTCATGAACGACCGATAGATACGCGACTTGGATGGGTTCTTCGCAGCCACATCAGCGACGTCAGCCTCGTCTGATATATGGTCTATACACGCAGCCTCGAACGCGCGTCTGACGGACCCCGCAGGTAGGCTGGTAAGTCTCACGAGACAAGTGTTAGCCCCGCTGTCATCACCACTCCCTACCCCGTGCGACCTCCATCCCGTCTCGAATGGAGTTCTACCCGTGCCCAAGTCCCGCCAACTCTGCACCACTAGTCTGACCTGTCCACCAGTAGCATGTGAGAAGTCCTGGGTAGTCACACTCCAATCCGTCGCACAGGTCGAGCAGTTCTGTGTAAACTGGTACTTCCAGCCTCGGCGGATCACATTATCGATGGCGGCCATGAGACCGGTATGGCCGTTTGGTGTATCGCGATGGCCTGTGACGATATGTGGGAGGAGAGGCCAGAGCGACTTCAAGAGGTTGCGATTTCTCGTTGTGAAAGCGGGCAGAATGATTGCGTAGGAACTGTGTAAGAGAAAATGGCCTTGAACTATCCTGGCTGAGAGACTGAGCTTAGTGGGAACCGGCGTTCTAGAGATTCGCGCCATTTCTTTCTTCTCGTAAGTGAACGCGGAAAGGGGAATACCGTGCTCGTCTCCCCACGATGCGCGATTGATGGCAAGTCGGACATGGTGATATCGTAGCTTGTACCCGTTCCCGGCGTCCAAGTAGCTATTGAAGTCTGCACAGTCTCTTTTACCCCCTGGATGCTGGCTCTTTGGTCCGTCTTCAGCGCTCCAGGCATGGAATCTATCACACCAGGCGCAAAACCAATGGCCGGGAAAGGCGCGCTCTACTACTGCCTCGATAGTCTTTCTCTTCTCGAAGCGGTTCTTGCTCCCCTCGACATGGCGAGAAAGGACTTCAGTGCCGAGAGCGTAGTAGACGTACCGACTTGAAAGGCAGAAGGCTGCTGCCGAGGAAGTGTCGAGGTAGGTATTGACTTGTTGAATGAGTTCGAGTGGGAGACTGAGGATCGGAGTCTTCCGCGCCGGTGTTGGTAGCTGCTTGATTGTGGCCATGGAATCTACGACGTCGTGCTCCTCGAAAGTAGAATCCATGCTCGTTCTTGAACTTGCGGTGTCGGACGCAGATGAGTCGATGGTCGATGGACGCGATGACTGTGCAGAGCTAGAGCTCATGGACCGGCGAAAGATACCCATGATGGCGACTCAGATTTTCTACTGTCTGACTGAAGATGCGAGATAGCGAAATGAGGCTGAATCCAGGTACCAGCGCCAGAGACCCCTTATGAACTACAACTATAAACTGAATGTGCCAGCATGTGACGAAGAACAAGATTAGTCAAAGAACACGTCCAAAAGCTGCCACATAGTCGTTGCAAATTCGACGCCGCCTCGCGCGGCCACCGCATCCCCTTATCAATGCGTCTGCCGATGCACGACATGTCATCCGGCGGCCGTTTCTAACAGGCATGACAGTGGCACGCAACACGCTTGGCACGCCGGAACTAGGCACATGCCTACCAATCTACCGGTCTCAGGGACCAGACGACATGTCCGGCGGTGAAGGTGAGACGGCCGTCATTCACCAAACACACGTGCGCTGACCAAGTGGGGCTTAGCGCAACGTTGGCAACGTGGGTGTGGTGGGGTATGCCTGTAAGCGCCCTCCGCGCCGCCACTGTCGTCTTGATAGCGTGCAAGATTCTAGCCGGGTGAGTCAGACAGAGAGCAGGTTTGACGAGATAGTGTTTGAATATTAGATCGAAAGGCAGATGTAAACGCTATGCTATGCGGAAAAATAGCGGCTTCGATATGCTTCGCTGTGGTGCGAGGCATGTCTCATGCAAGCCCAAATTATAGATGTATATAGTACACATGCGCTTCTGGCTCATGGTGCGCAACCCTAGGTCATTTCATTACAACTTCTGGCTGTCGTCAATCGTTCCTCTCTTCAATGCGGTCTACTTGGGCAACTCCGGGTTCAGCTTGAGCTGCGGTACGGGAGGGCCGGTTCCAGCTCTCCGCCTGCGCTCACGCTCGTTGAAGCCAACAGGTTGGTCCAGCTGTGTGGTCTTCTTGAATCTGCCACCCAGATTGCGCATCCAGTCCTCGCCCTCGCCGGCATCAGCACCGAGCCAGTACTTGGGGGAGCCGCTGAGCATGACGCGGCCCAGTTTGCCCTTCCAGCCGCTGCCCTCTTCTTTGCCCTCTGCGAAGGGGTTCTCTGCGAGGTCAGTGGCGGATGTTTGCATGTTGTTCGAGTTGTACCATGCAGCGGAGGAGGCGTTGGCAGCGATGTGTTGGCGGAGGCACTGGCGGGCGAAGGCCAGCATGATGAAGACAAAGTAGACGCGAAGGGCCCAGAAGCCGGAGATGAGGGAGATGGACATGATGCTTCCGCTCTGGAAGACGGCGTTGCCGAGTCCCGCGCCACCATCTGCGCCCTGTCCGACTGCTACGGCGTGTTGGCCGGCTTGCATGCCCTCGGTCGGCTCGGCGATGATGTCAACCTGCGTGACGTTGTGCTTGGGGCTTGTGAAGCCCGCGTTGTCCTTCATGCCGGGCGACAGTCCGGCGTTCTCATCGGGGTGTGCGGCGAGTGTATAGAACCATGCGATGCCAAAGAAGGCTGTGTACAGGGCGTTGATGACCGAGTCGAGCGCATAGAGATGCGCCAGGAGGACCGACTCAAAGGGACTTTGTAACCGGATGTGCTTGTACAGGAATGTGGTAGCGACGAGCGCAAAGGTCGAGTAGAGGTACATGGACAGCTGCCAGCCGTCGATTTTCGCTCCCGTAAGCAGCGCGAGGAGACCGTAGACGCCGGACGCCTTGTTGATGACCTGTAGGAAGGTGATGACTTCGGCGCCTGTGCGGAGCGACATCTTCTGGAGGAACGTCTGCAGGCCAGAGTCAGTCTCGTCCTGTTGCAGCACGTGGTATCGACTGCCTGGGCGCGTCGTGTTGCTGGACTTACCTTGGGCCTGGGGATCTCGAGCAGGTGAGAAGGCGCCATCATGGTCGCGACTGGTCGTGGAGTCAATCTCCACGTGTATGTGAAAGCGGAATAGGCGTAGCTATGCTCTGGCTAAGACTGGAGTTTTGCTGTGTTTGGTAGGGAGACGACGTTGACCGTGAAAGAGGCTGATGGATGACGGATGCGCCCGGCACTGGGAAATTGGCCCATGTGCTCATCTCGCGCTAGCCCCTTTCCACGACTCGGACGCGCCCTTGACACTTCGATGCACTGTGAAAACTAGACACTGTAGTTAATCTTGTCTCTTTACTACAGCAATGCATATTAGGAGTTGTTTGCAGACATGAATAATCTCAAGTCTATAATACTAGTCTTTGTAAGTCTCTTGCTAGCAATTAATATTGGCTGCGAGGTAAGGTCTATCATTTCTATACTCGTTCCTTTTGTATGCGGTCGATGCAGTCTCCGCAATGAGCTCACATGAATTCATCGCAATTACGACCAGTTGTTGTTTCCACAATCGTCGGCCTTGCATCTACAATCGAGTTTCAAAACCCAACCCAGGCCATCTTGGTGGTGACGTAGCCCGCGCCAGTAGCCGCCAGCCTTCAGCCTCCGCCCGACCTGTGACACAACATCGCATGTAGTCAAACAGCATCTAAAACTACACTTGACCCATACTACTCTCTGCAGTTCCTACATCCACAAGTCGACATGGCAGATTACGTACCACCTGCGCCAAAGCTCCGCGAGCAGGATCTCAAGGGCAAAGTCGCCATTGTCACGTAAGACATGTTTCTACACTTGAATTCCCCTGTGCCTTTGAAGAGGTTATTCCTCTCAACCCGTACATGCTCTCTCGCATACATACCTCGAGAAGATCTAACCCAGAGTAAGCGGTGCATCGAAAGGGATAGGGCGGGCGATATCTCTCTCACTCGCAACACGCGGCTGTTCCATCTTAGGAACCTACTCGTCCCCCCAATCCGCCCACAACTTCGACACTCTCTCATCCACAGTCCGTGACCTCTATGCCTCTTCCAACAACGAGGTTCCAACCATGCGGGGCGTGGTCGCAGACATAACATCTCTCCCTTCCATCGGTACTCTCCTCACAGCTCTCGCTAACCATTTCTCCGGCAAGAAACTCAGCATACTCGTCTTCAACGCAGCCTTCAATACTCGACCTAGGATAGGTAGCGCCAGCGAAGCAGACATCAGCCAATCTCTAACAGGAAACTTGCACTGGCCAATCGTTCTCATGGAAAATCTGGTGCGTCAGGATCTCTTCACGCCACACAGCCGCGTCGTAGTCATCTCTTCAGATCGCGTACGAGATCCTTCTCCTGGATCTGGACTGTTCAATGCTACGCGCGCAGCAATGGAGTCGCTGGTGCGATCGTGGGCCATTGAGTTGCCGCATAGCTTTCCAGGAACGACAGTGAATGCTGTGTCTGTGGGACTGACGGATACACCTGGCTTGCGGTCCTTTCCCCCAGAAGCTGTGCGGGCGTTGAAGGAACAGAGGCTACCAAAGGTCAAGGTCGCCGAGGGAGGAAGAATGGGACAGGCGGAGGATGTAGCCGATGTTGTAGGGTTTCTAGTCAGTGAGCAGAGTAGATGGGTTAGCGGGAGTGTGATGGCGGCGAATGGAGGGGCTGAGTGGGTTGGTGGGAGTTCTTGAATGGTTGAGAGTCGAGCTTCTTCATACTGGTGGCCGCATGTGCGACGGGCAAGGTCTCGAATTGAAGGTGGTAGTACAAATCTAATACTTTGACGTCTCGTCGTAACTCTACAAACGCTCAACATGGTGCCGCTGCCATTGTCTCGCAACGTTGTCGACTATGTGGAAGGATAGTTACAGATATAACTAGAAGATACAATACGTAATACATGCATTCATGCAAAGGAGCCGTTGTGTATGACTTGTACCATCACAAAAACGTCCCAAAGATACACACGGTCACTCTTTCGTGAAGACTTCACGTAGAATCTCGTGTATACCTTTGGGAGAATCTCGTGTATTTGTACAAGATCATCTAGTGACTAGTTTGTATAACATCGTGCCGGCTTGCTTCGTCCGGCGTGCGACCTTGCAAAAGTTCGTCGACTTCTTCCGAGAGCTTTGAATTGCGCTTCTCGTGTTCGGCTGCGAGCGAGTCCAACTTGCTGGCCGGCAAATTATCTGGGTATCCATTCGCAGCAATTTGTTGCTTCAACGTTGCTACCGCGGGCCCGTCCACTTCGTCCACTTCGTCCACATCCTCAGGCTCCGTGACCATGGCCTTTCTTGCTTGTCCTCTGCTTGCCTTCATCCGTAGCCTCGCCTGCTCGATGAAAGAAAAGTCATTCAGCGTCTTTTCGATTTGATCTTCAACAAGCTTCTTTGTGTAGTTGGCAAGAGACCTAGTGGTGAAGACATTGGGGAACCGATAACTCAACCATAGATAGCACACAATCATTTTGTGAAGCTGCTCCAGTTTATAAAGGTATGAGCGGTCGCCGGAAGGAGGCAAGTCCATCGTTCCGAGGGGAAGAGTGTCAAGGTCCAACAGACTACCTGATTTGCCTTCTGCGATACATGCAGCTAGCTGGCGAAGGAATTCTCTTTCATGCGGGTCGCGCATGCTGATAGGCGCGGCGCAGATTATAATACGATCTTGGATGCTCAGACCTTTCACAGCATGGATGTTATCGGCAATCGCCAGCTGATCCTTGAGCTCACAGAGGTGGAATCGAGGGTGTATCTCGGAAATTTCATGTAGACGTAGCATTATGTAGCTGAAAGGCGTGCCTGGGGGGAAGTAGTTTGCGAATCGCTCAACGATGAGAGACGGAGGAAAGAGGCCAGCTGAATTGATCTGCTCGGGTTCGCGTTTCATGCCCAGCTTCAAGTTGGCGTGGTCGATGTGATCCAGTGTAGTGACCCATCCTACAGTCTTCGCTTCAGGCCTCTTTGCCTCGACGGCATCCGGTTGCTTGTCATCCAGGCCGATGGCGGGGTCGACAGCCCTGTCAGCAATCGAGGTTTGCTCCGAATCAGTAGTGGTTGCTTGGTGAGCGGTCTTGTAGCGGCCAGCACGACCCGCAATCTGCTTGATCTCGGAAATCTGCAAGGGCACATATGCCAAACCATTGCTTTTGATGGTAGATTCAAATATGACGCGCTTGATAGCACTGCACTAGTCAGCATCAGCCGCAGAGCGGAGTAAGGTTCCACTTACAGATTGAGGCCCATGCCGATGGCGTCACTCGCTACTAGGAAATCGTAGTCGTTGTCCGGGTCGTTGAACAAGCGTGCCTGTTGGGCTCTTGTCTCGGGCGGCAAGCTTCCGTATACTATGGCGCACTTCTTCCCCGTCTTCTTCTCAACCTCTCGGCGCAACGCATGGATACCCAGGACGGTAAAGGCGACGATGCAGTCACCCTTCTCGAGCCTGTTGAGATTTCCCCTCAGACTTTGAGCTTGCACCTCGAGTGGCGTCAGACGCTCGTACTCGTGTACATGTACCTTGTCGCCAACGAGGGCACAGAGCTCACGCATCAGCGGCACCGTCCGGGCTTCTCCACAAAGATGGATCTCCTTGGCTTGCAAGCCCAGGAATGCCTGTGTCCACGCCCACCCTCGCTCTTTATGGCTGATCATCTGGATCTCGTCGATGACAGCTACGTCAAACTTGGTGTTGAGCGGAGCCATCTCGACAGTGCAGCTGTACATGTTGGCGCGAGTGTCGTCGGGCATGCGTTGCTCCTCTCCGGTAACCAAAGCGCATGGCTTTCCCTTTGCATTCAGGCGCGTGTAGACTTCATGGGCGAGGAGACGTAGTGGACCGAGGTAGATGCCCGAGTCAACTTGTTCAAGGCGCTTCAAGGCGTGGTATGTCTTTCCAGAGTTGGTCGGCCCAACATGCATGTGTATTGTGCGAGTAATCTCTCGTGTCGCCGGGTACCACTCGGCGGGATAGCGCAAATCCGCCACTTCCTTCTGGTTCTCCAACTCTGCCGTCGTGAAGCGTCCGCCACAGGCCTGCGCATAGAACATGTATCGCAGCCTCGTCTCGAGCGTAGCCTTTTTCCGTTTGGCCTCACTCACCAGAGACACCAACTCTGGCGGCGCCTGCTTGATCCATAGGCTGATGGAGCGCTCGAAGGTGAGCCATTCCTCGTCGAACTCCTTGGGGCTTAATTGAAGACTGTCGAGGAACTCTGGCTTCACGAATTCCTGCCGTATTATGTCTAGTTTGTCCCGGACTATGTCAAACGAAGGACTGGTGGAACGATAGGCTCCTGATCGGAAGGGGTTCTTTTGCTTGAGCGGGTTAAACGACGAGGTCTTGCTGCCCGAGAGTTGTGATCGCTGCGCGGCCTGGATGCGTGGTAGGAGGCGTGGGGGATGCGATCGTGAGCGGGCGGCGAAAGAGCAAATGAGACACAGCGAATTCCGCCGCGCTGGCAGTAGAGGCATGCCAATGGTGGGTATCGTGCGCGTAGAAGGGGACCAGGAACTATAGCGCCATGCGCCTGCAACAAAAGAAGAGCAGCAGAAAATCAAAGTCAAGTCGACGATGTCATGTCGAACAAAAAGTTAGCCAAGCATCTGCTAGACACCTCCGGCGGGCAAGGGACCGTCGCCGCAACCTTCCAGGGTTGCGACACGACCTCTCTAGCTGCGACGCGCTCCCCACACCACCACCACCGCCCAGCCCAGCACCACGCCCGCCGCGTCCACCCAGTGCCGCTGAACACGCACCCTCGGCCCTCTGCTGCGACACAGCTGCACTCTCCACCGGCTTATTCTCCCTCGCCGGCATTGGCTGCCCTACCCCGCCAACATGGCGTCCATGATAGACATCCAACGAGAGCGTATGCGGCGACCTTGGGTACACAGAAGAGACGGCTGCTGACAGCACACACAGTCATTCTCAACTCGATCAAGCAGACCACCCGCGGCGACGTATGCAACCCCTGGCCGACGCTCGTACATGGCTAACGACTGCTGCACAGTGGAAGATACTCATCGTGGACGAGGACAGTCAGAAGCTGATCAACAACGTGGTCAAGGAAGATGACATCCTCAACCTCAACATTACAAGTATGCGACGCTGAACCCTGCCGGAGCGCCACTTTCTGACCTCGCAGACATCGAGCGCATCGAAGACCGGCGGCAGACGATACGCGACATGGACGCCATATACATCATCACACCCAAGCCGCACATAGTCGACTGCATGATGGCCGAGTTCGACCAGCGCAGATACCGGGGCTTCTTTTTGATATGGACCACGTTGCTGCCACCACACCTCAAGGAGCGCATAGACCGGTCGCAGATGGCACGCGAACAGATTCGGAGCTTCCGTACGGTGCACCTCGACTTCCACCCCCAGGAGTCGCACCTCATCACCTTCAAAGACCCCTGGAGCTTCCCCATCCTCTACCACCCCGAGTGCAACAACCTCGTAGTGCGACACATGGAGGACATTGCTGAAAGAGTAGGCGCCTCTCCTCCCCAAGCCACCTCCGCTAACAGCCCAGATAACTGGCATCTGCGTCGCACTGGGCGAATACCCCATTATCCGCTACTACCGACCGCGGGCCCCAACCCACGAGGCCAGCGTCTTGTGCTCACATCTTGCCCGCTTCGTCCAGGATAAGCTCGACATGTACGCCCAGTTCAACCAAGACTTTCCCCCACAGTCAAACCGGCCCCGCGGTGCCCTCTACATCACCGATCGATCCATGGACCTCATGGCTCCCTTCCTCCACGAGTTCACATACCAAGCAATGGCCATGGATCTGCTGCCGATACAGGACAGCGACAAGGTGACGTACCGCACCATCGTCAACGAGGAGGATCCCGCGGCCGAGGAAAAGGACATGGAGATATCCGACAAGGACAAGATATGGGTCGAGAACCGCCACCGACACATGAAGGACACTCTCGACAAGCTGATCAGCGATTTCCAAAAGTTCATCGCCGACAACCCCCATTTCACCAACCAGGATGCCCAGAACGCCGCCGGCATGAATGGACTGAATGCAATCAAGGACATGATCGCTGGACTGCCGCAGTTCCAGGAGATGAAGGAAGCCTACTCTCTTCATCTCACCATGGCGCAGAAGTGCATGGAGATATTCCAGAAGCACAAGCTCCCGGATCTGGCTTCCGTCGAGCAGGTAAGTCGCACTGACCGTAGGCTCGCACCGTTGCTAACCTTTGCAGTGCCTGGCTACTGGCCTTGATGAAGACTACCGGAAGCCCAAGAACATGACTGACCAGATTGTGCGCACCCTGGACGATGAAGAGATAACGCCAGCTGACCGGCTACGACTTGTCGCGCTATACGTTCTCTTTAAGAATGGGATCCTACCAGCCGACCTCCAGAAGCTCCTCTTCCACGCACAGCTGCCGCCCACTGACGGCGAAGTCGTTCGCAACCTTGACCTCCTTGGAGCGCGAGTCGCCAGACAGCTCAAAGAGAAAAGAGACGCTCCGCCACCGCTTTTCCCGCCTAAGCCAGCCCCGCCACCAAATGCTGAGGATTACGGCTTGTCCAGGTTCAATCCCGCGTTGCAGGATATGCTAGAAGAGCATGTCCGCGGCAGCCTGCCGCAGGATGTCTTTCCCTTCACAAAGATGTCGCCCGACGATGCCGCGAGCATGGCACAAGAGAATGCTGCGCCTGCGTCACTGCGCTCTGCAAAGCCGACATGGGCCAAGTCGCGGCTCGCAAGTGCAGAGCCCCGTCAGCGAGTCATCGTGTTCGTAGCTGGTGGCGCAACCTATTCCGAAGCCCGCGCCTGCTACGACGTTTCAAATAAGACCTCGAGAGACGTCTTCCTCGTCACATCGCACATGATGAAGCCGCAGCTCTTTCTCCGCCAAGTTGGCGATCTCAGTCAGAACCGCCGCAACCTGCGCTTACCCATCGACCAACCACAACCGAAAGCTCCAGCGCATCTGTTCGAAAAGCCTGAGCCGCCAAAGCCTGCGCCGCCCCCTGCTGGCACCAAGCCCCCTATGCCTGGAGGCCTACCGTCCGGTCCCAGAGTCGCTGGTCCAAAGCCCCCGACCGCCGCCATGGGCGCCATTAATCTCAACGGCCAGCCACAAAAACACAGCCCTTCGTCCTCGCAGAGCAGCACGAAGCCTGGCAAGGAAGAGAAGGAGGGCAAGGAAAAGAAGAAGAAGAAGTTGCATTTGTTTTCCTCCAAGCATTAGTGGTGCTTGTTAACGTTTCTTGCTAGGGCGGTGCATACCTTTCTGGCGTTGTTTTGCTTTGTTCATAGCGAGGATTGATACTGCTACATCTGCTCTTCTTGCGGGGTTACTACATAACAGGCATGGCGTTGGTTGGCTTGCGTAAAATCTCTGGCGACTGCCCAGGCCTATTTGCTTTGCTGTGGGTAATAGATGGCAAGGATGCCGTTTGATAGACCAAGTTGGAAAAGTACTCATCACCACTCTTGCTTTCCTCGACTTGTGTGCTCTGGATCAGTCGGAATATGCTTTGTGTCTTCCTACCTCGGATTGTAGTCTCCCCTGACTGATATCTCGTGTTTTCTCTCATACCCCAAAGTCCAGACTAGTACGCCCATTTGGTTGAATAGTCCCTCGGACTGACAACAAGCCCCTTTCCCTTGCTCGCTCCCCTATACACGGCTTCTAAGATGTCAATCAACTCCTGCTTCGTGCCAATAGGAAAGTTGATCTTGTTGTTGTTGCCCGTGCCAAAATCGACTTGCATGTGCTTGTTGCGCCAAAAGAACATGACAGTGCAGGGATCGTAGATCTCGTACATGGCGTTGAAGTCTGGGACTTGCTGTTGTAACATCAGCATGGACAGGCGAGGGACAACAGCACAGGTGAGGGAAGGGAACTCGCCTGGTTATCAACGACGTAGATGGCAACCCAGTCTTTGACTGCATCAACAATCTTGTATAGCATCTCGTCCATCTCCATACATTCGGGTGTGTAGTCGTTTCCGAAACGGAGGCACACTATGCGGGCCTCTTCACTGAGCTACGTATTGTGAGCGGCCGGCACGGAGTGAGCAAGGAGGAACGTACAATGGCCTGATCGACGTGCCACGCGGAGGGGAGGTGCTGTAGCATCACTGAACCCATGATGACGATTTGTTGAAAGAGACGTGAGAGGGACGTGGGAGAGTCGCAGGACAGTGCGGGTTGTCTTGCAGCAGTGAATGATGAAATAAGAGTGGACGGAGCTGAGGAAGGTAAGATCAAGTCGCTCATCGCGTGTCGTGTTTACCTACGACTACATTGGGCAGTTTCGTTTGCTCCCAGCTCGTTGCCTACAACAGAACACATCCTTACATTTCATTTGCGCCGTTGAGGAAACCATACGCCGCCGAAGTATAGATAAAGAAATTCGGTTCATGCCAACAGTCTAATATCTCACACCCGTCGAGTAGTATTCCTCCACCGTCTGCTGAGGCGCATAGTATTCCGTCCGACCACTAGGCGCAACATTCCCTGTCCGCTTCGCTACCATCTCCCGCACAAAAGCCTCATAACTCTCGTACGGTCGTCCAGCCGCCTGTGGATGTTTTGCTGCCCAAGCAAGGAATGCCGCTTTCTGTTCTTCTGCGGCCTGCTGCTCTTGTTCCAAGGACATTTTTTGCTTCTTCGCTTTCTTGCTTGCGGGGCCCGGAGTTCGTTGTCCAGTCACAGGATCACGACCAGCCGCTTGACGTGCTTCAGCGAGAAGGTCATCGCTGGTGGGTGTATCTGAGGGATGAGACGTTCTGTTGGCATTACCGGATTTCTGGTATGGATTTGACTTTCCGCGAAGCTTATTGATAGGGGACAGTAACGCTGATGTGATTGATAGCCCAGCCATCTCTGGGGTTGATGTGGAGCAAGTTCCGCGCTCCTGTGAGACTGGTATCGTAGTTGTCGAGCGTATCAAAACTTAGACGAAAGGCTCTCGAAGCCCGTCCACCTGGTCTCCCAAACGTGGATGCAGCACGCTGAGGGTTTCACAGAAAAGTGTATCCCAAGGACCCTTCACTGTTGTTGGACAAAACACTCCGGTGCCGTTGAGTCGAGATCACTTTGCAGGCTCCCAACTCTTACGAACAAATACTACCCGAAGCTACTGCGTTTATACTTCGTTGGAGACGGACAGCACATCGTGGTGGCAGCCTACAAAAAGTCAGGGGTATGAGCGGTAAGGCGCCCAGCTAACCGCATTGAGAGCGGACAATGAAGAAACAGACAAGTGCCAATAAAGTCGAGTCGTACTGATCAGGGACGGATGCCAGGACTATTTTGAGCATGTGGAACAAAATTACCAAGCTATCTACGAGAAAGTCATTCTTACGAGATCTACCTACAAGCGCAAAACCTATTTTGGAAGATTACGCAGGACTGTTACATTTTGAGTAGAAAAGTAACTGTGTCTACCTTTGGATAAATCGGTTAGAGATGAACTTCTTCGTACTACAAACGATAAACATGTCGGAATAAGCGCAAATGCACAAAAGATCAACCCGTTTCGAGGTTTAACGAAGCACGACAAAGCGACACTGGTGATGTGCTTGCCGAGCGATGAAGTGAAGAAATCCAGCAGTCAAGAATCAGGAAGGCTGGAAGAAATAAGACAAAAACGCCCAAGAAGGCCAGTTAGATGGCCGTCCACATTACCACATCCTCCCCTTGCCCTTGCTGCCAGCCGCTGGACTAAGCGGTGGAAAAGCGTCTTCGGCATCCTTCCTGCTCTGCTCTTCAGCAAGACTCAACTGCATGGCAAACTCCAAATCCGACATCTCGCTCTCGTTGCTCGATCCAGCAGTGGTCCTGTCTTTTCTGGGGGTGCTGCCCTGAGAACGTGACGGCAGAGACTTTTTGCCTTTGGCATACTTGATTGGAATGTCGAACGCGGAAGGCGGCGTAGTGGCGGGTTCATACATGTCAGCACCAGAGCTCTCATTAAGAGAGAGGCGAATAGCTTCAGCAATGTCAGCATCCAGCTCTTCATCATCCTTGACGGCAGGCGACGAAGGCTGAGCTTGAATGCTCGGCTCTGGCGTTACAGTCTCACTGCTGAAGGCACTACTCTCGCGCTCGATGCGGCGCAACTCCTCCGCCTCCATAGTCTCCTGGGAAAGCATCGCGGCGTATGCCAAAGCTTCGTCCTCGCTCAATAGCTCCGTACCAAAACGACCAGCCAAGCGCTCGGCCTGCTTTTGACGTTCTTGCCTGTCACGCTCCAGCTCAGAATGCTCGTTGGCGATGTAGTTCTTCAAGTTAACTCTGCCCGTGCCAGCAAAGCGCTCAGCAGTATTACTTCCGCGTTCAGCTCTTCGAAGTCTACGTTTGCTGCTTCTGTACTGATCGGCGGCAGATGAGCTGTAACTCCAGAACCGAAGCTGATTACCAAGCGATACTGCACCTCGCAAGACAGTCGGATCAGGGTCCAGACAGACGGCACCGGCAGCGAACATGTTGATACCGACTCCTTGGACAGAGGCTTGTGCCTGTACGAGTTGTCTCCGAGCACGCGAAGCATGTCGAGAGTGAAGTGTTGTGATAGGTGACATACTCGAAGCCAGCGGGTCCCATGCCTGTACCAGGCCGTCATTTCCGCCTGCTACGAGATAAAGAGAGGTGACAGCCAAGCATGATATCTCTGGTGAGTCGGTGTAGATGATCCGAAGAGGGTCGATGTTGTTTGTATACTCGGACGAGCGCGATGTGGGCGCCCGGATATCCCAAAGCAGCACTACACCAGACTTGGTGCCAGCAGCCACGAATCTCGCGCGCTGACCAGGAATGTCAGAGGGAGATGCAGGCTGACTTGCAACTGACATTGGGGAAGCGTAGGGCGAAGACGCAGTGGAAGAAGTTGAGAAACCGAGCGCGGGATCTTCAGACAGGGTTAGAGTGGCGAAAGTAGAGACGTCTAAAGTGGTAGTGGTAAGCTGGGTGCTCTTGAAGCCACCGAAAGTGAGTTTTGAACACCTCCATTCTTCTTCGGACAGGCTTGCTCGTTCTGGCGAACTCGTAGTCGACATGTACGAAGAACTGCGCTGACGAAGAGAAGAGGAATCTAGAGTTCCTGTGCCTGGACCGCCGAACAGGGATGTAGTCGGCGCAGGCTGAGGCGTCATGATACGACTCGAGGTAGTTGTACTTTTTTCTTGGTCAGTCTTGCATCGAGTGAAACGTCTGACGTCCGCAACGTCTCCTTCTTCAAGCCCGCATTCGAAGACGACCATGGCCTCTCCAGCGTGGTTGCCGTCATCGCCAGCAAAGTCGACCTCAAGTCTTCGACGCATATCCCATCCAAGGCACGTCTTTCGGAAATGCTTGGGTTCCTTGCGAAGGAACTGTTGTATCTCCCTGGTCTCGGCGGTGATTTGCTCCTTGCTCAAGCACATGCCATCCCACGATGTTCGGGGCGAGTAGCTGCCGTCAACATCAGCGTCGCTGTATGGATCTGGTCGTGCAGTGCGCCGGCTAGGCTCTACCAGGTTCCAGTACACGCTGCGACCAGTAAGCCAGCCCAGGTATTCTGAGTATTGCTCAATGTCATCCTTTGGGGCCTGGCTGCGGGTTGGAAATTTGGTCAAGTAGAAGATCTCGCCGAGAGCGTTCAAAGCGACCGCCCAAATGCGGTTCTGAGCATAGCGCTTGGCTGAGTATTGCTCGTCTACGGCGATGGCGATGATGGGTACGCCTGGACTAAGAACCCAGCGCGCAGTCAGCTCGCCACGCTGTACGCGAGATGTACGGAGACCATCTGTACCAATACTGCAGGCACTGACGACACCAGCTGCAGAGCCCATCATCATCCCAACCAAACCCTCCGAGAGCGTGGGGATTGTGCTCGACTTGGCGATCCAGACACTGCAGATGGCACCACCGTCGATACCTAGCTTCGGTATACCGACTTCTGGCATACTGAAATCGCTGGGTTCGGCTATGAAGCGACCGCGCATCTCCTCAAGGGAACGATAGTAACACGAGCCTTCTGGACAGCCCTGGCCATAGATCATGCCATACGGCTGCGATATGTCCATGACGTTGGGCCGTCCGACAACATCTCCGGAGCCCAGTCCCCACTCAGCGACACCAGGAAAGCGTTCTGAAAATTGACCGTAGAAGTGGGGGTCGCTTTGTCCCCACGGATCGACTTTACCCGTCGTCGGATCGCTGCTGGTGACCATGCCAATATCGTCTGCACCATGAATGAAACGCGGCATCTTCTTATTCAGACCAGACCCAAACGTGGCCTGCAAGTGGTTTATGATGGTATACGTCTTGGCATCGTAGGTTATCATTGGGGTGACTGTCTGCATCTGAGCAGCGCGGGATGGTGTTGAGGGAACCTGCACAGGCTTGCCTCTAACGAGCGACCGCAAGAGTCTGGTGCGTAGAATGTACTCGCTCCTCCACGAAGCCAATGCCGTAAGCCTAGTGAAGCGTCTCTTTTCTGACCGCACGACCAAGCCATCGCCCTCAAGAGCTGAGCGGAACGCGGCGTCTTCGAGCGAAAGGGGGCCGGGAAAATAGCGACCAAAAGCCACCTGCCAGGCGTGTGGGGTGGTGACTGCATCATGGAAACGGCGAGAGACAAGGGAAACGGCAGCAAGGTCGTTCGGCGACAGGTGGGCAATGGCGTGAATCAGGACCTCTGTGCAATGTCAGCTCGTGTCCAAATGTTAAGCACTGTCAGTCTCGCGTTGTACACACCATTTGGCAGCTTCGAGATAGGAGAGTTCTTGTCGCTAGGCTTCTTGTTACTCTTAATAATCTCAAACAGGGGCCCATCAGCAGGTTTCCGTGGTGAAATCTTCAGCGCATTCTCGTATTCAGTGATTCTATCCCTCGGTGGCGGCGAGGGGGACGCGATGCGCTTCAGTCCGTCTGGTTGCACGGTATCGACGATTCCATTGTTGGCCTTGTCTGGACGCGTCGCATCGGGCGGTGTTCCCGTGTCACCCCACAGCTCACCCGAGTGAGGCTGCAGAGAGTCCTGCAAGTCATCGCTGCGGTGCTGTCCATGCTGGGATGCGGTGGCGGGGTCGGGAAAGGTCTGTACGTGGGAAACGTTTTGTGATACGTTTGTAGGCTCTGGCTGCATAAAATTGTGGAAATGGTTCGTGGATGAGGGCAGTCGACCGAGCTGGATGGCAGTGCTCAGTCAAAGTGAATGGATGCGTTCGCGAGGATGTATGGTTTCGTAGTGTTGGTGCGAGGTGAGTTTGGGGGTGAAGTTGATGACTCGGTTTGGGGTTGCCAAGATAAGAAATGCAGTGACTGATATGACGATCGCCACTCCGAGATGGAAGCTGCGAACGTGGGGTAGCAACAGAGATGGCACTGGCAAATCGCATCAACAGACCCACTATTACCTTCGCATCTGGCACGTAGAAACGTCACGAGTACCGCTTAGTATCTTGTTAGTTGGTCCATTCCGATAAGTTCCGAAAGAAAGAGGCACCGTCACAGGAGCTTGTTGTCTCTTTCCTACTCGCAAAAGCTACGCAATTTTGAGGTCAACGTTAACAGAAAGGTCATAATGTATGCCTTTAGGATCAATTAGTGCTTAGGGCAGAACTAAGAAGAAACGGGCTTCTTTGTGTGAATCATCTATACATACAGCCAAGAACAAAACGCCAACCGGTCAACAGTCATAATCAAGGCACATACAGCCGTGAGTATGCGGCCACGTTCGTCCTGCAGCATACACACGCAGTATAGTTTTTCGACGCCAATCCCACCCGGCAATCATCGCACAAGCTCAAACACCCACACGGCCATACCAGCACAGTCCTTGGCGACATCTGACAAACCACACACTGTGGTCCCTCCGAGCCCATGCCCTCTGCTCCCGTGTCCCAGCTCCCAGCATTGCTCGCGCCCTGCGGTGCAGCCGCGCTCCGGCGACTGAGGATGAGGTCTTCCAGAAGCTGCTCCTCTTCTTCTGCAGACATGCTGACACTATCACCCATTTTGTAGCGTGATGTTGTTAGGATCTTAGCTTCTTCGCGCTCCATAGCCCTGCGGTACTGCGAGCGTGTCATGATGTTGGAGCTCTGGAGATGGCGTGACAGCAGCTTGGCTTCCTCTCGGTCCTCCCTGGTCTTTGGGTCGAGGAGTTGAGAAAGACGGGAGAAATCCATTGCATCGTCAGCCAAGGGTGTTTCTTCCCGACTCCGCTGGTATGTATCGCGTGTAGGCGTCCTTTGGCCATCGTCAACGTCTGACCATTCATCGTTGTCTGTCGTGGTAGCATAGGATACGACGCTCGTAGTGTCGTCGTCTTGTGGAACAACATAGTCCCGGCTGTTATCAACCTCGTTCCAGAGACTGCCGTTGCGCCACCAGGAGTACAGATAGTCGTCGAGACGATCCTCTGAGTCCTCGGCATCTGGTTGAGAGTAGAAGCCACTCTGTCGGAGCCTCTCCTTTGCGAACGACTCCACGTCGAATTCTCGATTCTGACGGACTCGGGACCGGTCATCCATGGTAAGCCATGGCTCTTTTGCTGATGTAGTTTGGTTTTGGTATCGGCCTATGCCAGCTGCTGAAGCATACATCTTTCCATCGTCATCAACAAGTCCCACAGTACGTCGTAGCCATCTAGGCCGGTAGCTGATCCCCACCTTGGCCAATGCCCAGTCTGTGATCTTTGCAAGGCTGAGGACGATCAACTTTGATATGCGAAAGAAGAATTGGTATGTTTGGAGATAGCGACTGCGTTGCTGGAGCGCGGGGTCATTCTGTCCCATGGCATTAGAAGAATCTGCAGAGGTTATACCTCGCGTCTTGCGCTCTCTTGCGTAGCCTGACGATGATGTATCCGTCCTGACATCACTAAGCTCGTCAGTCACCTCAACGCCCTGCGCAAATGTATCGTTTCTGAGTTCAGATGGGATGTTGGTGATCATCTCTCTGGTTTTTCGCCGTCGAGCGAGCAGTTCCTGTAATCTCTGCTTTTCAAGCCAGGTCATTGCATGGACATTGACTCTAGTTCCCTCGTTAAGGAACACGGCTTCACTCGCCGAGGTCAGAATGACATAACCTACCTTGAGTATAGTGGTGTAGAAGTCTTCGTGCCAGTTGATGGTCAGGGGCGTGATCGAGGATAGATGAATGTTGGCATGTAGATTACCATAGGCCAAAGAGAACCTCTCTCCCAATGTCAGATTTTCGGTGCGTCCTGCAGGCGGGGATATTACGGTGACAAGAAAAGCCAAGAGGTAGATTAGTGCGCACACTGCAATGCCCACGAGTATCAGCAGGTGTGGGATGAATCCAATGATGCAGACAGTGGGAAATCTCAAGATGCCCACATAGTGATCTGGATCAGTGACCATCCTAGTGAGACGGACACAACTCCAGGCGAAAGCTGACATGTATGCTAGCCCACACATTGTGGTCGTCACTAATCGCCATCTCGAGCGCACCCCAGCAATTGCTAAGAGGTTGCTTATGAAGTGGCTTACACTAGAGATGAGAGATATCAACAACACTTCTGGCGGCACGTTGGCCATCCTGGAAAGCTTCGACCTTGGAATCATGAGGGAGGTGCCGTCTGGGGTGAAGACCGACTTTGGTTTGAAGAAGCGTGTGGAATCGACCGCCAGCGGCTTCGTCACCACTGCCTCTGCCTCTGCAAATGCGAGCGAATGTTCAAATATGGTCATTCCGACTTCCTGGATTGGACGTCTTCCCTGCAGGGCGCACGCCAGGGTATCGACAAACTGACCAAAACCGAGGGTCACAAACATGGGCCATAGAAGCGCTAGTGACCCAGAGGACCGCGTGCCTGATGGATCCATGGGTAGCATGTTTGCAGCTCGGCATGAGTCCTCGGTGGTTTCCCAGAAGAGCACCGCCGATGCCACTTGCCACAGATAACCGCCTTCGCCGCCAAAGTCTGTGTCCAGCTGCCGTTCGTCCGCTCCATATTGCATTGTCGACCACCCTGGCGAGGTTTGGCATCGTATGGCTCGTAGGATGCTCTGTGCTTGGTAGAGGAACAGAACCAGGGGCATGATGTAGAGAGCGAAACGGAGGTAAAGGCGGTCGAAGGATAGCGGAACGCGACTATTTCCATAGAAGTGAGTTCTGTTGAGGATGATTGCCTGCGAGCATGTATTTAGTACGAAAAGTGCAAAGTCCATGAGTTTAGGCTTACGATCGCGAAGGTTGCGATGGCCCATTTGGAAGTGATGTAGCTGAACCAGGCAGCTACATTCCTCAAGGCCTGCCATACTGTCATGTCGCCCTCAGGTGCTGCAGCCGCCGAAGCCGCAGCAGCAATGGATTCCTGCACAAAGCCAGGGGTTGCAGTTGTCATGGTGCTGTTAGTCAAGTTGGCTGTCGGCTCCGCGATAACGCTTCCGCCCGAGCGCATCATGTCGCCAAGAGAGCTGGCTTTGGAGAACAGACGCGGCAGTGCCATGAGCAAGTCCGCCGGCGACGGCAAGAAGGAAGTCGCGTTGGCAAACGCGCCGGGAGTCTCCATTGCGGACGACTGCGGATCCGAGTATAACCAGAACTACGTGAAACGTCGAAGGGATTAGGCAGTTATTCGACTGGAAACATGGTAGCTGTGAAGTAGACACAATCCGCAGCAACAGTTGTGTCAAGCGTTATGGGAGTGCTTGAAGGTGGGTGGTAGCTTGGTCCGCAAGTTGGCCGTGTGAAGCGTGGGGATGACGCGACCCGAGCGTGCGGGCTGCAGCTACCTGCATGGGTAAGCCTCCGCTCCACCTCCGAGGTATGGAGCTTGTTAGATAAGTTGTACCCAGCACACGAAACCTACTCCAATGAGATGAGCGATGACTTATACTAATGTAGGAGGAGATAGGATAGACTGTTTGCGTTTGGGTGTAGTAGGCTAGAGGACAACACGTCACACGAGCTTCTTCGTAAACACACCACAGTCTTTCCTTAAAATGGTAATGAATACCATGAATTCACGTGCTAAAAACTAGTCGGATACGAATGATCTCGTGTCTCCAATTGTACACCTGAAACTATACCTAGGCAAAGCTGACCTCGAAGGTGTACAATTTGTTGTACTTTGAAAACCTGCAGACAAAGTAGCAGCGTATACCTTCAACGCATACTTGATGACAACGGGCTTCCTGGCATGCTGTAACAGGTCGAGCATCATGATTCACGCGAGTTTCCAAATCACGCACCTTGCGTGACTGCACATGGCATTTCCAAGTTCTCTATATTCCAACGCCATTGATGCGGGTATGGTACAATCATATACACTCCACAGCAGCTTCCGCCTACGCTGTCTTGGGCTTCTTTGTTCCGTACTTGGACCGCGAGGTGATCCGGCTACCAACACCACCCTACAACTTGTTAGCATCGTCTTTCCCGTTGACATTGGCCGCTGTATGTCTTACCAGATCCAACGCTCCTCTGACCAAATGGTACTTGACACCAGGGCAATCTTGCGCGCGGCCACCTCGTACCATGACAACTGAATGCTGCTGTACGTTGTGCCCTAACCACTGGTTAGTCTTTCTGCCAGTTGATTCCACGCCGCTCTTCCATACCTTCCCCTGGGATATAGGCCGTAATGACCTTGCCCGTACTCAGTCTGACCCTCGCAATCTTCCTCTCGCCCGAGTTGGGTTTCTTCGGCTTCGTCGTTCCCACTTTCAGACATACGCCCTTCAGCTCCGGCCTATCCCTCAATTGTGGCGATCGGAGTTTTCGCGCCTTCTGCGCTATCCGCCCTTGTCGCAGGACTTGTATTAATGTGCATTTGTTCGCGCGAGATGCTGGTGCTGGGCTGATTGCGAAAGCCGGTGTGCTGTGCTGGAACGCGGTGGCGGCAATTGAGGGTCGGGTTGATCGCACCGGGGCGAATGGGGCTGCGGAGAGGACCGAGGGCCGCGCAAGGCGTCGGAAGAATGTGAGAGACATGGTGGGCGCTGTGGTGTGGCTCGAGATGTTCGCGATGGACAAAAGTTCGAGTTGCACCAGCAGATGTGGCTGACTCAGCTAACATTGCCGGTTGTATCGCCAGCCACGGACACGCCGGACGTTGACTTTATTGTCCATGCCAGAGGACCTGAATTACAACAATTGATTCTCTGACTGGATCACAAGTCTGCACTCAGTCTGAAATGAATGTTCTCACGGGGTTGTGACCGTCTAGCCTTTTGAACACTTCCTTGCAGTACTGCGACAAGAACACAGATCCAAATCAACAACACGATCACGATATCGCCAATCAAAATCATCAGTCTCGGCGCAGGATTTGGTCGAGAACATCGGACATTCTTCACAAAAAAGGGAGTATCAAACACTGCAATCAAGTCTCCACCATTATAAGTCTGTGCACAAGCTACATCACAACCTGTTGTAACATTCCCACGCGTCTCTAGTATGGCTTCTTGGGGTCTTCTAGACAGTGCGAGCCTTACTTCAAGCGAGCACGTCAGTGTCACGCGTCTCCCGCCACTTCTGACGGCTTTGGTGACCAGGAACGCAATCGTACACAGTGTATTCAGTGATGCCTTCAAGTGTAGCGCTGTGCTAAGATAGCGGTAAGAGTCCAGATTAAGAGCCCATCTAAAGGAAGTAATCGGGGGTCCTTCGTGAGACCATGGGCTCGCCAGCACGTGGGCAAGGGTCAAATTGCAAGCTGTGGTTGCGTTAGAGAAGCGCAACGATGTTCAGCAAAGTGGAAGACTTACAAGGTGTACTTCAGGTGCTCATCAATCTCCATGATCGCGGCTTGGTTGCCACATCTGTAGCAATAGTTGGGTGCTGTAGAATGTTAGTCATGCAATCAGGGACGGAATGGGGGACAGCCTACCCGAGAAGATGGTCACGACATTCCTGTCTTGCGACCAATTGTACCCCTCCATGACTAGCTGATGAGCACGTGCCACTAGGGTCAGGCCGTTGTTGTGGTTGAAGGCCTCTGAGATGTCCTGGCCGAACGTGTATCCTGCACCGCGGGGTGAGATTCCCCAGCCACACCTGTCATCTGGGTCGGACCAGAGCAGGTCGCACATTGGTCCCTCGTGAGGCACCTCTTGTATGCGGTCAAGCGCCCTGATGTTGTCGAGCGTGTCAATGCTAGGAGAGAGACCACCGTGCAGACAGAAGATCTGGTTGTCGATCAAGGCAGTGAGCGGCAGGTAGTCGAAAAGGTCTGTGAAGTATTTCCACACATTGGCGTTGCCGTACTTGCGGAGACACTCGTCGTAAAAGCCGTACACTTGGGTGATTTGACGGGACTCGTGGTTGCCACGGAGGATGGTGATGCGCTGGGGGTATCGAATTTTGAGCGCGACCAGAAGGGTCACAGTCTCGACGGAGAAGTAGCCTCGGTCGACATAGTCACCTGTTGATGTCAGTATGGATGAATGCTGCTGGGGCAGGCAACGCACCCATGAAGAGATAGTTTGTGTCCGGGTTGGGGCCGCCGATCTTGAACAACTCCATCAGATCGTGGAACTGGCCATGTATATCACCGCAGACTGTGACGGGGCATTTCTGTACCAAGGTGAGCGGATATCGGACTCGCAGGGGAGATGGTACGTACCACTGGCTGTACGTTGGACTCGTCCTGGAGTACCTCGCGGGCCTGTAGCACAATGCTCGTCAGAAGATGCAATCTGGGCAGTTTTTCTGCGCGAGGCTATGTCGCATACCTTGTCGCATAGTCTCTGCACATCGCTCTCGGCCAGCTGCTTGCAGCTCATGAGGCTCTCGATCCAGCCATCCAGCGTGGGGATTGTGGTCGGCTCAGACGTGGGGGCAGACGACAGCTGCATGGGCTCTGGCATCTTTACGTCCTCCATATTGGTATCCATGGTTGCGGGGCGGCGGGATCGATGTAGGTGGGGTGGACGATCGGTTGTTGTGGTGTAGAGCTGTCGAGGGGTTCTTGCCCTTCAAACTCGGCCAATGACGTGCAGCAGACGCGAATGGAGGCGGTAGGCGGGAGCGACTTTCAATTCGAGGGATCGTATAATCAGAGACTGTGTGGCGTACAAGGGGATATCAAGGGCGGCAGCAGGGTCTATGACAGGAATATGGGGAGAATCAACACCACGCACCGCAGGCATATACAGCCTTGGAAGCGCTGGCCGCAATGGAGAATTGTTTGTCCGCGCCGGGTACCAAGAGCCGCAGAGGATTTAGCGCGAACTGCAGCTGGTGTCCGTGCGCAGATGGGCGGACGCTACTGCGGGCAGCTTTGTGCAGCAACCGCGACCCTCGTCCTTTCTCCACTTCACACTTCATTGTCACTATTGCCCATCGCAACCACCAACGCGACAAGTAATAGCAACAATGCCCGCAAAACGCGCATACAGCGCCTACCTCTCCAGCATGCCTGCGGATGTGCCAGTGGTCACTGCCAATGGCTCCGGCGCTCCACAACTGCAGGTAAGTGCTCGCTGTAGGTATTGACCTGGATGAAACTCACAACGACGGCAGGCGCAGCACACCGCACCTTCCTCTGAAGAATACCTACATGTTCCAGGAGGATGGCCGCAAGACGATACCACCGCCACAGAGGAAGTCATACCTCCGCGCGCTTCTCTCTTCAACACGCTCGGCAAGTGGGCTGCAACCGTCAGCGTTGCCAGCCTGCTCTCACTTCCAGCGCGCCTCGCAACCCGATACCTCCGCCGGCAGACGATCAAGGCGATCCCGATTATCTCCTCGACTGGCTCCAGCAAGAAGCGCTTCATTGCTGCAGGCGTGGCAGATGAAGAGTACGCGACACCTTCCCCTTCAGTGCGCGCGCGCGCGAACCAAACGCGTCGCGAAAACCAAAGGCAGGCGCGCGCGTCACAGTCGTGGAATGGTAGCCTGGGCCCGCGTCAGTTCCGCGACTCACCAATTCGACATACGTCACCAGCCAATACACAAGATTACGGACTAGAGACTACACCCACAGGCGGCTACTCCAACAACGCGAACACATCCCTCGAGCCCGAATTTGGCGACTCTGAAGACGCAAACGCATCCCTCGATGTCAATGTCGACTTCTCTTTTGACAACATTCTCACGTCCACCCCGGGACGGAACTACCAGACTGGCTCTCCCATAAACGTGTCCTGGGACTCCCCTCAGATTGACTCACCAGCGAGCCCAACTCCGTCTCCCCAGTCACACGACTATGCATACGAATCGCCTGCTTGCGACAATGCAGCTCCGGCATGGCTCTTTTCTCAGTCTCCTGCTGCGCATACCTCTCAGCATATTACACCATCAGCGCAAGGATCAGCAAGCGCAACCCCCAGCTCAAGCCGCAATAGCCAGCGTGCTATCAAATTGCCCACAGTTACACCCATGCGACGCCAGCTGTTGAAGCTGCAGCTTGGCAATGATATCAAGCGCAGACAGGCCGCGCCTCTGACGGAGTCTGCGGAACAAGGTTTCGCCGAGACCCAGTCGCCTCAAACCAATCCCGAGGCAGCCAATAAAGACTCCTCCACTACAGATGCTTTGTCATATGCATCTCCCCCCGAGCCACACACACACAAACCTCACAACTCTCCATCAGAAACTGATGGTTCGCCGATGCAAGTTGACTCTGTGCTTGCTACCCCAGAGTTCGAATACGAAAACGACTTGTCGTTTCTTCTTGATGCACCTACTCCACCGCGCAGGAAGGGAGTACGTTGGGAAAAGAATGCTAAATGCAAGCCCTTTTACTTTGATGAGAGAGTTAGCGAAATGCTCGACTCCACGCTAGAGACTATCACCTCCAGCCCGGTCAAGAACTACCATGATGTGTTCCAGAATCCTAACCGCGGCGCATCAGACGGCAGTCAGGCCGCATCCTCTTCCGGCTCTTCACCGGCCAGTAGCCCAAAGATTACGCTTTTCGATTCTCCTGCCAAGGACGGTGGATGGCGCGGTGTCTCTATAGACACCTTCAATGCTCCAGATGAATCGCTCGAAGAATCCCAGCTATCACTAGAGCTTTTCGAGGATCTCCAGAGAGAAGTACAGAGGAAGCTTGCCCTGGCGCCACCGCCACCGAAACCACTTGTCGCGCCGCTCTCTCCCAGCGAAGAAGAGATACTGCAAGATGCTGCAGCAAAGACCAACCACGGCCGCAACGCCAGCCAGTGGGTTATTGAAGAGAAGCTGTATGCTCGGGACTTTGCGACCTTGTTGCCTCGGGACTTCAACGGCGACCCGAGGGCTTGGCTGAACGACAACATTGTCAACGAATATCTCTCCATTCTTGTCGCCGCAAAGAAGAAGGAGATGGGCTTTGCACACAAACGTAACGGCCCCGCACCTCCACTTCACGCCTTCTCGTCCTTCTGGTATCAGACCCTCGATACCTCGCGCTGGACCAATAGGTTCCAGCTCAAAGGCAAGCAATACCTAGATGCTGATCTTATCCTCTACCCCATCTGCGACAAAGGACATTGGCGCCTGCTTGTGGTCTATCCCCAGGAACGCTCCATTGAGTACTTGGATTCTATGGGCCTTGACGGACAGAAGTACATCGACCATTTAGTGGCCTACCTCGAGAAGGAGCTCGGCGAACACTGGGTCCCTGGAGAATGGACCAAAGAAACTTCCCAGCGGAGCGGACAGCAGCTGAACGGAAGCGACTGCGGTGTCTTTACTCTCATGAACGCTTTGGTCCTTATCCGTGGCGATGCCCCTGACCGCGTTGTTGCTACTAACGGTATGGACGACGCGCGCAAGCGTATTGCAGCTACTCTGCTAGCCGGACAACCTACTACCGAGCTGGAGTGAGCACATTTTCATCACTCAAAAACACGGATTCTACTTTCATTTTACATTGCATGGATTGGCTGGGAATTTTGTTTTTTGGATTGTTTCACGGCGCATAGCATGGTGTTCGGTCGCTTACGAGGTTCTTTACGACGGTCATGACCTTGATACCCCATGATACCCATCGCCTCAGTGGCATGATTGTTTTGCATATTTGGGAGGCATTGTTCTTGTTTTGTTTTGTTTTGTTCTGTTCTGTTTTGTTCTTCGCCTATATGGCAGATGGCACGCATGTTTCAATAGTGGATGGTCTTTGCTCTTTTTGTTCTTGCACCCAGACACAACTGTCAAGGTATTTGCTGGGTGGTTCTCGTAGATACTTTAGTGTAGCACTAATGCATTTTCCGGATGTTTGTAATATCCGTTCGCATTGTGTAAAGCTCACGTCGTTGTCAGCAGTGAAGTAATTTGAAGATTATTATTTGCTACATTCCAAGCTCTAAGCAGCGACCTTGACGGTAAGCTTGCCAAAGTGCTTCTGATCCCACATGTATTGGTATGCCTCTTTGAGATCCTTGAGCTCGAACACCTTCTCATCGACAACGGGATGTATGTCGTTGGCCTCAATCGCCCTGCACATATCTTCCATCTGTAGTCTGGAACCCACCAAGATACCACGTACAGTGCAGATGTTGCTCAAGCAGTCGAGGAATGTAGGCTGCTCCTTTCCGCCGCCACCAATGAAACCAATAATGGTGATGACTCCATCAATAGCGACAGCCTTGAGAGATTGCGCCATTGTGGTCGGGCCACCGACTTCGACAACGTGCTGTACGCCTGCGCCGTTGGGTGTGTACTTTGCAGCTTCTTCACCCCAGTTGGGGGTCTCCTTGTAGTTGATGACGTGGTCGGCACCGTATTTCTTCAGGATCTTGGCTTTCTCTGCGGAACTCGTGGTAGCAATCACCTTGGCGCCGGCTGCCTTTGCGAATTGTAGAGCGAAAATGGATACACCGCCGGTACCTTGTGTAAGGACTGTGTCACCGGGCTTGAGAGCGCGCGACTCCAGGCCGTAAAGAGCATTCCAGGCTGTTAGGGCGGCGCAGGAGAGAGTTGAGGCTTCGAGCATGTTCAGGTTGGACGGGGCTTGGACGAGGCCAGCCTCATCGAAAACACCGTATTCTCTGAGAGTGCCATCAATGGCGCCTCCAAGGCCTGTGCCAAGAGATTTTCCATCCAGGGAGCCGGCAATGTGGCCCTGGTTGAAGAGTGTGACCACCTTGTCTAAAATATGTTAGACTATGCATCTGTATACGTGTAGAAAAATACGAACCTCCAGGCTTGAAGCGTGTGACATGCTTGCCGACCGATTCTACGGTACCAGCACCGTCTGAACCGGGTACAGTGTTGTCCTTCATTGGGAAGGGGTATTTGCCCATGGGGATGATAAGGTCGCGGTAGTTTAGCGACGCAGCGTGGACTGTCAACCGATCAGCATTGCGGCGAATAACCACTCAATGGATTGTACATACCCTTTACAAGAACATCCTTGTCTCCAATCTCAGGCACCTTGGCCTGCTCATTGAATGTGAGAGAGTCGAAGCCGTTCTGGCCCTGGACCGTCCATGCCTTTGTCGTTGATGGTGCCATGTTGTAGTTGTTTGTGTTTGATGAATGATTTAGTTTTGGAGAGCGGGTGTCGTGGTATTTTAATTAAAGTCCTCAAGAAAAATTGGGAGCTTTATGACGTCTCGGCCATGACGGTGTTTGCTCTTTTATGTACTGCCATGTGCATGTGGGGTGGTCGAAGGTCCGAATAGTGACGCAACAACAACAGGGGCTAGCTTACTTCACGTCACAGCCTAGCTCCCCTGTAGACTGCGGCTATCCTAGATGATTAGCTTGATACATGAGTGGTACCATGGGGAAGATCCAATAGCGGCTTGCCTGTTGCGGTGTTGCTCGTGAACCGCCGGTCTAGAAGTCGGATCCGTCAGTGCGGCAAATGCTGCTCTACCTGCATCGCCGGGAATTACTCGGATCTTCGGCGAAGGTTCAGGGTAAAGAATGGGACAGCGTTCAAACATGGCAGACATCGGCAAAGCTCATTCCTCGAAGCGGCATTTGTAAGCCCAATGTAGTCGAGGTGGGTCTGCCGGTAAAGAAACACGAGGATGTCGCGTGGTTTCGCGCCTACTCATGCCCCGCTCTGTCTTCCACTGCCTTCTATGCGCGACACGTTCGTTAGTGAACATGCAACCGACGGGGCAACTATGCTTACCTGATTATGTCGGCTTTATATTGCTGCGATACACTAGGTTGATGATGAGTAGCTTTTCTTGTAGACTGCGGCTTCTCCAATGCTATTACGAAAACCGAATGTAGCCTGCATGATCCCTAGGACCATTTCTAACATGGCTTACAATGCACACTTATGTGCCCTTTGTAGCTTGTAAGATACCATGTAAGGCGCGACTGAGAAATACTAGCTTTGTGTATCAAGCTTCATGACGCAGCTTGGCAACAGGAACAGCGTCACTAAACTTGAACTCGAACACCCCCCAACGCGCATAGTTATCACGCTGCATTCGCCTCATCGGGCGCGTCGAGATAATGAAACACTTCAGCTATCGAGTTTCTTCAGCTTCCAGCCACCCGCCTGCAGTAGCGCTTAGTGCGTTAATGCCCTACCAATAGCCAGTCCGTCGCGCCACGAAAGCGCAGTTCCCCGGAATGGACCATATCTAGCGGGGCCATGTCGAAGCCATTCGGATAAGCTCCAGCACCGTCTCCCTTCTACTCCAATCTCTCGAGGAATGTGAATGCGAGAGCATGTGCGCTCATGAGACTTTCCCGCAGTCGTCTTCTTGTTGAGATGTTGCGTACACTCGCTGTGTCGCATGTGTAACCCCTCCGCCGAACGCTAGCATTGTGGTATTGTTCCCATGACTGTGCCGCAGTCTCCTAGATCCCCAGAATCGCAGTTACGATGACCTCCCGAGGACCTCAGTCGGCGTACTCTTCCCGAGACGTTTCCCCAGATTCGCGTCCCGAACCTTACGACCCGTTCCGCTCAGAATCTGATCCTATCGAGCTCGCCTATCTATCTCAGCCGTCGCAGGGCAGTCACACAAGAGAAGGGCTGCAGCCGGGAGCATACTTTGGCCTGTCACATGGGGAGAGTCGATATGAGCCTGTTCGTGAAGGATACACGAGTCCTGGTCTCTCCGCACGCTCGACGAGGGAGTCAACACACACCCTAAACTCTCTCTATCACAAGAAGGCTTGGGACGCAGACACACAAGCTCTGGTCGACCGCCGTTCTGGGGAATTGGCGCAATGGCACATATATTGGACTACCCCAGCACTCATTGTAGTGTTGTTCCTGGCTGGGTTCGCGGCAGCAGTGGGCCACCACTCGTTCTATATGCACCTTGACGGGCAGCCGGCCATCGAGCAATTGAAGATGGTCAGGTACGGCACAGCCTTGGCATTCTTCGTAAAAAGCACGCTTGTTGGGACTGTCATCATGTGTAATCGTCAGCGGATATGGTACACGTTTCGGCGAAAGGCGATGACGATTAACGGCATTGATGGCCTATTCTCTGCAACAGAAGACCCAACGCAATTCTTCCTAAACTGGGAGATGATCAGAAACGGCAAGCTTGCCACACTGATGGCCGCCTGTACTTGGGTAAGTCTACAAGTCTTGACGATATGTCTGTACTGACGGCATAGTTACTACCGCTTGCATCCGTGCTGTCTCCGGCGTCGCTCACATCTGAGCTCAGAACTTTCAATGACAATGCTACGTGCTCTGTGGCTACCCTGAACTTTGCCCAGGAGTCTACATACGACTTTCGGGACATGAGTAAATATTCGCTGAAAAGCTTAAACTTCTACAACACCACCCAGCCAGCTGCAGAAGAGAAACGAGATCTTAGAGACGAGGGCTATTTCGACTACTATGATCAGCCGTCGAAGAATGCACGCCGCTTGGCTTTTAGTAGTGTGTACATGCAGAAGCCACAGCCCAGGGAGAATGCATCTTCAGTGTTTTGTGGATCCGGTTGGAACTGCACGTATACGATTGGATTCGTTGCACCCGGGTACAAGTGCGACGACGTTGACGATACCGATGGATCTGACGCGCCTTTCACCTTTGCTGATCTTGCACCAAATGGGAGCCTTGTGTATTCTGCGGACGTTGACCAAGGCGATTACGGGCACCAAGAGCCGGGGGTCAATGGGACGTCTTTGGGTGTCTTCAAAAGCGAACCTGTTCTTTGGATCGGATATGCGTACGTGTCCCTGTACAAACTACATTGATACATACTGACTTCGTACGCCCACGTGTAGCGTCAATACGTCCACACCGTATCCAGATGACAGCTCGTATAGAGCGAAATGGGGAAACGTTCACGAGCCTAGGATATTCAAATGCGTCATGCAGTACACCAATTACACGTTCGACATGACATTCAACCCCAGACAGTCTGCAACGCGTCGAGAGCGAGTGTTTCTGCGTCCTGTCATTGGCGAAGATCCCGTTAAACCCCAAGATGTAGAGAAGTACAAGTTGACGGCCTCGTATCACACCATGGGCTCGCTTTTGCGTCGCTTCCTTCGTGGCAAGATCGAGCAGCAAAAATTCCTGGTCACCTACTCGGATCTGTCTGAAACGCGACTGGCCAACAGCAGCACATCGTATCCGCTGGTGGACCTGAAGACAGAGATACAAGACTTCTTCGAAGATATACTCATCACCCTGCTCAATGAGCCGAAACTGGTCGTCGCACAGGACCAGGAGGTACCTTGCGTGAAATCACGTACCATGATGGTGTATGTGTACTACAGGCGCTCCCTCTGGATTGGGTACGCAATCGTCATTGCAATCACTTTTGCCTTTATACTCGTCGGCGCATGGTCACTTTATGAGAATGGAGTAGCGTCTGACGTGCTCTTTTCCCGTATCATGGCCACAACCCGCAACCCTACCCTGGATCACTTGAGCGTGGGTGCGTGTCTGGGCGGAGATCCCTTTCCTAAAGAGCTGACACGGACGAAACTACGCTTTGGTGTGCTACTTGAGGATGATCCCAGGGAGGGACCTCTGGGAAAAGTCGAGCATTGCTGTTTTGGCACCATGGGCGAGACAAAGGAGATTGTCAAGGGTGGCACGTACGGCTAAGAGTATCAAGCTCGTAAATTTAAACCAAGTTTCGAGACAGAAAGGTCGTTTTGATTCACATCAGTATTTCATTAGACGGGCCGTCAAGACCAGCAAACTGTTAACAAATGCACAACAAGGAAACGTGACAAGCGAACTACGACTGGTCGCCCATGCCCAGACCCAATAACTCGAACAACATCGGGTTAGCTGCAACAGCTATATATGCAATACCTACTACGGTCAGTCATCGCTGAGATTATCGATGCGCGATACATACCAGTGTACACAATCAGCTTCGTGACCACCTCAACATCATAGCGCACTCGTGGCGTCGTAAGCTTCATGAAGATCTCTCGCTTCTCATTCTCCTCTTCAGTCGGGCTCTGTGTGAGCTTGTAGACGTCGCCGGCAACGTCTGTATCGCTCTCTGGGGGAGTTATTATATTCTTCTCCTTCGTCTGCACTTCTCCTGTGCCCATCATCTGCTCATACGAATGCACACGTGATGCCATGGGTGTGGGCAGGAGACCGGCACCAAGCAACGGCTCCCCCTTTTCGATATTGGGCGTATCGAGAACAGCTGGACTGGGAATCCAGGCCGAGTCTTCAGGTACAGCACCATCCAGCGAATTGACGCTTTCCCGTCGCCTTCGGTTTCGGTAGGCAAGCGTTTCGTAAGCATCGGCGGCAGATTGCGGTCCGACTGATACAGATCTCTTACGTGGGTGAGCGAGGTTCTTGAGCATGTGCGGCAACTCTGACGCAGGTGGGATGACGTTGTCGTCGTCAGCGAAAGGCTTGATAGACTTGTACTTGGAGGCGTTCAGGAAGAAGGCGCGGGGCATATTCCAGCGAGCTTGCTCCAGAATGCGAAAGATGGGCGGCAGTATGGTAAACAACGCAGGCTTCATAGTCGCTCTCCAGACAAAGATAACCACAACACCAAGTAGAATGCGAATGGTCGCTTTCAGCAGACCCATCTCTTCCAGGTCGAATGGGACGGACGACGGGTATGCGTCTTTTACTGCGTAGCCAGTCTGCGCATAGTGCCACGCACCAAGATTGATGCCAATGACAACGCCAGAGAAGGACACGCTGTCGTCGTAGCATGGACAGTCGTCAGCGGGCTCCGGGTGGACGCGGACCAGAACGCACACGACCAAAGTTGCAATGAAAATGTCCATATAACTTCCACTAAAGACGAACGAGTCCATCCAGTCCCCACATACAAGCTGGAAAGCCGTAATCAAGGCACCCATGATGCTCCCGACCAGGACATCTAGAAAGCCGTGCATGCCGCAATACAACCGCCCCGCGATGATGGAAAGCGCATAGAAGTAGAAGAGGGCTTGCAGACCCATGTTCCAGTTGGAGCTGTCGCGGTCGGCCGACTGGCGCAACGTGTATATGGCGTAGAAGGCGACGGACACGGCATTGGCAGAGTGGGACGAGGGGAAGCCGTACTCGAGGGCAGCGGAGCCAGACATGGAGATGCGGGCGAGGGGCGGCGACAGGGGCCTGGGCAGACAGAGCATGTCCTTGAGGAAGCCAGTCCAGTACACACCGGCTGCAAGCATGAAGACAGTCCTGTGTACGTCAGACGTCGCACGATAGTGAATGACAGCGCCCGACATACGCTCGACCGATGCTAGTGTAGCCGCACCAGAACTGGATGGGCAGGAAGACCATGAAGAAGGTGTGGGTGCCGAGGTTGGCGGTATAGGCAAAGTACGAGTCGAGTGCGGGCGAGCGCATCTTGTCCTGCATCAGGGCAAGCCATGGTGTTTCCCAGCGCACAATGGGTATGAGGCGGTTCCGCAGGGCATTGCGCCACCGGGGCAGTCGCTGGGCGTAGTGGTCGTGGCCCTTGTTGCCGGCGTCCAATTTGGGCTCCGTGGTCGCGGCGGCGTCGGCGGGCGCATCATGTCGCGGACTCATGGCAGCGGTCGCAGAAAGGGGGTGGGCGAGTCAATCGAACGTGCATGTCCAGCGCGGGCAGAGGGAGTCTGGATGTAAGACGAGGCCGTGGGTAGATTACAGCATGCCATGGCATCGATCGATAGACATGGACAGGCACCCTGCAATTGGGCGCTAGCTTAGCGAGCCGCTGGTGACATAGCGTGGTTGCCATATGCGACCGAGCACTCTAACAGTCAACATCCGACTCTCTTAAGCCCCGACCACTCGCTCCCCACACCAACTCCAACACCATCTTCCTTCTCCGTATTCATATCCTCTGTCTGAAACTTGACCCCGAGCAGACTGCCGCACCCACTCACCATGGCCACCGCACCTTCCCAGAACTACGACTACCTCCGGCGCAAGCAGAGCACAAAGGCGCCCGTTTCGTCAATCACACCAGTCCGCACCCACGCCCGCACACCGAGCGAGCGCAACAGCAACGGCACCGTCAGCTCATATGGAACCACCAACACGCGCGACACCGCCATCACCGAGCCCCCGGCCTACTCCAAGAAGCTCGTTGTTGTCGGTGACGGTGGATGCGGCAAGACATGTCTGTTGATCAGCTACAGCTCTGGCAACTTCCCAGAGGTACGCGCCCGAGCAAGTACACGTCATGTCATGCCAATGCTAATGCGACGTAGAAATATGTACCAACCGTCTTCGAGAACTACATCACTCACACGCCCCATCCCCCGACAGGCAAGATGGTTGAGCTTGCTCTGTGGGATACCGCCGGCCAAGAGGAATACGACAGGTTGCGACCGCTCTCTTACCCCGAGACCGACGTCATCTTCGTGTGCTTCGCCATTGACTGCCCCAACTCACTAGAAAACGTCATGGACAAGGTAAGACGCCGCCAACTAGTTCATCGTGCATCAGCTGACAATGCCCAGTGGTACCCAGAGGTCCTCCACTTCTGCCCAACAACGCCTCTTATGCTCTTGGGACTCAAGTCTGACCTGCGCAACAAGAAGAACTGCATCGAGCTCCTCAAGACACAAGGCTTGACGCCCGTCACCACCGAGCAGGGACGTGCGGTCGCAAAGAAGATGGGCGCTGCGTACATGGAGTGCAGCAGTAAAGAGCAAGACGGTGTCGAGGAAATCTTCGACATGGCCGTCACAATGGCTGTGGGCGAGGAGCACAAGGAGCAAGAAGAGCGCCGCGTAGGCACAGCCACCTCGTCAAGAGGGAACACATCAGCGTTCCCCGCTGGGGGCGGCAAGAAGAAGAAGCGCAGCGGCTGCAAAGTGCTATAGCCTGTGTCTATCGAGAGGAGAGCATATCGAGATTCACGACGCTGGACGACACGATCAAGATGTTTAATGACCACATACGGCTCACCTCCATCACTGTCCGCACATGTTCGCTTCCTCTTTAATCATAGGGAAGTCTTCTCATGTACATGGTCGGCTGGCGTTTGGGTTTTGTTTTGACACGAGAATGGACACAGCGATTCAAAGGTCCACGTAGCAGCATTTTCTTCCCTGTATCTGTATTCGGTATTCTGTATGTACGCATGGCCGGAGTTGGCGCCGACTTTGCCTTTGCATGGCAATAAATGAGGTATATTTCTGGAACCTGTCTCGTGCCCCCGTTTTTGCTTCTCTTGTTCTCGACGTGCAACACCACTACCAGATCCTGTTTCTAGACGATCGTGATCTGTGCCAATGACTCGTTCTGGGGTATCATTACATCATTCAACTTATCGTCATGGCCTGTTCGACGGCTGGCCGTGCACCTCCGGGCGCGTTGTCCACGAACTAATAAGCTAACAAGGTGTCTCCTTGCAAACGCTCATTTCCGGTCCTGAGGCACCTCTGTCTCGCCCTCGTGTTCCGTCGCACCGTCTTGCGCACCCTCCTGTTGCTCACCCGGATCTTTGGCCATAACGTTCTCAAAGTGGCTCCAGAGCGACTCGACGGGCGCGAATTCGTTCCCGACCGACGTGACCTCCTCGAGCGAACGGTTCAACTTGTTGATGTTTTGCAGGACAACTTCCAGACTCTGGCACTTTGTTAGGATGCACATGGTTTGGGGAATTAATTTGAGAGACTGCAATGCGCTCCGTGATGGGCTCTGTGGCACGTACTTGGGCAATCTCAGTGACGAGCATTTCGCGCTGTTGCTCGTAGTACGTCTTTGGCGGCGCGGCATCCTGGCCGTTGGTCGACGCGAAGTATGGCGGTCCCATCTTTGTATTCTTTGGTGTTGATGCTCGGCGGATCTTGTTTACAGATGCAGCGCCGTTCAAGGTTCTTAGTAAGCGATCCCCTCAACGAATCACGAGAGAGCCACGCTTATAGGTCCAAGCGGATAATAGTGGGTCCAAAACTAAAAAGCCTTTCAAAAGCTCAACCTGGAGCTCTTCGTCTCTTGTTCCCTATACTCGTTCTCGCGACGACATTCGCCATGTAGGTAAGCATCAATTCCTTCTACTACTGTTCCTTTACATGATTAAACCAAACGAAAATCTGTCAATCCTCATAGCCTTGTCAAAAGGACTGCTGAGCTTTGTATATCACACTATGACATCCATCTCTTGATCACGTTCACCGCTCTTCTACTCGTTTGGCAAGGAGCTAACGCAGCCTCTGCTTAGATCCATACCATGGCGGCAGCTCCGGCTCCCAAACCAGTTAAAGAACCATTCCCCATATCCCTTGTGGCTGGCCGTTACCTCCTCTTTGATGTGGACGTTATTGCGCACTGCCGTCGCACGCACAACATCTGCGGTCTCCTGGTCGGCACGATACCGAACCTCAGCCAACAGAACGTTTTTCTGGGCGTACCACTTGAACTCATGCCGGAAGAGGCTCGGGTACTCGTCGATAAAGGCGCTGCGTATATCGTGGATGATGCGCAGGCACATCAGAAGGCTTTTGCGGAGATGAGCCGAGAGGACAGGCTGAGGTACATGGAGGAGATGGACAAGCGAGGGGAGGACGTCACCAAGGAACAGACCGAGCTGGCGGAGAGGCGGAAGGAGAGGGCATTGAAGGAGAAGGGCCTGAAGAGGGAGGAAGTCGAGAAGGGTAGCGTTGCGGCGAGCACGACGTCGGACGAGACGCTCCAAGCAGACGACTCCAGTGTCGCGAGCTCCGGGCTGGGTTTCATCATGAAGGGTTCAAGCTTCTCCGACTCGGCGGCGCCAGTAAAGGCAGCCAAGGTCATCTCCAGTCCTGCCAGCTCAGTCACTGATAGCTCGGATCTTGGTAGCTCTGGTTTAGGCTTCATCATGAAAGGCTCTAGTTTCTCAGACTCCTGGGTGCAAGTCAAGGCCCCCAAGATTGACTCCTCTGCCGCCGAGGTCTCGCTGTTCGACGCTGCGCCCCCTTCGCCTGCTCCTGAACCAGCCGTCCCCGTCCAGGGTAGTGCGCCGAAAGGCGTCGCCGCCCAGAAACACTATGTCACACCGACAACTTCATACCCACCCCTCTCCACGCCCGCAAAAGACCCTGCTGTCCCTCCGCCGGCTGTGCCAGACAGCTATCCGTTGTTCCGCTATCTGCACTCCAAGGGCTACTACCACATGCCTGGGCTGCGCTTTGGGTGCCACTACAACGTGTACCCGGGCGACCCACTTCGATACCACAGCCACTTTGCTGCTACAGGCTTAGGCTGGGACCAGAAGTTCGACCTGCTCGACGTGGTGGGCGGAGGACGTCTCGGCACAGGAACGAAGAAGGCGTACATGATTGGTGGCGAGAACCCCGACGTAGACTCGCAAGAGGACGAGTCCGTGAGGGCGTTCTCTGTTGAGTGGGCGGCTATATAAGTGCTGGTCACCACTATTCATGGGAATTATGACTTGACGAATACAATGCATACATAGAACAATGATGAACTTTGTTCAACCTCGATTACTCTCGATACTTTGTTTTGTCGTGTTTAAAACTCCAAAGCAGCCGCGGTGGCTTTCCCTCCCTCCTCGCTAACCTTTGGGCCTTTGCCCTTCCTGTACACTCTTGCGTCCCTAGGATCGAATCCGCCGTTTCCCCAGAGCGCCCACTCCGGCGTCTCCTCGCCGACGTAGTCTTCCGGTCTCCAGCCCACCACTTTCCCATCCTCCACTCTCGTCCCCTCCACCTTGCCTTCGTAGAGATCGAAGAAGCGCTCAAAGTCGATTCTAGTAGCCCATCTGTCGTTTCTCTTGAATCTTGTGCGGTCGGCTAGCAGGATGCAGCAGGAGTGCGCGTGCTCGGCGCCGATACCATAGGTAAGTCCACGGCTGTTTAGCTCTTTCTCAAGTTCAGTCACAAACTCGGCTACTTCTTCGTAGAAGGGGACGTTCTCCATGGTAAGGCCTGCAGAGCCAGCTGCTGAGGTCCCGCAGTATGTAACGCCCTTGACCTCGACGAAGCCAGGCAGAGCGCGCTCAACGAGATCAGCGTAGCCGCGCACTTCCTCAGCCATGTTGAAGCCTTTGACCAGCGTGAGGCGGAAGACGGTGCGTTGCTCAAAACGACGGTTGCGGAGGATATCCAAGCAAGCACAGAAACGCTCCCAGAAGTCTCGATGCAGGGGCCGGTCAATCTTGCGGAGACTGTCCTTGTTGGATGCGTCTATGGAGACGTAGAGCTGCGTCACTGGGATCAAAGACGCTAGCTGAGCTGGGTGCTGGGCGTTACAGACAAGGAAAGTGGAGATCCGGTTGCTGTGCATGATCCCGAGGAGCTCGTTGATGTGCGGGTAGAAGATGGGCTCGCCGACCAGACTCAGGGCACAGTGACGAATGCGCATGGCTTCGCTGAAACGCTCGGCTCGCACTCCGGGAACGCCCTTCATCATCTTGATCTTCTTGTAATGTGCTGTGGTGATGCCGTCGAAAATCATGTCTGGAGCATCGGTTATCCAGCGCCATGTCGTGCCGACGGGGTTTGTGCCGTGCCGCCAGCAGAAGACGCACTTGTTCGAGCAGGAGAGAGACGGAGTGGCTTCCATGCACAGGTGAGAGGCGATGCCGTAGAAGGAGTACTTGTAGCAAGAGCCCCGGCCTCGCAGAGCGGATTTAGTCCATCGGCAGATCTTGACGCCCGAATGAGAGCCGATGATGCTGTAGCCTTGTTTTGTGAGAGCAGCGTAGGTAGGGGAGGTGGTAGGCACCATCTCCTTGGGGGCCTGGAGGGATTGAGACTTGGCTGGGGATTTCTTGTAGGTCGTAAAGTCGACGGGTATTGGTTCGGCGGAAGAGTTGACCATCGAGCCCAGGTCTTCAACGTCGTCTACTCGCGTGCTCTGACCGTTTTCCTCCGCCATGTCTTCTTCGTCGCTCTCGATAGGGTCTCCACTGCCCGGCACGCCTTCACCAAGTCCTCGTCCTTCGGCGATCTCTACAAGCGCGTCCTGGACCCCTACCCTCCAGTCCTGCAACCTTTCTTCGGCCTCGCTCTTGACGTCCGCCATGCCAAGCGGGTATGCTCTTTTCCTGCCCGTCAACCGAGCCATCCACTTGTCCACTTCCCTCGACTGGCTGCAGAAACCCTCTTCCTCGGTCGGCCACCCTTCCCTGTCGCCAAAACCAAACACAGTGTATCCCACCAGACCGCTTAGAGGCGCCGTATCGATCCTGAAATCATTGTGTGTCTCCTGCAGGCTCTCCACAAAGACGTCCAAAACGGTGTCAATGTTGTACGTCGGTACGAGGATAATGTAGAAGTATTTGACGTTCGCGTCGCCCTTGGGCGAGCTGATGAAGTAGTCGTCGTGCTCGATGTACGATATGTCGAGCGTCTGGGGCTCCAAGAAGGACTTGGATTGATCGCAGCCCCTGTCGAGATGGAACAGTCAGCGCATGCTTCACAACTATTTGCGCATCAAACCTACCTCGTCCACTCGGTGAGAACTCCCGCGAACTGCTTAGCGTAGCGCTCCGTTGTGCCAGACAGCGACTGGAAGAAGACCAATGGCTGTATCCTATCCGTTTGGTGGTTGAACGTCGGAGGCGCAATAAGCTTCTTCGGTGTCTTCCTGCCCTTGACCATCTTGGGCCCCTTCTTCACCTTTGCGGCTGCAGCCACCGCCCTCGTATCGTCCTCGGCATGGTTGTCGACATTAAGCTCCGACGAGTTGAGCGTGGTGTATTCGGGCAGCCATTCGGGTTTGAGCTGGACGGTGGGTTTCTCCTCTACCGGCACTGGCGACGAGGGAGCTGGTGACAAAGAGAGCTTCTCTCTCCGATCGCGCGAATAAATTGCAAGACGCACAACCGTCGCTACTACCAGTGCAGCCAGCAAGATGGGGAGTCGGTGTTGGTGCCAGATGAAGAGCAGCTCTGCGGCGACGTCAGCAACATAGATTGTGATGAGGTGGTTAACTGACCAGCTGGCAATTGTTCCAGCAGCTCGAGTAGTGCCATTGCGCTGCTCTCGACGTTGCGCCAGCGTCGTGTTTAGGTACGAACTTTTGGCAAGCCACTCGCATGGGGTCCGTTGGTGGGGTTCGAGTGCATGCCAGTAGCGAGGAGCCATTTCCTAAGCCGTACCCCACATTTCACATGCCAAGCCGCACATGCGTCGACCATGAACCAAGGGCGAACCACGAGACACCATCTCTGCACCCTTTTTGCAATAAACATGCTCAGTGCCATTAACGCCTATGTCAACAATGAGATAGCCAAGGGCGGAAAATGCTACGCCGATACTACTATACATTCATCATTCGTGTGCCTACGTTCCGGTTCCAGCGCTCCCCTGACTATTCTGTCGTCGCGGTGCTCTCTCCATGCCCTCGACCACACTGCCCCTTTTCCCCATGCTATACATGCTCCCCTCACTGCCCTGTCTACGGCCAGCTATCCCGCCAGGCCCCCCAAATGTGCTACTTAGTGTCCAGCCTCCGGTTGCTGGGCTAGCGTCCCTGATACTGATCGCTGGCGGCAGTCCCAAGCTTGGAATCTTGTCTTCCCCTATTGGTAAAATTCGTGGAGACGGAGATGGAGCATGGCGGAAAGCTTCGGCATAGAATGCGGACAGCAGCGAGGCGTTGGAGCAGAAAGCTTCAACCTCATCTTTGACCTGTTCAGGGGTGAGAGGAACACTAGATGCAGCGGCTGGAGTGGTCGCTGCTGATCTCGGGTCGTGGAATGTGAGCGCAGTGTGGAGGAGACTGGAATCTTGGACTGGTCGTGCCAGCGGACTCGCAAAGGGACTGCGGTGCGGGTTGCCACGCTCTACTGCGGGTGTCGATGGTAAACGGCTGCTTTGACTACCGTCTGTGGTGGCTTTCTTGTGCTCGTAGGGATCCACAGGCCGGATCCTGCTGTGGTCTTTGGCACGGTTGTGCGCGAGCCTATTTGCTAGCAGAAGGAGGTTTCCGTCGTCAGATATCTGGGCAAGCAGGCCTCCGCTCTTGTGGATGAACTGTGTATACTTGTAATCAGGCGTGCCCCAGGAATACGTAACTTCAACGTCGGGTGGAAAAGCACTTGCAGCTTCCATGTCCAACACAAAGTTGAGCCTTCGAAGCAGGAGCTTGTGATATGCAAACTTGTCGGTTTTCGGGTACTGTGGAGAGAAGCTCGTCGAATCCCACATCGCCTCAGGCTGAGCCTGGGGAGGCTGTAGTGCAAGCTTGACTACATAGGGCGAACGGAATGGATGGTTATCGACGATGTCCGCCACCTCCGCGATGGGCACCTCCACCAGTTTCAGACCATACTTCTCCACGCTCGTGGCCCAAGTAACGATGGCATCTTCGATGAGCTTTGCAGTAACATTCATCCAGTCGATACGGATGTGATAGCAGTTATCGGGGTTATGCAACCGATCGTAGTGCAGTGAAATGATCTCGGGTCGGTACGAACGCTTTCTGGGGTCTACATCATAGCGCATAACGCGTGACATGACGACTTTCCGCTTATGTGGTTCGCCGCGTGTTGGTGTTTTCTCCCCTTCTTCGAGTGAACCGGAGCTGTTGGACGAAGAATCGGCAGTGTCCGGACGTGACTTGGTGTGCTTTGATAAAAGAGGCGACGTGCGAGGCGCCTCCGCCAGCGGCGTGGAAGGAACAGACTTGTCCGTCTTGCGCATACCAAACCACCCAGTTCGAGATTCGACCCGTGGAGCCCTGTGCTCTGCCGCGATCTGGAAGAAAAAGTTGCCATCGCGGAAATGATGCCGTCCCTGCACGTGCTGGAAGAGGCCTTTCTTCATCAGCTCGTTGCCAAAGTCTACCGCCTCGTCCCGCGTTTCGATGTCTTTGAAGTTTGAGAGCAGCCAGTTAGTGAGGTCAAAGCCGAGAAAACAGTTGTAGTGCAACTTGAGATGCCATCGACGGTCAAGCATCTGAATCCCCTTTTCGCCCTGCAAGTCTTCCGCGAGCTTTTTGATGTCTATACTAGACGTGTGGTATTTTTCCGCATCGGAGAAGATGGACGTCTGGAACTCGCTGTCAGTGTCGTTGAGCAGGGAGTGATCCGGGCCGGCCGCAACGACCGCCGAGGGATCGCGTGTGTGGTATTCAATTGCAAGCGGATTCGGGTCCTTTTGTTTCAAAATGGACGCTGGCTGGAAGTAGCGCTCTTCTGGAGGAATATAGCGGAACTTCTGCCACAGTTGAGTAAGCTTGCGAATTCCCTCGAGCCGGATCTCCTCAGGCGAGTCCTGCATAGGCAACGGTCTCCGATGCATGGCTGGTATATCCACTGGAATTAGGACAAAGCGAGCCCTCCAGAAGCGCAGTATCTCCGAGAACTCGTCATGGTATCCAGCCAAGAAAGTGTCGATGATGTTCCAGTTGTATTCTCTCCGTGGTGGACGTAACACAACTTCTCGAGGGTCATATGTGTCTTCAAACGCAGTGCGGATAAAAGGTTTGTACGAGAAAGGCGTATCAATGCCAGCAGACGACTCCAGTGCTGTGGTGGGCTTCCGGTTGTATCTCCTTACCTCTACCTCTCCCCCAGCTACACACACTAGCTGGTGGATACTGTTTCCAACGCTCATGAAAACAGTGTCTCCATCACTAGACATGTACTCGGGATCAAGAATGCTAGCGAGAGTCTTCTCTTGCCGGCCTGAAAACTCCGCTACGGAAGAACCAACGATGATTTGGAACCCGTGGGAGAGGCGAAAGGCGATTAGCTCTTTGATAAGAGACTCTCGGCTCTTTGGTGCTTCCAGAATATCGTCGTCCTCATTCTGCGTAATTTTATATGGACTTTCGTTGTACTCTGATGCTATTTGGTCAACAGAAGGGAACCACTCGTGGGTCAGCGGTACTGCAGCAGGCGAACACAACGACCTCCACTTCACCGTGCCTGTCCTCAGCGTCCTAGGGAAGACGTGATGCCAGCGCCGGTACTGGTTCTTAGAGCTTATAATGTTTTTCTTCGGGTTACACGGGTTGACCAGGACTGCCCAAGGAGCGATCGCGCTTGTTGGAGACAGAGTCCGGGGAGCTTCTCTACCACCTCCACTAGAAGAGAGGTCTGGTTTCGGTCCACCGTGCTCACCTGCACCTCGCGCTCCCGCAAGTAAAAATGTTGACCCAGGGTCCCTCACGACTGAGCCAGGCTGCGAAGGCACATTGGATCGGTCGGATCGCGCTACCCTCACAGTCTCAACCGAGCGGCTTGCGCGGTCAGACGCAAGAGATTCGGCTGACGTAGGGCCTGCGCGCGATGCAGGTTTTATCGCAATCGGCTGCGACGGCTTCCCTGTAGAAGTATGGCGAGTGCTCGCCAGCCGTTCCGCAATGGCGCCTTTTTGATTCTTCTCAACAGTCAGCATTGCAGGTTTCACTTTCCCCTGACTGATATCGATCGTGGCATCGCCAAGAGTTGGTTTTGCCGGCGCAGCCTTTCCACCAAAGCTCATCTGCCTAAGAAACCAATTGGAAGGTCTGCTCTTCAGGTCCTGCTTAGCTGGTGCTGGCGTTCCGGCACTAGTCGGCAAGAGCCCAGTTCGCCTGGGGGATGACCCGCGGCTTGTAGCCGGAGCTGGTGGATGTCTCTGGGTAGAGTTTACGGTTTGGCGATGATCTTGGGAGTCTCCAGAACCACCTCTTTTATGTACCGTAGGGCGTCCGGCGCTAGCATTATCTCTAGTCAAATTGTTCTGCCGCCGCAAAACATCGGCTCGCGGCATGCCCTCGCTTTTGAGGTTTGGCATACGGTAGGTGCTGCCTCGCGGAGATTGGCTTTCGACGTCTTTCGATCTCTCGCGCATCAGCTGCGGAAAGTTCGTGTCTGGTGGAGGTCGAGCTGTCTTCCCGAATGACGGACCAGTACTACGGAAAGAAGAAGATAGACGCAGACTTCGTGACAGGTCTGGTGATCCGCTGGTGATTTCATCGCTCAGCCTTCGCTTGCGAGCTTGGAGTTGGTCCAATGCAGAGTGTCTCTCTACGAGAGGAGAAAAGACTCCGCCGTCGTATGCCTCCATCCAGGCCTTTTGGGCAGCCCTTGTTTCGTCCAGCTGATCCTCGTTATATTCTTTGTCGCCCCGCGAAGAATACGAGCCGGCCGCAGCTGCGGAAGGTTTGGTTGCTGGTGCGATCTGCGGGCCTTCTCCATTCGGTTCGAACAACTCGCGCAGATGGTGTGGGTACATTGGGTCCTCTTCCAGGTAGGGAATCGCTATATCACCCACCTCATTCTCCATGACACCCATCATCTGCAGCTCGTACAATCGGCACCGTAGAGAGAAGATGCGACCTTTCTTGCGAGACTTCTTTACAATCTTGTCCGCCTTTCGTGGTTTTGTGAGTTCTAGAATCTCCTCAGACGTTCCAGACCAGAACGACACATCGACCCAGTACGGCATTGCGAACCTCCATCCGTCCGATGAGTCGGTGGACACGTCCATCGGTATGTGTCGTACGGTGGAAGCGCGTGACATGGAGCCAAAGTCTGGTTGACTCTGGCGGGGAGTTTTGTCCTCTTCTGTCCGCGACATCCTCGGAGAAGCATGCTGTTCCCTGTCGTGCTCGGCTTTCAAGTCGGACACCGAACGAGGCGTTTGGTATTTGAACAGGGGCACGGAGTGAAGAGGCATCGGCGAGAGACACACTAGATCAATTCCGATACCCGACCCAATCAGGGTATCCGTGGTCAGCTTGAGCATGTTGTAGTCAACCTCAAAGACGCCAGTGCCCGGAGTAACAACGATGACGGAGATGCCCGTGCGGACGAGATCGCGATCGATGTAGTCTTTGGCAAATTGAGCCGCTGCCAGATTGATGGCTTCTAGGATGTTGCCTTGGCTTGCGGAAGAAGGTCGACCAGCTACGACGACATCAGTGGCTGGGTCTTCAGATCCCGTTTCCTCGTTGACGTGCTTCACCGGCTTACGGACCAGAGACACCTCCCGAAGAAACATCCTAAACTCCTTCTTTAGCTGATAGAGAATGTTGATCCAATCGCCGCTGGCCATGTCGCTCACGACAACTCTGTAGTAGTCTCTGAAGGTGCCCGAATGCGAATCGGCGTACGTGTTGCTCGTGGTCCCTTCCGGGCGATCGGCCAGGAGCTCTCCATCGTATTGCATTCTTGTAAAGAGGATGATGGTGACCAAATGTCGTGCATTTATTCGCAGCCATCTCTTGAACAAGTCTGGAAGAAATCCGCTTACGACCTTGTTGAACATGATCTCGCCAGCGCCTTCAGTATCGAAATCCCACATTTCTCTGGACATCTGGATGAAAAGTGTGTATCGTGCTGATTCGCTGCGGAATATAGGCTTCGACTTGGGCGAGAAGTAGCCAGAATGAACCGACTGACCGTTGATGTATATGTGTTTGATCGTGGCCTTGATGGTACCCATGAACAGTAGCCTTTGGCCTCGGTAGACCGTCCGCTTGCTGAGTTCGGCGATCGCCATACGCCACATGTCTGCGCGTGCGAGATACTCGTCCCGAAAAACGATCTCCACGTGATGAGCCTCGTGCGCATCCTCATCAGCCTCAGTCACTACGACCTGCATCCTGTTGCGGAACCCGAATACCTTGGCAATCCTCTCAGATATTGAGACCTTTTTTAGGTCAGCTATGCGGATTGTCAGTCCGACTATAACTTACTTGCAGATTTGGATACTTGGACTCCATGGTTGCGGGAAGCGCTTTAGGAACAAAGACATAGGCCTTGTCCGCGTCAACATGGCGACCCTCCGGGATAGTCGAGCCATTTTCATCAACGGTTATCGTTATCGAGTCCCGTCGATGTCTCTTTGAATGACTATCCCCATTTGCATCCTTGTGCAAGGTATCGACTTTGGATTCCGTGTAAAAGTCTCGAACAGCATTGTCCGTATGTATCGCCACGATCTGGAGGAGCGCGCCGGCACTAGTGGGCAGTTCTGGGAATTTCTCTCCATTGAAAACGATTTCATCTCTTGAAAAGTTGTCGTCATGAGTCCAGAGAGTACAGACCTTCTGGACCCGAGCCGACTGTGGGATTGAAGCGGATTTCGACATGTTGGTTGCCGCTGCGAGGTGCAGTCAGGGACATTTTCAGGTCGCTCAGGCGCGTGTGCAGCACAACAGTCGCTCCATGTTTTGCTCTGCACAAACAACAAAAGATCTCCGGTGCGTCTACTCAACGTTCATAGGCCGTCAGCGCGATGGAGCGTGATCTGATGATCGCGTCGCGTAACGACTGCAGGGACCTTGAGGTGCTGAATTGCCAAGGCGCTAGGATGTAGCTAATCGATTGCAACAGCGCACCCAAAGTCACACAACACGACCTAACGTCAGTAGCTCACTTGGTATCGAACTGCACGCACAGCTACTTGGTGCTTAGATAATCCGGGTATCATTATGGTCGCATACAGCGTGTTGATTATAGTTTTGCATCTCAGTGATTTTCACGTCTAGGTTCTTGGATTGTGTATAGCGTTTCTACGTTACCGTATCATGGCATGCGTCGATCAGAACTTGCAAGGAGCGCCCAGATTCATCCTTGGAAAGAGTGCGTGAGAGGTAGGATCATGCAGTGCGCGTGGAGCTCCGTCGGCCCATACTCGGAAGCGTCGACGCTCACGACGTCATCTTAGAAATCGAATGAGTACGCTTAACCGGCCCCAACAGTAACATCAACCTTCTATGAACAAATCGTTTACCATCACCTACACTTGATACTGATACTTCTGTTCCTTCCTCTTAGAACCCGAGAAAATGGCGCACCACATCCTTCTCATTGGCGGCCACGGCAAAGTTGCCCAACTCCTCACACCACTCCTTTTGGCCAAATCATGGAACGTGACTAGTATGATACGTACTGCTTCTCAAAAATCTGCGATCGAGAAGCTGGGACAAGGACAGCCCGGAAAGTTGGACGTGCTGGTCAGCAGTGTGGCTGATGTCAAGAACGAAGGGGATGCGAAGAGCATCTTGGAGCAGGTCAAGCCTGATTGGGTTGTCTGGAGCGCTGGTAAGCATAGCATCCAACAAGAATGCATGTATACTCACGATAATCAGGAGCTGGTGGCAAGGGCGGCGCGGAGATGACGTTTGCAGTCGACCGCGACGCAGCTATTGCATTCACAAAAGCCAGCATCCACACACCTTCTGTCAAGAAATTCTTGACTGTATCTTACCTCTCTTCCCGTCGTGGACGCGCACCCTGGTGGAACGACGAGGACTGGAAGGCGGCACAAAAGGTCAACACGGAGATCTTGCCGAACTACTTCAAAGCCAAGGTTGCAGCTGACGAGGTCCTCACTGTTCTTTCTCAGGATCGAGTAGCCAAGGAGGAGAAAGATGGTGTTCCCGCTAATGAGCGCTTCTGTGGAATCAGCTTAAGGCCTGGTACACTGACAGAGGAACCGGCGGGCAAGGTGAAGATGGGAAAGATTGGAGCGGGTGGCAAGACGAGCCGTGCGACGGTTGCGGAGAGCGTGGTCGGTGTCTTGGAAGCTGAAGGGGTAAGGGGCTGGGTCGATGTTATCGATGGGGATGAAGGGATCAAGGAAGCAGTAGCAAAGTATGTCAAGGAGGGCCAGGACGCTGTTGAGGGCGAAGACCTCGGGGAGATGAAGGAGAGGGTTGAGAAGTTATGAGGGTGATCACTTCAATTCAAATTGGGCATGAGCCAGATATTCAACAGCAAAGGGGAACTGAGTTTCTTGTTTCTTCTTGTTGCTGTCTGACTACCAGATGTTGGACGCACGCGGAAAAGTGCCACGCTCAAGAAGTGAAGAAGAACGATACAGCTACAAAGGCTGCTTTCTCTACACCATAATGCAGTAATAGAAAAGGGGTCTCAGTAATACAACGAGCGAGGCAGTTGCCGCCCAACGTGAGGAGTGTCATCGAAAGAGCAAGGGGTATGTACAATGTAGCTCCTCGAGACACCAACTCCTAACGCCGCAGAACATGCATTACAGTTATAAACACTAGGAAAGGCGCGTAAAAATGTGTAAGAATCTAGGTCGAAGGAAAGAGGACCTTATGTTCCAGGTCCTGTCGGTTTGGAGTGGTCTCCAGAGTGGCCTGAGAATGGTCCTACGACAAACTCTGGTGTGGTGTCCATGTTCTGGCTAGGAGGGCCGCGGTACTCGCTTGAGTCGGGCGCTAGAATAGGATCAGTCGACTTGGTGTCTGGATGCACTTCGATGCCGTCCTGTGCCTCGAGGTCTTGCTTTGTCGCGTCGCGGCTGAACTTGATGGAGTCGTTGTCGCCATGACCGCGGTCGATTGGCGACCAACCAGCGACACTGCCAGCGACGATACCAGCCATGACAGTGGCCGGGCCGAATGCAGAGTTTGAACGGGACCTAGTACGACGGCGGCTGTTGGGTGTGGGGGGCGCTTGAGAACCGTCGTCCTGTGGGCCGTTGTTTGGAGTGCCAGGCAGAGAATGGCTGGAGCGAGACTTTGTGAAGATCTCCTTGGGATGTTGCACCTTGAACTTCATGGCACTGAGACGCCCACCACGTACTTTGCGGAGGAAAGCAAGCTCGTCGCGAATCTCCAACAGTCCCTGGTTCCATTGATATTCGTCATCGGAGATGGTAAGCTCGGGAGTTTGTTTACGCCTGAAGAAGTCGGGGACACACTTCCGGACGAGCTCATCAGGAATCAAGCGAACAATGACACCGACGGGCAGAGAGAGGAAACCCAGGACTATCGAGTAGCCCCACTGAGCACCGTTGAGTCTGGTCACCTTGAAGGCGACACCACCAACGAAGATGATCATCGTCTGACCACCAATCATGATAGCCAGGATGATGATGAAGAACCAGTTGTGGGTGATGCCCTCGAAAACATTGAAACGGTTATCGAGCCTGCGGTTGTTCAGTGCGTTGAAGATTTGCATCCAGACGAAGGTGTTGAAGACCAAGGCTGGCAGTTGCTCCCTCTCGTGTTCGCTGTGGTAGCTGAGGATAGACTCGCCGGCAAAGTAGAGGATAAAGGTGACGACCAGCTGGTAAATTGCTTGACCGATGATCATCTTCCACATCCTCAGGGTGATGAGAGGAGCAGACTTCGGGTCAGGCTTCCGGTCAAGAAGGCTGCGTGTTGGGGGATCGGTTGCGAGGGCCAATGCGGCGAACGTGTCCATGATGAGGTTGACCCAGAGCAGTTGAACAGCAGTCAGCACAGAGGTTTGGTCGTCGCTAGACACGGCAGAGACAAAGGTAAGCAGGACGGCGGTGATGTTGACAGTAATCTGGAACTGCAGGAACTTCTTGACAGCGTCGTTGACCGCGCGTCCCCAGAGTAGTGCCTTGACGATGGAAGCGAAGTTGTCGTCCATGAGAATAATGGCGGATGCCTCCTTTGCGACTTCTGTACCAGCAATACCCATGGAGAAACCGACGTCGGCTGTCTTTAGCGCTGGCGCATCGTTGGTTCCGTCACCAGTGACTGCAACAGTCTCGCCAAGCTCTTTGAGGCGCTTGACAAGCCTACGCTTGTCTTCCGGACTAGAGCGAGCGAGAACACACAGCTTGGGGATGACAGCGTCCATGTCTCGCTTTGAGAGCTTGCGGAAGGTAGGGCCCTCCATGACGACACCTCCAGGTACAAGAATTCCACAGTCTTCGGCGATGGCTTTGGCGGTAAGGACGTTGTCACCAGTGACCATGCGGACGTAGACGCCGGCGTGCTGGCAGTCTTTGACGGCTTCACGGACACTCTCTCGCAGAGGATCTTGAATACCGACAACAGCCAGGAAAGTCATCTTCTTGGACACGTCCTTGAAGACAGCTTGGCTCGGGTCATCCTCGTTCTTCGAAGACTCAGCAGGTGGCCAGCTCTCGAAGTCACGGTAAATCAGGCCGATGGTTCGCAGAGACCGAGACGCGTAGGTGGTGATGACTTGCTCGAGCGTCTCACGGTTGTCGCCTGTCATGGATGTTTCGACGAGCTCCTTGTTGGCGTCTGTGACGATCTTATCGCACATTCCAAGCAAGATCTCGGAAGCGCCCTTGACATACATGCGGTAGCGACCATCGTTAAGTTTTGCAACAGCTCCGGAGCACTTGATGGCCGAGTCGAAAGGAATAACCTGGACAATGTTGGCGTTGGACCGCTCCTGGGCGACATTGCCCATGCCGAGGAAGTCGCGTGCGAATCCGAGTAACGCGGTTTCAGTCTTGGAGCCGATGAAGGGATCAGGGCCTCCAGCCTCACCCTCGAAAGCGGTCGTGTTCTGGATGATTGATTGCAGTAGAACGTCCTTGACATCGCGGTTCAATGTCGCAACAAATTCGGGTGCCGAAACATCATTGGGGTTCTCTACAGGCGACTCTGCCACATCTTTGCCCTTGCTGCCATCGTCAAGTGGTGGTGCTGCCGCTTTGAGCTTGTGGTCCCCGAAGCGAAGAGCAGTGCCTAGAGAGCCAGCGACAACCGTCATTTTGTTCTGTGTCAATGTACCTGTCTTGTCGGAGCAAATGGTGGTTGCATTTCCCATGGTTTCGCAAGATCGGAGAAGACGGACCAGGTTGTTGTCTTTCAACATGCGTGTCGTGGCAAACGCCAATGCAAGAGTGACGGCTAGCGGCAGACCCTCGGGCACGGCAACGACAATGACTGTGATGGCGACAATGAGAATGTTGAGGAAGTTCTGACCCTTTTCGGCAGGGGTGTCGGGGCTGCCTTTCAGACGGACGAGGAACTCGATGAAGAGCACAACAAAGAGCAACAGGGCAGCTGCTCCACCGAGCTTGGCAATGTACGTCGCAAGAACGTTCAGCTTGTTCTGGAGCGGAGTAACTTCGCTGTCTTCGCGCAGAGACATCATCGTCTTTCCGTAGCTGGAATGCACACCAGTAGCGGTAACCATGAAAGAACCAACACCTTCCGAGACCTTGGCGCCAGACAGAATGAACGGGTCGACCTTCTTGAGATTGTCGTGCCTTTCGATGGCCTTGAAGGCCTCCTCGCCAGACATTTTCTTGAGCAGGTCAGACTCTCCAGTAGCCGAAGACTCGTCGCACTTGATGCCGTGGCCTTGGATGAGAATACCATCCACGGGGATCATGTCACCAGGCTCCAGATTGACAACGTCTCCAACAAAGATGTCGTAGACGGAGATTTCGCGAGTCGTGCCTGAGCGAACCACCTTGATAGTCCTGTCCTCCTTCTTTTTGTTGAGCTTGACGAATTGCCGTTCCTTTTGCCAGTCGTTCGCCGCACCCACAACAACCACAATGACAATGGCGACAATAATGGCGACACCTTCGATCCACTCGACAGCAGGCTCGCCCGGCTCATGCTCTACGCCAAAAGTTTGGTACAGTCCCAGGGCCAGCGAAATGACAGCAGCGCACGTAAGCAAGATCAGGACCTTGTCGTTGTAGGCCATCCAGGCTAGCTGGAAGATGTTCTTCGGTTTCCTCACTGGCAGACGGTTGTCACTAAAAATGCGCTTCCTGTCAGCAAAGGCGTTCTCCTTGGAACCGGCTGGGGCGCTGTCGGTGTGTGCAACTCCATTTGGAGACGACTTTTGCGGAGACTCTGTCCTGCTCGGAGTAGTAGCCTCGTCGAAAGTCACGACACCGTCCAGTTGCTGCTCGTCGATGCTCAAACCGGCTCTGCGGTCGGACCGAAGACCTTTTTCTAATCCATCAAGGCCACCAAGAGCATGGAAAGCGGATAACTAGATGTTGTTAGGATATACATGAATGCGGTCCAAGCGTAGTTCTTACACTCTTGGGGTTGTAGAGCTTCGCCAGCTGTCCAGGCGAAAAAGCGAACTTGTTGTTCTCGACCTCAAAGTCAGCCTCAGTGCCCGGATCGGGTTTCAAAGCATCTTTATCATTCATAATTTCAGTCGGTCCCAAGTCTCCCTTTAGCGTATCGCCCTGTGATGATGGTACATATGTGCCCGAGCTATTGGATTCACCATTGTCGGTCGCCGAATCAACCGAGTTGCCTCGGGACCGGGCACCAGGGACGTTGAGCAAACCGGCGTTGCTGTTCCATGCCGTGACCGGTGAGCTGATGTTATGCGGGCTCGTGGGTCTGCTCTCCTTGCTATCGAACGAGTGCGCATTACGCAGTTCTTGCGATTGCTGCCTCGAGTGTGTAGGCGAGACATTGTCGGTATTAGAGTATGTTGCAGGTCTGTTGTTATCTTGAATGGCTCCTAGGGGGACCGAGTCGCCCATGGTAGGGTCGTTGGTGGCAGATGTGTCGATGGTGATGGTCGGTGCCCGTGGCCTTGATGAAGCATTGCTTGCATCGGTGTTCGCCATTGCGGTAGTCTGGCGCCCCTTCCAGGCAGCTGTGGAAGGCTGAGGGTGGGCTGTGCAGCAGGCAGGCGGGTGGTGGCCGTAAGCGTAGCAATGTCAGGTGTGCACTTCCGGTGAGTGTGCTAGATTATGAACAAGACCTCATACAGAGAGTACATGCAGGTTATAGAGGGCGTCTGTCGTGGTAGAGGCGAGAGGGCGGCGCTGCAGCCTTGGTCGTCGCGTTGTAAAGAGCGGAGGCGAGTACCTGGGAAGGAGTCTGGTACCTACGTCGTCGTCTTAGCACCTGTGTTGTGGTCGTAGCCGGCAAGAGCGATGGTGGGCTTACCTGGGCACGCTGCGTCTGCGGCAAGAGCGATTGAGCGAAGGAATGGTTCGAAGAGCTGATGCTATGGACTAGTGAGTGGCAGTGTTCTGGCTGCGCATACTCGTTCGCGGTCGAGTGTGGCTATGGCAGCTCGTGTCCCTGGGTGCTCGTAAAGACTATCAAGTGGCGAGAAGACGTGACGCGACAATCACGCTGTTTGCTCAAGGAAAATGGCTGGCAATCTTAGATGCTGGCTTCCAGAGAGCACAAGGCAAACAAGACCCCCAGCCAAGGCCATGGACCTTGTTGTGCCTTTGCGAAATACCCAAGACTTGCACTGCCCCGATGCCAACCTCGAGCGCTAAGCCGTTTGCGTCGAGCGCTATTTCGCAAGCAGCATGGGTGCGGGACTCAAGCGGGACGGCCTCTAACCTAACCCCTCGAGTGCCAGCCTCCGTTTCACCCCACGATTAACCGGTTAACAACTGTCCTGGCCAAGTCCAGTCTGCATCTCCTGCACGCTGTCTCGAGCGGTGATGCGCCATGTGGCCATTCGCACAGCAACAGCCTGGCACGACCATCGTCAACCTCGCACAACCCAAACGGGCTGCCTTCCGTATGGCCAGTAGGTCACGGCCAAGGCACGCCTACCGCACCGTGTCTGAGCGCTATATCACAAGTGATTCATCGACGCAAATGCTAGGAAGCGCGCTTTCGCCTATAGCTACTCCTGTCTTCTTGGCCGTCCATCCGACTAATCGCAATGGCGCATCAACAAGACGCTTTATTTTTCCAGTGGCGGCCATGTGAAATTATTTTACCGCCTGCTCAGCCTCGACCCATCACCAGCTCCACCTGCCCTCGGCTTTGTTGGCTCTCGTCCATCTCGCCGCCCTCGTACCTGAAGATCCAAGATATGTATGGATAAAGGGATGCGTCAATTTCCGAGCGGCCAAGAGCTCCAGAAGCTTGGCTGTTCCGTGCCCATCACCCGCCCAGTCTTGATAAGTTTGTTTGCGTCATTGGCGCTGTGATTACTCTTATCGTCAACTTGGATCACCAGGCGCGTTGACCGTTACAATCCCCCGAGTTCAGCGTTCCATGGACCTGGTACCCTTGAACCATGTGCGCGAGAGCGTCATGCAGTAGCACATTCGAGCATCTGTATTTGCATCGCGATGAGAAGAGCAATCGCTTCACCTCAACATAAGCTTCTGACCTTGAGCTACAGTAGTAAGAGGCTTGCTGCATACAAGATCTTGACATGCTTTAGATGACCGCTTCTGCGACCTTGGCAGCCTACCCCACGACGCACTGCGTGTGCTGTCGGTCCGAAAAGGTTGTGGTGTCCAAGTTGTTCCGAAAGCAACTCACCCTTAAGCATCTGCGGTATTTTACGTTGATGAACCAATAGACCAGCCGCGCTCCGTACTTTACTTGGACGTGTCTCCGTTGCTCTCTTTACGTCATGGCATGAGTAGAGAAAAGGTGATATTTAAGGAAAGCGTTTGGTTTGCTTGCTCGTTGATTCGCCCGTCGAGACAGCAGCGCTTAGTAGACGCCTGACGACCGTCTGCTGAGCCATCACTGCACGTCAGCAAGGTTGCTGTCCGAAAGGCCTCGGAATAGCTTCGCATAGTTGGGGAGAGCATGCACAACCCTATTTTGTCATGAGATGACATGCATGATTTTGGAGAGCTTTGGGAGAGGACAGGTCAAGGCGCTCATCTTCCTTTTTAGGCCGAGGAGCGCCCTTGCGATACTCGCCGACATTTACAGGCGATGGAATATTTGCTAATTGTATGCATCGGTTGAGTTACTATTTACTGGTAGGATCTGTACATGTTTGCATGGGTGCTACCTTGGTTGGATCTCTTGGTTTGCTCCAGACAGTAAAGGAGCGCATATGATGTTTTATTACTCTCTACACAGCATCTACGCAAGAGAGAGTAGCGAGACAGCGGTCGAGGGTGTGCATAAGTCCTTAGAAGAACCAAGCAACGTCAAGACTGTTGGTCTCGCGTAGACGTTCCGGAGTCCGTCGTTCCTGTGCGAACCATTCATCATGAAGCCTAGCCCAGACTAGTTAGCCCTGCGTCTGAGCTAGAGTACACAGCCTCTTGTGTCGCCTTCGGATTCCACACTTTGGAACGAGAAGGCGTAGTCTAGAGATTGATCGCCACCACGAATTTTCTCAACATTACACCTACCCGGAGCCTACCGCGTGTACCCGTCACGACTAGGAGGCTGTGCAAGTGAGCGGTCGTAAGGGAACTGTGGCCTCATGTTTGCGACAGAATGATTTTTACTCTGATTCAGACGTGTGTTCGTCCAGACAAGATTGGGATGTGGCGACCGAGTGATGTGTTGATCTTTCTGGTAAGTTTCAAGATGTATGTAAGCAGACTGGTAAAATGCGGACATACCTTGTGCTATCTTGACATCAAGCTGATGATGTAAATACGTGACGCGAATATCTCCGTGATTTCAAGATACAGCAGACGCGATGTGTGAACTTATCACAATACAGTAATCTAAGAGGACTGTGCTAGCACATGCAGAGACTTTGTCAGTACATATCAAGACTACCGAAGAAGACAGTTCTTGACTCATATTCCTAACCTCAAATCCCATGGTTCAGACATTGCTCTCTCCTTTCATGCTTCTCATGTGGTCATGGTGCATATTGTCATTCGAGTATTCATGTACTGTTTGACAAGGAGACGGCGATGTCCATGAATCAGCGCCATCCCACCAGACTTAAACTTGCATCACGCATCATATTTACTCACCAGATCATTCAGTGGAAACACGGGTCGCGTCATAGAATAGCACAGTCATTTCGCTCTTATATTCGAATACTTCATCTGTCTCTAAAACCATCAAACCCACCCTCTTCAATGTCCTTCCGTTTGCTTTGAGTACGTGCTCCTCAAGCCATGGCAGCAGTGGTCTCAGCAGGAGTAGTAGTGGTCTCAACAGGAGCTGCAGCTGGGTCTTCTGCCGCGGGAGTCTCTTCAGCGGGTGGTGCTTCAGCGGGAGCTTCCGCTGCTGGTGCCTCTGCCGCTGGGGTCTCAGCAGGTGGCGTCTCGGCAGGTGGCGTCTCTGCTGGTGCTTCGGCAGCAGGCGTCTCGGCAGGAGGTGCTTCGGCAGCAGGGGGTGCCGCAGGGGGTGCCGCAGCTGGGTCCTCGGGAGGTGCAGGCACGAAGCTATAGTACAGTCAGTGTCTGGTTCGTCGAGACCACATCATATCCGGCGAGAAAACTCACGCAGCAGTATCCAAAGCCAGCTTCCCGGCAGTTCCACCCACAACATCAGTGCCGTCAGTGCTCGATTGACTCTGCTGGCTCAATTTAACATAGTCGGCCAATTGCTGCGCATTCGCAGGGTTGACCATCATGACCTGGCCCTCCTGGCAATGTGGTCCGGTAGCACAGTACAGAAACATGGGGTCGGCACTAGTAACAGGCATGTTGAAGGTTCCAACATCTGTCTGGCCGTCCTGGAAGGGAATGTGACCGCTGTGGATACCGCCTTCCATGGGCGTGCATGCTGTATCGGCCGTCGACTGCGTGACGGTGTGGTTGCCGTTGGAAAACTGGAACTGGATGATATCGCCGACTGCTGCAGTAACGGTGTTGGGGATGAAGGTATCTTGTGGGCCACCGACGATTACGGGAATGATTTGGTTGGCGCGACGAAGAGGGTTGGCTTGTTCGGTCAGTATAGTCCAAGCGAAGAGATGGAAGATGACATACACTTGACGCTAGGCAGTCTGTTGACGGTCCTGAATGCCGGACCTGGAAGTGCACTTGCCGTGGCAACAAGGGCGAGAGAGAAGATGGTAGACTTCATTGTGTAATAGCAAATAGCTCAATTTACAAAAGGTATCGAAGGCGTTAAAGGGCTGACTACCGTTCAACGGTAGACGGAAGAATCGAAAGTAAATATTATGTAAAGACCGTTCTACGGTTATCGTAGTTAAAGAGCGAAGCGAAGAAACGAAGGGTAGGAAGCTTGAATAGCGCAGGAAAAGACATACGAGTACCTAGCCTCATATACCTAGGTACGCTTGTCTCTACGCTACGCTTCGTCCGCGCGCTTGAATCAACTCTCATCCTCCTCTATCCACCCTGAATCTTGCCTACGTATCTCACCTCCTGCGATAATACCTCAAACATCGAAAATGGCCTGAGGTTCTGTAGGGCTACCACAAAGCAACCTATAGCGCACGGCGGTGTGGATACCTAAGCTGTAAGACCACAGCGGCCAAGCTGTCGCATTGTTGCACGTCGCCTAAACGATGTTTGACAGCCTTGTTTGCCAAGAGTAAGTACGGTAGATGTGCATGGGTGGTGGCGTAGTATGCCGTTTGAAGATGAGTGGGGCGAGGAGTGCCGAGTTGCCTCATGATCGTTTGGAAACCTGAAGTGCCTTACTATGCGCGGCGCTTAGACTTGACAAGGCAGAAGCGGGTAAACGGCAGGGTATCTTTTGGTACTGGATGAACGCATATCCTGAAGAAGTAATGGTGCGTCGATGATGTGAGTTGATGACCTCGGGAGGATAGACGGTTGGTGGTCGGACGATGAGCCTGCGTTGACATAGATTGAAGTAGAAGAGCGCATCATAACCTCGAAGCGGTGGACGTAGAGTCCGCAGTAAAATACCTAGGTAGATGCCTTCTCCTCCAGAACTACAGGTCATGTCGTCCCAGATGGGAGATCTCCGGGCCTCGGTATGTGGAGGCGTGGAGCCAGGAACGTACCCACACGATCGCATTATTCACAAAAAGCAGTAGTCATGCAGTCCAGCCAAGCCGGACATGAGTTGTTTGGCGGCGGAGATGCGAAGACCGCGGCACCGCGGGTCCATGTCATTCATTCTAGCTACTCCTTGCCTCCAAGATACCGGTAGACGACTGAAAAGTCTTTGCCTTTGCAGTTCTCGGCCTTTTCGCACGCATCGTAAAGCGCTCTCGCGGGCTCCCCTAAAGCGAGCTTGACACCCGCCTCGTCGGCAGCCTTGAGCGCAAGCTTGAGATCCTTGCTAGCCAGACCGATGCCAAAGCCCCCTTCATAGCCTCTGCTTGCAGGCGAACCCTCGATGACTCCGGGAACGGGGTTGTTAACCTCACTAGGCCAGCATTTACCGGTAGCCGTGTTGATCATACCAGCCAGCGCCTTTGGATCTAGACCCCACTTCACACCCATGCTCATGGCCTCTGCAGTTGCAATGTTGTTGAGCGCGAGAAGGTAGTTGTTGGCAAGTTTCCCCTTGAGACCCGCACCAGGCCCACCAAGGTGTACTACTCTCCGGCCCATCATTGACAGTACTTTGGTGGCTCCTTCGACGGCCTCTGGCGGCGCACCGATCATGAAGGTGAGCGTGCCAGCCTGCGCCCCAACGACACCCCCGGACATGGGCGCATCGATGAACTTGCCCTGACCAGTAGAATGGGCAGCTTCCGCCACCTCGCCCGAGGTCATGGGGTCGATGGTCGAGCAGTCGATGAAGAACCGCTCTTTGTTGACGGAGCTGTCTGACAGAAGAGTTGCCGGCTCCAGCATCTCCTTGAAGACTGCCTTTACATGCTTTGGCTCCGGCAGCGAAGTGACAATGGTTTCCTGAGGCTGTCAGTACAAGCATTCGAAGCGGCAATGACAACATGTATGAGTGGAGAGCATCAGAGGATTGGCTATAATATTTGTGTAATCAGAATAAGGGTCGAAGACCCCCAACTTAGATCATTGATAGAACAATTAATTCATCATAAAGCGGTGGGAGGAAATGAGATGTACGTACGGCTTTCTCGGCGACCTCTCGAACGTTTTCAGCCACGCGCACGCCTTGTGGGTGCTCGTCGAGGAACTGCTTCGTGGCTGCGGTGTTTACATCGTGCACGAAGAGCGTGTCTTCGGCGGGTATCTTTGCTCTGAGGTTTTTCGCCATGGGGTATCCTATCTGACTGTTAGGCTGGGTAGTCATGTGAGCGCCGTGGTACTAACCCATGCGTCCCAGTCCTATGAATCCCCATGTCGCTTGCAGACTGTGGGAGCTTGAGAAGCACCGTGTCTGGCGGGCTGTAGGTACTGATCTCCGCAGAGGCGAAGCTAGCGCCGAGACTGTCCGCATCGTGATATGAGGAGGAGGGTGAGCTGTTGGTTGGGGTTGGCGACGTATTGCGGAGAGCGGTTGGAAGCGGTCTCCGCACCCATGGACTGCGTTCAACCGAGGTCGCGGTCCATCGGTGCAGCTGTGGAAACAACACCGCTGCGTCGGGCTAGCTGCTGCTGGGTGGGCATTGTGAATGGTATGACCCGGCTCCAGTGCTGGAGCTGGACTTCCGTGAGGTTTGAAAGTAAAGATGGGGTGGGACAGAGAAAATTACACGCTGGCGGAAAAGTAAATCCGGCCGAAGCACGCTAACTCGAAGCTGTTTGGGACCGTGATACTGCTTGTATTATTTATGAAATTTGTGCATTTAGCTGGCAGACAGTTTGCAAACTATATAGGGAGCTGGAGCAAGGTAGTGGGTGTCGCAGCGGCAACAAGGAAGACATGTTAACGCTTACCGCCGACGATAGGTCGCCTGGAGAAACTCGCGCTCATTTCATGCACACGTAAGTGCCTGGCTGTCTCATTACGACCATGCTGAAGCCTGACGAAGCTGTTGAATGAGGTCACTCTGCTTCGTAACAACGGCCTTCGCCTCGGCGATAGTGCGCTCCATGGTGTCGATCACGTCGTCTGCATCCTGGGCAACCCTACGCGCATGCTCTAGCTGATCCATGACTGCCATCGCATTCCTAGCTCGCTCCTTAGCTAACTGGTCAAGCATGCGGCAGGCGCATTCAATCCAGGCTATCGCATCTGTTGTGTTCTGCTCATTGATATCGAGCGAAGACCATGTCATACCGAGGTCCAACACTGTCCACTTTTGTCCAGGATTGAGTGTCATATAGATTGGTAGCAAGCAGAAGTAGACCTTACGCGCTTGCCATGAGAGGAGTTTGCCGTACTGGAAGTGAAGGTCGTGCTCGCGGGACTGTAAGAAAGCGGCTTGGTTCTGCTCAAACGTTGTGTTGAACCAGCCTTCAAAGGTTTGACGCCATTGAATCAACTGATCATTCGTGCTCCAGACGTCGATGGGGGGAAACAAGCAATCTGGCTCGACCACACCGGCACAACGACACGCGACATAAGCCAGCTCAATGATCTCATCAACCAGTAACTGGAGCTGCATGTTGGTGTCCTTCTTGAGCTTGTTGAGTGAGTCTTTCAGTCCGATTGCACTAGCCCTGCCAACGTCATCGCACGTTGCAATCGTGAGCCCTGTAGCAGCGCCGGTTGCTGTGACTGGAGCGGCAGGAGGTAACAGCTGCGAAGTGCTTGAGATGAGATTGGCCAATGCTTGGAGAGCTGCCGTCATTTCGCTCTCATGCTTCTTCGTCTCTGAATTCCACTTGCTAGAGATCTCAATTTGTCGTCCCTGAAGCCAACCCCTGAAGACAACGGCAGTGTCAGTGGTGGTCGGTGGGCTCCAATGACCCGCGTCGATTTTCAGAGCCTCGTATACGTTGCGAACAAACTGTATGAACTCTGGGATGGTGTTGTCCCGGTAGGACTGAAGTTGGAGAATCTCTTCTTGCTGGCGTAACAGGTTGATTTCGTGATTGACAAGACCCAACGCCAACAGTGTGGGCAATCTACTGAAGAACGAGATGCAAGCGGTGGGGGAGATCATGGTGGTATCTTCCCATGCTGGCCTGGGGACTTTGTTTGTGTCGAAGAGATCTTGGAAGATCTTGTCCACAGCCGCAATCATGCTAGAGAGGGTCTTGCTGGTTGCCTTGGCAATGGCGTGGTTCTTGTCGATGATCTCCTGAATCATCCTCTTCAGCGCCGCCAGCCAGACGCCGTTCTTGTCGCGTGTCGGTGTCCATTTAGCGACATCCCTATGGGCTTGGGCGACCAGCTCGTTCATTGCTTCGCGTCCTTCGACCATGAAGTTTTCAATGTCCTCCCCCTCACTGTCCAACTCTTTAATCGCTTCTCGGAAAAACTCCAGACGTTCGGCGGCAAACTTTTCAGCGTTTGTTGCGAGCACAGGATCGTCATCCGCGTAAGTTTCGGGCCAGTTCTCTGTGGTGATATTCGCGGCCTTGAACACATCCGACACGAAGTCGTACAGGCACTGTCGCAACCGGATCAGAGAATTGTCTCGCGACTTCGACACGTCCAGGCTTTGCTCGTTGTTCGCAATGAGGTTGTCACTGAACTTGGTCTCGATACCCCTCAACCACACATCTAGCTCGTTCAGACCACAGCTGGGTCGGAGTATCGGCAATGCACGCCCATATGGATACAAGGTGCGATAGATACGCTCGACCCACTCTTGTAAACAGCGTAACATTTCCTCTTTGGTCGCTGTGCTGGTGGCGGCATGCTTGTCCATAGCATTCGTGACGCGTTGCCTCTCGAGGGCAGCCCAAAGGCGGACGTTGAACTCTGAGCCATCGATAGCTGGTACGTGATGGGCAGCTCCGCGTGGCGGAATGTCGGTACCACGCGTTACTTCATTCATTGTACCCATGGCTTCGCTCAACATCCATCCCCACATGTCACCGTATCGATTCTTGGTGTTGGTGAAATATGTGTCAATCGCCGTTCCAAGCGCAGTGAGCCGCACAAGCACGTCGGGGTCTGCTGGCAGTTGAAAGTTGAACCTGTTGGACAGGATAGTCATGGCGCCGTCAATGTTCATCAGCGAGTCGTTGTATTCATCACTGGCGCTCTTGGTGGCGTCTCGGACGTGCTTGACAACTTCCGCTACCTGTCCCGGTCCTGATGGCTGACTGGATGTGACGCACAGTTCTGTCACCATGTCTTGGACGGCGTTCTCTAGGTCCGACAAAAGCTGTTGCGCCTGTGTGAGGTTGCTGACAGCGCTGTTGCTAAACACTGTGGCAGTATCGGCAGGTGAGAGATCTGCACCAAGCTGAATCCCTAGTTGCTGCGCGCTATTCCGGATAGAATCTTGGATGCCTTCAATCAAGACATCTTTGCTCTCAATAACGGAAGTGACGCCGCTGATGAATGCAGCCAGCCGGTCAGCGACTGAAGCATCCGCCGTTAGCGTGACGTTCAACTTCTGTGAGGCGATCGTAAGCCTATCCTCAAAGACCTTCTTCTCTCGGTCGTACTCTGACTGTCTAGCGTCGACTGCGCCAATGTAAGTCGAAAGGTTTGTCCTGATGTCACAGTCCGCCAACATCCTCTGGCCGAGTGCCTCTAGGGCGCCCTTCACCAAGACAGCTAGCTGGCGGTTGTGCTCCTCGTGGTTCTGTTGCATTCTGCTAAGCCAACGTTCAGCTTAAGTGACGTACTCTTTGGCCAACTCGTCCGTGGACTGTTGGTCAGGCTTACTGAACTGGAAGCCTCGGTTTGCGGCGGAGGTGGTGAGACACTGCGAGGTCAGATGCACAGTCTTACGTGATGCCTTGAGCTCTGCTGTGGCTGCGGCGATGTAGGCGGTGAGTGCGCTCTCTACGTCGCTGCCGGATGGGAAGCTCAGAAGGGTGGTGGAGCCGGCGAGTTGTTCCGTCAATCGGGAAACAAGCTCGTCGTGCTTGCTCTCAGTCGCTTCGTGCTTCTCGGCAGAGGCTTTGAGCTTGACACCCACGGCCGCAATGTACGAACGTAAGTGCGCGTTCAGACTAGAGGCATTGCTTGAGATGCTGATGTCGTTGGCGCCGGGAGAAGAGTCGACAGCGTCGGTAAGCTGACCATGGAGAGCTTAGGAGTCGTTGGTCTGCTGGATCACGTACTTACAGAACTGCTGCAGCCGTGCTTGTATAGTTCCTTCGCCGAGTTGGAGGTCGTTCAGACGCGAGCACGCCTCGTTGAGATGGGCGGTCAACTCTCCGTTGAGCGTAGCAACTGCCTCCTTGTTTTATATGACACTCTTGACTTACTTCAGGAAGAAGGCTGGTTTGAGTTCGATGCTGTCAGACGTGTGCGCCGGCTGATCTCCAAGAATCTCGGGTGACCTGTTGTCGATTGCCTCGCGAAGACAGTCTTGGACTACCTCTAGGTTGGTGGCCATATGCTCTGACTTTGTGATGCGGGTCGACATGGTGTTGAGCAGGTCATACAATATCAGCTCTTCTGAAAAGGGATTGCGAAGTTAGCGTCTTTCTCGCACGAGTCTCATATGGTCAAGCTTACCAGTGTGACCATCGATGGCTATTCCGAACTGCTTGGCGATCTTGGTCATCCGCTCCTTCATACGTTGAATTGTCGTTTGGTACTGCTCGTAGATCATGTCGCTTGCGTCTGACTGAGTTCCTATCGCGGTGACTACTACACCTCTACTTCACTATTCACCCCCAGAAGTTCTTCTTATTTGACAACTAACACAACATCTATCAGTATCTACTACTCATATCTGAACGTTCGTTACCTGACTTCGCTAACTCAAACCACTGTTTCTCGTCAGCTGCTCTCACCCGTCATATCTTCGCAGTTTTGGTAGTGGTGGCAGTGGTCATGATGAGTAGCAGACACTAAGATGGCACTGACTTGGAAGACAGGCGTAGTGTCTGCTCATGAGCTGCTGTCTCTACTGTGTTTACACTACCTTCGGTCGAGATGGCGAGATGCTGCATGGAGGTTTCCAACGTTGGGCGAACGCATGTAGGCTCCACGTTGACGACGATGTCAGAGTTTGGACAAACTCTGAAAAAATTGAATACATGCATGTAAGCATGCTATGCGGCAACGACTCATTAATACCGTCGGACATTCTCGCTATCTTCCTCTGTAATGGAGCCACCGAGTCGCAATCAATCCATCCGATAAGATCGCAAGGTTTGAAACACTCTCTTCTTCCAACGTTAACGTCGAGCGCCACGATGGCTCTCCAGAACTGCATAAGGTTCATCACGTAAAAAATACACAACGATGCAACCTGACGAATTACCATGAATGTGTTGACGGAAACCATTCTTGAACTAAAACGTATACGCCGTAAGTACCTGGACTCAGTACGCCGTGATCCTTCCGCAGTGCAGTCCATTGCAGTGAATCGAGACAGTAATACATGAATCGAGAAGATGAATGATGAGAGATGCCCTTGGCCCTTTGACCCCATACTCATCGACATCGAGCCCGTAACCCAGAATGACAGATAGCAGACAGCAGACAGCAGATACAGAAACCATGAGCCGCAGTTCCGCGTACAAATCACGCAAGTATTAAAAGAGAGTAGGAAGGAACAAAAGCGGCCGCAAACACCAGTATATCGCACACAAAGATAAGAACAAGCCTGGCTAAAGGCAGGGTAGTCGGCAGGGTAGTCGTACAAGTACGAGTCGTGTCGTCGTAAGTCATTTCGAGCAGAAAGGTCGTGAAGTCGTTATCTGGAGTAGGGCTTGTTCATAAGAGCAATCTCACGCGCTACAGTTGCCCACTCCAGGTCGCGGCGAAGAGGCTCGTTGCGTCGTTGGCGCTGGTACTCTTCCCACTTGAGTAGTTCGTAGGTGAATCGAAGGTGAGGTTGGATTATAACATTAAGTCGTCGCGCCCGGACAAAGCAGCTAAGGGACGTCAGTTATGGTCGGAAAAGAGCTCGCAGTTTGCTTACTAGGCACGGGGAAAAGACATGCCCAGCTCATTCATAACTTCCGCAATGCAGATGGTCGCAGAGCGTGATACGCCCACTCGGCAATGTACCAACGTCGCGCCTCCCTCTTGCTTCCCTGCTTCTACAAGATGTCAGTTGAGAACCCGCACCATGAGCTGCAACACATACCAATAAATTTGAGACAGCGCTCAAACTCGCCCCAGAGAGGGTCTACACCATTGTCTTGGACTCGGTCGATCATCAAAAAGTTCTCTGCGGGCCAATCAAGCTTCTTCGTGACGTCCTCCGGCCAGGAAAGCGCTTCTCCGACGCTCAGGATGCGTGTGATGCCGATAGCGCGGAGGAGCTCCGGGTTGTTGGCATGTCCAAGGTTGCCAAGATACATGTATGGCAAGATACGGCTGGGTAGGCTTCCATCAAGCTTCGACAGCCAGCGTGGTTCTGAGATGTTCAGAATGCTCTGGTTGAAGCGAGGAGACTCCTGGAGGATCCGGGGCTGTATCGCCGTCAGGAGCGCAACGTCCGAGGGGTATGCAAAGAAGTTGCGGCCTTTCTCGCGATGCATCTGAATCCAAGCATCGTGAACAGGCAGGCCTTCGGCATACATAAAGTAGGCCAAAGCAAGAAGAGTCGTCTCGGTATAGCCGTCTGTGCAGTGTATCAGGAACTTGCGCGGCGCCGCAATGTCGTCCATCTCTATGGCCTCGTCTTCTTCTTCTCGTCTGCGCTTCGACCGCCGAACCTCTTGCGGGTTCGCTAGCTCGTACATCCACTTGCACATATCCATAAGACCATCGACTTCACCGTGCGCCCACGTAGGAGGCATGATGCTTCCTGACGATGGGAACTCCATGTGCAGGGTAGATTTGCGGTGGACCCGCTCAAGACCCATTCGCAGAGCCCGTAGTGAGCGTGATTCAGGTACATGTGCAAGATCGGTCGCTTCGATGAGCATGTCATAAGCGTCTTCGCCCGCACAGTCTGGATGCAGTGCCTGATCAGGCGTAGGCCCTAAGAAAACATTGTTGCTGATCTCGGTTGCTTTTGACATTGCGCTCATCTCATATCGCTCCCAGTAGAAGAAATCAGCAACCTCTCCCGTCATGTCACCTGCGGAATTAATAGCAACAAGCTTTGGGTATTTCTCTTGCATAGACGCGAAAGGATCTGAAAGCATGAACGTGTTGAACAAGCAATGCGGAAATCCATTTCTCGCTTCGTACTGCCTCTGAGCTTGGGAAATCTTCTGAGCGAGCGCAACGGTGTCTTGCGGATTGGTTTTGTGATCGCCGTAAACAATAATGTCCGAAACCATGGCCAATTTACAAGCCTGGATTTGGAAGTTGCGCACAGAAAAGCCATCCTTTGGGTCACACTCCATGAACCTGGGTGTGTCGGAAGACACAGATTCCAGTAGTTCGTCTGGTGCAACTGCGCCCTTTAGCTTGGAAGACGACAGGTTTCCACCAGTCTTGACAACGGTAATGCTGCGAATGCACCTGGGAACCTTTCGGCCGCTTCTGCGACGAGACGAGAAGAAGGCAAGCTGGATCTGGTTCTCGGAATGGAGACCGTGCATCCATGGGAATACCTGGTCGGGGTTCGGCAGCGGCTGCGTTGCAGTGTGCTCCAAGGCCTCTGCCATGCGATCCGCCGTGATGGTGTACACGGGCGGGTCATCCGAGTACAACGAGCAGTAAGCATCTGGCGGGTATGTGATGGACGACTGCTCAATGAGGCTGTCTTGCCGCGGCGGCGATGCTGGGGGAGTTGCGGGCAGTCCGCCGGGGGAGCATTCTGGGATGTGCTTGTTGGGAATAGCAGTCGGCGTACCACGAGAAGAGGTGTTGAGCGACAGGTGCGGTGGAGGTGTCGAAGAACGACCGAGCATAGAAGGATATCTGGCGACAGCAGCGGCCATGTTGACAAGTCCAAGGCCTGGGGTTGAGATGGAGCGAAGGCGCGTAACGTGGGAGGAGGGCGAGAAGTCAATTGGCAGGTCCTCTGTAGTAGCAATGGCCCTTCCCAATCAGAGAGATGCAGCGGAGGGGTCAGGAGACTACCAGAGCACAGCAGGAGTGACAGGAGTAGTCTGTCGGGCAATTGATAAGTACGCGGCGTCTTAAGCTTCGGGCGTGGGACCTACGTGTTGAAAGTTTGGGTAAGACGGCGCGTTAGTTGTTGAGTTGATCAACAGCCGGGGCCAGAGAGGTAAGCACGAAGCCGTGGAGAAGTCGCGGCCCTTTGCGGAAGAGTGAATCTAAAGCGCGGCGGTAGTCATGCTGCGATGAGGGGAATGGGAGGAATTGGATTAAACGAGCAGGAAGAAAGAAACATGGAGGGGCGAGGGGCGTCGATGGAGGTTGTAGCCACAGGAATGATATGGGCGTCTCTAGTGGTTCCCCGCTATCTCACCATCCCAAGCACTCGACAAGGCGCCGTTTTAATTCACCCAGCCCGGCTTCATGGTGCAGCCACCATGCAACGCTTGCTCCATGGCCGGCTGTGGTTGGCTGGGGCAGACAGCACTGCACGACGGGCAGCCGAAATAGCAGTTTCGGCTTCGTGACAGCCGCTGGGATTCGGCAGCATCACGGCGCAGTTGTTGCAAGGGCGATAAGGATGCCAATGGGTGGGTCTCGCGGACCTCGCAAGGATGCGTGCGGAGATATGGCAGACGCACTGTGCGCGCTGCATGCTCTACTGGCAGCTATAGTGAGCAAGTGCCCGCTAACAAGGACGACGCCGGCTGCGTGGAATCGGGCTGGCTGTTAGTGCGCCATTCGCATGCGGATCCAGCATCATGCCCCACTGCCGTGCAGCTCAGCAATTGCCACCCAACACGCGAGCTCAAGTCTGGAGCTTCATCGAGCCTTTGTCGATCGACCCCGCGTCTTTTGGCTCTGGAGCCGCCCAAGCATACTAGAGTCTGGAGCCTCCTAATTGCTGTCAAACGACCAGCTGCAGTCTACATGGCATGCTAACCAGCACCGTTTGTCGGCCATACCGCACCGTGTCCACTGCGCAACCCCGCATCTCCATGTCGCTCCTTATCGCTTCTGCAACGACACCAGGACTAGGTGTCTTTGTTAGTTCAGTAGTTCCGAGCAAACCCAAGTCGTGAGGTGTAAGCCCCAACGCATGCTGACGTACGAGGAGAAAATTGTTCTCTCGCACGCACTATCAAAGTGTTACTAATGGTGTGTGGATTGGATTTGTAGATTGAATTCTTGGGTTGCGTCAATTTAGTAGCTCATTTGCAAGACTGCAATGCTCGCGTGCCCACCATCCGCTTGCTACACATAATCACTCAGTGCGCCTGTTCAACCATGCCGCCCAACTCCTCGCATAACGCCAGTATCAAAGCTCGTATTCATAGCATAGGTCGTCGAGAAGCGCATCGCTCCTACGGCGTCCTTGCTGCAGTTTGCGCCCAACGCGCTAATACCCATCCTCATACATCAAGCTCGGCCCTAGAATTCAGTATCTCATCGACGATCGAGCGCTGAACAGCTATCCTGTCCTTGTCGCTTGCATCCTGTTCCCGCAGCAGCACCGCCAGTACTTCGATCGGCGGGTCAAGGTCGAGCCGTTGCGCTCGCTTCCAGCGCTTCAACCGAGCGATTCCGGTACATGGCTACAAGCGCATATCTTGTTAGCGCATGATTACAACGTCGAGGACTTCATATCATAGATGGGCGGGGACTCGGAACTTACGCCATAATGCGCGCTCATGTCAAACTCCCTCAGTATCTTGTCGTGCAGGCTCAGACCTCCCTGGTGCGTCCGCGGTGCAAGCCTTTGCTTCTCCTTTGTGGTCCAGTACTTCTTGATCGCTGCATCTGATATGCGCCGTGCTCTGTCCTCGTCTGGTGTGCTCTCCACCTCTTGCGCCTTGACCTCCTGTTCTGTTTGCTCGATGATCGCAGCTTCCGTTGTTGTCGGCTCAGTATTTGAGATGTCGGCAACCTCTGGCTTGATGTCTTTCAGCTTCGCCTCGAGTATGTTCTTCTTTGCGCCTTGCGATTTGACGCCAGCCTTTGTGACCCTGTTTGTCGTGCCGTGGAATGCGAGAGTCGACTGCTGCGCCTTGGCAGCGGGGGCGGATGCTTTGCGTCTGGGAGCCATTTTGGAGTATTTGCGATCGATAATGGGCAGTTGTTGGTTGCTCAACGTCGTGATAGTCGCTTGCGATGATGGGGTGGTTGGGTTCAGTGACCTCATTCGATTTGCTTGGCGCTGATCAGGGTCGCATTCATTGGTTGCTGCAGTGATACGCGAGATCGCGCAGACATGTGATCTCGCATCAATCTCCCCACATCCACCCGAAATTGCGGGAGACTTCTCTGCATGTGCTCTGGGCCATTCCACGTTTGTCTAGTAAGTTCGCTCCTTCAGTATGACGTAGACAGCCATGCTTTCTGGGATATGCAAAGTCACGTAAAATTGTTGGATGCGTTATCGTGCTGATGTCGGGTATAGTAAACGACTGAAAAATGACCTCCACAACACCCCCAGACGTTGCCGCCCACGTCGAATCTCTGATCCCAAAATTCCAGCCAACCCGCCTCCTAAACTCGGATCAGGCCGGCCGCCGCATCTCCCTCTACGGAACCATTGATTCTAAACCTGCTCTCCTACTCGCTGAGCGTGCCGCCTTCGACACCAAGCCCAGCATTCTATCCAACTTTTCCACCTCACTGCGCAACATTAAGAATCTCGGTGCAAACGACATCTACGCCTGGTTCCTCGCAAATTCCAACCCCAGCGATGACAACCCGCCTCCGGACTTCAAGTTGAATCTAATCTATCCTTGCACAGAGAAACATGTAAAAAAGTACGAGCAGCAGCGTCTGCGGGTTGTTACCGAGACGCCCGAGATTTACCAGAAATATGTGAGGCCGTACATGCAGGCGCAGCGTGAAAAGGGCGCACTGGATTGGATCTTCAATATTCTCGAGGGTCGGACTGAGCAAGAAGATGTCATGTACCGGGAGTCTGGCGAAGAAGGCTTCTTACTCTTGCCGGATCTGAACTGGGATCGCAAGACGATGGGTAGTCTGCATCTGCTAGGTCTGGTCGAACGAAGAGACATATGGAGCGTAAGGGATCTTAAACAAAGCATGGCAGAGTGGGTTAAGCATATGCGGGAGAAGATGATTGAGGCAACTGTCAAGTTGTACCCGGAGATTGAAAAGGATGAGCTCAAACTCTACGTGCATTGTAAGTTCGTACGATGAGGTTGGGGAGACTCGCTGACTGGTGATAGACCAACCAACATACTACCACTTTCACATCCACATCGTCCATGTTTCGCTGGAAGCTGGCAGTACACAAGCTACCGGGAAGGCCTTGGGTCTGGAGAATATCATCTCGCAACTCGAAATCATGGCTCCTAAATCGTCCCCGTCGCCAGGTATGCAAGATGTCAGCTTGACATATCACCTTGGCGAGAGGAGTGATCTATGGGAGAAGGTCTATCTGCCGCTGAAGGAAGGACGAGAAGTAAAGGTAGATGAGTTTTGAGTCACATCAAACGGTCTAAGCATGCTTTGAATCTATGCAGACAGCCGTAGCAGCGATATCGTGCCTCACAGTACTTGTTCTCAAGATATTCGTTACCAATCTACTTGGTCTGGTTCGTGTACTCTCTAGACTCCACAGCTGGTTAGCCGTTCCTAGAATGACTCGGCAAGCGTGATCAGACTGAAACGCAGCTCGCCTCCACCGGCCTCTGCCTCGCGCTTCAGGAAGCTACGCACGCCCAGGTCAAGAGCCTTTTCGCTGAGAACATCTTCATCTGGAGCCAACGTGCCCCTGTCAAGAGGACCCTTCCGTCGACCATCAAGTTCCCAAAGGTGGTTTTTGTCCGATTTGATGAAGCAGACGTAATGTAGGTCGACATCGGAATCGGCTTCGGGCGCAGCGGTGTCACCTCCCGATGCAGCGTCTTGATGCGCGCTCTCGAGTGCTTCAGACTCGTAGAGGAGATCGGCTCGTTCAATGGGCTTGAGTGGTATCGCGTCGTTGACCAGCTTGGCGAGGTTTGAGTCGGGTTCTGGAGTCTTGTTAGCATGCCAACTGGTATCTGGTAGAATGACTACTAACTGATATGAGCGCGTGCGGAGCCATTGGAGACACCATGGAGCAGGCCGATTAGGCCACAGGCATTTCCAATTGTCTGCTTGTACCAGACAACCTCTTCATCCGGGCCATGTCCCTGGTACTCCGTCTTGTCCTGGTCTTCCTGTACGCGGAACTTTTCGTATGTCTTACTGACGGGAAACACGAGGAGCAGAGCATGGGCAGGCCGCGGCACAAAAGCAAGTAGCTCAGGCTCGTCTATGCTGAAGACATCGTGGAATGCAAGCTTCTCCGAGAGACCGAGCTTGTGAACGAGGGCGGACATGACATCAGGATTGTTCTCTGTCGCGCATTAGCTGGCATAATTGCGGTGTGAGAAGACGTGTCTTACCCAGGGGAATGAACCTCTTCCTGCCCTTGGGCACGTCTGGTGATGTCTCGGATGCCATGGTGGTGCTGTGCGGGAATGGTGTTGCGGGGAAGGAGTTCTGAGCTCGACATGTTATACCTAGGTACGTGGGGCGCAGGCAGCAAACGAGTCGTCATCCAAACTTTCCTTACTTTTACCAGGCATGTAATAGGCTACAGCATCGTCGGCATAGGACAGTTGGATAGTCTATGACATTCGAACGTCGAGGCACTGACCGGGTATACGAAGCTCATGACGAGGTATAGCCAAAGACCGATCTTGTCAAATTGGTTCCTGGTGCAAAGCGACAATTATCCTCATGATAAATCAAGCCATCTTGAGATGCAGCAGACGCGATGCATGTGATGGACACGCGACTTGGGCAAACGCGATGGCCTGTGCGGCGACATGGAAGCTTCTGAGCCCCGCGGTGACGGCGGACCTGAATTTGACTCACGTGAATCATGCGTCTTCGCCATTATCCACCAGCTACACCCTTTTGTCGCATACTACACATCGGACGGCCCCAATTCTCGCAGCCCAGACACTTTCCGTTCGGAGCCTCTTTAGCACTGCCCAGATCCCCCCTCAGATCGAGAACCACCGCCGCCAGCAGCTTTACGGCGGATTTCTTTACCCCACTACAACCACTTGCCCTCGACTTTTTCCAGCGATTCTTCCCACCACTGCCCACCATGGCCACAATCGACGAAACTCTAGCGATCTTCCTCAAGACACACGCGCCCAACAACGCTGCCGACGAGACGGACGCTGTCAAGGCCTCGCAGGCTCTCTTCCCCGAAGTCACCTACTCCGACGCCGAGAAGACTGAGCTCAGCCAATGGCTCATCACCGCCTCCCACATCGCCTCTTCTTCTGAGGACGCCGCGAAAGCCTCCGAGCGCCTGTCGTCACTGAACACACATCTGTCCAGCCGGACCACCGTCCTCGGCGCCAAGCCCTCCGTCGCAGACATTGCCCTCTACCAGAAGCTCGCACCGGTCGTCTCCAAGTGGAGTGCTGAGGAGAGGACTGGAGAGCAAGGATACCACCACATTGTCCGCCATGTCGACTTTGTCCAGAACTCGCCTGTCTTCGGCCTGAAGCTGGACGACAAGGTCAACATCGACCAGGACAGTGTCATCTTCAAGATCAAGCCGGTAGACGCAAAGGCGGAGAAGGAGCGCAAGAAGAAGGAGAAGGAGGCTGCCGCTGCCAACGCCGCTGCGTCTGGTGCCACAGCTACTACCCTGACTGGCGACCAAGGACAAAGTGGACAGGGCCAGGCAGGCAAGAGCAAGGCCGAGAAGGCCAAGGGCAAGGCCGAGGCTGCTGGCTCCGCTGTAGCATCCGCAGTCGTTGGAAACGCAGCTGGCGGTGTTCCAGAGGGTGCGCCAACCGAGAAGAAGAAGAAGGAAAAGAAGGAGAAGCAGCCCAAGCCCCAGAAGGCGTAAGTCACGAACCCTCGTGATCGTGTATACAACTGACAATCACAGTGCGCCAGTCGAGAAGCCTCTCTCCCCCGCCCTCATCGACCTACGTGTAGGCCACATCCTCAAGGCCGAAACCCACCCCAACGCCGACTCGCTCTACGTATCCACAATCGCATGCGGCGACGCTCCCGGCACAGACAACACTTCCGAGTACGAAGGCCAGATCGTGCGCACAGTATGCTCTGGTCTTAACGGCCTGATCCCCCTTGCTGAGATGCAGAACCGCAAAATTGTCGCCGTGTGCAACCTGAAGCCCGTCACCATGCGCGGTGTCAAGAGCTGTGCAATGGTACTCGCTGCATCACCACGCGTCGCCGAGGGCGAGGACAGCCACAAGGGACCAGTCGAGCTGGTGGATCCCCCCAAGGAGAGCAAGGCAGGTGACCGGGTCTACTTTGAGGGCTGGGAAGGCGAGCCTGAGCCTGTACTCAACCCCAAGAAGAAGGTCTGGGAGATGATCCAGCCGGGCTTCACTACAACAGATGGTCTGGAAGTGGGCTTCGACGTCGGTGTCGTGCCACAGTTGAGCGGCGAGGGTGCGGATAAGAAGACGGGTGTAGCCAAGCTGAGGACCAAGGACGGCCTGTGTAGCATCCCCACTCTCAAGGGAGGTGTTGTGCGATAGATGCGTCTGATTAGACAAGAACGAAAAAGTTATTGTACTGCCTCGCGCATATATCGAGTGTTCAGAGGTAGATTTCATGCTACAAAGTGAGCCTGTCACTTAATAAGCCAACAATCTCACAAACCATTGCAGTCAGGATTACGTCGTCAAATTAAATAACAATTGCTAGTGCTCTGGTGCTATCGTGGGGTATACAAAAACACTCGTTAAAATCCCGAAGGTATACAAAAAACGCCGTCATGCTTTCGTCCCAAACATTATTGGCCTAATCCATTAGGCTGACCGGGTACTCAAAGTCCTTTTGTGCGTCCGTCCCATGTAGTCTCACCTGGTACAGGCACGTGTGACTAGCACCCCAATTGCTAATTACACGCACCATGGTTCTCCGAACAGGCTCGGACGGCTCGCCAGCGAGGTCAAACGTCTGGAGATGGTTCGACGCGTGGATGTTGTACTTGAATGACCCCAAGCACTTCCAGGCGGGGCCACTGATGCTGTGCGGTGGCGGGTCGTGGCATGCCATTTGGCGATGGGAGTAATAGGGGTTGATGGGCGCGTCCGTCTGGACCCAGAGCTCAATGTCGCGGGGAGCGTTGGAGATGTTGCGCGCCGGCATCATGTTCATGGGTACGTGCTCGATGGTGACCTGCTTGGGGATGACAGGCCGTGGGAGTCGGACTGTGAGCTGAGCCTGGCCGGCTGAGGTCCCGCTCTGTCCAGCAGAACACCAGCAGTCGCCTGGCTCCTCCCACTTGGTGAGCGCTGCCATCGGCGGGTTCTGTCCAGGCATAAACGTCACGCGGCGCACAAACTCGTAGAATCGACCAGGCTTGTTGTTGAAGGTCACAGAAGACAGGTCGGGCTCGACGATGGCGCCCAAGCCAGGGGAGAAGTAGTTGGGTTTGGTGAGGTGGTGTTCGTAGTTTGCGACGAGGTTGGCTTGGGCTAGAGAATTGAGCCGGATCTGGTCCATCATGGTCTTTCGGGTCTCTGCTTGCACCATCGTCTGGAACTGGGTGCTGTGGGCTCGCATGGCCTCGTCGATCTTCTTGTCCACTCGGACGGTCATGTCCTGGTAAGACTTCTCAATCTGACGGATGAACTCTTCGCGTGTGACTGCTTCAGGCCATGTAGACGTGTAGCCGCGGTCCTGGTGCAGAGCTGGGTTGAGGAGATCTTGGAGCTTCTTCTTGGATCCTTCGAGAAAATCATGCCAATCCGCCTCCGTCTCAGTCGAACGCGCCTTGCCAAGCAAAGCAGACCAAAACTCTTCTGATATCTCCGTCGAACCATCCTCCTTGCGACGAACTATCATCATATCCGGCAACTCGTGTCTCAGCTCCTCAAGAGTTGCCCTCATCTCCCTTGTGCTTTTGCTGAACTTCTCGTCCATATTAGACATGCGGCCCCACAAGAAATGATCTTCGCCGTTTTCTTTGTAGGCTTTGGCGCGCTCTATTTCTAGCTGAACTTGCCGTTCAGCATCCGTGGAACCTCTTGGGGGAGTAATAATATCTGTGATCCATTCGTATGTATAGCCAACACGAGCACCTACGGCTTTCAGGAGATTTGGTGTCCGCGCTGCAGACTCGGGGTGCTCGGTCGCCATCATGTAGGACGAAGTCAGCCATCCCAATAGCAGAAAAGCAGCCAACGCTGCAAAGGCCCACGTCACAGGCTTCTTCCATGCCCACGCCGGCTCGTCGAACTCAGGCGGCTCTACATCGCCGAGCCACGCGTTGAGCTCGACTCTGTCTTTTTGGTGAGGGCGACGTCGCTCAGCCTGTCGCTGCAGTTGCGGTGCTGGCGGACCTTGTTGGTGGAGCCTACCCTGCTCTTCGGCGATCAGCTCCTTGAGAGAATCTTCGGTTTCAGCTGTTGTAGCGCGGACAGGCTGCTTCACATTCGCCCTAGTTCGCACCTGATCGTTGATGGATGTTTTGATAGGCTTCTCGGCTTGACTGGGAATCTTAGTCGAATCCGGGGTCTTGTTGCGAACAGGACCTTGAGACAGAACCGGGGTTGGTCCTTGCGTCCGTGCTCCGTTCACTGTGCGGCTGGCGGGCCTGCGATACGGTACTGCAGGCTTGATGAAGGGATCTTGCGCGGCTGAGGCTGCTTGTTCAGGCTGGCGGGTTGGTGCTGCAGGCTGGACGAAAGGTGAGCTTCTAGGCTCGTCCCGGATGGGTCCACCGGCGAATGGGTCCTGAGAGACAAGCATGCCAGCCTCGTGAGCAAGGCCAAAAGACTTGGTGGTGTTGCCGACAGATGCTGCAAAGTCATCATCGCTGTGACTGAAGTCATCACTATCGATGAAAGAGTAGCCGGGGGTGACTTTTGATTTGGATGTGGGGTTGCGCGCGGCGTCTGGCGAGAGCTTGCCGCTGTTGGGGATTTTCTTGACGGAGAGTGACGGACGACCGCTACCAAGTTCGTTGGCGCTGTCATCCCGGTGATCTTCCTCTTCTTCTTCCTCTTCTTCCTCCTCATCCTGACCATTGGCGTACTTTTCGAGCTGGCTTTCCATGGCCTGGGTGAAACCTGTAGCGGGGGCAGCCGGAAGCTTGTCAGGGGCTCCAATGCGACCGCTCGCGCCGTAGGCATTTGATCTGCGGTTGGCGACCTTGGTCAGGGTCGTCGTAGTGCGTTTCGCAGCGGACGCTGTGGCATTGGTGACTATTGATTCTGCGGTAACGGAGTTTGCTTTTGCGCTGAGCCGGTCTGAGCGGCGATTCCGCCCACCAGGTGTGCGTACCTCACCGTTAGCACGTTGGGACATGGCGATGGTCTGTCAATGTCCCGATTGGAGTCTAGAGTGATGTGGAGCCAGGAGATGCGAATCCAAGGACAGACGACAGGGACTGAGTTTCTTGCTGAGCTTCTGTGAGCATTTGTCTGTTTTGAAGTTGAATCGCTGGGATGGCCAGTTGTGAAAGAAAAGGCGGACGACTGGAGCCGCCCAACAACAAGGTGCAACAAAGAGATGAGGCCGACTCGCAACAATGGCGAGCATAACAGAAAACAGGGGTAAGGCAAGTAGCTTCGTTGCAGCCAGCCGACGAAAATTTGCGCGGTGAAGATGAGGATGAAGGTGAAGCATGACAACACGTGCATGCAGCCTCATATGCATGGAGACGTTTTCACACCGCAAGGACATGGGTAGGAGAGCGCGCCAACTTACACCTCGTTCTGTGATCCAGCTCTTTCGCGTCCGGACTGCGCGGTCCCAAACGCGTCGTCGAGCAATGTTCCAACTCTTCCTTTAACACTTGCGATGACGGTGTTGTTGGTGACGGTACCTGCAGTGGGTCCGTAAACACGTGGACAAACCCTCACGCGTCGAGGCCGGCAAAACGGGCGTAGGGTCGTACTGGCTGAAAAAACTTTTGGCGCTCGTGTGTGTGCAGTTTGCGACTCGCGATCATGTTCCCAGGATCCGGCGCGATGTTCTCCAGTGTGTATTGATGGGTGACGATGTGATTGTTGAAAGTTCGAGGTCGCGCTTTGAGGTGCAAGGGTTCAGCCTGTCCGGAAGCCACCGCAAACGGGAGGTTAAGCGAGCAGGCGCTTAATCCGGCGGTGTGTGACATGGCAGTCTTTGACACAAAAAACTAACTCCTAAAGGACACAAGCAGACATGAGCAAGAATAGCAGGCTGGGAGAGACGGAGCATCTATCAGAGAGACTGGGAGCTAGTGTCTCCGCTACCACAAGACATGGATGATGCATGAAATTTCCGGGCCCAGCTCGAAGCGGAGCACGAGACCCTGAGAGCCACAACGCTTATTTCGCCGTCTCGCATGTACCTGCGTCACCCAACTCTAGTCAGAGGAAGGTATGTCGTACAGCGATGCTGTGACTGGTGCATGTAGCTTGAGGACGGGGAGTGGCTTGTCAAGCCCGCGCAACGTCTCTGGAGTGTAAGGGTTGCTATTGTGATCTACGGCTTGCCAGGCGATGCCACCCGCAGTCGGCCCACCATGCCACAGTCCCTTGCTCTAACAACACGCTACCAAACTTGACATACTCGTCCATACATGGCTTTGTGTCTACAGTTGTGATGTGGTCTACCCAAGTGTGACAGTAGAGCAACACAAGAGGACGGGTTGTGTCTGTGACATGGTCCACCCGTACATTTCGTCTGCTACACTTGGGTACCTTCTAGCAGAGCAGATGAACACGATCACACATCCAGAATGCCATATATATTTCAGAATACATGGCGATGGCACAAGGCAGCCAGACAACGCTTGCCATATCTGGAAATCTATCCGCACGCGGCTCTTCTCCCACCACTAGTGCCACAGCCCATGAACCCAGCATCTCGTGCTGCCGCGTTTTTATATATCTGCAACCTCGCAATCAAACACAAGTCTGCGATCGCATAAGAGCAACCGCCCCAGCCACATCCTCTTCTCTCCACATTCTAAGCTCTCACAATGGTTGTCGGATCTGTTCTCGTCACCGGGTAAGCTGCCCCTCCACCCCTCCATTTAGCTATGCGAAAGCATCACGCTCAATTGGTACTGACGACGGCGCAGTGGAACCGGCTACATTGGCTCCTTCACAGCTCTTGCCCTCCTCGAGGCAGACTACAAGGTCGTCATCGTCGACAACCTCTACAACTCCTCCCCAGAAGTCGTGAACCGCATCGAGCTCATCTGCGGCAAGCGACCTGCCTTTTACCAAGTCGACGTTACGGATGAGGCCGCGCTCGACAAGGTGTTTGAGGAGAACCCAGACATCGACAATGTCATCCACTTTGCTGCTCTGAAGGTGCGTCCGCTCCTCGACTACGGGCTGAAGTTGAACTAACAATCCCAGGCCGTTGGAGAGTCTGGCGAGATCCCCCTCACATACTACCGCGTCAACGTTGGCGGCTCGATTGCGCTTCTCTCCTCCATGGTCAAGCACAATGTCACAAACATCGTCTTCTCTTCTTCCGCGACCGTCTACGGCGATGCGACGCGCGTCCCCAACATGATCCCCATCCCTGAACACTGCCCCATCGGCCCGACCAACGTATACGGCCGCACAAAGTCCACCATCGAGGGTGCCATTACAGACACCATCGAAGCTGAGCGCAACAACGCGAAGAAAGCTGGCAAGGACGACAAGGAGATCAAGAAGTGGAACGCCGCGCTGCTGAGGTACTTCAACCCCGCCGGTGCGCATCCCAGCGGTATCATGGGCGAGAACCCTCTGGGCGTGCCATACAACCTCCTCCCCTTGTTGGCGCAAGTTGCGATCGGCAAGCGCGAGAAGCTCCTCGTCTTTGGTGACGACTACAAGAGCAAGGACGGCACAGCGATCCGCGACTACATCCACGTCCTTGATCTAGCGCGAGGCCATCTCCAGGCGCTCAACTACCTGCGCGAGCAACAACCCGGTGTCAAGGCATGGAACCTGGGTACCGGAAAGGGCTCGACCGTCTTCGAGATGATCAAGGCATTCAGCACCGTTGTGGGACGCGACCTACCATACGAGGTTGCGCCGCGGAGACAGGGTGACGTGCTCGACCTGACAGCGAACCCCACACTTGCCAACAAGGAGCTCGACTGGAAGACCGAGTTCACACTGGAAGACGCTTGCGCCGACCTGTGGAAGTGGACAGAAAACAACCCAGAGGGTTACGAGCAGCAACCACCAAAGGAGTTTTTGGACGCATTGAAGAACAAGAAGGCGTAGACGAAGAGGAATGGATTAAGGAAGAAACGCGCATATGAGGATGTCGAAGCGCTACATTTTACACATCTCCTTGACATGATTATCTAAGTTCTATGGGTACAAGTGAGACCCTTGGTTATTGAATCGTTTCAAGTTAGTTGTCTGTGCGATCATTCAATCTGAGAATAATTCCAAACTTCACGCAACGTCATGTATTTGAAAGTCAGATCTGGGTATAACATTATCAAACATGTAGTCGACTGCTGTCCCAACTCCGGGCCTCATGCCAACACAAACATGGCCGCGCAAACGCTCAAAAGATTTGATACTCAGCCGATGTGCGGCATACTCCATCAACGCCTAGGCAATGTCCTCAATCGGGCAGTTTGGATGTAACACGTAGACTGCCTTGTCGTTGCCCTCACCCTGGCCCTGTTCGTCTGCAAGTCCTTCACCCCGGATCAACATGAGGTATTGCTCCTGGAGTATTCGTTAGCATACAGATGACCATACGTCTCGAGTTATTCCGACATACCTTGACGACCTTCTTCAGCACCTTCTTCGCAAGTGTCCTCTCCTTCTCCAGATCCTCTTGCGTCTCCATTTCATTCTCCTTCTGCTCAAGGTACCAGATGAGCAGCTCTTCCTCTTCGACGCCGTCTTGTGTCTCTTCTTGGTCCTCGTTGACGCGCTTGACAAACATATTGCGCATAGCGACGTACTTGTCGTGCGTGATCTTGGTCTTCTCACGTGGCGCGACGGCTGGTGTCGCTGTTCGGTCTCTAGAAGCGTCTTGCTGATCGTCCATTGGCGCATCGGCCTCCTGTTCTGCGGCGGTCGCTGCAGCAAGCAACGCCTCGTCGTCGTCGTCTTCAACCTCGACGTCGTCCTTCTCGACTGATATGATAGACTGGCGGAGGAGGTTGTAGGCTTCTTTGACAAACTCAGGGGTAATATCGCTGACGCAGTTGGCCTTTGCAATAGCCTCTGAGAGACGAATCATACTCTCGAGTTGTCGAACAGTAATACGGTAACTGTTGCGGCCGATGCCACCTTGTGCATCGTCTGCGCGCAGCTCCTTGTACTTCTCGACTAGTGTTTCCCTTGCCTCATCGGTAAATTCTGGCCTAAAGGTCCTCGCGAAGCGGATGTAGCGTTGCAATTGCTCAGTATTGAACTCAGGGTCTACAGCTTCGTCTCTGTGCTGGTGAATACCAACAATGTGCTCAGCCAGATGGCGGTCGACAGCCTCGTCGCACTCATCCAGTACGACGAAGAAGAGATCGAAACGAGACATGATGGGCGCAGACATGTTGACGTTCGCGCGCAGCGTTGTCTTGCGGTTATAGCGTCCGCCGACAGGATTAGCCGCAGCAAGGATAGAGGTACGGGCGTTGAGGGTGGCTTGGATGCCGGCCTTAGCAATCGAGATTGTCTGTTGTTCCATAGCTTCGTGGATAGCGACTTGATCGGCAATATCCATCTTGTCGAACTCGTCGATGGCGCAGATACCGTTGTCAGCCAGCATGAGAGCACCGGCCTCGATTGTGAACTCTCCAGTCTCCTCGTCCTTGACTACCGCGGCTGTAAGACCGGCAGCTGAAGAAGCCTTGCCAGAGGTGTAGACGGCGCGAGGAAGGAAGCTGCAAATGTACTTCAGGAACTGTGACTTGGACGTTGACGGATCGCCGACGATGCAGATGTTGATGTCTCCACGCAACGCCATACCCTCGGGTGTCTCTTTTGATACACCACCCATCAGTTGCAGCAGGAGACCCTTCTTGATGACCTGGTGGCCGTAGACCATGGGTGCTATCGAGTCAACTAGTCGCATGAAGATGTTGGGCTTGTGCACCATGTCCTTGAGATCCTGAATCTCCGCAGCAGTCAGCGTACCAAGATACTCTTCCTGTGCCTCCTCGCCGCTTGTCGCGTTTGACTCAATCTGTCCTTGGCCAAGAGATGCGAGAATGTTGCTCGCCTGACCTGTCAGGTGGTGATTCGAGGTTTGTCCAGGAGTAGAGTGATCTGGCGAGACCATGCACGCCAGGAAAGACATGCGGTATGTCAGGTCGCGCACACCAAGGGCTTTGAGACCGCTGACACCTGACCCACCGACATCGTTGCCTCGCGTGGTGTTTGCGGTATCCCTCATTGCTTGGGGGCGCACACCAGGTACGCGGAACTGGCTTACGTCTGGAATGACAATCACTGTGCCCGTAAAGATACACTTCTCGCCAGCCTTTGCCCGATCCACCATCTCTCCTCGAAGGATAACGTCCATTGTTCGGGGCATGCTGCCAGTGGGAATCTCTGAACTGTTCTCCTGGATGCGCACCTTTTGCCAATCTACGAAAGTTGACTGCCTGATATCAAGACGCCAGCCCTCCCTGTTCATGCAAGTTATGTTGGGACATTGTGTCGGCTCTGTGTACTTGAAAGTCTGTTCGATGTTCGGCACGACGGTGTTGCAGATCTCGCAGACAAAGGTGGCCATTGAAAGCTCTGGTCGAACTTCAGATGTTCGCGTCGCAGTACCAGAGATGGAAAGCAAGCTGCCGATTGATGTGGTGCGTAGCTGGCGAATACGGGACACAAGAGGCAGGTTGTAAAAGGCCAGGGTGAACAGCTTGTCGGTCTGCTGGTTCGACGTCTTCTCGTTGAGACTCTCGTTCTGGCTTGTAGCGTTGCCGGCGCTCGAGGTACCGGCTGCAGAGGCAGTCGAGGCGGGCTGCTTGTGCTGGCGGAAGTACTTGGGCTCGTACTTTGCGATGAGGTTGTGGAGCGACCGAACCATGTACGGCAGGAAGCGGTAGTATTCACTCGCAATGGCCGCGGCCAGAATGCCATCTTCGTGCCTGAGGAGATGTGTGTAGTCGACGTAGAGGGTGGACAGTCCGTACAGTCGCATGCCCCGTATTTGGGCAATGTAGTATTTGTCTGTGGTGGGCACGGCACTCGAGGCGGGAAGAGCCGATGACGAGGGATCTTCTGTGTAGCTATCCTGACATCAGCACAGTGCACAGCATGAGGCTGCTGTCGTGAGGCTCACTTTTCGAGGAACTCCTGGAACCGCAGCGATAACGTTTCTCCAGTAACGTCCACTACCTTTGGGATGTCTGTTCGCGGGGCATTCGTGCGCCTCCCCGGTACCCGTGCTCCGATAATCTCGTCGTCAGGGTCTCCCTCTACATCGCTGTTCGCGCCGGCGCTTTCAGAGGGTGGTCCGCGGGGTCTCGCAGACGAGGATCGCATTTGCGGTGTGCGTGCATCGTTACCGTACGCGCTCGAGGGAGTGGGAGCGGCATCAGAATTGAGCGCGAGGTCTAGTAACGAAGACATGGTGTGCGTATGGGTATGTTATGTGGGGTGCTGTTTGCTATACAGGAGTCTTGCGGGGACTGTAAACACGCGAAAACGCGGTCGCGCTGTCCGGATGGGGAAGTAAGTGTGGGTCTGTGCACGCCATGAACATCACGACGAATGGTAGGGATAAGATATACGTGCAGCATCAGTGGATGGATTTCAGCGTCCTACAGATCTCAATTACTGTCAAAAGGTATCATACACAAACTATCGTCAAACCGCTAAGATTAACCCCATGTTCCACCACCGCCCCTACCAGCCCTCCTCTGTGCACTCAATCTCCAGTCATCTTCACCTGCAAACTTGTTGTGCAAAGGCTGTATCCTCTCGGCCTTCTTCCTCTTGCTCAGTCTGTCCGTTGGCGCAACCTTGAAGAACGTCGGCGCCGCTTCGACAAGCCACTTTGGCTCGATAGCACTGCAGAAATGCATATACTCCTTCGTCGTCTCGACAAGAGAGTGGTATATAACGTGTTCAGCAGGCTTGCCAAACAGTGAAGAAGAGGGATGAAGGTAGACTGGTGTGCCCTCAACAAGCGTCTTGTAGCCCTCGGCAGGGTCTTTGCGCGCCGAGTTGCGGAAGAAGCCTGAACACAGAGCTTGTCGGACCTTGATCGTGTTGCGGCCACACGACACGACCTGATGTTTGTGTCGTGCCATAATCTGCAGCAACTGATTTCGAACGTCGCGCACGCGCTGCATGTTCTTCGGCATGACAAAGTTCTCATGGCACCATGGCGTGCTGAATCCTCCCTGCTTCCAGCCGTTGTACACGTTGAGAAGGGTTATGTGATCGCCAGAGGGGTCGTTGAACTTCTGCTTCTTCTGGTCGGCCTGTTGTTGCTTGTCACGCGGACGGTGGAAAACGTTTTGGGTTGCGCTGATCATGGCCACAATGGTCAAAATCTCGTCTGAGCACTGAAGGTCGACAGATTTGATGAGTGACTTTGAAAGGGACGGGTCCATCGGGAAGTCTGCCATCTGTCGACCGAGACGCGTCAGCAGACCTTCGTCGTCCAGCGCGCCCAGCTGATACAACTCTTCCAAGGCAGTCAACATGGTGTTCGTAGGCGGTGGATCCATAAAGTCAAAGTGCAGGAGGTCGTTGATGCCCATCGCTTTGAGCATCAAAATCGTGTTCGACAAATTTTGACGCTGGATCTCCGGAATAGTAGTCGGCAACATCTCATTCTGGAACGCGGCCTCGGTGTACAGACGGAAACACTTTCCTGGTCCTGTCCTACCTGCTCGTCCACTCCTCTGACGAGCCTGGGCTTGCGAGATGGGGGTGATCTGTAGACGGTCCATTCCCAGCTTTCCATCATACGAACTTTGTTTGACAAAACCCGGGTCAACGACGTAGTAGATGCCGTCTATAGTCAGACTGGTCTCGGCGATATTGGTGGCGATGACGACTTTACGGGTACCATTGGGGGCGGGCTCGAAGATACGAGAGGCTACCTCAGACGGCAAGGCACCGTAGATGGGCAGAATCATCAACTCCGGGACGTTCGGACCCAAGGCTTTCATGCGCTCTGAGATAATCTCACAGGAAGAGTCAATCTCCTCTTTACCTGTCAGGAAGAGCAGAATGTCACCAGCTGGCTCCGTCAAGTGGATCTGCATGACCGTGACCAGCGCCGCGTCCAGGTAGTCAGACTCCGGCTCTTTACTGTACATGACCTCTACCGGGAAGGTTCGACCTGGAATCGAGAATATAGGACACTTGTAGAAGTATTCAGAGAACTTGTCGGCATCGAGGGTGGCACTGGTCACTATAAGCTTCATGTCCGGGCGTCGTTTGAGCGTCTTCTTCAGCAGTCCGAACAAGACGTCTGTGGCAATTGTGCGTTCGTGGGCCTCGTCAAGCATGATACAGCTGTACTTTGACAGCATGGGATCCAACAGAATCTCACGCTGCAAGATACCGTCCGTCATGTACTTGATGCGGGTGTCGGGTGAAGTCTTGTCTTCGAATCGAATGGTGTAGCCAACCTCGTTACCAAGAGCGCAGCCAACCTCTTCAGCAACACGCTTGGCAACACTCATAGCTGCTACACGCCTGGGCTGAGTACATCCGATAACCAGCTCGTTACCATAGCCAGCTTCAGCCAGATACTGGGTCATCTGTGTGGTCTTTCCAGATCCAGTATCACCGACGACAATCAGAATCTGATGGGTTGCGACAGCCTCAAGAAGCTGGTTCCTGAATTTGAACACAGGCAGTGACTCTCGCTGCTCCTTGATGCTCATGTTTGTACGTTTGCCGAACGAGGTTTCCTTGCTGTTCGTGGAGATCTTCTTCCATTCCGGCAGGGCCTGGCTGGGCTCATTCGTTCGAGTGTTGCGCAGGTCGCTTGCAAACTGTCGTTGTTGAGCCATGGGATCATTCCACTGACTACTCAAGTCGACGTTCGCAGCCTCCTTTGCGGCCTTCTCTTGGGCTTCTTGTTGTTTGAGGTCGCGGCGTTCCTTTGCCAGTGTATCACCAGCCATCGCAGCGCGATTGAGCGAGCCATCGGGCGCCTTGACAACCCGGATTGGTGAAAGCTCCAGTGATTGCTTGGTCTGGCCAGCCAAGAAGGGCGGCTCCTCCTCACGAACTTCAATGTCAACATCCTCCTCTTCTTCGAAGCCACCCTCGCCGTTGATGTGCGCGTTGAAGTCCTCGTCGATGTCGGGATAGTCTGATTTCGGTATCACGCCAGAAGCAATGAGCTGTTTGATTTCCCACCGTTCTGGAGACGTCATGCGCTTCCGCATACCATTCTTGCGACTGTTGAAGCCATCCTCTACGATTGGCACTGCACTGTCAAAGCCTGGTATTCCCCCGAGTCCCTGAGAGTTTGCGCCTGTTCCAAAGGATGCTATGCGTTTGCCGGGAGCGAGATCTTGACCCGTCCGTTGGTCCACCTCTTTCATCGACAGCGAAATCCTGTTGTTCTCATTCTTGATGACCTTGACCTTGACTTCTTGCCATCTCGACACGAGATCGGATGGGTGGTTGACTCGCCCTTCCATCATCTGCGTGACGTGCACCAGCCCGTCGACCTTGCCTTTGACACCTTGCAGGTTGACGAAGCAGCCAAAATCCTTGACGCCTGTAACCTTGCCATCGTATACTTTGTATAGCACAGGCTCGTCGTCGAGCTCGGGAGTGGGTGGCCGTCGGAACTCGTCGAGATCTTCGTCGCGGTACTTCTTGCGGCTTCGTTGCTTGTTGTTCGGTTTGACGGTGCGCGTACGCCCGAATTCATCTTCGAAGACTAGCTCGTCGTTCTGTTGCCTCCCTCGCCGCGGACTCCTGGACCGCGAGCGAGAGTATGACCTATCCCTCCGCCTGTGTCGCTTGCTCCTGCTCATGTCGTCGTCGCTGTCGTATGGGCTCATGCTTCTTTTCCGCGACCTCTCCTTGGGCTTGCTGCTTGGCGCCTTCCCTGCCAGACCCTCCAGCATCGCAAATGTGTCGTCCAGCGCGTCGACTTGCGGCGCATCCTTCTCAGACTCCTCGTCTGCTACCTCGTAGTCCACGTCTTTGTCGGGAATCGCCAGGCCCTTGAAGACGCGCGTTTTCCGGTCTGTCGCATCGCCGCCATCCTCTCCGTTTGCGCCAGATTCTTTCCCGTTTGCGCCCTTGTTCTTGTACTTTGGGTGAAGCGTCAGGATAAGACGGTCGATGCTCTCGACCAGACTCTGGGGGAACTCGGCGCCCATGGCCTCCAGCTGGTTCTTGAAGTCTGTGACGCCTTTGCATTTCGCATGTTGATCGATGACGAACTCGGCAAGCGTCTTGTCAGATACACCGACATGGTTCTGAATTTCGGATGTGACTTTCGAGACGAGCGACAGGAACTCGAGGTTTGCGAGATCGTCCATGGCTACGGTTTGGGCCTTCGCGGCGCGCGTTCTTCGTGTAGGCGAGGCGTATTCACAGACGATGGCGCAGTAGTCGCAAAGGGGCTGACGGGTTGTGCACTTTCAGAATGTCGCGCCAAATCGGTATGCGACGACTAATCCTCCACCGCTGGGGAAAGACTGAGTGAATGGACGGAGCTGTAGATCGTCAAGAAAGTTGATGCGGCTCGGCGGCGATTTCGCGCTAGGCTGCCCCCGCGCGCTGCAGCCACTCACTGCTCGCCAGACTCCGAGACGACATCTTATCTCACTCGAGCCACCGACGCCCAAGTTCTCAAGCACGTTGCGTACTCTTCCAGTCGTGCTAGACCATAACCTCCACTCTGCCACACGTCACGATGAGTTCCACACGTATATACCATAACATCTCGCGCACGCCCATCACGTCCACAATCCTCCTTATCTTTGCCAACTACGAACTATGGCGGATCCACAAGGGCACCCACCCCTACTGGAGTCCTAAATTCGAACAGGCAGGCTTGACTGCACCGCGCAACGAGGTCAATTCAAGCACTCCCGATAGTGGTGCTCCAGCGACTCGGGCGGAAGCTGGACGAGAGTTGCGCGGAGTCTCGATCCAGTTCATGAATCTAAATGGCGTTCCCATACCTTTTCTCGGACCCAAGTCGATGGACTGAGGACTGCATTGAGCATCGATACAAGTGATAACAGGGTCTTGTGAAGGGTTACCAGATGTCAGTGGGCTTAAGAGGCGGTGTGCATGGAGTACTGGCGTTGGATGTTGCAGCGTTCGAGCGAGAATGTTCTTTCAAGAAGTGACTCCCGGGAAATACAACCCAGAAAACGACTTTGTTCGCGGAGCAGGCTGTAAGAGCTGGAGTTGTCCACATAAGCTGCTACGATGCCGTTGATCGTGCAGCCACAAGATCAACGTTCCAGAGCCTGGCTGACCCACAGTCAACTCTACAACCCAACCAACATTTGAGAGCATGGCCAAATCCCTGTCCACTACATCGAGGAAAAACAAGAGTGAGGGGCAGAAATTCCTCCGCTTGCTGTTCCCATGTCATCGGACGATTGTTGGCCCTGGAATGTGGTCCGAGCACTGCGATGTTGAATTCAGAGCGCCGAATCGCGTCAGATTGCATCATCTCGCTAGCGTCGATCTTACTCCAGCTCCAACATACCACCTGCTACAACTACTGCCAATACGATGGGAGGCATGCTTTTAGTATCACGGATCATAGCAAGGATGAGAAAACAGGCCGAACGCAGAGAAATACGGTCAGGTCGTGCCGCTCGAATACACTCTGTATATCTACCTCGCAACTCTCAGCCTGCAGCGCGAGCAGTATATTTCTTGACTACCCTGATCGTGTGTCGTTGCATCTCGATGTTAGTGTCCTGCGGCTCAGCGTCAGGGTGATCGGCTGAATTGTGTGCGATGGCGCAATCGTCCCGATGCGGCAAGTAGTCACTGACAGTGATATGAATCGCACGTATACCGCTCAAATGTATTACTTATAAGGGCCGCCTCTACTCTCTGGATATCTAACTATCATCTACCAGTCCTATAGACCTCGCCCAAGCATATCCTCTCTTCATAGATTGAGTTCAGCTCCTTACAAGCATCTATTGTTTCCTCCATTGTCTTGCCATACCTGCCTCTTGCATACGGGTCACGTCTCCTCAAGTACGCATACCTTGCCGCGATAGACTGCAAAGTACTTGCATCCCCTACGGTCTCTTCCCTGAACCCCGGTAACAATCATGGCGCCCGGACTCGTCGAACCCCAGTACCAGCCTACCGCTACATCCACATCCCTCTCCACATCAAAGTCTAGCAACGTCCACAGCTACGTTCCTGGTCGCACAACTGTCAAGAAGCATGCTGTTCCTTACAAATACGAAGACCTTCGGCCACACTTCCCCACCATCACATGGCCAGCCTACACTGAGATCCCCTACGCCGACAAAGGCCAACTAGGCGATCCAAACTTCAAGAACCTCCTCGCAACCGCCACAGACGTCTTCGACTACAACCCAAAGATTGGCACCGAGGTGCACGGTGTTGATCTAGCAAACCTCACAGATGCTCAGAAGAACGACCTTGCCCGACTGATTGCTACGCGTGGTGTGGTGTTCTTCCGGAATCAGAAGAACTTCAGCATCGACGAGCAAAGGGAGCTTGGCAAGTACTTTGGTGAGCTCCACAAGCATGCTACAACTGGTGTGCCGAAGCGCGAGGGTTTGGAAGACGTCCATGTTATCTACACCGGCGAGGACAGCCCAGACCTGAGGGCGTTGTTCACACCGTCGTTCCTCTGGCACTCTGATGTAAGAATTAAACCATTGCGAGTGACTCGAGTTCGCTAACACAGTCAGGTAACATACGAACTGCAGCCTCCTTCCTACACCTCCCTCAAAGTCCTCACTGGCCCACCTCGTGGCGGTGGTGGAGACACACTCTGGTCTTCGCAATACGCAGCTTACGATATGCTATCGCCGCACATGCAAAAGTACCTTGAGGGCCTCACTGCCCTACACTCGGCCGAGCTCCAAGCCCAGGGCTCACGCGATCTGGGACGAACTGTACGCCGCGACCCTGTCACCACCGAACACCCACTCATCCGAACAAACCCTGTCACGGGCTGGAAGAGTATCTTCTTTAACCCAGGCTTCGTGACAAAGATTGTCGGTGTACCAAAGACGGAGTCGGATCACATCATCAGTTTTTTGACTGAGATTATCGCAACCAGCCCAGAGGTTCATGCTAGGTTCCAGTGGAACGAGGGTGATGTAGCGTTCTGGGATAACAGGGTCACAGTATGTTGAATTCTTCCTGTTGACTGACATGTGCTGACACGCAGCAGAACCACTCCGCTACTTATGGCTTCGCACCCCACCGCCGACACGCAGTCCGCGTAACCGTCCGTGCTGAACGACCGTATCTCGACCCAAAGAGCAAGTCGCAAGAAGAAGAGCTGAGCGAGAAGTACGGAGTCCCGAGGGCGAACAAGGATGGAAGCGGTGTTGTCAACTACAATGACTGAGCATTTGACGTCCTGTGAAAACGCGGGCTAATGTTTTGACTTTATGTATGAGCGTTCTTAGCGAGCATGATGATATAAGCGTGCAAATGAACTAGATTCGACTTTAACGTTGCCTCCTGGCGCACATGTTCTTCGTTTTCAAACCAGTTACACGCTTCCGTACTTGGAAGTGCAAGCCGACAAGGGGTGATTGAGGCACATACAAATGGTCTATCAAGAACCAACACTCATATCTAATTTCCGCAAATGAACGAGGCCGTCATTAGTCTAGAATCGTCAACTACACAAGTAACATTGGTTCAACAAGACAATACATAGGTGGCCGCCAATCCTGCCAAACGTAGCCAACAACAATCCCCGCTACCAACGCCAAACCCAACATATACACCGATATGGTTTTGATTGTCCCTACGAATGCCACTTGGGCAACGAAGATTTTCCTTGATCGAGAAAGCGCCCTTTAGGTCGCCGCCCTCTTGCAATGCATGTCCCAAGTAGAGTCAGAATTGCGAGAACGAAGAAGACAATTTTCAGCACACGCCAAACCTTGGCTGACGTCGAAAGGGGTGCACTTGACCAACAGTCAGACTAGTGTGCCAAGAGCGATAGATGAAATCAAGGTGTCAGATTGAAGTAGGACTGAAGTGAGATTGAGCACTTATTACTGCTCCTTTTCGTACCCTGCTGGCTTCTCCATGCCTTGCATTTCGTAGAAGCGGGATGTGCCTGTGACTTTGTAAGCATAGATTATTATCGTTGTAGTAGGTAGACGTACAGCTGTATCCATTCCAGTCAAAGTTGTCCTTGGGGTTGCAAGAGCACTTGTGGTCGAGGCGGTATTGCTCACCGGTCGGGCAATGCGTGAAGGGGACGTGGTAGTAGGCAATGTCGTTGAAGAAGTGGATCTCGTCCTTTTGTAGTAGCAGACCTGCGGCAATGGAGTGTACGGGGGCATCGCCCCATCGCTCGTAGAAGAAACCGCCTGCGTGGTCAAGAGAGGTGAAGAAGTCAATGTATGCGTCGGAACGGAGCCAGTTGAGGTTGCCAATCTCGAAGTTGGACCAGAAATGGCAGTGGTTGTAGGTCTCGCCGCCGTCGTCACTGAGGAACTTCATGGCGTTGTCCTTGACGATGTGCTGGGGGTAGTGCTTGGTGAAGTTCTTGGTGGCATCCCAGAGGGTGGGGATGGTCTCGACGTATTCGTAGAGACTGAGAGTGAAGCTGTACTTCTTCTTGTTCTCGGCCATGAACTTGAAGGTGTCGTAGTTGATGTCGCAGTAGAGCTTGACGCTGGGCTCGACACGCCAGTACCACTCGTAGTCGAGCATCAAGGGGTGGCGGAAGAAGAAGCCAGACTCGTAGCGGCACATGTGCCTGTAGCTGATGGAGTCGCCGTAGATGATCTTCTTCTCCTTCATGGTCTCGCGAACCTTAGCGGCCTTGTCCTGGTCGATCCATTCGGGGAAGGACCAATGCTCCGTGGGAATCTTGCCGTACTTGGTGGTGCCGGACACGAGCGCAGTGGTGACCTTCTTGAACTCGTCGCTGAAGTCGTCGTCGTTGAGGAAGACCCAGTCGTAGTTGAACTTGCGGTTGAAGCGGTCTTCGACTTGGCGGATGGACTCGGCAATCTCCCAGACGTCGGAGTTACGGGCGAGGGTGACAAAAGTTGCGTTCATGCGGTCGCCGGGGATAGTGGCGGGTGGGAGCTTCTGCTGGTTGGGCGTGGTAGGAGTCGTGACCTGCTGGACGTCATCGCTGGCGACGGGAGCATTGCCCTGGGGAGTCGCGGGCGACTTTGTGTCCTGGTAGACTGGCCAGCTTGCAGAAGGCACAGACGAGGAGGAGCCGATGAAGTAGAGGAGGACGAGAGCCTGCAGAGAGTCAATGGCTGCGTGGGTAATCATTACACGTTGACAGTACGTACCACTACCGCAAAGACGATGTAGCGGATGTACCGCTGGCTGCCGGCCATGGCGTTCCGGCCCTGAGGCTGCTGCTCAGACGGGTGCTTGTGTTTAGCGGGGTTGGGGCCCTCCACTTTGCCTGCTCAATGCGACAGTGCAAGTGTGGGGGAGGCGTAGGCGTGGGCGTGGGTGAAGGCGTGAAGCGTAGCCCAGATGGCGGTGCCGGACACTCGGCGCGTGTCTTCCCCGGAAACGGTTTATAGGGAAACGAACGGATCTGAGACGCGGGGCATGCGCATCAGCAGGTGAGATCGAGGACGGAGTCGAGGTGAAGGAGGGCGGTGGGGAGAAGAAAATACAGGTGGAAGAAAGTAAAAGGAGTGGTCGTGTCGGGGCGCCGTGGTAAAGTGGTCAAGTGTGGCTGATTCGCCCAGAAGCCAGTTCGCAGGGTTACGAGGGCTTCTTGCTTTCTTTGGGTAAGGGCGGGACTTGCCGCCAATTGGGACGGAGACGCGAACACAGCCAACCTGGGTCGCAGCACCACCTCGCCCACCGACCACGACCACCGTCCCAGTCTCTGTACGCTGCGACCGCTTTCGGAACCTGCAGTGTCCACATCGACCGCCGTTCGTTCGTGATTGCGCCGATGCGACCGCCGCCCAGCCAATCTGCCTCTGCCCTAGCCAAACGTCACCACTTTCGCGTGTCAAATATCACCTCGCCCCAGGCATAAGAACACCAGCCAGAGCATCCACCCGACCGGGCACCGCCCACCATGTCTTTCTTCGGCTTCGACACCAACCTGCCGAGGGACCGCGGCCACGCCTCCAATGCCCCCGGGTTCGGCCAGCACGACGCCTTCGCTGCCCTGGGTGGAGGGGCAGCCGATGACGATGTGTAGGTCGCGTCCAATATAGCCCACAGCTCCCGCTTACCCCCAACACAGCATCGACTTCGAGGAGACGTACGACGGCCTGGGCGACCAGCTAGACGACGATGCCGATGACCTCAACGACGACACCTTTGGCGGCGGCCCGGCCACGCAGCAGTCTGTTGGGAAACACTTCGACTTTGCTGGCCAGACCTCCATGGTGTCAAGCACCCTGCAGGAGGAGCAGATGCTGTACCAGGCTCGCCAGAAGTACCCCCAGCAGCAGCAATACCAGCAACAGCAGCAGCAGCCCCAACAGTACCAGCAGAGACCGCCCGTCCCACAGGCGTCCAAGCCCAACCGAACTGGCTATGAGAGCTACAAGGATCCCGAGTACATTCCCCAGCTGGAGGCGCGCGCCGATATTTGGGGCCTCAAGCCGAAGCAGCCAGCTGCGCAGAGACAGCCGTCACCCCAGCCCCCCGCCGCTTCGCAGCAGCCCGCGCCCACGAGGAAGGCCATGAGCATGGAGGAGGTCGAGGCCATGATGCGTGCTCAATCCATAGGCACTCCTCCAGTCCAACATGCGCCACCTCCGGGCTTCCCAGGATATGCGCAGCAACAGCAGTACCCGCAGCAGCATTTCCCGCAACAGCAGCCTCAGTATCCCGGTATGCCTGCTGGAGGTATGCCAGGACAGTTTGCGCCGCAGATTCTGCAAAGGCCTCAGCAGCAACAGCAGCCGGTCAGACAACAACAGCAGCAGGCTCGTGCAGAGCTCCCTGATCAACCCGTCCGGTCTCAGCCGCCCCAACAGCCCACCATCCTGCAGCGACAAAGGCCTCAGTCCAACGAACCCGGCGCGCAGCAGCAGCGCCAGGCGCCATCTCAGGCACAGGCTCAGGGTCCGCCTACCCAGCCTCGACAGATCTTGCAGAACCCGAACCGTCTGTCCGGTCAAGGCCAGCCGATGGTTCAGAACCCTCAACAGGGTCCTCAAGCCGGTCGCGGGATCCCTGCGGGACACAACCGGGGTCCATCGTTCCCCGGAATGGTCATTACCCACCCCGAGCAACTTCTGCAGCTATCCGAGGCCGAGCGTGCAGCCTTCCTAGAAGAAGATGCCAAGCGGGCCAAACGGAACCACAAGATTGCTCTGCTAGCAAAGGACAACGGCCTCATGACGCCACAGGACAAGAACTTCATCACCCGGATCCAGCTGCAGCAGTTGATGACTGCGACTGGCAACTTGGAGGAGAGAGGGCCCGAGGCAGCTATTGCTGAGGACTTTTACTACCAGGTCTTCACCCAAATTCGGGGTGCTCCACGTCAAAACCCGCAGCAGCCAGCAAGCCAATTTGCTCAGACATATCTGTTCCAGACCAACAACAGGTTTGGCAACCGCAGACAAGGCCGAGGAGGCGACAACCACATGCAGCGCATGGAGCAGCAGATCCAGCGAGCAGTCGAGGCCGCCAAAGCGAGACCAAAGGCTAGACAGCTCGTTGTGGAAGGCAGCCTAGGAAAGATTGCCTTTAGCAACTCCAAGACCCCGCGACCGCTGCTCAACCTCAAGCGAACGGAAAACAACGACAAGCTGCCAAAGAACCACAAGTCTTCCATCGCGGATCGCAAGGAGGCTCTCCGCAACATCGAGGCTGTGTACAAGACACTCATGCAAATGGAAGACCACGAGCGCGCAATGCCGCCTCCGATCCAAGAAGGTAGCCCCCCTGAAGCCATCCAGGCGCACATGGAGTGGCGATCGAAGATTGAGGCTCTCCACCAGCAACTCTGGCTGAACACCAAGATCATGGAGCCCATCAACCCCAGGTATGTTTGGCACCCCACGAGACCTTTTCTCGCTAACAATAACTAGCACACCGCATCCCTTCATCTCCATCCTTTCGCATGCCAAGGGAAAGAAGGTGATTCCGCGCCTGTTCCGACACATCAACGAGCAGGAGCGCATCACCGTTGTCACCATGATTGTCGTCCATCTAGATGCTCTCTCTGTGGTTGGCCATGCCATCGCTACGCCTGAAGAGCCTTTGAGCGCAGCCATCCGAGAAGAGGTTGACCTTTTCTCTCAAACCGTCATGTCACCCATCCACGCACACATTTCCGAGGCGCCATTGAACATTGTCATCGGGCTTCTTGGCCTTGTCTTGGACCGCACCAACCTCCATGTTGTGGCTCGTAGCAGAATTGGTCTTACGCTTCTTACGTTCCTCATATCCCGTGCGGAGCTTCTTAAGCAGTCGGCTCCAGAGATGGTGACCGATTGGCAACAGTGGACGGGGCTTTACAACCGTCTGTTCGACGTCATTGAGCCCGTTCTTCCTTACCTGTTCCCCGGAAGCATCAACGACACGGACGACATGTACATCTGGCAGTTCTTGGCTGCAATGGGTGTGGGCGCCAGTCCCGAGCAGCAACAGCGTTTGGTGCTGGGCGTCAAGGACCGCGTCATGGAAACGGTCTCTGTTAGCAAGGCCCTACCTGCTGACATGGCAAGCGCACGCACAGCAAATGTGAACCTCTTCATGAGGGCTATCGGTCTGGATGTTGAGCTGCTTGGATGAAACCCCCTGAGGATCAACATTTAGCCATGCAATGCTATCGGGACGCCACGCATCGCGTTCTGCGGTAGGCCGATGTTCGGAGTACAAAGTCCATGCCAAGGGGTTGGACGCCGATGGACTCGGACATGCAGCACCAGTCTTGCGTGTAGTCGTCGCCTAGTTGCCATGTGTCCGTTGCATAGTCGGAGCAGAGCGGAGGACCAGAGAGCTGGCAGTATAGGAGTTATCCGAGAGTAGACGGCTCTGGCGGCCAGGCCCAGGTGATGGATGGGCCTCTGGTGGCGCGTCGACGATATAGCAAGGACATCACTTTATGATAGAACAAAAGCGCCCCATTCAATATTCGAATATACGCATTGATTTCATGCAGCGATTCCGCCTGTCAGTGTCAACATGTTCGTGCCCTCCCGGGAGTAGCCCGTGCACTTGCGGTTCTCTCTCGACGCCACTCGCTTGAGCAGAGGCAGGGAACGCGGCTGCTTTTTCCAACTAACGCCTAGCCACGCGGACTCTCTTTATGCTTTGCACCGTCTCCTTTTTGTGACTGTACCAAAATACAGAGTGGAGAAGCCCAGTCGTCTACGCATGCCTGAGGTTGGCTATTCGTCCCTAGGCACGACGGCTTGCAGATGAGGAAATTGTCGTACCAGTCTGACAAACACCTTGCTGTGAGATTCGAAACACGAACTTCGCATCGACGGATGCCCAGCCTGTTTGCTTGCCGAGACAAGTGGCGCCAAACTGCGATGAAGCATGTTTGCCGTCATGGAGCATGTTTTGGAAGAGCCACATCGGGTTGGTTGGTTCTGGAGAAAGCGCTCATCCGACGCCGCAACATGACAGTTAAGCTTCGCCCCGGTTGCTTGTCTGACATTTCGGATACGCGAGCGAGATGGAGAGGTTTATCCGCCGGCTGCTTCTTCTCAAGTTGCGGGCTGGCGGGCCCTTTGTTTCATCCTTGCGACGACGCCCAGTTAGCTTGTCTGGTCTTGGCATTGCGAAACACTACTCCCGCGGCTTCGTCAGCTCATCCGTTCATGCTCGCTGACGGCATAACCGCGCGTCATCAACTTCAGGCGACTCGGCAGAAAGAGGCATACGCTCCCAACGTAGCAGACCGTCAACGACTGAAATGAGGTGGCTGACAGAAACAACTCTCTAGTACCACCACCGTACGCAAGCCATGTCTGCCGTAAGGGAGCCTCTTGTGCGACTCCGACGTTGGCTGGTACCACGGTACTGAAACGTACCTGCAGTCGATGCCATGCCTGCTGCTAGCTCTCTCCACATTTCTTCGACGGTGTCAAGCTGGACGCGTAACGACCCCATCCCCTTATCGATACCTCTCCGATGAGGCTCGAAATGCGTCTCGGCCAATCATAGCGCGCCCACTAGACCCATAGTCCCCGTTTTGCACGTTTAGTAGCCACCCAGACTGGCTTCTAGATTTTTGTGCCTGAAAACCTGACAGGAGCTAGGCTTGATGTTCCCCATGGATCATCGTCAATGCAGCACGCGTAGCGTTTTGTCTGCTGCCGCGTGGATCTCAGCTTGGCCGTGAGTGTCGAGTTAGCGCTCCCAGATCTTTCATTATGCGTCGGTATCGGTTCGGATTGCAGGCACTGGTTTCATCTTCCTCAAGTTTCACACTCTCTACATCGTTGGTCGCGTAGACGTTCCTTCTTTAAAAGCACTCTCCTCGCACACTCCTTGAGAACCGTGGACTACCATCAGGCCGAGCCTTCTGTTCTGTTTCTTTCGAGGAAGTCGTTTCGTTTCGTACTTTTCTTTCTTTAACCATTCCCTTCTTTCCAAACGACAGGTTCTTCCAGTCCGGCTGCCGGTCAGCATTAGCTCAACATGTTCTCCCTACGATTCCTCTTTTTCGTCACTCTTTTGGCGGCCGTTGTGCTAGCCGTTCCCGCCCCTGCACGCAAGAGGGGTCTCCAAAAACGTTCCTTCAAAGTTCCTAGGCAAATCAACAGGGCTCATCCTACCGGACCCAATGGCGCTGCTGCCATGAGGAAGGTGTTCAGGAAGTACAACTTCAAGGTCAAGGAAGACTTTATGGTCAAGGAGGGATTCATTTCCTTCACCAAGCAGAGCCAAAACGTGACCGCGGCCGCTGCTGCTGCTACTGGCGGCAACACCACCGGTACTGTTGCGGCTAACCCCGAGGAAAACGCCGCTCTGTTCTTGTCGCCTGTCGATGTTGGTGGTCAGACCCTGAACTTGGACTTCGACTCTGGCTCCTCCGATCTGTAAGCTCACACCTACCATGCGTTCATGCAATGCACTTTACTAACTCTTGCCCAGCTGGATGTTCAGTACCGAACTCGACCCGCAGCTGATTGGTCAGCACACTGCTTTTGACGCGTCCAAGTCTACCACTTTCAAGGCCACAACCGGTTCTCAGTGGAAGATCAGCTACGGTGATGGTTCCGGCGCTGCTGGTGTTGTTGGCACTGACACTGTCACCATTGGAGGTGTCAAGGTCGAGGGCCAGACCGTTGAGCTTGCAAACCAGGTGTCTCAGTCTTTCGTCCAGGATACCAACACTGACGGTCTTGTTGGTCTTGCGTTCTCCAGCCTCAACACTGGTGAGTTTTCTACATGCCGTACATATCGAGTTGTGCTAACAATGACTAGTCAATGATGGTACCAAGAAGACTCCTGCAAAGACCTTCTTCGACAACGTCATGCCTAACCTAGACATGCCCGTCTTCACTGCCGATCTCGACCCAGATGGCACCGGTGTGTACGAGTTCGGCAAGATTGACGCCACCAAATTCGAAGGCGAGATGGCATGGATCCCCGTCAAGGCCGACACTGGCTTCTGGCAGTTTGGCTCTACCAAGTTCGCTGTCGGTGACCAGCTGTTCGAGAACCCTCAAGGCTCCGACGCCATTGCCGACACCGGCACATCGCTCCTCCTTGTTGACCAGCAGGTCGCTGAGGCATACTACTCGCAAGTCCAGGGTGCTCAGCTCAACGCTCAGGTCGGCGGTTTCATCTACCCCTGCGGCGCCACTCTCCCCGACATGAGCGTCGCCATCGGTGACTCCTACATGGCCAAGATCCCCGGTAGCCAGATCACCTTTGCCACTGTCGATGCAGCAAACACGACCTGCTTCGGTGGTGTACAGGGTAACCAGGGTGCAGGTCTGCAGATCTACGGCGACACCATGTTCAAGGCGCAGCTCGTCGCTTTCAACGGTGGTAACCAGTCCCTTGGTTTTGGTCAGAAGCCAGTCCCCAAATAAGCGCATATCCTTAGCAGAAGGAAGTACAGTTTGCTCGCATGTACATAGTTCGATATCCTTTGCACATTCACTTGAAAATATATGGGACAACCCAAAGCATAGCATGGCACAGCGTGGCCACAAGATAATGAATGAAGACATCAATAAACCATATGAAGCCTTTGCATGTGACTCGTGGTCAAAATAACGTGCAGGCGCTAGTGTGTGGGTTGAGGAAGGTGCAACTCTTGAATTTGACTCGCGTTCCGCACTGGTCTCATGATCAAAGAATTACATTGATATTATTGCCCATGCGACAATCCCGGTATAGCTACAATGCAAGAGCAAGAGTTGAGCATCCTCGAATGGGCGCGAAGGCAAGGCGCTTGTATAAACTACGAGACCGAGTTGCTGCACATTGGCAGACTTGAGGTGCCAGCAAGCGATGATTACGATCAGCATCTTCACGATCCCTCCGACGCGGCCATCACTACTGCCCTCAGCACGCTTATCAAGGAAAGGCTCACGTTGGATAAAGAAGCTGCATCACTCCTAAAGGCAGTGCATTCACTCCAGGAAGTTGATGCAACCAAATCGTCAGCCATCAGCAGCCGAATGTGGATACGCGATCTGAAACAAGAGCTGCCTGTGTTGCAGTCAGACCATGAGCTCGACTTGCTGAACTTTGGCAGTGTAGCTGTGCCAGACTTTAAGAACTTGCAAATACCTTCCGAGATCACGGTAGAGCAGAACGACGAGGGCTTCACATGGCCAGCCAAGTACTTCGCCTATCCTGCTCAGTGCGATGCACAAGTCAAAGCCGAAAAACTCGCCGTCACGAAGGAGGTATTGGAATATCTGCAAGAAGCTACCAGAGACGCATATGTACCGGAAGATGGCGAAAAGATTGAAGCCGAAAGTACCATGCGGAAACAGGTAGGCAGAGTCCTTGGTGATGTCCGTCTGCTAAACGATGCAGAAATCAATCATCCGGCCTGTCACGCCACCGTTGCTCCCTTTGTCTCCGCCAATGAAACCCTACATACCATCCTCACCTGCAAATCGTCTACCACTGGCTTCGGACAGTAGTGGCTCGGTCACCGCTGAGGCACAGGCTTTGCACGACCAAATCATGGCGGCGGATTCCCTGCTTCCTGAGGGCTCAGACGGCAGCGACTCAATGCTACTCGATATTCCCCACACAGCCGCTTTCAATCCTCTCGAAGTATCCACCCTACCCATACTTAAACGCCGAGCCGAAGATCTCAAAGTAGAAGGCCCACTTACTCCACCGCTATTTTCCACTTCGCCAACGAAGAAGCTGAAGTCCGTGTCTTTTGCAGACACTCTACATGAGTATAGCTCGTACGTGCCATGGGGTCAAGACGTGATGACTGGTGAGGGAAAGTCCAGCGTTGAGTCCGACCAGTTCTTCAAAGAAATCGAAGACCTGGCTGAGGAAGCGAGGAAGAAGGTTGAAAGTGAGAAGTTATCAGGCGCCGACACGATTGTAAGAGTGGATGTACCTGACGCTGACTTCTCACTACCTGTTGCACCATGGGACGAGTATAGTCAGCGTAGTGGCAAACATGGACCTGATGATACTGAACTCCAAGCACAAATGAGGTTCATGCTACGGATCAGGCATGAGGACATGAAGTCGGCATCTTCGTGGCATGGACTTTCGGTCCCGGAGCGAGAGTTGAAATGGGGCTTTCTCAATACCAATGTATTCGCTCCAAGCCTCGAAGAAAAACTCCATGGTGAATCAGAAATGACTAGGATCATCGCTGAGGTGGAAAACGGCAATATTGCGACCAGCTCCACTCAGGTGTGGAAGCGCGAAGGGCTTCGGATCCTAGACGAAGACGAGGACGAGGAAGAGCTAGATTCGAATGGAGATGAAGGGCGACAGAACATGGAAGCTTTGATACGCAAGCGAAAGTTGGAAATGGAGGAAGAGATGGAGGAAAAGCACCGCTATCGGACGTCCTCACAGCAGGCTGTACGCCCACAAATCCAGCCGCCCAGGGGCTTGCAGCAGAGCCACCACTTCGGAGGACGAGGGGCAGTGCAGACCTCAAGGACCCGGTCGAAGAAGATGGATCACGCCTCCAAAGGACTCCAAGGGTCCATGGATGCGAGCGGTGATCTGATGTTTGGCGGATTTTCAGCGTCGACCGCTCTTCACAAGTTCATGAAGACGCGTGGAGAGTCTGTGGAGCCAGTGAAGATTGATAGGACAGAAGCACCCGATTTGGAAGGTCATGCTCATTCCAATGCGTGCAATCTACCAGTCCAATCAAGAGGATCTGCTTCGCACAAGTCAGCAGTCCAAGGCCAGCAGGCGCATACCGTCAAGCCACTGCCGCCCACCGTTCCGAGCAATCTAGCACCTTGCTCTTTCGTGGTCTCTTCGTCCTTGCTACAGCAGCGAGGAGTACTGAAACACATCGAACAACTGCACCCAAAAGCAGAGATGGTATATCGGGATTATACACTACCGCACTCCATAGCCGGCGAGGCCGAGATCATACTCTCTCCATCCACGGGCCTGATCTTTACCACTTTACAGGAGGTCAAACAAAGAGCCCTCCCTGGGCAGCCAGAAAGATCACTGGTGAAGGAACGTGTGGCTACGCTTCAGTTACGGTACGAGAGATTGGTGGTTTTAGTAAGTGAGGGGCTGAGCCGTGAGATGGAAGAATTGGGTTCAAGTCGGCCAGATGACCCGCGCGATGCGGAGGCGCTCGAGACTTTTGAGCAGTTCGCTAGCAAACTAGAGGGCGATGTTGTCGTTCGGTATGTCCGCGGAGGAGAAACGGCTCTCGCGTGCTCCACGGTGATGGAGATGGCAAACTACGGACTGCCCCATGGCTCAGTGGACATTGGCGACATCAAGCCTATGGCTCAGGAGACGAGCTGGGAGGTCTTTCTTCGTCGAGCGGGATTCAACCCATTCGCTGCTCAGGCAATCGTGGCGTGGCTCCAAAAACCCTTGAATGTACCAGTGGCTCCTACACCTCCCGCAAAATCCGTGTCAGCCGTTGGTCTTCCGCGTTTCATACTGATGAGCGAAGAAGAGAGGGTGCGTTCGTTCCAGGCATTGATGGGTGGAAGTAGGATTCTCATTACAGCTAGCAAGTTGATGGGCCAAGCGTGGGTCAGCGCTGCACATGGATTCAGGATGTGAGATGGAGATATGATACTACGAATCTATAGACATGCGATGTTCAGAAGTCACATGGAGTAACTAAATTTAGAACATTAAGATTTTTTGCCATCACCAACTGGCATTTCAAGAGACATTGGACGTGGGGTGAAGCTTGGACCAAGAATGACGCCGAAGCTACTCGAAATATCGCAAAGGCAGCTACACCAATAAAATCTCATGCCAAAGTAGTCATTCGGCTTGCAGCCTTACTGGCATCTCGAGTAAACTTTCGCCTATAGACGAGCGGTCTCGGACGCGTCGAACATGTCTTCAGTCGGTGTCATCATCTCAGGTCGGCCTGTCGTAACCGAGCCGTCCTCCGTGATATCGCCTACCCAGTTCGCCTTCCAGATTCCTTCGCAACCGTCATTCTCCCACATTGTCGTCTTCCTGCTCCCAGGCGTCACACTACCAGATGGCACCGCCGCCGCCGTATACGCGCAATTACCCGGCACGACCGACTTCAAGCTTCTCGGCGCGATCGCAAACGAGAAGCCCAGCGCGATATTCAAAGTGAACGCGAAAGCTGGTGGGCCCGCGGGTGGTGGTCTAGGCGACAGCGACGATGCCATGGTGGACGAGGGTGTTTCAGTGGACGCGTCAAACGGCAGCACCGCACCGCTAGCTCTTGGGATCGCCGTCGAGCCCGCGCAACAAGTCGCCGCAGCTTTGGCGGAGAAGAAGGCACAGGATGCCGCGGCGTCAGCAACACCGAACATGGGCCAGGGCAACGAGCTGGTGCTTAGAGGGCAGAGGAGCGTAGAGACAAAGGTGCTGGCGCAGAGGATTATCAAGAACTGCTACGACTTCTTGACGAGCTGGGGTACAGGAGATACCGTGCCGCTGAAGGCATTCCAGGCGTGGTGGACCAAGTTTGAGGGCAAGATTGAGAGGGATCCAGGGTTCCTGGAGAGGAGCGATGGAGGTTGAGATTGAGCACGGCATGGATTATAAGACTGTACGATACGAAGCTCGCAGACAACCCCTCAAAACGCCTTGTTGACACCATCCCATTCTGGTTCCGCGAGCGCTGCCGCGTACATTGCATGCGGCCACGAAACCTTTGGCGCCTTCTCTGGCTTACGCTTCGCCTGCTCCACTACTGCATCGCCCAGTACCTTTTCGATTCCCGCGCGCTCGTACCGCACTTCCAACTGCTCTCTCAGTGGCTGAAGCATTTCCCAATCCGTGCTCTTCCTCCCAAAATCTGTTACGACGGCGATGCGAACAAGTCTCGAGAGCTCGCCGATCCTCTCAGCAATTCCTGGGCTGGTATGGCACGCGATTGCTGTCCAGACATCATGCGCATCCGCTCCGTCGACGCCATGCGTGGACAGAAACACGACTGCTGCATCGGCACCCTCGACCTCGAAGCGCTGCGAACCATCATACTTTTGCGTGGTGCCAATATCGTGAAAAAGGCATGCCATCAAGAGCAGATCGCGGCAATGGGCGTTCGTGAAATACTTTGACAATGTGTGTTTGGCCAATGCGTTAGCATAGAGATAGACTCTGATACTATGGTCGAGAATTGCTGGGTGTAGCAGACCAGCTGCATGTGCATATGCAGCTTTTGATATGTCTGTGTCAGGGTCCAGGAGACGCGAATACGTCCCGCCCTCTGGATTGCTGGCACCGGCAATGGTTAGGTCGGATGGTGGGCACATGCTGCGCTATACGGTATGAATGGTGATATATAAATCAGAGCAAAGTTTATGCGACAGAAAAGTACTTTGTGTGTCTCTTGTACATATAGACGCGCTTGTCGTCTGTTTCCCAATCGGGCCACAAGGCGTGGGCGAGCGGGGCTAGCCACGATACTTCAAATCCAACGTCGGACGTCTCATCATCACTGCTAGCAGGCGCGCGCGATTTTTGAGCATCCTCAAATTCCATACTTCAGGAATTGGAGTCTTCAGGCATGAATCTTGTCGCAGCTACCCTACCCAGAGTTCTGCAATCTCTAGTGCCAATTGGCGATCATATTCTCCACACACGGCCTACACAAATACTAAAGCAAACCAAACGTAAGCTCTACGACTAGACGCCGGTAACGGCTATCAAGAAGAAACCCCCAGTCATCCGAGTTTGCTAACACGCCCTTGGCGTTCTTACTAAACACATCCTAGCGGATCCAGAGTGTGGGCTATCGCATGCAAGGCTCACTGATAAGACACGCTGACACGACGACGGATCTGGACGACTCGCATGGCCAAGAAGTTCAAGCCTTGCTACTACTCGTAGAATTAACTAATCGAGCTGCTTCTAGAAATACCAAGCACTGCATGACGACAGTGCCTTGACCGCAGCTCGACAATGATACGATAAGAGGCCGTGGAGATAGGCGTAGCAGGTTCGCCGACGGTAAGCTTGGCATGTGAACTGGGTGACAACAAAAGAGTATAAAGACTGGCTTCGGCTTGTTGTGAGTCGATTGTGGTTTCAGCTACGTGCGCATCCGGTTGGCAAGATGAAGTTCTCTATCCACCTTCTTCCTCTCTTCACGGCCCTTACCCTAGCATCGCCAATTGATCTTAGTCGGTCAAATCTCCACCGACTCTTCGTACGCCAGGATATCCAAACACCAATCAATGCTTCCCTTCCTAATGTCACCATCTTCGCAACCGGTGGAACAATTGCCTCGCAGGGTAGCAGCAATACTCAAACCACTGGCTACTCGATAGGTCTCGGAGTCCAACAACTCGTTGATGCCGTCCCAGAGCTCCTGAACATCTCGAATATCGCCGGCTACCAGATCTCCAACGTCGGCTCTGGTAGCGTCAATGAGACCATCAGCTTGAGCTTGGCGCATATGATCAATGCTGAGTTGGCCAAGGAGGAAATCTCCGGTGTTGTAGTAACGCATGGCACCGATACGCTCGAGGAGACTGCTTTCTTCTTGGAGAGTACGGTAAACTCCACTAAGCCTGTCATCGTCGTGGGTGCCATGAGACCGGCGACTGCATTGAGTGCAGATGGTCCGCTCAACTTGTTCCAAGCAGTTACCCTTGCTGGATCGCCTGCCGGCCGGAATCGAGGAACTATGGTGAGTTTATGAGTCGAGATGCAGCCGTGAAGAGGTTGTTCTAACATTTTCAGATCGTCCTCAACGACCGCATTGGCTCTGCTTTCTACACCACAAAGAACAATGCCAACACCCTGGACACATTCTTCTCGACTGAAGCAGGGCAACTCGGCGTCTTTATCAACCAGGTTCCATACTTCTTCTTCGCACCCTCGGAGCCTGTCGGCCGCGTAGTCTTCGATGTGACCAATGTTACGGATTTGGCGTCCGTACCGATCCTGTACGCCCACCAGGACATGGACCCCTCGCTGTTCAACGCGTCTTATGCTTCCGGTGCTCAGGGCATTGTCTACGCCGGAGTCGGTGCAGGCGGTGTATCTGATAAGGCTGCTCTGGCTGCTGAGGAACTTTACAATGCCACCGGCATTCCGATGGTTGCCAGTCACCGGAGTTCAGACGGGATGGTACCAAACGGTGGCGACTTTACTATTGCAAGCGGGTTTTACAACCCGCAGAAGGCAAGGATCCTGTTGCAACTGGGACTCACCATGGGTTGGAGCGAGGAGGAGATTAGAGAGGCTTTCGCGTTGAGCTATCCTACACCTTAAGCGGTGGAGGGGTCTAATACATATGTTAGCAGACTTGACGAATTAATGAGACAGCCACAATGGCTTGCAAACACAATTTGCCATTCCAATCACTAATTTGCGTGACGATTCCCCCAAGACGGGTACATCGGATGAGTAAGAGTATTGCTATTGTTCGAACATGTCTTGCACTCGAATGACAAGTATTCATCCGGTTTCCGTTCCTCTCTTCGAATGATGTCGTATTGCTGACAAAGATGGACAACAAGTGAGATTCAACGCGTAGAGAGAGTTCACAGTCCAACGATGTGGTGAGGCGGCAAGATACGAGACTGTCATCCTGGACAATGTTTACAATAGGTTGCGTGGCAGGCTATGGCATTTCCTGGTGGCTGGTATCTAGGCGTTGCTCCTACCAATGGGTTGCATTCGTCGTGGATTACAAAGGAAGAATGCGCGACACTGCTCGGTCGGACTTCGCTGGGTTCATTGTGCGATGGAAACACCGCATACGGATGATTGCGCGATGCGGCGTTGGAGTCGTAGGTGCACAGCCTCCCAAACTTCAGGGCCAGATCTCGCTGCAGGGCCCTGCACGCCGACGTCATGACTTGGCGCTACCAAAGGAAGCCAACATCGTCTCCATAACTACGTCCATGGACCCGGTAATCATGATGTTAAGTTTCAATTCGAATCCGCAGTCATGTCGAATGATATTGCCGCAAACCGCTCGGGGCTCAAGGACTTTCTCGCATCTATAGCGACCATCTCGGGAGATCTTTCAAACATTACTGCGCCGCCTTTTGTACTAGCTGAGAATTCGACGGTTGAGATACCACAGTACTGGGCGGACCATCCGTATCTCTGGGCAGCGCCGGCGTTGGAAGAAGATCCCGAGAAGCGCGCGCTGCTTGTGCTGAAGAACTTCCTATGCTCACTACGGGGGCAGCAATATGCGGGGCGAAAGGAGGAGGATGGCGTCAAGAAGCCATTGAACGCCTTTCTCGGCGAGCTGTTTCTCGGCAGCTGGAACACTGAGGAGCTGGGAGAGACGAGGTTGGTCTCTGAGCAGGTCGGCCATCATCCGCCAGTAACGGCGTGCTATCTGTGGAACGACCAAGTCGGCATCCGAGCTGAAGGGTTTACGGAACAGGAGATCACCTTTTCAGGAAATGTTAGCATCAAGCAAAAGGGCTATGCCATTGTGCATGTCGACAAGTACGACGAGGACTACCTCCTGCCCCTGCCGAATATCAAAGTAAAGGGTCTGTTGGGTGGGGTACCACATCCGGAGTTGTACGGCGAGTATTCTCTCATATCGTCCAACGGATATATCTCGCACATCAAATTCGAAGGCAAGTCCTTCTTTGGCTCCGGGCATAAGAACGGTTTCGAAGCGAGATTCTTCCACGCAGATAGGCCCGATGAGACGATCTACACAATTGAAGGAGCTTGGAACAGCACGTTTACCATCAAGGACGCGCGGAATGACTCTGAGGTGGAGACGTTTGACGTTAGGACTATCAAACACAAACCCATGACTGTGCCCGACCTCTCAGAACAGGACCCGTGGGAGAGCAGGAAAGCATGGAGCGACGTCATATCCTCCCTGCACAAGGGTGACATGAAGGGCGCCACCACAGCGAAGAATGCAGTCGAAAACGGCCAAAGACAGATGCGAAAGGACGAAGAGGCAAAGGGCGAGGAATTCAAACATGTCTTCTTCAATAAAGTACCTAACGACCCAATCTTCGACAAACTAGTCAAGCATGACCCTCAAGCTTACACCATCGACCCCTCGGGCGGCATATGGAAAGTCGACAAGCAAGCCGCGGAGCAGCGACAGCGCCCGTTCCATGGTGACCTGACACCGTCTAATCAGAGAGTAGCGCACAAGCAGGGGCAGCCGCAAGAGGGTAGACGATCAATAAATGGCCAGGACCAAGACAGCGGTGGGGCTGCTGGTGCGGTAGGCTCGGCGAAGTCTTCCAACGGCTATGCACCGGATGCGCCGGTTCAGAACGTAGCACCAAAACCAGTCGGCGACGCAACGCCCCGTGACGAAAAACGTCCAGATTCGGCAGTGGGGAGTAAAGGGGATTCCCGCCGTCAGTCGAGTAATGCGATAGAGGTTACTGATGAGATGGTGGAGAATTTTTTGAGGGCCAAGACGAGTAACCTGCGAGTGTAAGTATGATTAGGGTGGAGATTTCTTACTTACTGGTGTCACTTGGACCATGCAGTTTTTCAGTACCCAAGCCGTTTAGTCCAGCGGTCATACGCAGTGGACACCGCACTACTGTGGAACAGTTTCAACCTGCTGGATGTTGATACATGTGGATTCAAAGCGTCAATGTTTTCAAAGCGAACATAAACACAAGCTTAGTCGAATATCTCTTTTTTTTTGTTTTGTCTGGCTCGCGCCGACATGAGAGTAATATCATAGAATCTAAATTAACTTGTAACCCTTTCGTCTACATCGTTGACTTCTTAACACCTTTTCCCTTTTCGGCGTCCTATCGCCTCTCGTTCTTCTGGTTGATGTGCGTTTCCATTGTGATTTCGCCAATTCGGCACTCTTCATCGGACACTTTGCCTCCCCCCTTTATTTTCCAGGTATTGAACACCTTGTCGCTCTTCTCGTTCTCCGCAGAAATATCGTCTCGCAGTCTCACAGGCGCGAGATTGCCCATTCCATAGTCCTCGTCGATCTCCGACTTGGACGGTCCTTTTTCTGTCTTCAGCAAAGACATTGTCATGCTAAAAAGGCTAGGCCTCTTTCGCGACTCCTTGGTTGGATCGTTGTTCCATTGTGGTGTTCGCATGCCAGATGGGCCCGAGGGACCGAATGATGAGTTGGTGAAACCAAACTTCTCGGAGATCTGTCGCCAGAGGGGGCGGAGGGTGGCGAGGGAACCGGCTGTGATTGCGAGCCCTTGCTCGATGTCTGACCAGATTGCGATGTCGACGGTGGCCCAGAGGAAGTCGGGATTCTTAAAGTCCATCACGTAGCCCATGCGAACGCAGACTGCTACACTGGCAATGCAAGCCATGCCGAGAATGGGAATCAGCAGAACCCTCGTCTTGACTGACATGTTCAAGCCCCAGATGAGGAAGAAGGGCAGAATGGCAAACGTAAAGTCGCTAATGACAGAAATCGCACTGTACAGGAACGTAAGACCGATGATGACGTTTACGTCGATGCAGGTACCGTCTTCGATACTCTTGTTCCAGAAGAAGCTGACCGGGTGGCACTGGAAGAGGGTGACGAAGAAGAAGATGAGTCCACAAAGAACCGTGAGGCCCATGGCACAGTAGATGATGTATTTGTGTAGTTTCTTGACGGTGACGCGGAGGAGGAAGAGGCCGATGGACATTTTGGATGTGATCATCGCCCAGCAATATGCGATGTAGCAGAGCCACCAGTACTGTCGGTACTGTTAGTCTTCTGGTCGTGGAGAGTCACAGGTCGAGGCCTACCCGCATTGCTTTGTACTGTTGCTCGAACGAGAGTGTATCCATATGCCGTCCGGTGCCATAGTGAACACCACCCTAACACAATTAGTCAAGAGCTAGCAGGTAGTGGCTATGGATCTTACAATGGCGCAAGTAGCGAACATGACATGGCTACATAATGCTACCACCATCCACCAGTCGTCCGGTCCAAAAGCTTTCACGATGCGGGCTCGTACGTAGACCCGCAGGACAGTGGCTATGAATGCGAGCGAAACGAACGTCGAGCACACCTGCACACGTTAGTCGACAGTCTCCATCTCATCCAGTTCCTGTACATACCGCCGTCAGTTCAGGTCCCCGATTGTCGAGTTCGTGCCTTGTAGCCATGATGATGGCGTAAAGTCGGGCAAATCTGGTTCCCCCCAGATTCCTGAGGAATCGCGCGGATTTTGGCTCCATATACCTCGTTCCCGATGCCTTGGGTATCAGCCAAAATGAGTCAGCCCGCATTCTAGCGAGTCTCGATTCGAATGGTACCCAGGGGAAGGCGGCTCGTGGGCCCTGCCCACCGCTACTGAATGGGAAACACCGCCGGCATGTCAGGGCAGGGCATGGGTGCACACCATGCTGATTCAACGCTCAGTTACGATGGGGTCCAGGGGTGTTGTGGCGATTATTCCCGTGCTTTCGCAGCTTCCACTCTGGGCATGCATTTCGAGTCCCCTGCTCGTTTACGTGAATACAAGATGATCATAATTTGTTGATGGATGCTTGCGGCTCGTGAACCTCCCGCAATCTAGGCTACCCGCGCACAATAAACGTCGACGGACTCCGTTCCGATCAATCAAGTGCCCGCTCTGGCTGCAGACGTCAGAGTTTTCGGTCCCACGGTTTCCGTGTTTACTGTGGCTTCAGGGTCCCGCTGTTGTTCCACAGGGTGACCTCGATTCTGATTGCTAACATTAGTAAAAGCCGGCTCAATGCCAAGTTTCACTCGCGTGGCACAGAGACGGGAAGGATCCGCGTGGCTCCAGGGACTGAAGTTGACGCATGTCTGCTTGCGAAGTCGCATAGAGGTCGTGACTCTGTTGGGGCGAAATTTCCGCAGGGCGTGTAAGCGAGCTCATCTAGCACGATCTTGGTAAAACACGTGGGAGCTACATGGGTAGCGAGGACGTCGGCGACCTTAGCGGCAGATCGTCAAACTCAAACATCGACGTGCCGAGGCATGAACACTGGTGATTGGGAGATGGCCCGCGACTCAGGCACACTCCACCCAAGGCACTTGAGAACGGCTTGTTCAGTAGTGGGACTGTCACTCGGGTCGTTCTTCGCCGCTCGACGCTGACGGAGGGCTATCCGAAACTGTACGTAAGGCTGTTGACACCCATTATCTGATCGAAAGGGGAACGGTCAAGCAAAGATATCAGGGTTGACCCGCGAGTCGTACTAGGTTTGCAATCCGATTCGGTTCGATCAGTCCGATAAGGCAACTGAGCTGCATTCAACCGCTCGAATAGACATCAGCATGGACAGCAACTCCTGACGACCCTGGTATATTCACACCGCAGGAACCTCTCATGTCGTTTAACCCAAGTCAGGAGATCGGCCTCAACAAGCACCTGAAAGAGTTCGCTGGCGACGCGGACACGGGAAGACGCTCAACTGGCCAGCAACTGTGTGTTTCTTCGACGACGATCGTATCCTGATAAACATGTCGGCTCCCGTCCGTCTACGCATTCCCACTACGTCGGCAGTAGCAACTCACGTCGACACTAACGTCAGCTACAGCGAGTGCGACTCTTAGCTGCTGCCCAATGATATCGGCTTCGTCCCTCCGACCCAAAGCCACCAGACTCTCATGGTAGCCGCGCAGGGCCCATACGTTGTTCGGATGTTGCCTCGCCCGCGGTAGCGTATCATCGAACCCCAGATCTGCTTTGTAGGCTGTTGCCGCATCTTCTATTCGGCCCTGCTCCATCAACAGGGCAGCATATGCATGGCGTGTCGGTTGCATCCATGGCCAAGGCTCGGCGTATACGAGGTTATCATCACGTTCAATTGCCGTCTCGAGGTGTTTGAAAGCCTCCTCGTAGTTGCCTTTGCGGTACTCAAGCTCGCCGTCCAACATTGCAACTCCAACTTGCAGCACGACGTTAGACCTATCTTGGTTAGTAAGCTCTTAATACATGGGTTTCCCGCCGCTCCGGAAACTTTGACTCTACTGTACCTGTTAGGAAAATCTCCGCATATCCGCGATGCTGGGATACACTCTACTGCCTGAACCAAGGCATCGCGTTCCTCTTGCGCCTTAACGACGTCGCCAGTAGCGGCATATGCAACGCCTTTGCCATAACGTATCATTGCTGCTGTCACACAAAAGAGGTCCGTGTCAGACGGCATCTCGAGCGCGATAAGATCCTGCCATCGTCCGAAACGAACTAGGACATGGACCCGGACTGACGCGAAGTTCTCCAACCAGTCTGCCATGGGCGGGCTTTCAATGCGCAGCAGCGACTCAGGCAGCGATGCCTCCATCCGGTTGACTGCGTCCAGTGCGACCTTGAACTGCCCTGCAAACATGGCTGCATACACGAGCGAGTGATAGTTGTGCATCATGTAGAATGAGTAAAAGTTTCTCGCCCCATGCTCGGCAACGTACTTCTCGTCAGCACGGCAGGCATCCGCATTAGCGTCAATGGCATGTCGATAGTCACCAACAAGGATGTCCAGATGGGACGGCATATGTCTGTGGTTGTATGGCGTTAGTACGTACTTCGCTTATAATTCAACGTATACCTACAGCAAGTGTCCTCCGTCCGGGGTAAGTTTTCTTAGATGATCGGCATAGACAAGGGCTACTTCCGGCGTCGCTGACATCTCCATGAGATGAATGTACAGATGGAGAACTCCCGGATGTTTGTGTGAGCTCTCTTGCTGCAAAGCTTTCTCGAGCACAGCCTTGGCCTCTAATGAGCGAGCACCAGGCGTTGGCTCGCCCGTCTTGAGATCCCAGAGATTCCACGCCGAGAGGCATACGAGGGAGTCTGCATAAAGCGAAGCGATGTCGAGGTCACTAGAGAAATTCCCGTAAACGCTCCTCATGGCCTCGGCATATTCCTCGTTGCACGCCTGAAAAGCAGCCTCGTCTAGACCTTTCGGCACACGCACTTGCACGGCATCGATTAGTGCTCTTTCGATATCCGTAGACTTGGGTGCGTGTTGTTTGGCCTTTTCGTTCGCTTCATTTATTTTCCTTAGTGTGGCCTTGAGCTCTTTCTCATCAAACAAGTCCCAAGGTTTATTGTAATTCGGCCCGAGGGCGAACGCGAGCTGTGGTAATCAGCTGGGGAACCAAAAAATATCCCGACTATGTCAGTGACCTACACCCCAATAAGCCATCGCGCAACTTGGGTCTTCGTCGATGGCCCGTTCGAAGCATCGGGCGGACTCTTCATGGTGAAACGCATAACACCAAACCAAGCCGCGATCAAACCACTCCTGTGCTTTCGAGCTAGAGGTGCTGATCTTTCGACGGTAGGAGCCCAGGTCGTATCGGTAGGTAGTTGAGTCGGGCATTGTTACCGCCAGATAGGTGTATGAAGTAAGCGGATGTCCGCAGGGTTGGCGGCTTGTGGTGGGGCATCCACATGTGGGGGTCCTTGCCTAACCCCTTTCAGTCTCTCAAGATCTCCTAGAGCTCGTCGCGCCCAACTCAACTCCATCGCACCAGGCCAGCATCATCTCATCAACCTTCAGCCTGTCGCGGCCAAGCAATTACTGGCTAAATCGCTTACTTTTGTTTTCGAAATGGCCCATCGCAAAACATGTATCGCCATCTGTAGCCTCTGCAATATTTCCTGTGGCTCCAGGGCAGAACCGTTCCAGACAATCGCGCATGAGAGAGGAATCTCTCAGTACCCTGGTGTAGAAGTCCGGGATGATAACTCACTTCACTGTCCAAACACCTAGATTAAGCACCCAGGTACCGTTCACGCGATTCAATGCAGTTCTGCGACGTAGTGGGTATGTCTTCTAATACTTGTCATTTCGCAACACACCAGGAACACCGCAACAACCTTCAATGTTGTTTCTATCGTAGTATCCAGAGTTGAAATTGGTAGAGAGATGAAGAGGTCTGAGGTAGTGGAAGCCCAGCGGAAAGGTAGGTGTCTCGCCCTGGATATCGTTCTTCTAAATCTCTATATTTATCACGATCGCAGTTCCGACGACCGTTTCTCTGACTTCTCCCCTTCATTACCTATGTAATATCGAGTTAGCTCTAGTCGCTAGAATTTCATGACCAGTATACACACACTATGGCCTACTCGACCCCAAGAGGTATGGCTTATATAACTCTACCATTAGCTTTTCGAGACATGACCTTCAGTTTGTCGTTCCTCCAACACAGGCAAAGGGGTTTTCTGAGGTCGCAGCGCAACGAGTAAACACATCTCACACGGGCCGTTTGTTAGCTTGGCGTACCAGAAGGCTTCAGGGCTTTACGCCGCGGCAGTGATGATTTGTCCAGCAGGAATATTCTCGAAACATTTTAACAACTATACATAAGCTTTGAACCCTCGCTCCTTCGTAGTTGGTGAATGTGTGAGGTTTGTGTGAGATCCTAAGTGGAGCGATAGCATCTCGTTACGTCACCCCACTTCGCTCCGATCGTGAGGACTCATCTAGCAATTGCATCGCTTGAATCACGCCACGAGTCACTCGACGTATCAATCTCCACCACACCCTACAGAAATCAATGCTTGTACTCAGGTGTACAAATCTCCTAAAAAGACCTACAAGCATCGTCGGTAGTGCAGGCTACATACGCCAACGCGCATCGCTTCCAAGTGTAAATTACCCCCAGACGACCCAGCGCCGACCGAAAAGTATGCTGCATTCAGCTACTGAGTCAGCGAAGAAGATCTTCGCGCCTACGAGCAACTCTGAAGACCCTGGCCATGCAACCCAATACAACAAAGGCGCCCTAGACCGTGATGATCTCCTTCCCTCTCCAACTGACCAATTTCACAAGTGGTTCCAAGAGGCCCAGGCCAACAACGTTTACCAGCCGGAAACCGTCACCTTGTCCACCGCCGAACTACCCAGCGGCAGAGTCTCAGCACGAACACTGTATATGAAAGAGCTGGATGATCGCGGCTTCGTCATTTACTCAAACTGGGATACGAGTCGCAAAGCGAGCGACGTGCGAAGTAATCCGCATGCGGCATTGACTTTCCACTGGCGCGAACTTGAACGCCAGGTTCGGGTTGAGGGAACTGTGGAGCGCCTCACATCTGAGGAATCGCAGGTTTACTACGATACCAGGATCCGCGGCTCAAGAATCGGGGCATGGGCCAGTCAGCAAAGCAGTGTGATTGATTCAAGAGAGAAGCTAGAGAAGAGAGTGGAAGACGTGGAGAAGAGGTTTAGTGGCAAGGACAAGATCCCAGTGCCGGAGTTTTGGGGCGGACTGAGAATTGTGCCACAGATGATGGAGTTTTGGCAGGGACGGCCAAGCCGGTTGCATGACCGGTTTGTCTACAGGAAGGTTGGCGGGGAGGAAGATGCAAAGGGGATTAAGGAGGCGGAGTGGAAGATTGAAAGGTTGAGCCCTTAAAAAGAGAGATGGCGTTGGAAAGGTGTGGTTGATTCGGCCAAGGACCAAGAATTACACCAGAGAGTTTAGGAACGACGATTGAAGACGTGGATTTACGAGCCCATCATAATCTCCACTCTATCATACATGCTTCTCTTGGGCTTTCACTACAGTTTCTTCGCCCCGTCTAACCTTTGGCTTCTCCTCGCCGACGTACGTGTCTTCATCCTTGCCTTCAATCAATATCTCCCGCTTGACTACTGCCCTTGCGCACATCGTAAACACGAATACATACGTAGCGACAAGACACATCGTCAGAACACTGCCCACCCAACCCACTACCCTACTTTCAAATACATCTCCAATCTTGATGGTCGCAAGTGTGAAGCCAACATTCGGAAACACAAACGCCCACCAGTTAAGACGAAACGTCATCTCTTTAGCCACAGCAAGTATGCTCAACAGCGCGATGCAAAAGAACCAGAGTGCCAGACTCCAGATGAACACTGCCACTATTGTCGCAAGCAACTCTAGTATGCGAGCCGTAGCTTGCTTACCTACGCCAAAAAAGTTAGTAGTCACTGGCCACGCCCTGGCCATGCCAATAATCGCCAGCGAAGTGAAAGCGGGCGGCCCAACAGCGATGAACATTGCCGGTCTGCTCTTTTGACTAGGAAAGCCCCATTCGATCATCCGATGAACGTACATGACATACATAAGTAGACTGACAGTCATACCCAAGCCCTGTGCTGTAAGTCCGGCGACAATCATGGCAACTGCGTGCGCCTCTGCTTGATGTCCTGCACCGATAGCAGCCAGCGTTCCAGATAACATGAAGGGGAATATGGGCAGATCCCAGGCAGGTGTCATGTCCTGGATCTTGAGAGCCGGCGATGAGAAGAGGGAATAATAGCTCCAGATGGCTACGATAAAGGTAGCCGTAAAGTAAAGCCAAAACAAGATACGATAGGCGATGAGAAGCCATGCTCCACATATTGGCAAGCCATACAGGTGCATACCGCCGATTATGCTGGCGAGAGAAAGGAAGGATGTTGCGAAGAAGAGGCTTTCAGAAGGGTGGATCAAGCTTTCCTTGAGTAATCTTGGGTATCGTACAAAACGGAGGCTTATGGCGCATGCAACTGCTACGAAAAGAATGATTTCGAAGACGTAAACCGCCCTTCCGATGGCAAGGAGACCGGGAAATGTGTTGGCCTGGTTGTCGGGATGGAGCAGCAGCGCTAAGCCGCCAGTTGACATCGGCAGCGTGAACCATGCCTGCGCGTCGAAACAATTAGTCCATGAATATGTCAAGACACGACTAGGTTTGTTTGGTATGTACCCATGTGAAGTGCTCAAGTCTCTCTAAAAAGGTTGTCGGTCTTTGCTCCTCCTCTGTTAGGGTAATCGAGGACTCATTGCCCTGTTCTGGATCGAAGGATGGTCGAAACAGTCTTTGCGACATCTAAGCGTGCGGTGCTTGTTCTACAATTTTCTTCAACTAAAGACAAGGGTTTCCAGTGGGCATAACAACAGGTGATGCTGTTATTCGTGCTGAAAGTTTCAGAGCGGTCATTAGGCGAAGGCGCCTCCGGTTGACGCATCGTCGTAATTCCATGTTTATGCGCACTGGCTCGTGCTGAAGCTGCAGGTAACGTCAATAACAGTAGCGATGTGCAGGATGCCACATGTTCTAGAGCCCCTTGTCTCTTGTTGAGGTGGCACGGGAGCGCCCGAAGGTGGCGTGACACAACACCAAAACAGTGAACAATCCCGGCACTTGCTAAGAAGCTGTGATAGAAGTATCAAACACTTGCTGTGGTATCATTCATTCCTTTTAATCATACGAGCAGTCATAAACTATAGACATAACTTTCCCCAACCGCTTGGACTTCCCCATGAAACGCCATGAAATGATCATAAATTGTCGTAAGATCGACGAACGCGAAGAAAATCCTATGAAACCTGTCCTTCACGTGGGTGTGGTTTACTCGCCATCTGACTCTTGTTCCGCAGTCTGTGATAATGTTAGCATACATGTCATATATTTGTGACCGAAGTCAACTTACGTTGTCGTGGAAGTTTGTTCCGTGCGTGGTCTCGTTAATGTAACCCTTCCTAATGACGAAGTCACCAAAGTGCTCTCCGTCGTTCCTCTCCTTGGCGTATTGCTTGATCATCGGCTGCAGAATTTCCAGAATCTCTTCCTCCTTGATCGAGCTCCTGTAAAGCTTGTTCAGCCTTTGGCCATGGTAACCACCACCAAGGTACATGTTGTACGCGCCATAGGCCTTTCCAACGAAAGCGACCTCGGCGAGCCATGGACGTGCGCAGCCGTTAGGGCAACCAGTCATGCGCATGACAATGCTGTCTTGTCGCAGACCAGATTCTTCGAGTGTACCCTCAAGCTTGGAGATGAGCTCAGGCAGGTAACGCTCTGACTCGGCCATGGCAAGACCGCAAGTGGGGAAGGCAACACAGGCGGAACTAGACAGCCTCATACCAGAAAAGTTGGTGTTGTCAAGCTTCCACTTCTTCAGCAGCTCCTTCATGGCCGGCAGATCTTCGTCGGCGACGTTGGCTAGGATCAAATGCTGGTTACCAGTCAACCGGAACTCGCCCTTGTGTACCTTGGCCACCTCGATGAGACCAGTCTTCATGGGGAAGTCGGCAGTGTCCTCAATGCGACCGTTCTCAATAAAGAAGGTGAAGTGGTTGAGGCCGGTCTCGTCCTTTTGCCAGCCGAAGGTGTCGATGTTGCTTTGGAACTTGAAGGGCTTGGGCTCGTCAAATTTCTGACCCCAGAGCTCTTCAACCTTGCCCTTAAAGACATCAACACCCATGTCGTCAATGGTGTACTTGAGACGGGCGTGCTTCCTGTTCTTGCGGTCACCGTGGTCGCGCTGGACAAGCATGATCTTCTCGCAAACAAGATGCACCTGCTCAGTTGGGACGTAGCCAAACATGCTTCCGGTTCGCGGGTATGTCTTCTTGTTGTTGTGCGTGACACCCATGCCACCACCGGCGAGGACGTTGAAACCTACAAGGTTTCCGTCTTCGCCCTTGACTGCGATGAGACCAATGTCGTGAGCGTACACATCGGTGTCGTTGTGAGGAGGAATGGCAATGGTGATCTTGAACTTTCGTGGGAGGTAGAGAGGGCCGTAGAGGGGCTCGTGGTCCTGGACAGCCTCACCAGCAACCTTGCGCTTCTGCTTTGTCTCGTCGTCCTCCAACCAGATCTCGTGGTAAGCAGTGGTAGAGGGAAGGAGATGGTCGCTGATCTTCTGTGCAATGTTGTGGACCTGGCCGTGGTACTTTGACTGAGTCGGCAGGGAGCTGCACATGACGTTTCGGTTGACATCACCGCAAGCTGCGATGGTGGTCATCAACGCCTTGTTAATGGCCTGCATAGCTGGCTTGAGCTTTCCCTTTACGACGCCGTGGAACTGGAAGGTTTGTCGAGTGGTCAGCTTCATGGTCTCGTTACCGAGCTTCGTGCTGATCTCGTCCATCTGCAGCCACTGCTTAGGTGTAGAGACACCTCCAGGTAGTCGGCATCGAATCATGAAGGAGTACGCTGGCTCGAGACCCTGTGCCTTGCGCTGGTCGCGAAGATCACGGTCATCCTGCATGTAGGTGCCGTGGAACTTGGTGAGCTGTTGGTCGCTTGCCGAGATGGCACCGGTGCTGGTGTCGGCCAAACCCTCCTCGATAGTACCTCGGAGGAAGTTTGAAGCGGCCTTCATATCCTCGTTGGTCAACGGCGCTGGTTCCTCGGGCAAGTTCTCAACGTTGGCAACGCCGAGCTTCTCCCAAAGCTTTGGCTCCCACTCAGCGTACGCAGTCTGGTAGGCGTCCGGGTCTTGGTCATCACCAAGACCACACTCCGCCAAAGGCTTGCCACCGAGAGTAAGAAGACGAGCATGAAGGTCCTTTGCGGGCTTGTTGTAGTAGATCTTGTCCTCCTTACGTGGCCAGTAGTGGCTGTCACCGAGACCGAAGACACCAAAGTTGACTGTCGCAAGATCCAAATCGGTGGAGTCCTTGACGGTTTCCCAGAATGTTCGACCGTTTTGAGGGAACTCTCCCTGACCGGCTACACTGGTCATCAGGATAACGTTCTGCTCATTGGGCAGGTCTTCGATCGGGAAGTCATCCATGGCCATGACCATGGTCTTGAGACCTCGAGCTTTGCCGCGGTTTCCAAGACGCTTGGCTAGGTTTTCGGCGTTGCCGTTGTCGGAAGCGAAGAGAATGGTCATTGGGTCGCCCTGGAGACCTTCGAGAAGCTTGCTGTAGGCATCCTTGGCCTTGCGCTTTTGCAGTTGCCTGACCTCAGTGCCGTATGATCCAGAGATGTTGGACGAGAACTCGGGATGTCTCTTCATGACCTGGGACATGTAGTTGTCGCGGGAGAGGAACTCCTCCAGCTCTTTCTTAATGCGCTCCGAGTCAAGCTTGAAGTTCTCCTCGCCCTTCTCCTCAGCACGTGGGTCCCATCGGTACAGGGGCCAGTAGCCAAGGTCGACAGCCTTCTTGGTCTCTTGAAGAACGGTCAGGGGTGTGTCGTTCTCCTTCTCGTAAGGGAGGTATGCAAGCACAACGGATGGACCATCGAACTTGTCGGCCTCGATCATAGCCTCCAAGACCTGGGTGTAAGAGCTGTATACAGCGACCGATGCGACGTAGGCATTTCCGTAGTTCATTGCGTACAGACCAATGTCCTTCTTGCGCCTCGCGGCGTCAGCGGCTGCGCGCTCAGAGTAGGGGGTTGAGTCGACGATGAGCATGTTGACATTCTCGCCAGAGGCCAGTACGTGGTGAACACCAGAGTTTCCGAGGTCGTACGCCCAAGCATCTGACCCAATCAACCACGGAGATTCCTTGTAGAAGAGCTTCTTTGACGACAACAGTTGGCTGGCAACGGGCGAGCCGTCGGTGCCGAGACGAGCGATGACTTCAGAAGCAAGTTCGTTGGCCTTGTCAGTGTCATCGGCGTTGAGTGCCCACTTGGATAGCCACTCCTTGGGTGCTTGTGTGGTGAAGGCATTCTCCTTGGAAGCAGCCGCAGCCTCGTCTACTAATCGCCTTCGGTGCTCCTTGCGCGCTACTAGTGAGCCGAATCCGTACTCCGGGGAAGAGGAGATCTCGTTGGAGATGCCGGCGTGCTGCGAACCAAGCTGGTTAGCAATGTGGAGCTTCTCACCAAAGACCTGGTTCAAGATCTTCATGTAGGCGTTCTCTAACCCTGGTTGCTCGGCCTTGATAGCCTGGGGCTCCGGGCCATCGAGGTTGCCGATGACGAGGTTCTGCACAGGTGTCTCGCTCATCAAGTTCTGGAAGACACCGCGCATCGCTTGGGACACAGTCTCCTCGTTGATGTAGCCGAGTTGGTATCCTACAACCATGGGGGAGGCACCGCCAGTCGACTTCAGGGACATCAGAAGGTCGAGCAGTACAGGGCCCCAGCGGGTAGTCTTTCTTCGAACTTGCTCTAGCACAGCGATCCTCTTGAGCGATGAGGGAAGCATAGGCGCAAGCGAGGCACCCAACCAGGGGCGGTATAACCTCGCGGTGATGACGGCTGTGTTGGCATATGCCTTGGTCTCCTCGACACTATCCAGCTCGGTGGCAAACACAGCAGTGTCAGCACCGAAGAGGAAGATGGCGGCCTCCTCGGTGCCAGTACCAGAGAAAGCGAATGCATCGTAGCTTCGACCGGTGGCATCCCGAATGGTTCCCCAGATCTGTGTGGCGAAGCGGTAGATGTCCTCGGATGAGACAGGTTTTGAGATCAGAGATTCGACAGTGGTTGCAGAGGACACGGACGCGCCGCTTGTGCTAGCATCGCGCTGTGATGAACCAGAGGACGACTCGGCGCGCTCGCTGTTCCTCTCAGATGCCGGAAGTGACTTGGCCTGCTCAGGAGCGCTAGCTGATGTTGCTGCTGGGGCGGCGTTGACAGCCTGGCTCCGAGCGAAGGACAGTGTCGAACTCCTGCCATCATCGGCGTATAGCGATGTCTCCTCTGACTTGGTGTTCTGGTACGCCGCCGCCGCGTCCAGGTCGATGACACTCCGGACCAGGTCGGCATCTTCGACTTCAACAGTCTTCTTGAAAGCAGTCGCGCCTGAGTCGAAGAAGTGAATGACACCCTTGCCCGACTTGATAGCCAAGGCATGTGCAGTCAGAGCAAGATCCTGCAACTCCTGCAGTGTCTCCGACTGGATGAAGGCGAATCCAGATTGCCGGATGGAAGTGATATCGGAGAAGTCGGGGAAGCCCGATGGCGCTACCGATACGTGGAGAACGACGGGGTACTGGGCGAGCTTGTATAGGTGTGGTATCGACTTTACAAGGATGGAAGAAGTTGTGGTGACGCTGGTGAGCTTGCCCGCGCGGATGGGCTGGAAAACAGAGAGAAGGGGATCCGCATTTTGGCGGACTGTGAGGATCTGGGGAGAAAGTTAGTACGATTGCGTCAGACACGCCCAAATCATGCAGACATACCTCTGGCTGTGTCTTGCAAACAACGCTAGGCGCGTTGTGCTTGTATAGTCCTCGCAGAGGCTCGGAGAACTCAGATTCGGCCTCGAAGGAAGGGACGACCGACACAATCACGTCGGAGGCCAAGTGGGCAATTCGGGCCACTACACAGTACAAAAGTCAGTATATGTGACTTTGGACCCTCCAACTGCTCTGGTGCAACGACGTGCTGGGGTAGAGGCAATGGCGGGGCGAATGGTTGCGGGGACATACCGGCCTCTCCTGCAGTCGAGATGGACCCCATATTGACTGCAAATTCAGGGTTGACGGTAACAGTAAGGAAATGTCTACGGGGGAGACGAGGAGTAGTAATAGTTCGGACCGTCGGCGACAGTCCTCATAGTCAGCGGCAACGGCAATGGAAAAATTCCCTCTAAGAGGTCATGACAACGCGTGCCGAAAGCACGCAATATTTTAGTGCACTTCAGGGTCTGGGGCGAGGGCCGAAGAGCGGCGAATCAGACCATCATAGATGCGCGAGTTCGGTGTAATGCACTTGGCTAGATCTGCTTGTCAAGCTCGACGCGAGGCTGAGGACCGAATTTCACCCATAGTGCATCTCGTGGTGGAGTCCTGGCCGACGGTGGTCGTGATGCTTACTCCCGCATGTCTGAGTGGCCAGGTGAGGGCAGCGCCGCCTTGCCGCATCGAGACGTGCCGAGGACCAGCCTTATCGATAGGAGCACAGGCTACCTCCACCTGTTCGCCTCTCCTGGCATGGCCGACACATGCATCATGGCATGAACCAGCACGCCCGTACGACCAATCGTCGACACCATACCTGCCCTTACCGTAATCGCATGCATCTGCATCTGATGTCGTGATTAGCGTACCTTTATTGCAATGAACACCGCCTCTGGATTTTCAGATCCCCTCGTCTCCGATACCCCGCTGCCCTTCCACGAGCTATGCACGCGCATCAATGACCGCATAGCTACGTTTCTCGACGCCAAGGATGTATCAGAGCGCGTCAAGAATGTGCAGGAGCAGACTCGCACGTCGCTGAGCGTCATAGGGGAGGCACTGGACAAGTACAGGTTGGTGACTACACTGCGGGGCGGTGCGGCAGCTGGGGACTAACAGCTATGTAGTCTGCAAGAGCTCTCCCTATCGTATAATGGCGGCAAAGACTGCCTCGTCCTTCTCGTGCTATACCTCTGCGCCATGCACAGACGGGGCCTGACGCAGACGTCGAATCCCTCGTCCAGCATCGAGACCGCGGTGCAGTGCGTATACATACAAGACGCGCATCCCTTTCCCGAGGTCGAGGAGTTTGTCGCGCATAGCAGCAAGATATACTCGCTGGCCCTTTTGGAATATGCAAAGCCTATGAAAGCGGCCTTTGCCGACTACTTAAAAGACACTCCGTCGGTCAAGGCGATATTAGTGGGGACACGGCGGACGGATCCGCATGGCGAGCATTTGAAGCATTTCGACCCAACAGACTCAGGGTGGCCGGCCTTTGTACGGATACATCCCGTCATAGACTGGCACTACGTGGATATATGGACGGTACGTGGGAGTTATACGACTTCGTACCTGCTTACTGACACATCTAGTTTATACGCTTCCTCAACATACCCTACTGTTCTCTATACGACCGTGGATACACCTCGTTAGGCGGGACGACTGATACGCACCCGAACCCGAAGCTCGTGCGCCAACCGTCTACGCAACAAGTACCGCAAGCCGAGAGAGAGAACGGCGCCCCGAAGCCCAAGTTCAGGCCGGCATACGAACTGGTAGATGACTACGAGGAGAGGTTAGGGAGAGATAGGTAGAAACATGGTAATATTGCATATGCATTGTATCTGTGTTCTGTTGCATCGCGCGATGACATTCATTTCAGTTAACAACACGCGCTTTATACTCGCAGGTAGCGGTTACTTTCCAGATTTTAGGAACGAGTTTAGTATTCTTTTCGACATGCTGGATTATTCTCGGAGGATCTCCAATTTCTCCGTCCGCGGTTATTTCTCGGAGATCCCAACTCCGCATTCGCATTCATACCCGGAACGCATGCTGGATCAATTTTAGATTTCATAACAAGCCGGTCGCATCTCTTCCAGCCAGGTCCTGATTAGATCCCGACCAGGCGGATATCCTGGAAGTTGAGTCAGTGTTACCACTGCGACATGACGCCGTTCGCGACAATTGCAACCATCCGCAATCACGCAAGGTACAAGCAGACCTATAGCACGACATGAATTGGACTTTTGTGGAAGGCCTTCTGTTTGAAGTAGTTTGCGCATTGTAGCACGAGCATGTGCCGACCCGTGATCGCATGAGTTGTCAACCGCTAGGGCTCACAGCTTGTAACCTTGGGCACACATAGTCTATCATGTTGTCCAACGAGTCTGCAGAAATATTCTAGCAAATATGCTAAGTTATACTGGTTGGTAGATCACGCCAGTCTGCATGGTCTGTTCCCGAAGCTAATGTATGCGACGTGTATAGGCAAGCGGACCTGAAGTCTACTGGAAGCACCAACAATGGACGCTACCAACAAACCGACGAACAGCAGATATTCGTGAATACCGCGACGTTGCATTAAGGAATATCCGCATGCAAATATATCTTTCTTCCCGGTTAGAATAGGCAAAGAGAATCTTGGACACACTCAAAGCATTTCGTTCCCCATCATGCTTCTCACGGCGTTCTCTCAAGTCTCACTTCTGTTGACGTTGACCATTCATGCGGCTATAATTCCTGACGATCGACCTGAAGTCATCCCGGGTCCAGGGCTTCCGTCACTAGAATCTCTTAACCTGACTTCAGCTGACTTATATGAGTTGCCGTTGCCGGGAGGTTCGACTGGTAAGACTTCGTGTTCATGGGCCATGTACTCGTATGTGACATCACCTAATACTCTACAGCTCAAATAACCACCTCGGACAACGAACTGGTATGCGGACCAGAAGACATCGCTTACACTAGCGTCGAAAACCTCATCGTCTGCTACCACTATCTTCGGAGCCTAGGCCGGACGCCCTGCGAGTTTGAGAATAGAGAGGCGAGAGCATTGTGTTGGCATGGAATCGATACTGTCGTTGTTGGTATAGGTCGAACAGGAGGCCACGAGAGTAGCTACTGGTATGCTCAGCTTCTGCCACCTTTGGTGAAGACTAATCTGACACACCAGACAGCATCGACTTGGCGGTAGGAATCTTAGCGGTCATCGACGGCTGCACAAGGCCTGACGGAAGTTGCGCAGGATTCGCAGTAGCCAACGGGAATGCGAACATCATGGTCGGTGGAACGAATGCTGGATATCAGAGGCATCGTTGGAGTTAAGCACAGGGATCGCCTCTATACGCATGGTCGTATTCACAAGAGGTGTCGAGGTTGATTAAGCCACAATTCATGGACACGACATCGGATTTCCAAACTACTTTGTTTTAAAAAGCCTCTTAACTATCTTCAGGTTTCCTACGTGTCGAGTTCATGTATCGCACGCTTGTGGAGTACATTTTGGAAGACGCCGAGAGCCAACTTGGATCAGCGTCGACTGCAATCATGCGCCTCATCGGCTAATGCATTCATTCAAGATTTACCAAGGAAGAACCTTCCCCGCAGAATTTCCTAGAGCCAACACTTTCCCCAGACTCTGCCTCTCGATATTGAGCGAACAGAAATCTGGGGTCATCGGAGCTTTTCGACTTCCTCCAACCAGAGGTTTCTCCGGGACCAAGATGTTTCGCATACATCAGCCAACGTTCGGATGTAGCCATAATACACGTCCGAGCTGCCGTATCAAGCCACACATTGGTCATGCGGAGAGATGCATGGTACCTGGTGCATGCGGATGCTCCCGCGGCGCCGTTCGCGATCGAATCCCACCTAAGAGAGTTCATCGTTGATATGAAGCTGTCGGAAAACAAGCCACACTTTCAGCTTCGTGTAGATGAGTAGCAAGAATTATTGCGGTTCAAACGCCGATAGTTTATACATAATGCAGCTTCAGCATGTTCGTGAAATCTCCAGCAGAAGATACACAACATCACAACAACACTAGTCATGAAGTTCCCTACATCTCTCGTCCTCCTCGCGGTAACCGCAGTCACAGCATCGCCTACTCCAACCATCCAGGAAGAACCGGCGAAGGCCCTGCAGAAGAGAGCTAGCATTACAGATGCTGCTAACATTGGCTATGCGATGGCAAATGGAGGCACCAAAGGCGGAGCTGGCGGTCCTACTACCACTGTCAGCACTTTGCCCCAGCTCTCGGCTGCGGCCAACTCCACTGGACCTCTGAACATTGTCGTCCAAGGAGCCATCAGTGGTGCCGCAAAGGTCCAGGTTAGCTCGGATAAGACCATCATCGGGAAGACTGGAAGCTGTATGCCCTTAATGTCCACTTGCCTCATTGATCCCTAACTGACACTCTGCAGCCCTCACTGGCATTGGTCTCACGATTCTAGGCCAGAAAAATGTCATCGTGCGCAACATGAAGATCAGCAAAGTGCCTGCTGCATACGGCGATGGCACTACCATCCAGCTTTCTACGAATGTATGGGTCGACCATTGCGATTACTCTGGTGATGAGTCGGTGGGCAAAGACACCTATGACGGCTTGGTCGACCTTTCGCATGCTGCGGACTTTGTCACCATCTCCAACACTTACTTCCACAATCATGTAAGTTCAATATTCTCACGTCACTCTGCAATACTGAACAGTGACTAACACGAAACAGTCCAAAGGCACTCTTGTAGGGCACTCCGACAAGAATGCCGCTGAAGATACCGGCCACCTCCGCGTAACATACGCAAACAACCACTTCTACCGCGTCAACAGTCGCGGTCCGCTTCTCCGTTTCGGCACAGCGCACATCTTCAACAACTACTACAACGAGCAGTCTACGGGCGTGAACTCCCGCATGGGCGCGCAAGCTCTCGTTCAAAGCACCGTCTTTGAGAACAGTGGCAAGAAGATGGTCTACACGGAGAGTAGTGCAGAGGATGGATTTGCAGTTGTTGAGGACGTCCTGTTCGGCGGACAGAGCGCCAACACAGCGCCACTGGGTAAGCTCAATGCGCAAAGCTTTCCTTACAAGTATGAGTTGCTGGGAAGCGCGAATGTCAAGGCTGCTGTTACCAAGGAGGCAGGGCAGACACTGTCGTTCTAGAGTGGTTGTGGTCGGAGGGCCAGGTACAATTCATGATATGCCGTACTGACGTTTCTAATGCTGAGTCGACGACTACATTTGACCTCTGCAACGAAAACGGCGTTGGACGACATGAGTGATGTTCCGACTCCAAAAAAACTGGATGTATACTATATGTTATCCTTGGTCGATCGTCAAAGCTGTCGCTCGGCCAATACTCGGCCACCAAAACATGTTGGCCCGCTCCACCTCCACTATGAGGTGCAAAAACAAAAACATACAACAGCGGGGATTCGCTAGTGGTCACCCACCTAACTACTAATCCGCCGGTACACTGCTTGTATATGGCTGAGCGGACGGGAAGCCTAATTTTCAGTGTCCTATGGTCGTATGTGGAAGAAACAGAAAATGGAACAAATATAATGCTACAACCGTCATCATTGTACCTTGATCTACAGTTCAAAAACTATCATCACACATCACATAACAAAGTCAGGCCATGACTTAGCTGTTTCGGTGCTGTCTCGTAACTGTCAGGAGCCGTTGCTGTTGCTTTCCGACTTTAGGCCCTTCTAACGTATAGTCAGGTCGTAACATAAACAGGCAAAGAACGAAGGAAGCGCCTCGTGCCATGACGACGTGCCAGAAACCCCCTCTCGTATATACAACGACATCAGCCCATTACGCTAGCATAAATCCAACTGAAGCCTAACACAATCCCATCCTAGTTTCTTGATCTGTCTCATTCGTCAGAAGGCTCCAATCGCTCGTGAGGCCCATCATCCTGTTTGGACAACACGGGATGAGAGTCGCCTAGCATGGAAATATGATAATGAGAGAGGAGAGCTGCTTCAGAAAGAGGAACCCTGCCCATCCAAATCATCGTGAAGCCTATCCAGCCTTTCTGTTGGAGATTCTGGAACTGATCCTAGTTCACGGGCAATATAACCGGCACTCTTCCGACGATTCCTTGTTGGCTGTTGCACTCCGAGGAAATTCAGGGAAGTAAGTCTGTCAATTCCGCTGAGTCGGTCCCCGCCATAAGCACCGTCGTAAGAGATCACGAGCATGTCGTTCTCCACAAAACGTAGAACATCCCGCAAGGGCCTATTCGACGCGCTGTCGACTTGCAAGCTTTCTTGCAAAGTCTCGATCATCTGAGAGACAATAGTCAGTCATACCCCCAGTACTCTGATCTATAGCCAGGGACTCTTACCTTGATAACTGGCGCTTTGAGCCCTAGCACATAATTTTGTGGACTGTCTCCAGGCTTGAAGAAGAAGAACGATGATCCCTCGTAGCCGCCTGCATGAAGACGGTCATTTTCGAACTCTTTCAAAAGCTCATACCCACCAGCATACCAGCATACGAATTCCAGGAACACACATCCCAGTGCCCAGACATCACATTGACTACTAAGCTCCCCACCCGGTAGTCGACATTCGGGCGATTGATAGGATCTCGAATATGGTACGGCGTAACTACCTTGCATGAAGGTTCTTTCTCCATCGCTGAACTGCGTGGTTCCAAAGTCAGAGAGCTTTAGAGTTCCAAAGCACTTGTCAGACCGCTTGCCAGGAAACCAGAGGATATTCGCAGGCTTGATATCGCCATGCCGACCGAAAAGAAGTTTTGGATTTCGAGGCTCGGGCGACTGGTTCGATTGTGGGTGGCGTTGCGCAGACTTGGTTTTTGGCTTCCGGGAAGTGATTTCGGAGAGCATCGTTGTGCCAGATGTCGTCTTGTAACGATGGATCTGGGAGACCGCCTGAGCTATGCCACAACACTGTTGTTTCAGCCAAGTAGAGAGTTCGGCGCTCTTACCCAGCGATGTTGGGTTGTTCATTTTCCAATATTGATTGAGATCCGCTTCCGCCCATGGCAGGATCAAAAAGAGGGAATCATGCTGCTTGTAGGACGCGACCAATGACAACAAGTGATGATGGAGATGTTCCTTTTTGCGCAAGTTTCGAAGCACATTGAGTTCATGGGACGCCTCGGGGTCGTCGACGCAGATCTTCACTGCAACCACGTTATTGGGAACCTAAGCAGATAGTTAGTCAGCACGGAAATTGCGACAGACTCCACTTTCCTCTTTCTCGTCGAATGCATGATGATCCGGATGTACTTCAGCTTTGTAGACCTTACCGGACGCGCCCCAACGCCCCGTGAATTTCCACGATGTGAAAGGCAAAACTTCATTTACAGTTGCTTCGAAGTGCGGATGTTTTCCGTCATCTGTTTTGTGGAACGTGCGTGCGAGAACCCGCCACTGGAAGGTTACAAATTGTTCAATGTCGCTGGGTTCTTTGAGACACTTCAGAACCGACTGATCATCGCTACGGCGGCGTAGCTCGAAGTTTTTAACCTCCAGAGGAAGATCTGTATCGCAAACTTGTTCCTTAACGAAAGCCTTTATCTTACGTTGTCGACCCATGAACATCAAAATTGCAAATACTTTCTGGTAGCATGGCACGTCAGGTTGAGTCGCCGCGCCATCCGGCAACCCGACCTGCCCATGGCGTATGTACTCATGCTCCATGGATGGTTCGACTCTGACATACTTGTTCGACGACAGCCAGGATCGGCGCAATATCTTTGTCGCGAAATATTCCTTTTTTGATCTTGACAATTCACGATCCACCAACTCCTGCGTGACCAGTCGGGCGAGGTCGCCGTTTGGTAGAAACTTCCTATGAGTGGAATCGTCGTCCTTCAAAGCTACTACGAGCTGATGATCGAGACGCGGTCGATCAAAAACGGCAGTGCGTATCGGTTTACCAGTTTTTTCGGGCTCTTGCGACTGTGTTTTTTTGACCTCACTCCCTTGGTCGATCTGCTGGCCGCATTCGACCCCTAACGAGAGAGAGTTAACTGCGGAACGGTTTCTCCGTGGTGGTGTTCTGCCTTCGATGTTTGTTGTGGCCGTCTGTCCAGCAATATTTTCAGATTGTGTCTTTCTATGGCCCTTCACATTCGGTTCCCTAGGAGACTTCAAGTTGGGGAAAAACCTGCTAACACTTATAGACCTTGGGCGAGATGATGGACTTTCGTTTTCTTCGTGTGTTTCATTTGCTGCCACAGCTGCTCTGGCCGGCTGTACTACATCAGTTTGCATGGCGCTGAGAAACCCCCCAGAAGCTTTCGTTTGTTAGAAAGAGCCCAAAGTCACAGATCTATAATAATCGCTTGCCTTGAGATGCATGCCTAGCAAAATGATTCTCCACACCATATTCATTAGAAATCCCCGCAATGATCACTTCTTCAGTACTTTCATCTGAGTGCACCAAGTATTTCTGTACAGTGTCATGCTGCTCAAGCGTTTTCAGGGTCTGGTCGGTGTGTTCGGCCATATCTTGCAGTCGATATGTGGGTCTTTTGCAGTCTCCTGGAAGTATCTGAGTCGAGAGATCCACGCCTGAGATTCTTCGATTGGGTGACTAGTTCTGTCGCTACTGAGACTTGGCAGTTTATAGGATTGGAGGAAATTGATCCACGATGTCTCGTCGATGTCAACTCCTGGGGCGGATATGGCCATACCTGGTGCATGGTGGCGCGTCCAGATCAGGCAAAGTGAACCTCTCCTCCAAGGCTGGCTTGGTTCAGCTGACACCATGTGCTGGCATCAGTATCTGATACGAGGTGGTGTGCATGGATCTTTCTAGACTCCAACCATTGGGGGCTCATTTTCGTGGACGCAGCACAGCCAGATCAATCAATCATCCCACCATCGCATTCCGTGCGGTGGGCACCGTCTACATTGCCAAATGGCAGGCTCGAGGATGAAGTGAACGATTTCCTATCTGGGTATACTAGAATCCTGTCTGAGCAGCTCTTATTGCTCGATTGTGCGACCTTGTACCTTGTCTATCTGGGTACTAGAACGGCATCCTTAGCTGCCTCATGGCGAAACCCTTTGCAGTGTCATTCATCGCATCGCGACGGTGGTCGAGCACAATCAAGATTGCGATCTTCCGATAACAACATTAGCGCGCGGCTGAGATCAGCACGAGGGCTCCTCCATTGGCAGTGATATGGCTCTAGCGTGTCGCATAGAAGATGGTGGGAGGACTCTAGGCTGGACCCCACATTCGCCACACGGGAGGTCCTTCGTACCGCTTCCAGGTTGCCGCTGCACTTTGCCTTACCGCTGCCTTCTTCCTAGAGCCCATGACAGCCACTTATACATATGAGCTGCACGTCGAGTCCAGCCACAATAATGTTCATATGCGCTTGATCACCGATGTATGCACATCGCTTTCCAGACATCCTCACTAGTCAGATCCTCGACTGCTGATTCGCAAGGCAGAGCCTCATCCCATCTCGTAAGGCGAATCGCCCATGCCAGTACAGGCATTTTGGTAAGAGCATGCACCTGCTGTCGCTGTTTCCTCTGCAGCGAAGCGTAGGTCAGGTTCCGGTGAATCCACGACAGCGGATGCGATGAGCCACGGATGATAGCTTATCTCGAGATGCCGCAGTGCCACTGTCGAATGTCTCACACCCCAAGCTTCTATACCTTTGTCTTGTGACATGTAACTATTGGGCTCAGTACATTCGCTGCCAGCCTTATCGCAGCCTTTCGCAAGCGCATTCGTATGTTTCAAGCAGTCTGGCCAGACGAAATGGCTATTGTGCGATCGGAAACAGCCGGCATCGGTACAAGAAGAGACAGTAAAGAGGAAGTGAAACATGGCGAGCAGGTAGTGGGAGGTGACGGCAAGCATACGAGAGGCCTCGACTGCAGAAACAGCACTCCGCTAGGCTCAAATTCCAAGCCCGTTTCTGCTAAGTCACTGCGGAAGCGCCTTTTGGACCGCATTACCTTTGCCTTGGAACTGAGCATGTTTGAAAAGACGAAGAACAAAAAGTTCTTCCCACGAGACATCCTCCAAGACATACTGCCGAAGACCTCGATGAATCAAGCTGGCAGCGGAGAAGATCCAGCTGACACTGTGCTTAGACTCATGCAAATTGAACCGAATATTGCAAGCTCAGACAACCGAGCGCTTGCAAATCATATCCTGAAGAATTCGAGGATCGTCTTCCTTATCCTACTTTGGATAAAACACGATCATCTCTATGAAGCGATGGAGCTTTTCATGGATCATCCTTTTCCAGATGGCAGCCTGCCTCTCTCAGCGTGGTCTGGAGACCAATTGAAGAACAATTCGGAAAACCATTTATTCTCACGTATGGAAATTGGTCACAGTAGCCAAATTGCAGCTGAAGATCCTATATGGGATGTGTCCTCTATCAATAATTTTGAGGACGCCCAGTGGATGTTTTTAGCTCCAAAATTCTCAACGAAAGAACAGAATGGTCATTTCGACGAACGCTGCCCAATCCCTTTCATCGATCAAAGCACACACAAGAGCAGTGGGGCGCATGGCATCGTTCATAAGTACACAATTCACCAGGCGCATCACGAGGACCTGCTTGATCCGGTATGTTCAACTCATTGTCTGTATTTCGTCCATCTAAAGTGATTGTCCTGTATAGGTCTCAAGCGAACCTTGCGTGGTTGCTGTTAAAGCTTTTAGGAAAGGGGGAAAACACGTTGCTACTGATGTAGAAAACGAAGTCAAGGCTCTTGAAATGATGAACACGCTCGAGAAGGACCATATCGTTCGGTTTCTGACATCGTTCCAACGCGGTGCACCGGATGATCTGGAATACTTCCTCTTATTTGAATGGGCCCATGGAGGAAACCTTGGCGACTTTTGGAAACAGCAAGCTGAACTTCCGCGGACGGCCGAATTGATGAAATGGCTGATTGGGCAATTGCGCGGCCTTGCAAAAGCGCTCACCGCTGCTCACGGTGCAGTTTGCCGCCATGGAGATCTGAAGCCTGCTAATATTCTCTGGTTCCGCGATACCACATGTCCCTACGGCACACTCAAAATCGGCGATTGGGGTGAGGCAAAGATCCACAAGGACGTAACTTCATTGCGCCACGTGGATACCGATGCTGGGTACGGTACGAGACGCTACGAACCCCCTGAAACTGGTCCGCATTCACCAAGACAAGGCCAAGGTCTGCCCAAGCGTTCCCGGTTATACGACCTTTGGGGTTTCGGCTGTATCATCTTCGAATGCACCATATGGTATCTCTATGATATGGAGCGACTCAACAAGTTCAACAATAGTAATTTGGGAACATATGGTACTTCTGACTTCTTCTACGAACGCGAACGCGCTACTGGAATCGCAAAGGTACATGGCGTGGTGGAACACTGGATGGATCACATGTCAAATGACGCATTGTGCCGCTCAGAAAAAACCGCCCTCGGTGATCTTCTTGAAATTGTCCGCACAGGGCTGTTGGTTGTTGAGCTTCCTAAGGGCGGTGGCTTCGTATCTCAGGCTGATGCACCGAAGAATATCAAGGCGAGATCTACTGAGTCCGCTGATACCCAGACGTTTACAGATGCGCATGATTCTCATCCAACGATTCAAGTCACTGCGCCAGAATCGGCAAAGCTTGATGATGCTGCTGAAACTCCTAACGCGCATGGCATCACTCCAACATTCAACATCACTGAATCATTATTTACGGAACCTACTGGACTGCAAAACCCGGAACCAAAACATAACGTCAGGCTTCGTGCCGATGAGCTTGAGGAAGATTTGAGTCGCATCCTCCAAACTCAGAAAGGGAACCGCTACTGGGATCGGTTTCAGGATCCAAGACCCGAGCCAGTGGGAACCGACAGCTCTTCCCGCTTGCTGGCGCCCTCTGCCCCTCATATATCCACTGCAACCAATCTTCGCGTTCCTACAACTCATAAGGTTGACTATGATCATCCATCATTGGACCCAGAGGACTGGCAGCTCGAACTAGACAACGTATTTGCCGCGCAGCTCTTATCTCGATTGGTAACTATTGCCGGAACTCCTTCACCTCAGAGCCTGCCTTCAGCCGACCTATGCACGGGTTGTAAAGAGCTTGGTGAGCAGTTACCACAGACGAATTTCTCGAAGTCATACACGACCCGGGTACTGAAATGCAATGCGGATGCCAAACTCTGCAATCTGTGCTGTTTACTATGGCAGACTCACCAAAGATACGCCTCCACAGAGTGCAAGGAGGTTCGTTTCTACCGCATGGGTTCTGCTATGTATATGAGCGGTGCGAAAAATCCCGTGTGTACCTTACTCCGGAGCAATGGTAAGCCAGCGCTTTGAAGTTCGATCGTCCACTATGTACTCACTGCTGTTGCCGACACAGATCCTAACAGTCGAGCACATGACATCCAGGTCGGGCTTGCTGAGCTTCCGAGTGTCGGTACGCCTCAGCATTTTGGCATCGTAAGAAGCTGGCTTGATGACTGCGACAAAATGCACTCCCACACGTGCAAAACGTCTAAAGACTTGCGTTTAAAGACCGATGCGACTACCACAATGCCAACCCGTCTCATGTACGTTGGAAAAGATGGAGACGATATCGTTCATCTTCAAGAGATGAAAGGCAAGAACGCTGTTAGTTGGATCGCACTTTCTTACCGATGGGGCGATTCTTCGCCTTTTTCTACAACCCGACAAAACCTTCACAGTCATATCAAGGGGATGAAGCTGACAGCGTTACCCCGAACCTTCCAAGATGCCATCAAGGTTACTCGGGCTTTGGGACACAAGTATCTTTGGATAGACTCGCTTTGCATTATACAAGGCAAAGACGGTGATTTCAGTGATGAGTTCAAGCGAATGGAAGATGTGTACAGTGGAGCATACTGCGTTCTGGCCGCTAGCTGTGCCACTGATCAAAGATCAGGGTTTCTGCTGCCTCGCGTAGCAAGAACGTCCGTCGCTTTGAATCACGAAGGTCGTGATGGCGACGGTGGTACGATCTACGTCTGTAGCTTCATTGAAGATTTTCGAAGTCATGTACTACAGGGTGCCTTGCACAAGCGTGGATGGGTCTTACAGGAGCATGCTCTAGCTCGACGAACAGTGTTCTTCACCGAGTATCAAATGTATTGGGAATGTGGCCGTGGAGTTCGATGCGAAACCATGATAAAAATGACAAAGTGAGTGCCGTGCCTCGGGGTCGTCTTGCTTAGATCTTCTTTGAAGGAAACTGACTGTGTTGCCAACTTACCAGCCAACTTGCTGCTTTACTTGGAGATCCAGACTTTCCTAAGATCCTCGACCCAGCCAACCACGGTGAACGCATTTCCAGGTTTCAAGAACTATATCAACAGTATTCTCGACTCGAGCTCTCATCGGACTATGACCGTCCAACAGCCATCGATGGCTTGCAGCAGCGTCTCATCAGGACGATGGGCGTGAAAGGCGGATTCGGCGTCCTGGACGATGGCAGCAATCAAGGCTTCCTCCGCCGCAGTCTCTTATGGCGTCGTGGAGAGGATACGCACCACTTGAAACGGATCGCATTCCCAAATGATCGAGAGCATGTGCCGTCCTGGTCTTGGATGTCAGTCTCTGGTGGTATTGATTACCTCCATCTGCCCTGGCAAGGATACGACTGGCAAAACATTCGGTCACCACCATGGCGAACTTCATCAGATTCAGTTTTTAGCAATGCATTCATGGGAAAGTCACAAGCTTTTAAATGCCCGAGAGGAAGGAAGCACGGATGCGACATCGTTTTCGACGATCCAAAAGATTGTGAGCTTCCAGAGCTCATGGCGATCGTTCTAGGTATCGAGAAAGGCTCGCGGGCTACCGAGGAGAAGACACATTGTATACTAGTGGTCAGGCCGAAGGAGACCTCCAGCCAAGATGGTATAACGCTGTATGAAAGGGTCGGAGCAGGTTACATGCCGGGGGAATATTTGGAGGGGCTTCCACAGGCCTGCGCTTTGATATGAACCATTTCTTCGATTGTCTTCCTGTGACCGCAGAGATTCTGATGGCTAGCCTTGAGTTGCAATATAATCATGACCACTGGTGGATTCTGCACAAAGAAAGCTACCACAAAACCGAAAACCAGGAATCAGGGCCAACCGTGCAGCTCATCGAATGCGTGTGATGACTTTCACAAATTACTGTTGCAATCTGGGATGAGATCGGTTGAATCTATTCCCCATGATTGAACTATGTGAAAACAAGTCAGACTGGAGTAGACGGCAAGACCTGAAGTTGTCGTAGCTCTTCGCCACAACCACGTGGCGTGGTATACTGACCTATCATGCGGAGACCGTGTGGAGAAGAGCCCTAGGGTTTATATGCACATCTAGTAGCGAGAGGCTGCTGCGACAAATCATGCACCTTGTCAGGCATCAGGCGATGCAGATGCGGGGTCGGTTGGGCTGTGTATAAGGTTTCCACAAGTTGTCCTCTCCCACGTCCTACAGTTGTCAAATACTGTACATACCACCAATCCTTTCACTTACCTCTTACTAGACTCTGTATCTCATAGGTTCTCCGCTTGTCCAATCAGAAATCTGGCGCACATGTCTTCCGTAAGGTGCATCACCAACGATTGTTCAAATTGGGCCGCGACCGGAGAAAACAAATGCCACGAGTGTCTAGACAAACAGGGCAGCTACCGTCACGATTTACCACGCATACCGGGTGACCGAGAAATGATGTAGGAGTGCTGCTAAGCATGATGCTGACAGTGCTAAATGTGATGCAGCACATCACAAGACTATCGTACGCGCAGGTCTCGTTCCACGATGTCAGCGAAGCGGCGACCACCCTTTTCAAGATCTTGTAACAGCCACTCAAATGGTCTGACTAGCTGCCGCTCGCTTGGAAAACCATCCTCGCGGCCCTTTCCACGGTACATCTTGCCTGTACCTACACCAATCCTCCGATAAGAGTCAACAGAGTCGTTAGATCTCTCAAGTATCAAGAAGTTATGGTACAGGTGTCGCTGGTGATGGATAGAGTAAAGGCTTAAGAGTAGAATCGACTGCTCTTTGTCTTGATCGCCAGGTCCATTCGACGCTTCATTTGGTCGATTTTCTAATGCTCCGGGAATTCTCTTCGTATCGTAGTGCGGTATCGAAGCATCAATAGAGAATTCACAAGTGGCCCGCTGATCTGTACTTGGCGAATACGTCGCTTCATCGATGCAGATGTTGTATGCTTGAAAACCGTGAGAAGATCGTCGCAATACAGCTGACACAGTGTGACCTCGAATCTTCAACCAAGCGTCTGGTGCCTTGCTATATACATGGTTGCCAGCACTTGTGTAACCAAATTCGACAAGTGTCGTGTGTTCAATTCGATGACCAGGATACGAGTGACGTGCAAACCGAAAGTTGACAGCGCCAGGCGAGGATGCCCACGAGAAACTGGGGCCACACCGGCCCGCAGACGACACGGTTGGTACAAGGTCGCGTTGCCAGACTAGATCATAAAGTATAGTCTCCCTCCATCCACCAGCGATGTACGTCCATCCGGTTGCGGTCCCAAATTTGCTTGCTAAACCGTCCAGAGCTGGTAGCTTGTCGGCAGGGTACCTCAATTTGCGGGTTGAGTATTCTTCGACGATCTGGCTCCAACTCTTAGAGAGTTTCACGAAATCGTTCGCAGCTATCGGTCCAGTAGGCGTGGGAAACAGTGGTTGCGATGGAGATGTATTATGGTGACATTCGCACGCCTTGAGTGTTCTACACGTCCACTGCAATTCTGCCCCGGTGAAGGCTATAAGTCGCCTCGAGAGCATTTTCTCTTGCAAACCCCATGCACGTTTGTCAAGCGGATCAATGTCCCTCGAACGCCCAACTTTGGCGTGAATTCCTCGAGTAATCTTCCTCCTTGCTTTGAACACGACATCGATAAGTTCTCCCTTGAACTCGCTATATAGTTCGGCTTCCTGATACGAGGATTCCCGTGCTGTAAAAAAAGTCTGATACGGATCCGTGGACAAAGAGGCTGCGATTGTGATGGCAGCGCCCTCAAAGATCTGTCCCATTTTCGCGGCCTGATCTTCCCAATCCGCGGCATCATCCTGGATTATGCAAAGAGTGTCGATCCAAATATAGTGGATGTCAAGGCTCCACGCCATCGCAGCCGCATCTTGAAAAGCTATAGGCAGCGCGTCTCGATCGAAGCCGTGCTTCCTCTCTTGATAATTCTGGGACGTGGTCATTGGAAAACCTCGACCGCCCCACGAATACGACAGAGTAGCATATACGCCCTCTGTGTAAGCAGCTGGTTCGATAACCCGGTATCGTGGCTTAGATATATCGACTATGCGTTTCGGGAGGTAGGTACATTTGGGATCGTGACATTTCTCATGCTCAGTTCTGCAACTGTAGAAATTCTCCCTCAAGAACTGCACTGACGCATTCAAGCTCGACACTTTGGCAACGTCGTTTCCCACAATAGGGTTCTGCCTTGTGTTTGCTACATGGCGATTCTTAGCCAGAGCTACCCATGCAGAAGGGCTTCACAATAGAGCAAGCTTACTTGAGCATGAATAAATTTCCACCACTTCGTGAATATCTTTGTTGAGTGACGCATGTAACTCAGCTGGTGACTGTCCGTAGAGTAAAAGTTCGACCCGCATCTCTACTGGCACATCTTGCAATAGCTGAAAGCTTTGCTGAACAACATCGCAGAAGCAACATCCTTGCTTGGCCGATCTGCTAAACTCATCGAAAGAGCGATTTGGCAGAACAGTAAGGCTAGGACGCTGAAGCTTATTAGAGCCGCGCGTGTGAAAGAAGCCGAGGCAGTCGCATATCGAGCAACACACTTCTGCCTTTTTATTGGCGAGCATCCAACCCATGGCGCATGAGTAGTAGAGTGGTGCCGTATACGCTGACTCTGAACCGCAAGAGATTGTGATGAAAAATGAGGGGCGTGGCAACGACGACATCATATGTGAAACTGAGTTGCACAGCCTGCAGGCTATGCAGATACGTGGACATACATCTGAAGCCAAACCAATCGTGATCAAGCGCATTTGCTGGGCACAGCTTACCGCCTCAGGCGCAAGAATTAAAGTCAAATCGAACGCGTCGGTTTTGAGGCATCAGGGCAACCAGTGCTTCCATGCCGACAGTTTGGTCATCACTCATCTTACATGTACTGTGGCCTTAGACATTATCCAAATATGCTCTTGACGACCAACAATCTTTGAGTAGGTGTCATATCGCACGTTACGCAGTTGTGAAAGTCGTGCGCTTCATGTACAACCTTACATGCAGCGGTGTCCAAATAAGTTCAACTTGGATGTTACACAAGGCGGTGTACCATTAGTTGACGCCCTCGTTGGTGAATCAGGCAAAGGACCTTGCCTATTCCAGACTAACCTTCAGGCTTTCTGGTATCAAAACAAAACTTCAATATTCAACACCTTCAACATAATGTGACCTATAAGTTTTTTGAGAAAGGCATACAGAACAAATTGATGATAAGAATCTTGTCGACATATCGCTATACTGCGCGGCCTCATACAGACAGCCGTCGTGACACGGATACTAACTTAATCTGGGTTGTCCCTTCGCAAACAGGCTTTGTTCCATCCCTACTTAGGATACGCACAGCTGATTTAGCTAATTAGACTTTAGTCTACATATCATTCGATGACGTAATCAGTGCTCTTTCTGCGACAGAAGAATATCGTGATTACTTAGATGTATAGCGCGTAGACGTCTTGTTGCAAAAGACGTGGCGGACACTGTGAGTGTGCGCGAGCGACTTATCAACAGCCCAGATAACCCGTGCATGCCCTGACAGCCGATAACCAACCGCCCCCTTGCTCACGTACAGGTCCTGCCATTCGATACAGCTGCACCTTCTACATCAGGCCAAGGGCAGAGAATCCTACTTACTGGTGGCTTATTCCAAGTCCCTTTTGCTTAATGTTAAATGGAGGGGTCAGCACCACCTTAGGCGGCCGTTCGCCTCGTTGCTCTTCGAACAGTATGTCGCAATTCAGGGTCAGGCAAGCAGAACTCCGCGATCTGCCACGCGTTACAACAGTCGGCCTCGCCAGCTTACCTGACGATCCAGCATTCGTGTGGCTTTACAGGTACAGGCATCAATATCCTGATGATAACTACTTTTTCTGGCTACAAGTATTCAAGACTTACTTGTATACCCCAAACATCACGTTCCTCGTAGCTGAAGAAGTTGCGTCATTGGACAAGAAAAGCGAAGATCGTGGAGAAGCAGTAGCGACAATATTCGCTTTCGCAATCTGGGAGAGGAATGAGAAGAAAACGGCGACACAGGCTCTAACCAGTCTGTACAATAATTGCTCGTTGGAGACGATACACCGTGAGCATTCATGCGTGAACCCTGATCTGGATGCCGCTGAGTAGCTTTAGGTTGTGTCACCAAGCTAGAGAACTGGGCCATACGCCAGGAGTTTCCGCGACGCGATGCCGATGTAAATCGACTGGGGGCGTTTGAGAAAGGGATGAACCACACCCACTCAAAATATTGGGAAAAGACATACCCCCAGAACTTCTACCTATCTCTGCTCGCGACCCATCCAGACTATCGTCGGCGAGGCGCAGGTACTGCGCTCACTCAATGGGGTATCGATCAAGCCATGACTGCTGGCTTCGATGTTGGGCTTGAGGCAAGTCCAATGGGATTTCCACTATACCAGCATTTAGGTTTCATTCATTTGGAAGACCATGTACTGAAGGCGGATAACGATTCTACGAGTGTAGTGTTGAGGATTATGGTATACGAAAAGGACCAGAAGTCATTATCGGTCTGATTCTTGGGTATCAGTTTATGAGAGAGGCTTTGGCCTGTTCTTGTTATGTGCTGTTGAGTTGGGTGCCGAGCCGCTGTTCGAACGGGAGCGGAGATTGGAACAGCGCCCGAAGTACCGACGGCCCAGTGAACTGCTACCGCGCGTCTCCCTAATTCCATCTCTTCTCAACACCGTAAAGCCATGCGACCGTGCCACCGGGAACGGAACAATAGCTTTCATTTCTCACTCTTCTAAAGATGTATCGTAGCGCCGAACGAGGCATGCTTGACGTGCGGGAGCGGACGGTATGTTCGCTCGCAGTACCGCTCAGAATGAAGCTATAAGAGCGTAGCAGTCGCTTCTACCAACCGCATCATCGATCGCAATCAAATCTTCGTTCTCATTGCTGAGCCTTTTACCTAAGAGTGCTTTCTTTGTAATAACCCCTCCATCATGAGCATCGGAAGAGCAGCAGCCTCACGTGTGTGTGGCAAACCTGTAGGCCCCATCGGATTTGGAATGATGGGTACGCTGTCATGCACAAAACGGAAGAGAACTACTCCTAACAGACTCCTCAGGCTTGACTTTCCCTCCTCCGTTCCCCCAGTTTGAGCGTGAGCATCAAACAAGCCTACTGAAAAAGGCATTGGACCAGGGTGCCAACCTTTGGAATGGAGGGCTTCACTATGGCACGCCAGAATCAAACTCGGTACACTTGCTGCGATACTACTTCGAGAAGTACCCCCAGGATGCTGAGAAGGTTGTCCTCAACATCAAAGGTGCCTACGACCGTTACACCGGACCAGCAGGAAGTCCGGAGGCTATTCGCGCATCCGTAGAACAAGCTCTCAAAGGGTTGGGAGGCGCAAAGGCGATTGACATATTCGAGATGGGTATGAGGACTCTAAAGGCTCATGAGATTGTTAGCTAAGGACATTCTAGCCCGTGTCGATCCCCGCACGCCCATTGAGACTTCTATCAAAGCCTTGGCTGAGCTGGTAGAAGAGGGCAAGATTCGTGGTATTGGCCTGTCCGAGGTCAACGCGACTACCATTCGCAAAGCTCACACCGTGCATCCCATCGCATCCGTAGAGATTGAGTTGAGTTTGTTTACACCCGATCCGCTCCACAATGGCATTATGGAGACGTGCCATGAACGTAAGTCGATGCGCCCTGGACTCATTGAAAGATGAGCATTGATAACAGAATCCTAGTCGGCATCCCTGTCATCGCGTACAGTCCGGTCGGACGAGGCTGGCTTACGGGCAATTTCAAAAAGATCGATGATCTGTCGCCAAATGACTTTCGAATTCAGATGTTCGACCGCTTCAAGCCTGAAGTTTTCGATCAAAACTACAAACTTGTCGAGGCCGTTGAGAAGGTCGCCCATCGCAAAGGCCTCAAGACATCGCAGGTTGCCATCGCTTGGGTAGCGCGTCAGGGGGCGATTCCTATTCCTGGATCCACCAACATCGAGCGTGCCATCATGAACAGCAGGCTATCAGAATTGACTGATGAAGATATGGAAGATCTTTACAAAGCACAACAGACCTTTCCCATAGCAGGTAAACGATATGGAGGCGCACACGAGGACCTACTGAACGGTTGAACTTTGCGCCGTAAAGGTCATGTTGGAGATTTCGGAGTTTAGACGGACGGGCAGATACATCCGTCGCTTTACCTAGTTCCATCTAGTCTGTTCCTCCTCCTCATCATTGTTGCCTCCCAAAAAGTGCCAACCTGCTATTACGACACCTCAGTCGCTATGGATTCATCGAATGAAGAAATAGAAGAAGCAACAGTCACTTCGCAGAACACTACTCATACACATCATGGATCATGCACAGTCTGTGCGAAGGCCAAGAGCAAATGCATCAGGCGCCCAGGAAACGGCGATTGCGAGAGGTCAGTGACCGCATTGTCGTTCGTTGGATAGCACGGCAAAGCGATCTGCAAAATGCGCAGGAAACAAGACACTAATTCAGTGTGTACTTAGGTGTATACGATTGCACAAGACCTGCCAGATTCGGGAGCCAGTGAAGCGCAAACGCAAGGCAAGAAAAACCACGTAAGTTAAGCTTGAGCCATGTTTCCGCTGTAGATTAGGATGCTGAGTTGCTAGCAGACGATCTGCTCAATTGCAAAATCTTGAAACAAAGCTCGCAGACATAGCTCAGGCGTTGGCCATCAAACAAGCACAAGCGATATCGGCAGAATCGAATTCGCGGAGCCCTATATCACAGCAAATGAACGGGTTATATCAGGAGAGCGATGATATGTGTCCAACATCACTAGTCATAACGCCAAACACTACAAGATCTAACGACTTTTTGGCCTCTGCTCACGACCCAACACTCGAGACAGTGTATCCCGAACACGTATCAACAGGGATGAACGCGACACATACCGACGTCTTGCTCGATCGCTACCAGAGGCTTATGGCGCCTCACATGCCTTTTGTGGTAATTCCAAGTGGCATCGACGCTTCTAGCTTGGCCAGTAGCAAGCCGTTTCTCTTAAAGGCTATCGAGACGGTAGCTTTCTTTCATGACACAGCAATTCAACAGCGGATGGTGAAGGATCTCATGCGACAAGTGTCCGAGAGGATGTTGATTAATGGCGAGAAGTCGCTAGATCTGCTTCAGGGTAAATACTCCCACATACTGCGTATGAGACATATACTGACTCTGTAATCGATACTCTAGGCATGTTAGTGTTCGGCAATTGGTATAACCCACATCTATTCGCACCGCCAAGCCACACAGTACTCCTGCATCTTACCATGGCGCTCACCCATGATCTAGAAATCGACCGTGCGCCAGGATTCTGTGAAAAGGTGGCTTTGATGGCAGCCTCACAGGCGCATGGCGTACCACAACCGGCGAAAGTCGTAACAAATGACGAGAGACGCGCAGTGCTTGGAACATTCTATCTAACTTCGCAGACCCTTACATCGTTCCGCAAAATCGACACTTTGCATTGGTCTCCTTGGCTTACGAAGTGTGCTGAAGCATTGACGCAAGCCCAAGAATATAAAAGCGACCTTTTACTTGTACAGTTGGCACAGAGTCAGCGCATCATGCAGGAAGCCATGTGCACAGAATGCGATCATGCACCAGTGAGCTTTTACGCCAAGTCATTCCTCAGCGATCTCGATAATATTGAGCTAGCATCCGCGAACGGAATGTCAGCGATAGTGCTGCGTTTGCAGCAGGCTTGTACCCGAACTGCCATCTGGGAACGCTCATTTGGGAACTTAGCCAGTCATACAGTCAAGGAAACGGACCTACGGCAGCGATTAGACGGCATGTGGCACTGCATGGACGCTGCGAAAAGGTACACAGATATATACCTGGAGCTGCCTGTCGAACACTATCCTCTCGTTCCTTTCGGCGTTTTTGCGCAGTTTGCGTACATCTTCGTTGTGCTTGTTCGAGCGAGTTTGATCGAGGTGGACGGCTGGGATGTGAAAGCTCTGAGATCATTCATCGACTTCTCGTCGCTTTTGGAAAAAGCCTCGCAACGCTACGATGCTGTGTCGACATCTCGTCCTGATGGTCTGGTCCTGAACAATGAGGCGTTTGCGAAGTGGTCTGCTAAGACAAAGTGGGCGAAGTCATTCTACGATACCAAGTTCTTGCCTGTTGATCCGAATGCACCGACCATCAATCAGCCTCCGCCTGGGTGTACAACTATTGAAGCGGACGAAACTCAGGAGTCGCGTAGAGCTCTTCCAACGCCACTGCAAGTTCCAGCAGAATTCTCAACAGATACTTTCGCTTTTGGGGATTCGATGTGGGATAGTCTCGACAATCCGGCAATCTTCTTAGGAGACATTGATTCCGCGTTTGCCGACATACCATGACGTCCTGTATTCTAAGAGCAGCAGACAAACAAAGCGAACTGTATGGGAACTCCACAGGAACTCGTTCAGTGCATTTCGCAACAAACGATCTTAGCCCAATCATATTTGGGACACCAAAACTGGGCGAGTGTATAGGCTAGCTCTGTTCAATTCCACTATTACTATGAAAAAGTCATAGTAAGACATGGTGAATAGTAGGGTTGGAAAACTATTACCCTACTCCTCCACTCTTTGGAGCAATAACACCCAGCCGACTACAACATTAACCTAAGATAAACCGACGAGCTTTGAAATCACCTCTAAGCCTCTAAGCCTCTGGAAAGCAAAAGAGCAGCCAAACCATATATCTCAATGCCTGATATTGCAGAGTAGCCTTGACCGATGTACTATTCATGAGACAGCTCTTTTCGAGTGGTTGTACTCGAGTAATCATAGCCTGAAGGTGTCTATCAGGTTTATTTGAGTGTCAACCAATACAGAGTACCGCAAATGACTCTAGGATATACCATGGTTTCATGATTAGGTGATACCGTCCAAAGAAACCATACTTCTTTGTACACGAATCTAATCTTTTCTTCTACCGCCGACGAAGAGTGCCGCCAGAACCACTGTACATCCACAAATACCAGCAAGCACCGCGTTCATATTTCCGTACCCAATCGTCTCTCTTAGTTTCCCTGCCAGCAATGGGCCTACAGTCAGTCCACCGCTCCATACCATGCTGTTGATGCCGTAAAGTTGTGCGTACGGAGCTTGGTCGAACATGTCTTCGTTCGCCTTATAATACTTCTCGACAAGATTGCCAGCTTCAACGAAACTGGGGCTGTTAATTGCTGCCAGACCCACTCCATTCATCGCTAATAGTCCGGAGTAGAGTGCGATAAGACGTCCATTGTCTAGCCTCTGGATTATACCTGATTCAGTCGGAAGCCGGAGTAGTGCGAGCGCTGGTATCAACCAGGAAAATCCAAGGACGGCTGCTGGTTTTGTACCATAGCGGTCGACACACCACCCAAACACTGGGCCCAGTAAGAAATCCGCACCGCCAAGCGGTAGAAAGAGCAGTCCAGCTTTCAAGCTGTCGAAGCCAAACTGCTCTGAAGCTACCAGCGGCACGGTAGCATCGAAAGACCCAAGCAGAAGAGCTTGCATGAAGCCGATCCAGATAGCGGTCAGGAGACTAGCATCGCGGAACAGCATGAGGATAGGAAAGTTACGTGTAAAGCGATTCGTGGGTTTGGGCAAGCGATAACGATCAATCGAAGAGTGGCTGTTTGGTAGAAGAGGTGTTTGTTCTGTATCTTCGTGGTCATTTCCGTCTGGTTCCGAGGCATGTGAATCAGGACTAGAGTACTTTGCGGCCACCTTCTTCTCCACGACGAGCACTCTCAAAATAAAGTCGATACCAATCAAGCTTACGCCAACGCCGAAGACGCCTTTGTATCCAGTCCTGGCATATAGGAGCCCTCCAACCATGGGCGAGAACAGTCCGGCGACTGAGATGAAGCTAAAAATGGTGCCCATAGTCTTGCCTAGATTCTCGTTCCCAACGGTCTCGATCACGAGAGCGATGCCGATAGTCCACACCACGCCGCCCGACGCTCCTTGCAGGAACCGCGCAATGGCCAGAACAGCAACGCTACGTCCGAGAGCGAGAAGGATAGTCGAAAGGAGAAGCAGTACAAGCCCAAGGAGAAACGGCAGCTGTCGAGACGAGGACCATTTGTCGGCTAGGATACCAGCAATGGGAGACGCTGCACAGGAAGCGGCCGCATAGACTGCCAGAAGGTTTGATATAGTGCTTTGAATCTGCGAATCTGGAAGATTGATACGGTCCTTAAGCAGAAATGGAAGTACCGGTACAATAAGCCCATACAGGAACAGATCCACGAATGCGCCCATGCCCACTGTGAAGACGATGAACAATGGGTGTGACCGCCATCGCAGCCCTCTTGGTGGGGACATTGTTGAGATGACTCTGAGAGTTTATAGTGTGCTGACAGAACTTCGGATCGGAACCATAAACAAATGCAAGATGGATGGTCCAGCTCACTTGAAAGGCTTCTGAAGAAGTTTCCGCACGAGCCCTTAAACATATGCTGACGTCAGTGCTCGCTGAGAAATGCAAGCGGCCAGACCACGCGTAGCAGCAAAGGAAAATAGACGCGAAAACTATTGGCGATACAAAAGAAACATTGCATCGATAGAAGAACAGCCCAGATCATGCCTAAACAGTTGTCCATGGCGCACAGGTCAGCCGGGGGACTACGGTTCTTGTATTATCTTGCGAGCCAATACCCATGGCTCCTGTCGTTTTGGGAAGATGGCAAGGGCGAGACACTTGGTGCAAATGGCAGCCCCGGAGTGCTGTGCTCGCCGTCACGTGGGGACGCAGCCTAGCGTGCTTGGCGCGGATCTCGAATTCGAGCTCCCGATAGCTTTCACCCGCTAGGTGAGACGACGCCGTACAACCCCACTCCACACACAACAGTCGCTTCAAGATGGCGGACAAGATGGAGGGCGTAGTAATGGGCGGCAGTCTCGTAGACCCCAGCAAATACCCAGTGCCCATTGAAACGTAAGTGCAAGATCATGCCCAAAAGGTAGGTCCCCTTGATGCTAATGGAGAACCACAGAATCTATGTGAGTTGAACATGAGGGCGCCAGCAGCGCACTCGCATTGCACTCGGCGGTGCTATTGCTGACAGCATTAGGTCAACAACCTCGAGGAGCGCGTTAAGATCGATACCATGAAGCAAGCCTTGACTCGAGTCTTCCAATACTACGGTCCGATTCTCGATGTTATCGCGAAGAGCAGTCTGAAGCGCAAGGGCCAGGCGTTCATTGTCTTCGACAGCGAAAAGGCCGCGCTGGAGGCGGTAGAGGAGATGAACGGGTTCGAGATGTACGGCAAGGTCATGAAGGTGCATAGGGCGAAGACACATAGCGACGAGACGGTCAAGCGAAAGGCGCCAGAACTGTTCGACGACCACAAGCGCAAGCGTCTGACACTCAAGGGTACGCGTCTTCTGCTCCTGGCGTTTCAAACACTAACCGGTACAGACTTCAAGCGCGCCGAAGAAGATGCGAAAGCGCAAGCCAACCCAGTTGCTGCAGAGAAGCCTCGCGCTGCCAAAACTGGAGCGGCTGCCGTGCCCGACGAATATGTCCGACCCAACAAGACGCTCTTCCTACAGAACATTCCCCGCGATGTCGACGAGGAGGACCTCACGACGATATTCGAGCGCTTCGAAGGCTTCAAGGAAGTGCGCTTGGTCTCAGTCAGGGCCGTGGCCTTTGCGGAATTCGAAAACGAGCAGTTTGCGATTACAGCGAAAGAAGCGACGGCCAACACGCCGATTGGCGCAGAGGGCAAGCCCATGAAGGTCACATACCAGCGGCAACAGTAGGTTACTGTACATGGATTTATTGCTATGGATTTATGCGTTTATGATACCTCGTTCGGCATTCTCAGATACAGGCTGGCATAATAGAGTCTTATTATCTGAAGGCCCATCTTCACATCTACATGGTACAATGCTCATCTCTTATTTAACTTCGCAGACGACGCTCAGAATTGGGATGGAAACGGAATGTGGTCTTGGGAGGCTGTGTCGGCATTCTGGAAAGCCCGAGAGTTCAAGCAAGGACATGACGAGTTTGTCCTTGCGAGGAGATACAAGAAGAGGCCCTACTAGGCGTCCGTCGATTACTCAGAAGATGACGTCCTCGTTGTCCTCGTCGCCGAGCATGTCCTTGCTCTCGGCAGCATCTTGTCTCGCGTCACTCTCGTCCTTCTCGTCCTCCTCGTTCTTCTTCTTTGCCGCTACTCTTGCCGCTTCTTCCTCGGCAGCGTCTTTCTGCTTCTTGTTGGACACTTTCTTCAGGCGGTAAAACTCCTCTCGGTCAAGCTCGTCGAGTTCAGAGTTGATGTACTTGATAGTGTTCTCCGTGCGGGGGATAATGACGTGCTCACTGTTGGCTGTTAGCTTTGGCAATTGTCTCGACGGAGATGATACCCACATGGCGTTTACACGGCGGTTGACCACTTTGATGACCTCGTCCAATATAACAAAGGCAGTCTGCAGACTAGCCAGTTCCACCAGCGTCTCCACTGCCCTTGCATACGTCTCTCTGCATCTTTGTACTTGCTGACCACCCTTGCCCAGACCTGTCAGGGCAAAGTCGTTGTTCTGCTCGACGGTAAAGCTCTCGAACTGAGGGAGGAAGACACCAGAGACGTTCTCTTGCTTTGTCCGCACACGGAAGCGGGCTTGCTTTGCGGACTCCTGGATCTGGTAGCCAATGTCGCCGCCGACGGCGTAGGTAACTTCGGCGAGGGAGAAAGCAGCAACCTGCATGACACGGCCCATCTTGCGCTTCGCCTCATCGATACGGCGCGTTATTTCTGGAAACGGCTTCAGTTACACGGGCACATGGTGGGGGAGTTTACGGCGTAGTCGTACCTCGGAAACGCCTGCATACGGTCAGCGAAGCTTGGGGAGGGTAGAGCAGACAGTGAGTGCATACTTGGTGAGGGCTTCACTCTTTCGCTTCAGCAAGTCGTGGCCGGTCTGAGCGCCCTTGAGCTTGCTCTTCATCAGACCGAGCGACTGCCGCGTCGCGAAGACGGCCTCTCGTGCCTGGAGGTCGAGTTAGCATCATCGACGGTGCTGCATTGGATAGCTATCGCTGGCCGTACCCCGCTGCCAGACATGTTTGCGGCTCGAACAGTTGGTGGAGAAGGCTATGGGGCTAAAACCGAATATAGAGGCTGACAATGCTCCGGCGATAGTCTGGTAGGTGTCTCGGAGCCAGTCAGCGTGCGCAGTCCGACCAAGTGAATCCAACGGAACGTGACGCAGCTATGCCGGGGAGCTATGTGAGACGAGTCCGTGCTCGCGCGCCTGCCAACTATGCAAAGCGGGTCTTCGGGATGCACGTTGCTTATTGGCTGCAGGCTACCGCTGACCGCTCGGACTCCATCACTCTTTCCCTCAGAACTTTAACGCTGCGACACGCTCCATCAGCCGTCCAGCACCGCATCCCATCGCCTTCCTGCCCACCGCGGGCCAACACACGCCCTGGCTCTGGCGCAATCATGCCCGGCGAACTCCTCAGGACCGTCACCGCGAGCCTCTCGCGGCCCACCAAGCGGAAGATGGAGCCGTCGTCGGACCTTTTCCTCATCACCGACCAGGACGTCGCGTACGAGCAGGACATCCAGCGCAACGCGGGCAGCGTGAAGCCCTGGCTGGACTACTACAGTTTCAAGAAGTCGCGTGGGAGCATCTTGGAGCAGGCCTTTGTGCTCGAGCGCGCCGTCACCACCCTGCCGCGTTCCTACAAGTTGTGGAAGCTGTACCTCGAGCTCCGCACCAAGCACCTCTCCAAGAAGAATCCTGCCAAGTTCGCCGCCCACTATGTCAAGGTCAACGCCCTCTTCGAACGCGCCCTCGTGCTGCTCAACAAGATGCCGCGCATCTGGGAGATGTACCTCAACTTCCTCATGCAGCAGCCCCTCGTTACCACCACCCGCCGCACCTTCGACCGAGCACTGCGCGCCCTTCCCCTGACCCAACACAACCGCATATGGGCCCTGTACCGGCCGTTCGCGACGTCTGCGTCGGGCGAGACGGCCGTCAAGATCTGGCGTCGCTACATGCAGATTCACCCCGAAGACGCCGAGGACTTCATCGAGCTACTCAAGGACATGCGCAAGTACACCGAGGCTGTGAAGCAGTACATGGAAATTCTCAACAACCCGCGCTTCAAGAGCAAGGAGGCAAAGGGACCCTTTCAGTTTTGGACAGAGATGATCGACCTGATGATTGACCACGCCAAGGAAATCGACACGAGCGACGACAGTGGCATCAACGTCGAGAAGATCATCCAGAGCGGCATCTCCAAGTTCCCCGACCAGCGCGGTATCCTCTGGGTTGGCCTCGCACGGTACTGGATGCACAAGGGCGAGTACGAGAAAGCGCGCGATGTCTTCGAGGAGGGCGTGACCACTGTCATGACTGTGCGCGACTTCTCCATCGTCTTCGACACATACGTGGAAGCCGAGGAGGCCATGATCGGAATCAAGCTCAACGAGGCTGCTGCTCGATCGGAGAAGGGCAAGATTGATGAGGCTGCTGACGCGGACCTTGACATCCGGATGGTCCGCTTCGAATCACTCATGCAGAGGAGACCGTTCCTGCTGAACGATGTCATGCTAAGACAGAACCCGCACAATGTCATCGAATGGGAGAAGCGTGTCGCACTTTGGGGCGACAACAAGAAAGAGGTGGTACAAACCTATACCGATGCCATCGCCGCGATCAATCCGAAGAAAGCCCTCGGTAAGTTCCACGAGCTCTGGACCAACTACGCAAAGCTCTACGAATCAGGCGGCGATCTCAAGAACGCTCGTGTCATCATGGAAAAGGCCGTTAAGGTGCCGTTCAAATCGGTCTCCGAGCTGGCTGAGATGTGGTGCGAATGGGCTGAGATGGAGCTCCGCAACGAAAACTTCGACAAGGCCGTAGACATCATGGCCAAGGCCACGCAAGCGCCTAAGCGATCAAACGTCGACTACTTCGATGAGTCGCTGTCGCCACAACAGCGTGTACACAAGAGCTGGAAGCTGTGGAGTTTCTACGTCGATCTCGTCGAGAGTGTCAGTACGCTGGAGGAGACAAAGAAGGTTTACGAAAGAATCTTCGAGCTCCGCATCGCGACGCCGCAGACCATTGTCAACTACGCAAACCTCCTGGAGGAGAACAAGTACTACGAAGACTGCTTCAAGGTGTACGAGCGCGGCCTCGACCTGTTCAGCTACCCTGTCGCTTTCGAGATTTGGAATCTCTACCTGACCAAGGCCGTGGACCGCAAGATTGGAATGGAGCGGTTGCGAGACCTTTTCGAACAGGCTGTCGAGGATTGTCCGCCAAAGTTTGCCAAGGTACTGTACCTGATGTACGGTGCGCTTGAAGAGGATCGCGGCCTAGCCAGACATGCTATGCGTATCTACGAGCGTGCTACACGCGCCGTTGCAGACGAAGACAGACTGGAGATGTTCAACTTCTACATCACCAAGTCGGCATCCAACTTCGGTCTCACCTCCACGCGACCGATCTACGAGCGCGCCATCGCTGCCCTCCCCGACGGTGAGGCCAAAGAGATGTGCCTCAAGTTTGCCGAGATGGAACGGCGACTGGGAGAAATCGACCGAGCCAGAGCAATCTATGGCCATGCCAGCCAGTTCTGCGACCCGAGAACCAGCCCCGAGTTCTGGAAGAAGTGGGAGGCGTTCGAAGTCCAGCATGGAAACGAGGACACATACAAGGAGATGCTGCGCATCAAGCGCAGTGTTCAGGCTCAGTACAACACCGACGTCAACTTTATCGCCTCCCAGGCTGTCGCCCGCGGCCAGCAGAATGGTGCGCCTGCCGACGAAGACGCCGACGACGCCGATGCTGCTGGCGAGGATGCAATGGCCGCTCTCGAACGTCAAGCTCGCGCACCAGCTGGCTTCGTCGCTGCTAGTACAGGTCCTCAAGGCGGTAATATCAAGCAAGACGAAGAGGCAGCTGCGAATCCCGATGCGATCGATCTGGACGACGACGACCTATGATTCACGAAACCAAGGTTACTTCCCGTGCGAGTGCCTTTAGGGTATATCACCAGGTCAAGGATGGGTGGAATAGGATGAAAGATTTGCATTTTCAACGGCGTTACATGAGAGGTGACAACAACACACCTGGCTATCTTCGCAGGCTACCATGCTACTCCGGAACTATTTCGTTACTTTGTGTACATTTGGGTTGATTCAGTGCGATCTCCCTTGCTTCGGCCTCGCCCAATTTTTGAGGTTTCGACAGTCTGATCTTTGTGTTTTACTCGACTTCGATCGATACCTTGACAACTTGTCACAACTTGTCCGTTTTGCATATATGGCGTTTTTCCTTTGTGAGGGGTTCTCAAAACGATGTCAGAGGCATCTTGGCTGGAAGAGAGCCCCTGGTTGATGGGCTGATTTCTTTTGTCGAGTGGTCAAACAAACAGTATGTTCTTGGCAACATCTTCTCCCTTCACCATGTCATATAAAATACTCTAGCCAAAAACAAGCACTATTCACTCCGCAGCCAACGTATCGACTTTTGTCGCATGTACGTGGTGTGTCGCAAGCACGTTCTTGTCTCTTTTAACAAGGTTGTGACTTTTTACGAGCTGTCTGGACTGTCTTAACTTTGAACCTCGTTCTGGAACAACCACGGACTGCTTGCACCCATTCGGTTGTTCCAAGTGCCTTTTGCTTCAAGAGCCGATTGCTCCTGATATTGGAAAAGGGGTGAGGAGATTCACACATTCTTCTTTACAATAACGTAACCTTATAGGTCTCTCACCATCGAAACCGTGGCTGCCCAGTTTTAGAGTCACTCCCACGTATGACTTCTATTCCTAGAACTCAAAGACTCCTCATGCCGTTTGTAATTCCTTTTGTTATCCTCGGCTTCCAGATCATTGGTGTTTACGCAAGTCAATTCGTGCCTGGCCTTAGCTGAATATTGTGTTCTAGAGGGAAGAAGCAACGGGATGAAGCGCAGCGACTTGATCGGCGAAGAAGAAAAAATTGATGTGAACGTATGCTAGCCTCGTAACGAGACTTGCTCGGGCGAGGAGCAATCCAGAAGACGCTTGTGCAGATATGCTACATGGGCAGGCTGTTCAATGAAAGTCCCATGACGCACCACAAGACCGAGGATGTTAATCTTTGAGTCAAACATGCCGAGGTGCAAAATGCGACTTCTTAGCGGTGGGAAAAATGATAGTGGGGAAACATTTCCATAGAGAACACTGCTTCAATGGCGCTGCGTGTCACTTGTTTCTCGTTGCTTCACGCACGCTTATGCTGTGGTCGACGAGATCAGTTACCGCTCATGCTGTATTGGCTTCGTTCTGAATAAGCACCAACGGTAGACAGAGCCCAACATGTTGAAGGCTACCAAACTTTCTCTTCCCTCGCTGAGATGCGCGAGTCCCTATACGTGTTCCCCACGATGAAGGTCCATCCCAGAACGTCACGATACCATGTCGAGCAGGCCAATATACCCCTTTAAGTAACCAGGCCCATCCCTCGTCGAATTCGGGGTGTCACCTGTCACTGCCTCAACGGGTACTTGTACCCTTAACTATGATGTAGCCTAATCTCCCAGGATGGAAGATTTTGCAACTGGCAGCAGCGGTTGCACGGTGAACGGCAACTGAAACAGCCTGACAGCCGTGTGCTACCACGTCAAAGTATGACGAGGATGCGCCAGTGTGGAGATGAGATAAATTAGCAGGCTGGAGCTCGTCGGCATCAGCCGCATAGCGTGCACTGTTCTACCGGCCCTGGTGATCATGAAAAACGATGTGGTGGTGTGGACATGTTTCGAGTGGCACAGGGCTCAGTGTGGCTCTGTCGAGTCTCGAGGCGTACCACTATCCGGGTTGTTGGTTGTTGTCGAGTCATGGGTCCGGTTGGACCTGCTCCTGTTTAGCGCAAGCAGTATTCAGACATTGAATTCCAGGCTAGTTGATGAAGTAGTTCATTGTCAAGTCGGAGTGTTCAAGCGTTGAGGTAACGCAGAATATGCTGTACGAAGACGCAGCTGTCCGGCAGTGTCGGTTTCAGAAGTGTTACAGGAGCCAGGAGAAAAGCAGACACCTCGCCTGCTCTCCGTGATGCAATCTGCGAACGTCCAGTTGACACTATGAGTTATATACAAACTTTCGTTATCTCACTCGCCATATGCGCGTTTGCATCGCGTGTTTCTGCCTCACCACAGTGCGCGAATCCACCCCGACACTTCGATGCCCAACTACCGCTTCAGTCACAGCAGTGTGTAGACACCAAAGACGGATTGCGACTGTCGCAGGATGTGCAGTCATTCCAGCACCCACTATGGTCGCACAAACCCACTTGTGCCCAAAGAAAGGGCCAGGAATATTGTACTTACACGACGTCCGAGTTGCGCGGTGGTCATGCTCTGAGCATTATCGCGACACCTGTCGCTGCAGACGCAATAGCTGCAGCCTTTCTAGCATTAAAGAAGGATGATCAGAGCAATGACAGCGGCCTCGAAGTTCGCTCATTCCCAGGCAAGGGCAAAGGCCTTGTCACTACAAAGGCTGTCAAGAAAGGAGAAAGGATACTCCTTGATTCTGCACACATTATCGCAAGCTCGCACTTTCCGACGCAGGTCACACGTTCGCAAGGCAAAGCTCTCTTCAGTGCCGCTATCGATCAGTTGCCTCAGGCAGACCGAGCTTTGGTGCTCGGGCTAGACCAGAGTTTGGGGGGTAGCAAGGTTGAGGATATCATGAAGACGAACGCCTTTGCGTGCCAACTGGCCGATGGCGATGCAGACGACGCTTACATGTGTCTCTTCCCATCTGTCGCCCGGATCAACCATGCTTGCCAACCCAACGCACATGCGCGCTTTGTTCCGAAGACGATGTCGATGGAAATCAAGGCTCAACGGGATATCGCAGCGGGAGAAGAGATAGACATCTCGTACGGCCGTATTGACTTGAAGCACGCGGATAGACAGACACTGTACCAGGAAGGCTGGAACTTTGGATGCGCATGCCCCCTCTGCACTGCTTCGGAGTACGAAAAGACTGGCAGTGACCAGCGCCGCGCTAGGTTCGCTCAACTAAGAAAGATGTTGGAGAACCTGACAGTGGAAACCTACGACGCCCAACAGATCGTAGCGTGGGAGAAAGAAGTGATGGAGATCGGTCAAAGAGAGGGTTTGGAGACTATGCTAGCCCAGGATTATGAGAGACTGGCGTACGTCTACGCAGGCCATGGCATGGTGAAAGACGCAAGACGTTGGGCCAAGATGGCTAAGGAGAGTTTATTGGAATGGGTGGTTGTCGATGGTGGACCGGACAATCAGATTAGGAGGGTAGAGGGGTTACTCAGAGAGCTGGATGGCTGAGGTGGACAGGTCATATCTCGGCTTGATAGCTAGGTCACTTGGGTGACAACGCTGCCTGAAGACGGACCGTGAGGGCTGTAAAGTTCGAGAGAAACGCACCACGCCTTACAATATTCACGTTGGATCGCGGATGGACCTCTGGTGTCCGCTTCCGGTCGCCGTGCTAGTGAGCTCGTAAGATCAAGCGGTTCTACGACGTGTAGCCCCCAGCCCGAGCTAAAGGTGCTGACTCTTCTTCGTTCCGCCCTACGATCGTGACGTGGACCGTGGGCGAAGACATGGTCGGGTCGGTCCATATCCACAGATCGTCGTTGTGGCTTCCGAATCCTCCGTGAGTCCACAATTCATCATTGATCCGTCGGCCGTGCAGGAATAGTCGTTGCTACTAAAGTCGCAATGCCTGAAAGTGATCCTCAAGAGCAGACTAAACCTCAATAGGGTCCAGAGAGTTGGTCGTAAGATGACGTGAGCGATGGATTGGGCAATGTGCACTGGGCAATGGGCAACGAGAACTCGAGAGATGAGGCTCCTGAAGGCCGTGTGCAAATTAACACGCGTAGTTCGTTGTCACCCGGAGTCCCTGCCGGCAGCAGCAACAGGTAAAATGTGTGGCTGGTGCCGCAACCAAGGGTGCCCAGATCTGCACGTACCGGGTACAGGCGAATTGAGATCTTGTAGGCGATCATCTCACAGTCAGAAGAGGTAACGGTGGAGTAAGCCACTGCGCTGAGTAATCCCGATCGAGGGGTTGATAGAGATGTACGATGAGCCGTCCCTGCTTCGGCCAATTGACGACATCCGACCTATTGACCGAGTGAACGACTCACGATTGACTTCTACCAACATCTCCAGGCAAAGTGACAGGACGGGTCGGTCGCGGCGCCGTTGTCAACGGTGATAAGTCGCATCGCGCGGGAAGAGAGTTCGATGGTGGAGATGCAGGTACGAGCCGAAAAGGGGTCTGTGATGTTGTACTAGGCCGACGCTTGACCAATCAGATGCTAGATGTGGCCTACTACGCCCTGCATCTCAAACCTTCTGCCATCCTTTGGCGCATCATCGCCCCCAATACATCATTTGCTGTGAAGCTCTCGTCGTCTTTCTCTGCCTACCTTATGCGGCTAAACTCGAGCAAAAGCACGACCAAACGACCCGTCAGCGCAAAACAAAGCAAAAGTGGCGGCACGCATCAGCAAGCGCCACGATCGTGTGTACGTGGGTCTGAAAGCGCGCATCTCTTTGAGCAAGTGAAGGAGGAAGCGCCGTCGCGCCTTGTTGAATTAGACTTTGTCGTCTTTGTACCACTGCTTCTGAAGTCGAGGCTGTACACTTGCATCGAACTGTTCGTTAGCTGCGTCACCCCAGCCTACCGCATACGGGTCCCTGGGTCTTTGGAAGACCGGGTTTGATTGTCCTGTTTCAAATGGCGGCGGGGTCTACCCTGCAACCACCAGCTTTGCCAGCTGAAGAGAGTTGCACAGGGCTTCGCCGCATAACATTGCGAATGTAGGGCTCGAAACTAAATATGGACCTGCATGTCCTGTCGGCTCTCATATGGGATTCATTAATGGTCTAAAACACCCTTAGTTCTCCATACTCGTAGTCTGCATCAACGCTCATTGTCAAATATTTCCGATCCCTTGCTTTTGCAAACAGTCACTCCTTTACTTCTTCTATACTGTCTTTTGTCTAATATGGTGTCGAGCCGGTCCCTCCTGACGGTCTTCGCGACCTTCATTGCGGTCGCTGCCAGCCAAAAATGTTACGCGGTCGACGGTACGGCCCTCGACAGTACATACACGCCATGCAACCCTAGCGCGAAGCACAGCAGTTGTTGCGCGTCCACCGATGTTTGCATGAGTAATGGATTGTGTATGGGAACAACGAACGAGTCGATTGGCATGATCTTCTCAAGAGGATGTACGGACTCCAAGGGAAAGGATGCTTCGTGCCAACAAATATGCCCTGGTGGTATGTCCACGAATGTCCGTCATCTTTGGTTCATCAACTAATCCGCTACAGTTTCCGACGACTCCAACGGTCTCAAGCCGGTAAAAGCTTGGCAACTCCAAACGTGCGACTCGGGGGAATACTGTTGCCGCGGCGCCGATGATACAAAAAGCTGCTGCGACAACGCAAAGGCACCGAAAGTCACAACTACGTTCAGCGCTACCCTCCAGTTACAAACTCCAACTGCAACCAATCCTGTTGCAGAAGTCGTCGCAACCGCAGTCTCTACCGGAACCCCCTTCGAAGCCACCACCACACCAACCGCCCATGCGTGCGCCAAAGAGAAGCGAGAGACTGCAATAGTCGGCGGTACCATCGCAGGTGTATTCAGCATGCTGATAGCGGGCCTGTCTGCTACTGTCTACTGGATGTACAAGAGGGAGAAGAGGCAGCGCAAGCTAAAGGAACACTACGAGGAGCAGTTCTCCCAGACCAATGCGTATAGAAAAGCGTTGGCTTCGAGCGCAGGGTCTTGCAGAGGCAGTGTGCTCCTGGACGAGCTAAAACTGAAGTCTAGTGCTTCAGAGTAAGGGTTACACACGACCAACGTTTCTTTTGTTTCACTCTTTCACTTTAGCGTCGGTGTTTCATGGTTCCAGTCTTGGTGATGATGGGGGAAGGTAGTGGTGCTTTGGTCTGGTGTTGACTGGTCTTGGGTATTAGCCCATTTGGTTATGTCTTTCGGCAGTTGCGAATACCCTTCGGTGCATTCTTTTCCTTTCGGTTGGTTTAGAGGTTCGGTTATGTCACGATGATGTTAAAAAGGAATAACACTTAGAAAGTAGTTGTTAGACACCTCGGGGTGCGATAGATATATGTATTTTAATGTAGCAAATGTGTACATCAACGCTCAACCTCACCCAACTTTCCCATGAGCAGTGCCTCGACTTTCTCACCTTTCTTCAGGCTACCCTCGCCCTGCGGCATTGCAAGTAGCGCATTCGCACCCCTGAAGCTGCCAATCCGACTACTCCTCTGCCCCCCTGTCGAGCTAGCATATAGCAGTCCGTCTTCCTTAGTCACAACTAGTGCACGGTGATACTCTGGCCGACCCTTGTCCATCTTCACATCCTCATCCAGTATGACCTTGATTCTCGGTAGACCGAGTGGCTTAATACCAGCCTGTTGGTGCAATGCAGGCAGAACGAAGAGATGGAAGCACACCACAGCCGAAGCAGGATTTCCGGGGAGCGAGAAGACAGACTTGGTTACAGGGTTTCCAGAGTTGTCCTTTACTGGCACCGTGGCGAAGGTGGTGGGTTTGCCGGGCTTCATGTTTACGCGACCAAAGTGGATCGTGCCGCCGAGAGAGCGCTCGATTGTTGGCTTGAGGAGATCTAGCTCGCCCATTGAGACGCCGCCAGAGGTTATGATAACATCGCACTTGCGCATGGCGTCGCGAAGTGTCTGCTCGAGGCTACCAGGTCTACAGAGGGTCAGTGATGACTGATTCAGACATTTGGGTCGCGCAATGTAACTCACTTGTCTGAGACAATCCCTAGATCGATGACTTCAAATCTGTGGCTTCGTGCAGCGGTGATGAGTGTAGGGCGGTTGGTATCACGCACTTCTCCGAGCCGCAGGGAGCCTTCTCTGTTGTGCGGGATGATCTCGTCTCCTGTGCTCAGGACTCCAACGACTGGTTTCTTGTAGACAGACACCTCTTTCGTGCCCACAGACGCAAGGAGACCGAACTCGCCGCCGACGACTGTGACGCCTTCACCTTTCTTCAAGATGGTCTCGCCCTCTTTGACGTCACTGCCTACTTCGCGTACGTTTTCGTTCGGTTTAATTTCGTCAGTCAGTATCTCGATCTCTTTTTCTTCTTTGCCGTCGTCTGTAAGACTCTTCAGCACTGTATCTTCGACCATGACCACTGAATCGGCACCAGGAGGGAGAGGGGCGCCAGTTGTAATTCTGGCAATCTCCCCTTCTCTCAGCTCTTTAACCTCGCCAGCCTGAGCGTGAGATACTATCGTAACGGGGTAGACTCCTTTCTCAAACTTGCCTGTAGAAGGGATCTTTACGGCGTAACCGTCGACGATGCTAGCGCGGAATGCTGGGACAGACTCGGTGGCTTTGACATCTTCGGCAAGGACGGAACCACTCAGTCTCATGTCTACTGGTACGCGCTCTACTACAGGAGCTGGAGTCTGCTCTGCGATGAGCTTGAGCGCATTGTCAACAGCAAGCATAGGATAAGGAGATGACCGGTATCTGCGTGTTGGTCCTGCGGAAGGGTCATTGGACTGGGGACGCTCTTCAGGGTTTGTATGAGCTCTAGGTCCTGCGTGTCCACCATGACCATGAGAATGACCATGATGGTGATGCCCACATCCGGTTCCTGTTCTTGTTATCTACGGTGTTGCTAGGATAAATGGCATGCCGCATACCTGTGGTCGTGCCAGCTGAAGAGACCCCAGCGTCCTTCTCAAGCTTCTCTACGCCACCCGCATGCAGAGGTCTTGATTCTGCACCAGCTGCCTGAATGCACGCATGTGGTAGTAATTTGAGAACCGCCTCCAGATTCTCTTTGGCACCTTTGGGCGATCCAGGGAGAGTCAAGATCAAAGTCTTCTTTCGGAGACCCGCAACAGGTCTCGCCATAAGTGCGACTAATAAACGTTAGTCTATGTCTTTGGTTCGGGTTTCCCCGACTCACAAGGTGTGACAGCATATGAAGTTGTAAGCATGCCATGTCTGCATCTGTTAGCATTCCCGCGGACTATCGGAAGAGGTAGCCTACATAAGACCGGGAGCATGTCTGTCAATCAATGGCGTAACTGCCTTGTTGCTATCAGCTAACTACTCTCCACCAGTATATGGAATGGAGCGCGCACCTCTGGGGTGACATCTTTGGTTGCAAAACCAGTGCCTCCACTAGTGACAATTAGATTGATTGGATCAGGGCCATCAGTCCAAGTTCTAATTGTCTTCTGAATCGCGAGAGCATTGTCGGGCACGATCTCAGTTTCGCTAACATGCCATTGGTCATTTCCGAGATCGCCGAAGACTTTCTTCAGCACTGGTATGCACTTGTCGGTCGATGGGTCTTGGGAAGCAGTCTCAGATACTACCAAGACTGCTGATTTGAGCTTTGGATTTGTGGTGGCCATTTTGATAGATGTCAGGTTAAGTACAGGCGGAGTAGTGCGGACATGCCACTCTGGTGACGTTGCGCACGGACCATAGATTACATTGATTCTCAACTCCGCGCAAGGGAATTACACAAGCATATTTGATCTGGAAATTGATAAATGATATTTAACGCCGATACTCGCTCATATTACATGCATTATACAAGCGCCCCCCTATGTACATGGTACAACCTCTACAAATGACGTCCAGTAGCCTCTCGACCAGCTCCACAAGCTGGAACTTGAACGCCTTCCTCCTTGGCGTCGTTCTGAGTGGGACCAAGGTTCGATGTAGTCCGTATAATTGTGCCCGGAGGCGAATTCGTTACACTCTCGTACGCTCACTGGAAGTCCTTGGCATTGCTCTGCATGAGCAGCCCAATGATGAGACCAAACAGTCCGAGAATGGCAGCGAAAATCTCAATGGTAAGAATCTTGACGAACCTGGGATGGAGTTAGCAGCTAAAGATAAACCCAGAGATGGCAGGCGTGTACATTGCAGGGTCGGCAGCATCGGCCAGCGCAGCGCTACTTCCGTTGATGCCTACGCATACACCGCAGATGAGGTTGCACATGCCCACAGTAATTCCGGCCCAGAACAGCGCGTATCCAGTGAAGTAGTTGGAGCCGGAGTAGAGCAGCTCAGGGTCGGAGAGCTGGTTCATCTTGGAGGAGAAGATGATGGCCATGATGACACCGTAAATGGCGACGACTTCGCAGAAGATGATGGAGATCAAGTTCTTGGTTCGTATCCGCGGCGCCTTGACACCTCCACCCACGATGGACACACCGGTTGTCCAGATTCCCCTTTGCGACAGTCAGATGGCATGCGTGCAGAATTCCAAGCGCGAGACGTACCATGCCGAGCCTACGACAGAGAGACCAATGCATAGCGCAATTCCGACACTAGCAAATGTGTATGGCGAAATGCTTTCGAGAAAAGCTCCGACCTGGGGTACAATCAGTCCTGTCCGTGCTGTCGAGGTGCAAACGCGTGCGTACGTTGAAGGCCTCTCCTTCGTTGTTGAAGAGCATGTCTGGCCGTCGTTAGCTATTGCCTGCGCCCCTGCGCGCTGTACATACACAAGCCCACCACACCGAGGGCGGCAGTCGCACCGCCCGTTCCATAGGTAAGAGACATGTTGGGTGTGTTGGTCGGCGAGTAGGAGATGGATGGGAAAAGTGGCGGCTGGAGCTTCGTCGTGATGGACTCGCTGCGAAGCTGGCGATGATGCACCTGGGCAGGCGGAACAAGCCGCATCGCGCTAGTGCCGGACAGCTTAGTAACCGCCTCCGCGCCCCCGTCACTCTTCCCGCCCAGGCGTCACCTACGCCAGACCACCAGCTCGTCGCAAACACCAGCACCATGGCCACCGACAACACCAAGTACTATGAGCTCTACCGCCGAAGCAGGTACTGCATCCACTTCTCGAAGGGCTTTCCCGTGGGCGCTGGCTAACAGAGGACAGTCTGGGCGGCTCCCTCACAGACACGCTCGACAACCTCATTACCGAGCGCCGCATAGAGCCCCAGCTCGCCATGAAGATCCTCTTGAACTTCGACAAGGCCGTCGCCGATGTGCTCTCGGAGAAGGTCAAGTCGCGCTTGACATTCAAGGTCAGTTGCGCAGATGCAACCAGTGGGAAGCATGCCATACTGACGTGCGCCTCTGCAGGGACATCTCGACACTTACCGCTTCTGCGACGACGTATGGACCTTCATCATCAAGGACATCAACTTCAAGCTGGACAACACGCACCAAGTCCACGCCGACCGTGTCAAGATTGTTAGTTGCAATGCGAAGCGTCCTGGCGAGGCCTAGAGCTGTACTATATCATCTTTCTGGCGTTAGGGATCAACCAAGGCTTTCACGATACCTATGGCATAAATGGGAGTTTGGGATCGGATGCGCATTTGCGCTGGCTGTATGCCGATAAATTGAAATCATTATGACCTGCATCTCAACAACTACCACTGGTCGTGAATACGTGACCAATTCAAGCTTGACTGGTAACAGAATGTAAATGAGAGCATAGGACGAGTGGTTTGAGATAAGCCCCAACATGCACAAGAAAAAGCTGCCTAAAGCATTGCGTCGACATGCAACCTGCATCGACTACCCCATACATTGACTAAGCGCGGAAGCGCATCCGGTACCTTGCAGATCATTAACCAACGTCTGTCAATCAACATCGACCTCTTTCCCCGCAGCACCCAAGACGGCTGCGACCATGTCTCTTCCGCAAACCAAATCAGCCTGGCTGATGCTTGCCATCACTAGTGGCGCATGTGCAGCTTGCAATGGTGTCTTCGCGAAGCTGTAAGAGACCGTCGCGTTGATCCAGCCCACGGTGCATGCTGACAATGGTGTAGCACTACAACAGAGCTCACAGCCTCCTGGTCGAGCTCCATAGCCCTCGCATTCGGGCTGAGTGCTTCTAACAAGATTGTTGAATATGCGATACGAGGTGTACGTCCTTCCTCCGCCCATACCCATCCGTACTCGCAGATTACTAACACGGCGCGCAGCTCTTTTTCGGCATGAACCTCCTCTTCAATGCCATCATGTGGGGTCTCTTCACACGTGCCCTTACCCTTGCTTCCTCCACTGTACGCGTCAGCATCATAAATACGTCTGCCAACTTCATCGTCACCGCCGTCCTCAGCTTCATCATCTTCAGCGAAAGCTTACCGGGACTGTGGTGGCTGGGCGCAGCAATGCTAGTAGCTGGAAGCGTGATTATCGGAATGAGGGAAGAGACGGAAAAGAAGAGTGTGGTAGCTACAACAGGGGAGGCCCCGCTTCTCGACCGCGACGGCGATGCGAACGCCGAGGGCTTCAGGGACGACGATGATGAAGACGAGGATAGAGTCGAACTCAACAGTGTGAAGAACACAGGAGGGGACAGTAGCGATGAAGATGGCGTGTTGAAGTAGACCAGACGCAGATGCGTTGTTATGATAATACACAATTCGGACCCTCTGAACTGGAGCCTGACCACCTGATTACCACGGTACCACTCCTATCCTCCCCCCTCATTCGTCGTCATCGAGAACGCTCGTTTGCCTCAACGGATTTATTCGAGGGACCCGATCAGCTTATTGGAGGATCTATGACGTCCAAGGTAGGTGCAACACGCTCCCGCTCCATCACCGCTTGAGTTGGGACAGTGCATTTCCATCGCATCCAGAACCACTCTCTTTCACTTTGACCTTGGGAGTAGCAGTGAGTGCGCAATCTCTGGGCAGGAGAGTATTTTATAATCCGGTTCGCTTGCCGCCCACTACCTTTACCCAAAATCCGACGCGCTCTTTTCCTCCCGTTTTCCCACAATCCACCGTCAACTTTTCCTCCTACATTCCCAAAATTTATCGCAAAATGCCGAACTCACCAACCCCTGGCCTTTTGGATGCCACCGCTTCTGCGTTTTCTCCTGGTCAAAGTACGCATCCCAGTCCTGCCCCTAGCGAGCGCTTCTCCTCTCCTTCAACGCCCCTCTCAGCTGTGGACTTCCAGTCCCAATCCCAATTCCAGCCACAGCAGTACTTTGGCCCACAAAAGCACCCCGGGTATCAGCCGTTTCCTATCTTCAACGGCTACACACAAGCCTACGAATACCACGCTACTCCACCTCCTTACTCGACACAGACCCAAGGTGCTGCTTCTTGGCACCCTCAGCAGGATAATCATGTCAGCTACACTGTCAACCCGAATGAACCTTTTGCAGATCAGTTTATAGAGCTTCAAGGTGTGCGAAATGGTTACGTCCCAGGCCAGGTAAGTTTCAACTGTACAAAACCCGCGTGAGACAAGCACTGACTTTGTACCTTCACCTCTACAGAACACATGGTACCACTATGGCAATGGGAATTACATCAACAACTACAACAACGACGTTCCCAAGAAAAGTACAAAGAAGAACAAGCGCAAGAAGAACAGTAGGTTCAACAAGGTACGAGACCGCGCTGTGGAGCAGATGGGGGAGTCTGCCACTCAGGCCGAGCCCAAGCCCAAAAACGAAACCAAGAAACAAAAGGCAGAGCAGCAGAATGAGCCCAAGAACAAGACCAAGATCAAGGCTGATGTCGAATCTGAGGCCAAGGTCACGAGCATTATCGGTGGATAAGACTGAGATGTTCAAGTCTTACGCAGTGGATACTAATGGTAGAGCACGATTTTGTGGCTTATGTGGACAGCAAAGACGTCTCAAATCGGTAGTGGAGATGGTAATGGTAATGAAATATGTTGAGATTCGGAATGTACGTTAATATAGCAAGCAAAGAGATCAGGTGGCATGGTGAGGTGGAGCGCGTAATGAGTATTGGTACAAAACTGAGCGAAGGCGTCCAGGATTCAAAGATGGATATTAATGATGGGATTCATGAGTTAGTCTGCATTTGCGCAGTAATAGAGTCGAGCGTTCATTTTCTTTCCCTTTCCTGGTCCAGCAACGAGTAATCCGAACTTATATTCTGAGCCTGGCTATGTACCTGTCTCTATCTCTAATGCAGTCGCCTCAACCCCTCAATCATTCCCTTGACCTCCTCGAGCTCTACACCCAAACCTGCGATTGCCTCTCTCTGTATGTCTTCGCTTACATCCAGGAATCTCTCCACTAGCTCTCCGTCGACAAAGCGCATGGGTTCCTCCTCCTCCCTGACGGTGTTTTTGAACGCGCGGAATTTGGCAAATATCATGTCACCAGGTGTTTCTACCAAGGCGCCAAGGTTAGATTGGAGTGTCATGAGGAGGTTTTGATGTGTGGGAGAGATGAGACCAAAGAGGTAAATCGAGCCTTCGACCTGTATATAGGTTAGTATCCGCGCGTGACAAGTATTGTTAGGTAAACCTACAGTGCCGACAAACGCTCTGGGTACGACTGCAGCGTCCGGGGTTGTCAGGACATCAATCCGACGTATTCTGTTGACCATCTCGCCAAGTAGCATCTCAGAGCTAACGTTCAACCGCCTCTTGTCATCGTCTGTGACACCTTTCGGGTCGCGGTACAGGACCATCAGGTTCCCTTCTGCGTCGCTTTCAAGGAACGTGTTCGTGTCTATCTCGGCCACAGACGTTGCCCACGTAGTCTGGTAATGTCGTGCAACCTCTACAAGCTTGTCTGGTAGACCCGCCTCGCCCTTTGTGTACTCTACAACGGCGAGCGACTTCATGAGATCTGCTATGGCGATCATGGTACCATTGACCGTAACATCGATCGGTGCAGTTGAGCACCTGAACGAGGCTAGCTTGACCAGATCAGGTGAACTTTGCGTTCGGAACTCAACGTCATAGACCACGATGGTCTTGATGAGTGCTGCGACAATCTTGCCTTCGCAAATGGCCAAACATCTACAGCCACCCTTGACGGCGATCTCAGTGACGAGCTTTAGTACGCGTTCAGGTGTCACTTCTAGGATAATTATGCGGCCACGTTCTGCAGTCGCGTTCTGGTCGTCAAGGTATGCAGTGCCGACGACGAAGCGCTCTGCAACGCCGCCTGAGCCATCCGGTAGTTCGCATCGCATGACGCATTCGACCAGCTCCTCGTCGTTGAGAGCGTATGTATCGAGCTCCTTGAATTGAATCTCATCAACGAGCTTGAAGTGACTTAGCATAATCTCCTCGCCGTGTTTCAATATTCTTTTGATGGTGCCAAGACCGAAAGCCTTCAGACTAGGCGAGTATGATATTCTTCGTACCGTTTCGTCGACCTTTAGAGTCTGTACGTGCGTCGTCCGTTCTGTGTCTACTATAGCAATACGGAGATCTTCCGAGGTTGCAATGGCTACAGAGCCAGGGTATGCTTCTGAATCGAAAGGACAGACAGTGGTCGCCTTTTCTGCCGTAACAGCAGAGTATACAAGACGACCCTCCGATGCGTAGATCAACGATGGGTGTTCGCATGTTGCAAAGACATTGAATAGGCCATCGCCTCGCGGCAAGGCACGGAAACTAGCTTCACGCGTACCTAGCACGATGCTTTTCCTTCCAGTGAGTTCATGTGTCGACGGATCGTAAGCATATGTGACGACGTTTCCGTCAGCCAGTGCAGCGAAGAGAGATGGCGGTTGTTCCGGGAAGATTTGTGTCAGCAATAATGAGCGAGGAACAGACTCTTCCGATATCTGAACAGTCTTGACCGCCTCCAAAGTATCGAGAGAGCATATGGCGAGTTGCGAGTTGCTCCAAAAGCCGATGAAGCATATCGAGCCCGAGACCGAGGGAAGAGCAACGCAGGCGACTTGACTCTCGGCACCAAACTTCTTCTCTTTGATCACCTGTAGACCGTCCGTCAGGCTCAATGAGACAATAGTAACGCCCCCTAAGGAGATCAGGACATGGCTATCGTTGACTGATGCAGCCGTGATGGTCTGCCCATCCGTTGGCATCCATTCAGACGTAACCATCCCGCCGTCCAGATCGCAGATTCGAGCCCGTCCGTTGGTAACCTGGACGACGCGGCCTTGTGAGATGTTCGCCGCAGCCAACGTTGTCTCTTCCAAAGCGAGGGAAGCAAATTCATCCACCTCTTCTACCTCACCCTGGGGATCGAATCGAAAGATGCGCGATTCGTTGACGAAGCTCACTAGTAATGTATCTGCGTACTGGGCAGAGGCAGTCGACTTCAGGCTGAAGAGATTGGAGATGTGTTCCATTTCACCCAAGACACCCAAGTCTTCCAGTCCGACTCCGCTTCTGACGCTTCGGAGACTCCCATCCTGATAGGCGCCACTGCCAGTCACTATTCGCGCTTGGCCAGAAGAGTACTCGTTTGTTTGTCCTTCACCGGATCTGTTGCCCATATCCATGATTGTAAAGTCAAGTATGGGCGCGATGTTGGAGAATGTCTGGACAACTTCCATGGACTTCTCTGCAATCTTGATGACCTGCGAATCGCCCTGGTGCGATCCCACGAAGACGTAACCGGCATCCAAATATACCAATGTAGATGCTCGAGACGTCTGCCCAATTACGTCGAGCTTCCATGACTGAACTCCGCCTTGGCTGTTCAAGACCAACATGAACATGTATAAACGACCGTAGTCGTCGGCAAGCACGAATCTCTGGGCGTCAATGCGTTCCCAAGCTACGAAGATTGTCGCCTCGTCCAGTGGTTCAGTCTGCAACTCTCCACTCTCGTCATCATAGTACCCGATAGACGTCTCCCCGACCACTATGAGACCATGCGAAGGCTCCTCGACAGGTATCAGGTGGCTCGAACCAAGTTCCAGTTCGCTTTTGCACGTATCCCCTTCTTGTAGTTCCACTTCCTCGTTGGCAAACGCCAATTCTCTCAACTTCAGCTTTACTTGAGAGTGCGTGTCTTCGTACAGCAGAGCCATCTTCGGTTTGTCCTCGAATGAGCGTGGGCGCAAGAATGCAGACGAGCGGACGAACATCTCGGGTAATCTGATGGGTTGGGGATCCCCCAGATGGGCAATGTCTGCCTCTTGCTTCCTCTTCTTGCCCCTTTGGACTAGCGGTATGACGGTGACGATGCCTTCGTAAACCTCGACTGTCATGAATCGCCCGGTTGGATCTATGTGACATCTCTCTCCTGTTTGCGACTCTCTCGCAGCATTGTCGGCCACACTTGCAAACGACTTTTCCGTGTGTAGTTGTTTCTTGTCGGCGTTCCATGAGAGGGTAAAGTACATGTATCGATCGGTGCCGACAAAGAGATGGTCGGTCGGCGATAGCGCTGGGCGGAGCTTCTGAAGCATAGTGACCTTGCCATAGATGGCTTTGGAGTGCTGGAGGGCCAATCCATCCGATGTCTGGGTATAGAACTCGAGTCTGTTGGACTTGCTGCAAACATGTTAGCATTCTATCCGCACTATACATGTACTGCTTACGCGACCACGAGGCAGTCCTCCTCCGGGGCGAGGAAGTTGAGCTTGAGCGCATGTCGAACGCTGCTTGGCCGGTGGATGGGTGCTATGTAGGCCATGGCGAGGTTCTACTATCTTGTGCAGCTTGCAGATTGCTCAGAGAACAGAGACGGGGATTGTCGCTGTTGACGGGCTGGAGATATCGGATG